CATGGGCTTGAGTGCCTGGTGCTGATTCGACAGTAAAGAAAAGGCTTTTTTCTTGTGTCAACATCCACCGTCAAAGATAAAAACCCAAAACTTACAAATTCACCCAATCTTTCTTCACTCTTTTGCTGAGCTGAGCTGCAATTAACCTCCTGCTTAAAAGGACCATACCAATGATTTTGCATTTTTGAACCACATTTACTGATATTTAGATTCTTTTTTTATCTTTAAGGCAGCCTTTGGTTGTCATTATATTTCAGCATGGTAAGAAAATCAAAGTACAGAGGATTAAAACAAGCTTGACACGCTGTAGATAGTGGATTTTGTCGGTAAAGTTATGTTAATATTGTAATTTATTAGTGATTAGGAGCTGGTTGGAAAGGTATTCCTTGGTGGTGCATTCAGTGTATGTTCCAACATGTACAATTTAACACTCCAAATACCAAAAAGCAATGCACTTAAGTTCAGTTCTAAGAAAAATCTAATAAAAAAGACAAATGGTAAGCAAATAAGGACATCCTTAAGAATATCACGTAAATGTATTTCATTAAGCAGGTTGCTCTCTGATGTCTGACTTTCCCCATAGCACCTAAAGGCATCAAAGATAAAGCCCTTTCAAAATAGGCCCTCCTCACAGCTGTACTACAGGAGGATGAGTGGTCAATGCCATGCGTTATTTATTTAATTACTCATTTAAATTTCAAGTGAATTTTCACACAGTGCTGAAATAAATGGAAACCAGAAGCTGCCCAGTAGGAATGAAATCTTAAAAAAAATGTTTAAACCATTAGTTAAACCATTAGTGTGGTCCTTTTTTATAAGCATGAACTAAGCCTCTATCCTGCCTCCATCATCATTTACTGACTCCATCTGTCTGTACTGTGTTTAACCTCCAGACTACCCTGGTGAAGACCTGTCTTTTCTGTTAGACAGTAAAGCACCCGGACAGCAGCAGTACGGCACAGAAGGCAGCTATCCAGAGCCACCAAAAGCTTCTCACCCTTACGACACTAAAGGTGAAACCTCAAAAAAACCACACCCATATGGTTGTTAACATAGGTCAAACTGTATGTTGGTGTTTTTGACTTATCTCACATTTTTTGGCTCTTTTTTTTTTTACCCCTCAGTGAGCACCAGCGACACAGCCCTCTTCAACCTCGACTCATACCAGGAGTTCAACTGGTGGACCTCATATCCACATGGTGAGCCTCTGACTCTATAGTCTTACTCATTCCTCTATGTAAAGAATTTTCTTTTACGTGACTAATTTTCTTTTTCATTAGCAGATGGGCTGACAGTAGACCAGCCCCAAACTGGATACCAGGAGTCTCCACAGACATACCAGAGCCTGGTGCCCCAAAACGGACAGTTCAGCCCAGCCATGGAGGGCAGCCACAGCCCTTTTCTAACTGGAAAAGGAGCAAATACATTACAAAGTAAGACAATCTACCTGTGGATATTAAAAACACCCTCCCAGTGGTCTTGTTTTACCGTTCAGTATGTAATTCTTGTCTTTGTTGCAGGTGAGACAGATCAGACCTACTCGTGTCACTCGGCTGAACTGTACGACTCTGACGGACAGAGGCAGTCGTCCTCTTTCTGGCCTGAATATTCCTCTCCTAGCTTCACTGCCCCCCAACCACACCCGCCTGCGGCCTCCTGCCCCTCGAACCACGGCCCTCAGTCCTCAGAGCAGTACTGCCCCCGTGTGGTCAAACGCAAAAGCACACACTCCCAGAGGCCAGACAGAGAGGGGCAGATCATGGGAATGTCGGCTTATCCAGGTTAGAATTTGCTTACTTACAAAAACATATTAAAGTCATAATTATATAATTTTTATAAACGCATGGTGGTCAAGCTAAAGAAAAGGATGTTTCTCTCTCACAGTCCCCTGAACTTAAACATAATTGAACATCTATGGGTAGATCTTAAAAGAGCTATGCATGCAAGATGACCCAAACATATTGCAGAACTAGAAGCCTTTTTTTTAGCCTACAAGTGATGTCTTTACTTCTTTATTTTTGCTCAATTTATGACATAAAACGTAACTATGCATTAATGTATGCCATTAAAGTAAAGTGATGATGTATAACTTGAGTCGGAGAGAAGGAACTTAATAAAATCAAAAGTCTTTGGACAGAATGAAAACCTGTGAAGTCAAGTTCCTCATGCTGATCCAAAAGTTCCACTGCAGACATCTGAAATGATTCATTATTATTACCAGACCTGCACTTCTACAATGTAGTATTTCCATTTGATGCCACTTTATATTTTGACTTGAGTACAGTTCAGAGAGAAATCTACTTTTTACTCCACTACAGAGACTACATCAGATCTGAGTCCTTCTTCAACCGCAGATTATTGCAGGTTTATAAAAGGTTGCCAGTTCCAGTTGCCTTCTGTAACCAAATTAATCAATTTATTTATTCATTCATTCATTCAGGTTCTGGTCCAATCCAGCTGTGGCAGTTTTTACTGGAGTTACTTCTGGACTCTGCCTGCCGAACCTTCATCTGCTGGACGGGAGACGGCTGGGAGTTTAAGATGTCCGACCCCACAGAGGTGAGGAAATATCTTGTTTTGGATTAGGGGTGCATGCTGAATACGACATGGCAGTAGTGGAAAGTACTAAGTACATTTGCTCAGGTGCTATATTTAAGTACAGCTTTGAAAGACATTGCTTAGGTGTTATGTTATGTTATTTAATCTTTCACTGATGGTCTTGTTTGTGTTGGTCATTTAGAGGCTTCAGTTAATTGTAATTGTACATTGCCGTTTTGGTAGTTTTACTAAAATAAAGTGTATTTCTTCCTCTATCGCTACATGGAGGGTTTATTCTGAGGCGTAAACGCAGTTAAGTTTAACTCTTTGTGGTTTTTGTTGATATCACAGGTAGCAAAGCGCTGGGGACAGTGCAAGAACAAACCCAAGATGAACTACGAGAAGTTGAGCCGTGGCCTGCGTTACTACTACCACAAAAACATCATCCACAAGACGGCGGGCAAACGCTACGTCTACCGCTTTGTCTGCGACGTGCAGGGCATGCTGGGAAAGACAGCACAGGAGGTCCTGACCAGTCTGAACGTTTTGCCAACAAACACAGAGTCGTGGCAGTGCTCCGGGGTACCAGCGGCAGCGACATCGGAGCACAGTAGTGAAACATGGGCTTCACAGTAGGGACAAGGTGTGAGGACTCTTGGTGCTGCTGGCTGAGAGTGACCAGCACAGTTTAACGGAGTACTACAGCCAACATGGTGAACACTGCATCCTCAAGCCCTGGCTGAACTACAGTATCCTCATGGGGTGATATTTTAATTTACAAATGGTGTATTTCAGGGGAAAAACTAACTCTCATAAATTCATCATGCAGTCAGTCTTAATATGTAGCTTTTTCTTGAATAGAAGTCTTCCAATACCTGACCTGTAAATACAAAGCTCCTAAACCTCAGAGCTGAATAACTGCTGCACAGGAACTAGCGAGGGGCATTTTAAGCACTCTAAATAGATAACCTTTGCAACATCTGGGGGCATATTTTCATGTGATGTGTTTCTAAGAAGGAATTGATTTGTAAATAGTGTTTATACAATTGTTATGTAGAGTTTTGTGCATTTATATTATTATTTTTTTTAAATACAAAACTCATGTCTACCTCTGTTGTTAATCAGAATGACATAAACTGAGATCATCTTCAGGCACTCACTGTGAAAGTTTCAGCCTATGTGATGATTGTTTTGTGTAAATAAATTTTATATAAACATAGATTTGTGTGAAGAGTCTCACTTCTTATGAGTTGTTCCTACTCAATTTGGATTCTGCCTTTAATTAGGAAAATATTAAAATGTTGTTTTACATAATTTTCATTACCTAAAGTGTTATTATAGGTTTTTTAGTTAATATTTCTTTTAGATATTGTCGCTGTCATATTGAAGTTTTATGTTGGATAATTATATTTAGCATTTGATAAAGAAAATTAATTAGGTGATACATAAGTGTCTCACTAGAAACAGAAAGGTGTACAGTAAAAATAAAATAAAACCAAAAATAATCTTGATTATTAACAAATGTATTATTAACTAAATGATTTCAGTAGATAAGTATTGTGGCCGAGCCAGTGGTAATATTGTATATAATCAAATCAAACTGAGATGATAAGCAATACAATCAATCAGCCTGATGGATTAACACTTATGATACATTTATTATCATTAATTTGGTTATTTTTATGCGTCCTCAAGTGTACTGTTTATCCTTTAATATAATGTAGGCTATACACGGCTACAGACCTGACTTCCCTATCTCATGCTGCCTACATGTGCTACTCGTAAATGTCGACATCAGAGGAAAAAAGATCCAGTTTTTCTGTGTGGAGAATATGGGTAAAAACTGAGCCGATATCTAAATATTTATGGTATGCATAACATTTTATTCTGAAATATTATTTATTATTATTAAAAATAGATTTTTGAAATGTGCTCCCAGACACATTGAGCATTGATTAAAGAGTCTGTGTGTTTTTTCAGGTTTCTCATTGGAGTATATGATTACCTGCATGTTTTTGTCCGTCTGTAAGATATTCAGCTGCAGATAGCGGCACTCAGCTCAAACAACAGCAATTATTATAATACTGCTCTTACTAGAATACACATTTGCACTTGTACTTGCTGTTGCAATTGACATCATGTGATCAGTGTTTCATTTACGACAGGTGGAGGACTATTAAACCAGATTCCTCACTTATTTCTAAAAGAAAAAAAAAATGTTGTATGTATGTATGTATGAAGTAACACACTGTACCCATTCACTGAAGTAACAAAGAGCAGAAACAAGAGAGATGTTTAATATTAACTTTGTAAAGCACATAACAGATAACAGAACAGTAATAACAGAGTTAGTAGAAATTTGTTACATTTATTTTTGGGGGCTTTTTATTGCCTTTGTGATAGTGGCAGCTGAAGAGCGGGTCGGCACGTTTGACGCTAGTTTCCTTATCACGTGACACGGGCCAGCTCAATATGCCCCCAATATTATCTTATGTTACATTCACATCTGTGCGCGCCGAAGCGTAAATACATCCATTTCTGGCCTATTTGCTGTGTTATATAACTTTGTTGGAGGCGGGTGGAGCTCGTAATTTCGACATTTCAAAGACGCATTGAATTCATCATTCATCGAGAGGTGAACTTTGTAGCTCTTCCAGGCGAGGTGAAATAGGGAAATAAGACTAAATTCAAATTCAATTCAAACAATTTCTGATCTTTCACCTGTTTTAGAAAGAAGAAAATGCCCCCCAAAACTATCCGGACGGCTTTAGCGGAAATGCTGGAGGACCTGTCAAAGAAGGACTTGGAGAAGTTCTGCCATCAGCTTCTGGACCGCAGAGAGGAGCCGCGGGTCAGACGCAACAGGGTGGAGGGGAAAAGCTTCTTGGACATCGTGGACGTCCTGGTTTCAACCTTTACTGAGCGTGTAGCTCTCCAAGTGGCTGTGGACATACTGACACAGATTGACTGCAACGAGGCGGCACGGGCACTCGGTGAGATGGCTGTAGGCTATTTCCGCAGTTGATTAGACATTGGACTAATTAGGCCGCAGTATATTATCGTGCTAAGAGTGTTTGTGAACCACATAAGATCATAAGATGTAGTGGCTGACAAGTAAAAACTTATTTTTGTTCAGACACACTGATAAAGTACGGTACCTTTCTATTTTACTTTCAGTTTTGAAGTCCGCCAATATCTGAACCTTTAAGACATTACAGACTTACACTAACAGAGCCTGGCCAATACCAGTCTCATATGTGTCCATTGTAAGGATCCAAACAGGCTTGGGGAGTAACGGATTACATGTACTACTCACTAAGTTATGTAATGAGGATACAAAAAAAGCTGCACTGTAATGCAGTTACAGAAAAAAGACGTAATCAGATTACAGTTACATTTAGTAAAAAAAAAAGGGGGGGGATTATTTAGCAGAATTACAATTTTAAGATGCATCAGTTTTTCTTTAAAAATACACTTAGAGGACAATTTTTTTGTTTTACAGAATACACCTGCATTAATACTTCTTATTGGCATTTTTTTTCTCTTGTTTCATTTGCATATTCCGTATTGAGATCATCCAAAAGTAACGTAAAGTAATCAAGTTACGTCATGTTAATATTGTAAATAAGATTACTGGCACTTACATTTTTTAACAGGTAATTAGTAATTGTATCGGATTACATTTTCTAAAGTAACCCTCCTTATTTCCTGTTTAGGGAACGTTTTATACAATTCTGTCTATTTTATGTATGTTTTATAATTTTTTAACAATCATACATACCATATAGGCTGATTTTTGACTAATTCAGTGTCCCTGGCGCTTGGCCATTGTTCTATTAGACAATTTACATTTACTTTTTTCCACAAAGGTGAATCAAATGCTAAGATATAGGCCTACTGTGTAAGTTTTCTTACACACCTTAAGTTCAAGAAGGCCTCATGACCCCCTGTCAAGCTTTGGCAACCCATAGTGGGGGTCCCGAGCCCCAGGTTGGGAACCACTGCCTTAAACAATGTAGGTTATTTTGATTTAAACATATCACGATTAAAACAGTAGCAGCAGCAACAACTTCTAATTCTACTTAATTATTTGGCATCATTAACACTGATGCTACGATAAAATGAAATTATGTGGCAACACAGCTGTTTATGAATCACAGTATATATATATATATATATATATATATATATATATACAACATATCTCACCTGTCCAGTTGTAATATAAAACCACACCCCAGCTCAGACTAATGTGTAATCAAGAGTAAACTGTGTGCAGGAAATGTGTCAGTGCTTTTCAACATATGTTTCTGTTTTTACAGTCCAGGAGACAACCGGAGGAATGTAGACATCTTGTTTTGACGGTAAGTTGACCTACGGAGAATTGCTTTTCCTGCATGCATTGAAGTTGTTGACATGTAAAGCAATGTGTAAAGTGAAGAGTTGCTCTACAGAATTTCTTTTTTGTATTAAATCTTACAGCTGCAAGGTTGGAGAAAGTACATTGATTGATTATGAACCCTCTCAGAATGTATTTCACTGGCTGTTGACTATTACTTTCCTCATAAATAATACATATATCAAAAGCTTCCCTCTAAATTTACATATTCTCTGGCATCAAAGTAATTCTTCTTCATAACTCTTGTCAAAACTCTGAGTCATTAGTCATTAAACTGGTGCTGATAATGTGCAATACGTCAATTAAGTGCAATACCCAGGTCAACGTGCAATTCACTTAATTATTATGTCATTCTTCGTAATTCACAATCTTAAAACTCATTACTATTTATTTAATTTCTGTCAGCAATACTGTGGAATATGTTTGCACTTATGTTTAGATTTACATGTACTTTGTTTATTATCTTATTATCTCTTAGGCTCGTATTATATTTATATTTTCCATTTTATTTTTACTATATGTATATACCGATACATTCATTTCTATTCTGCATATTGTGTTAGATATTGTATATAAGTACTATTCTTTAATTATCCCCCCATCATTAAAGTATTTCTGATTCTGAAATTAGTATTAATGTAATATAACTGTTAATTTTGTCACATTAAAACTATAATCCTTCAGATTTTCATGAAATCAGACATGTTGATGCTATTTATGCTCTGTATTTTTCTGCAACTGCCATTTTATGTATTTACATTCAGTAATTACCTCTCTGGAGTTCTTTCCTTGTTCGTTGTGGGGTCCACCATTTCCGCGCTGGATTCAAATAGCCTTTGTATGCACAAGTGATTCATAAGAACTATACAGCATGTAATCCATCCTGTCCGTGTTACAATTTCAGCGGTTCAATTATCGGTTTTGACATCGTTAATGTTTCAAAAAGCAAGAATTTTAGATAAAGAAAATTGCTGTTTAACCTTTTGCAATAAAAGCTTAAAAAACAATCAATGTCATTCTTTCTCCTCAGGGAAACACTCGATGGATCGCCACACGTGTGCTCTCACTCAGGAAGAGAACATTGTTGCACCATATTGGATCAACTGTCCAGCCAGAATATTGTCATACAAGATTGTGTACAGAAATCAATCTGAAAGACGTTAAAGTTGTGTATTTTGTCATAATATCATCAATAATCACAATAAAAAGTCTTTCTTCGGTCGCTTTTACTGTGTGCCTTAACAGGTCTTTGATAAGTGAATATTTATTAATACCAGTCTTGGCAGGTATTTTAAACAATACACAGGTATTGTATATTTCCACATTACATTTGTACGTTTTATTGACTTTCAACTGTATCCAGGCTAGAATGAGGCCCTGACACATAAATCTGTTTGAACTGTTGTTCATTTTTACATAATATTTTCCGTGGAAGAGGCCTGGTTCGCAAATTCCCATAGAACATGTACCTGTTCATACGTTAAGCAATAAGACATCATTTACAGTGTAAGAATTGTAATAAAAAAGGTCAGTCTCATTTATATATCTCAAAATCCCAAATTTGCTGCTGAATTTAAGATGTTTTGATACAAACAATTTGAGTGTTAAACATCATCTTTTTTTTAAAAAACGTTCACACAATAGAAGCTTATTGAATTGGTTTGGGTGGAGTTCAGCTACATAAATTAATGCTACCAGTACCCGTTCCTTAGACCCCTGATTCAGTCACTAATGGGACAGATGGGTGAATCATGTCCTCTTCCAGTTGTATTTAGGCTTCTTCCGTATGGGCCTGGAGGGGAGGCAGAGGAAACTTGAGTGAGCCAGGACATCCAAGGCATCAGAGAAAAAAAAACACAAAGCATTTTCCCACCACCAGATTATCTCCAAGGGACACTTTTAAAAGGGGCACTCAACTGATTGGACACATTCACTCAAGTGTACTCGTAATGAGCAGTACTTTAAAAAACAGTATACTGTCTACTGTGGCTGTGGAGCTGTAAAGTCTGAGAAAACTATAACCATTATAATGTGAGGTTTTTTTTGCATTTGCATTAGTGCATTTGGTCCCCCATCATTTACACTGAAGGGAGATTAGGAAGGGAGCTTTTAATGGCTGGTATTAACTCATAAGAGCCAGCAAAACCTGTTCATAGGAGCACCTAACTAATGGAAAAACCTTTTTATCTACCTTCTCTTCTACCTTCTCTCAGTTGCTGAGTAAAAGTGTTTCTCAGCAGCTTTGTGAATAGCTCTTAAGAGAAAACTCTTATTTGCTACCTTGAAGCACCATTTAGGAGGATTCCCACTGGTAAAATGTGGCCCCTGGTGTAAAGATGATTTAACATTGGAATGGTTTAATTTTTGATTCATTCATTCATTCAGTAAATTGATGGAGTGCCCCTTTAAAAGAAGAAAATAGTGGATAAATCTGGATCAGTATCTTGAAATAAAGGTGCTATTTGGGGAATTTAGAAGAAAAGACAAAAGGCCAAAGCAATTCAAGAGACATGTATTTATAATAAAATGTGCAGGACAAAGGGGTCTTCAACAACATACACTGTACTACATACAGGAATATTAGTCATTGAGACAGCGCAACTGAACTTTTTCCAAACCCAATACATACCATGAGACACTGGTGGGCTGACCTCTGGTGCTTTGGACCTGTTTCCTTTTGATCGGTCTCTTTCCAATCCAATCCAATCCACTTTATTTATATAGCACGAATTTAACAAACACAAGGTTTCCAAAGTGCTGCACAAAAAGATATACAGAATAAATAAATAACACAATCGAAGATACACAATAAAAGATAAAAGCAATAAAATAAAATAAAATAAAATAAGTAAAATAAATAACAGAAATAAATAAAAAGCACTGCCCACACAAGATAAAAATATGCATGTGTACACATAGAATCAACGCTCTACATGGCATCAAAAGCCGAAGAGAAGAGGTGGGTTTTAAGAAGAGTTTTAAAATGAGACAGAGAGGTGGCCTGTCTAATGTGCAGCGGCAATCCATTCCAAAGTTTTGGAGCTGCAACGGCAAACGCTCGTTCCCCTCTGAGCTTAAGCCTAGCTTTAGGCACTGTCAGGAGCAGCTGGTCAGCTGACCTGAGAGAACGGCTGGGAGTGTAGGGGTGCAGCAGCTCAGAGAGGTAAGAAGGGGCAAGGCCATTCAAAGCTTTAAAAGCAAATAAAAGAATTTTAAAATGAATCCTAAAATGGATGGGCAACCAGTGGAGTGAAGCTAAAATAGGTGAAATGTGCTCATACTTGCGTGTGCCAGTTAAAAGACGTGCAGCAGCATTTTGTACCAGTTGAAGACGAGAAATGGAGGACCCACTAACCCCATATAAAGTGCATTACAGTAATCCAGCCGAGTGGTCACAAAGGCGTGGATTACTGTCTCAAAGTGCTGTCTCTGAAGGACTGATTTGATTTTTGCCAGCTGCCTTAACTGGAAAAAGCTAGACTTTACCACAGCTTTAATTTGGCTGTCAAATTTAAGGTCTGTGTCAACTTTTACCCCAAGATTTTTTGCAATTGGTTTGCGATATTGCGCTAAAGAACCCAGATCAACTGGGGGGTCACAGAAGTGCCACCAAAGACCATTACTTCTGTCTTTTTTCATTAAAATTCAGAAAATTCAAAGACATCCAAGTTTTAAGGTCGTGTAAGCACTTTAGCAGTGGGTCAACAGAGTAGGATTCTGATTTTTTGAGGGGGATATAGATCTGGCTGTCATCCGCATAACAGTGAAAAGAAATGCCATGTTTCCTGAGAATGGAACCAAGTGGGAGTAGATAAAGAGAAAATAAAAGAGGGCCAAGCACAGAGCCCTGTGGGACCCCACATGAGAGAGGAGCAGTGGAGGACACAGAGTCATCAAGGCTGACACAGAAAGTCCGATGTGACAGGTAGGACCTGAACCATTCCAGTGCTGAGCCACTGATGCCCACCCACTGCTCCAAACGAGCGATCAGGATTTCATGATCCACTGTATCAAATGCTGCAGTCAAATCTAAAAGTACAAGGACAACACAGTGTCCAGAGTCAGTAGCTAAAAAGATATCATTAAAAACTCTTAAAAGCGCTGATTCTGTGCTGTGCAATGTTTTAAAACCGGATTGGAAAGTCTCAAGAATATTGTGTTCATTTAAAAAGTCCATGAGCTGGGAATAAACAATCTTCTCTAAGATTTTAGAGAAGAAAGGCAATTTGGATATAGGCCTGAAATTTGCCAAAACATTAGGATCCAGCCCAGGTTTTTTTAATGAAGGCTGCACAACTGCATGTTTAAGATTTACAGGGACTACTCCAGAGGACAGACTGCTATTAATAACTGTGAGACATGATGGCCCAATAGTGGGAAAAACCTCCTTGAATAACCGGGCGGGACAGTATCATTCGGAGACCCTGAGGGCTTCAAATGACCCACAATCTCATGCACAAACAGCAGGGTCACAGGTTCAAAGGTGTCAAACACAGCAGAGCAGGGGACAAACACTGAAGGATCAGAAGCAGGAGGTGAAATAAGTGCTCTGGTAGAAGTGACTTTATCAATGAAGTAGTGAAGAAAGTTCTCACACACAGCGGGGGAGGCCTCAATTCCAGTCTGTGGAGCATTCAGCGCAGAGTTGATAACTTTAAACAACACACGAGGGTTACGACAGTTTAAAAGAACAATATCAGAAAAATATTTTCTTTTAGCCTCTTTCACAGTCGATTGGTAAAAACGCCAACAATCCCTCAGTAATTGAAAAGATATTTGCAATTTGTCCTTTTTCCACTTTCGCTCAGCTCTTCGACAATCCTGTCTGACAGTGCGGGTTGTTTCATTCAGCCAAGGCTCTGATTTAGCTTTCTGCTGCCTGGTCTTTAATGGAGCCGCAATGTCTATGGCAGTTTGACAGGTGTCGAGAAACCATGAGTTAAGAGCCTCTGTATCCTCACACAGAGACTGGGGAAAGACGCAGTTCTGACTGAAGACTGCGGAGAAGTGAGCAGCAGTGGAAGGGTTAATAACTCGACATCTGCGAGCAGCAGCGCGAGGTTTAACTGTGTGACAGCGAACAGCAGCTTCAAAAAGTACAGGCATATGATCCGAGAAAAAAGCGTCACAGACCTCCAGGTTAAGAACAGGCAAACCAGAAGATAAAACAAGATCAAGTGTGTGACCACGTTCATGTGTAGGCCCAAGTACAGACTGCACGAGATTAAAAGAGTCAATAATGTTTAAAAAGTCTCGCGCCAAAGGGTTTTCAGGGCAACACACATGAATATTAAAATCTCCAACAATAAGGACCCGGTCATATTTGGGCATAATATCTGCCAAGAACACAGAAAAGTCTGTTAAAAAGTCTCTGTTGTATTTGGGAGGCCGGTAAACCACAGCACACAGCACCGTGTGAGAAAGCCCCAGCTCAAACAAACTGAGTTCAAAGCTGGTGAAGGAGGATGACAGCGATAACTGTTTACATTTAACATTTTCCAGGAGCTGTGCCCCAATGTTTGTCACGATGCAAAACGTATGCAACAGCGACCTCCATTTTGGACCCTGGGTTGCAGGTTGACTTCATGGTCCGGAGGAAGTCAACATAGCTGTGAAGAGAAGGGTAGAGTAGTGGTCTTTAATATCTGCTGGCTTACTTACACCAAGCTTCACCACAATTCACTTATGCATGCTATTATACCTGACTTTTCTCGGCTCCTTTGACTCGTACAGATCCTGCAGTTTCTCCGAGGGGTATTTACCAAAGCCAGCAAGAGCCTTTCCCTCTTCGGCTTTCTCATACGCACGTTTAAATCTGACTTCTTCCAAAACCTCAGGGTAATGACTCACGTATCGAGTCAAGGAATCCTTCAAATAAGAAAAAAAATTATTATTATTTGAGCTCTTTCTACAGGATTCATATTTGATTCCATTATATTTAAATACTCTGGTGCATGGTACCTGGGAATGGATTAACTGGAGTGCATACAACCAAAGCTGTTTTCTTGAAGAAATATATATATATAATAAGATGGACAGGGGTGTGTGGTTTAAGTCTAGAAATACTATTTATTGCCATTTGTGAAAAAAATCCTGAATAACTGAGCTGACTCCGTGTAGTGACCTGTACTCCAATTGGGTACAGGTGCAGGATAAAAACCAGTAAACTAAGACATGTGTGTGTAATAGTTTTTTTCCAGATCAATAACAGGAGACTTTTTGCATCATCTTTTCTTTGCAGTACCTTGTTGGCCATTAATGGGTCCTGACGCATTGTTCCTTTTCCCTCTCGCTCCTTCTGGTGGTCAGCCACCAGATATACAGCGTAGCCCACATCATTCTCCAGCAGCCATTTGAAGGTTTTACCTTTGTACTGACCAAACTGAATCATAAACCTGCTCAGAACAAGCCAGTCATTACAAAGGTCCCCGCCTTCAGAGCGAACAAGAGCCTTTGCTTCAGCCTCCACCTCCTGAGGGCTTTTTGCCATCACAGGTTGAGCAGCTTGTAAAGGCCCGCGGACAACCACATGGTTCCGAGCCTCCTGTGAGGGCCTTGTCTCCAACTCCCCGTTGGAAGTCCTAGGTAAGGTAGGGTCACCTTTCTAAAGAAGAAGAACAGACATAAAACCAATAGAAAACCCCAATATGAGTATCATTTCTAACAGCCAGCCATATGTTTAAAAGAATTTTAGAATTTCATTGTGTGAAGTTGAACTTACATCCACACAGGCTTTGGTTCTTGATTCTGTAGAGAAAGATAATAGGATGGTGAAAGGGCGATATAAGAAGAAACTGTAATAGAATAATAAAATAAATAAAAACTACTGCCCTGGTGTGGTGACTCACAGGAGCCTCCTCAGTTACATAAATACAGTGGAGACATTTAACTTTTAAGTTTTCTAACTATTTTGAAGTGTAATCTTGAGTATTAATTTTCATTCATTCAGTATTATCGAGCCTATTTATGTAGTAGGTAGTTAAGTATATATTAACGTAGGCTACTCATTGGATTATTTGCTATTTGATACTTATTCATTTCCCACTTCCTCACGTCTTTAAAAGTACAGTAAAGTGAAAATAACTCCGCCTTCAGAAATACTGACAGATGCTACTGAGTCTAATAAAACATTGATGACTCTAAACATTCATCAACCAGACTTCAGATCATTTATCTGCAGCTGCCACGCCACAAGTAAATATTGATATACGTCATTGTTTGCGATTTCAAACAATCAGCATACATTTGTGCCATCCTTTACAGTCTCCATGCCTTCCTATGGCCACCCTGTGAATATTTCTCTAGATCCGCCCCTGAGGGAAGAAACATATATGTTGTATTTATAGCTAAGTGGATGATTTGTAATGGTGAGCATTTTACTTTGACTCACCATGAGCCCTGTGGTATGCTTATGATCATCTATTTGGAGAGCAGCAGCAAAATAAATGAATGTGCACATTTGAGGAAAAGACATTTTTTCATCAAAGGTCATGTGATTCATTCATTTTCCATAGGGCTGCAGGATGTGGTAAAAACATTATATTGCGATTATAAGATTCATGATTAGTGTGGGAATAAATATTTTTGAATCACAAATTTGATTTTCAATTAAAAAAAAACCAAACATGATTAAAATCATGATGATGGACATTTTTGGTATCAAACAAACATATTTTCTTATATCTGGAGACCAGGAAACCTCTGCAGCACTACAATACTCCATTTTCCTACTGCACTCGGCCATATTGCGATTTTGATAATATTTTAAATAACTGTGCAGGTCTATACTTTACATGCATCTGCTATAGGCTTTAACAGAACTAGCACCAAACAATATCATGATAAAAACATTGGTATTAAGATGTACTGACACTTCCCTCGCAGTGTAGTAGTAACTAGTACAGTTACATTGTGGATACACAGACATGCCTCCTGCAGGAAGCCTGACGGTCTCTATTGGACATTTTATGATGAAACTCAGTCATCAGCGTTTACTCACCCAGTGCCTTTGCTTCCTCGTTGCAGTTGATCTGCTTCAGTATATCCAGGGTCACTTGCAGAGCTGTGTGCTCGGTGAAAGTTGAAACCAAAAGGTCCGCCACCTCCAGGATAGTTTTACCGTCCACAGCTCTGCGTCTGACCCGCGGCTCTTCCCTGCGGTCCCGCAGCCGGTGACAAAACGTATCCAAGTCAGTCTGAGTCAGATCGTCCAGCGACTTCACTATTTCCCATTTAATTGTTGTAACCATTTCTCATCACATACAGCGTCGTCTACTTAGACAGGCTAGACCATTCACTGTGTATATATAACGTATGTATATATGTGGACTAGAAGGCTATGCGCAATACGTCTTGTTTTGGTGTATGGCGCGAACTGTGCTTAAATTTCGTGCCTGAACCCTCTTCTTCAACCATGAGATATAAAGTGCATACCGCCACCTACTGTACCGGAGTATGAAGCATGAGTTATGGTTACATAGGACTACTTTACATCATAATAAACACTGTACAACAGCTTTCTGCCTAAAACTTCTTCAGACTATTTCTGCCCTACAGGTCATTTGTTGAACAGCATGGGATTACTTAAATCCTTATATAGAGTTCCCCCCCCAAAGAGGTGATTTTCTATCATGTAGTACACATATTATATTCAGTGCATAACAATACCAGTACTGTACACCTGATCAACTGTACAATGAACCCAAATAGAGAGTGCCATAACTGCAGGAGGTTTGTGTAAAATGAGCGATTTGGATGAATTTTGAGCAGATAATGTCCTGTGAATATTACATAAGAGATTAGTTTTCCTGATATTTTTAGGACATTTTAACAATTCTCTTTTTTCATCATGTGTTCAACAATCGTACGTACTATCTAAGCAAAAATCCATTTAGTTTTCTTCACATAAATAAATGTATTGACCATTTTTTTTATATTTAACTACGTTTTGTACGTTGTGGCAACATGCAAAAGTCTCACCACGCTTGGGATCTTAATGCTTTTACCAAAGTGAGACATCTCTGGATTGTATTTAACAAAGACACTATAGGATCATCCTATTATTCTGTGTTATATTCATTTATAATAAAATAAAAGGAAGATAGACAATCGCCTCTCAAACGGGACCCGGTTCTGATGGTTTACTAGTCTGCTCGTTCACTGCCATGGAAGGCCTGTGAAGCTTATATGTCTACATGTTGACGCAGTGTGTCAGCAGTTAGGATTTAAAGAGTTTGGAGGGATGTGTCTGTTTTCCTTTCCATGAGCTGCCTCCTGCAGGTGAAGTCTGGAGAGCTTGTCCTGTAGCAGAGCCGGGGATGATGGTATTAAAAACAGAGCTGAAAGCCACAAACAGGATCCTTATTGTGTTATTGTCAGTTATATTTGTTCCTTGTTTTGTGTTATGCATCAATATACCAAGGCAAATTTCTGGAATGTGAAATCCTTCAGACTGAACTTATAGACAACACAGCAGTGTTGCCAGATTTGATTAAAGTTGCCAAATCAGAGCCTTAAACCCCCATACTCATCATAAAAGTAGTCCTTTTTAATTTTACCTTCTTTTTTTTGAAAGAACAAAGCCACAATGAAAAGGTAATATAAAATGTAAACCATAGCCTGCTGTTGTTTACATAGTGTTTCATTAAACTCTTTTACTTTTTTTCTGAACAAAATGAACCAAACACTGATATGGAGGAAGATTTTGGGCCAATAATATATAATAAATATAATATAATATGAATACAAATATGAAACAAAACTTAAACAGTATTACTATGCTAATCTCCAGTACCACTAAATGATCATGTTTTACAGTGCTGTAAAGCACTTATTCTACAGCATAAATAATTAAATAGCCTACAGTAATTCTACAGGAGCATACTGCTAAATTACAGTAATATGCTGGCATAACTACTGATGATGCCGTAACTTACTGTCAAAGTTATCTACCCAGTTACCAGTAATTTACTGTGAATGTACGGTCAAAAATGGAGAATTGTGTTTTAAGTAATACTGAAATAAAAAGCAGAAGAGGGCAGTTATGCAGTTACTTCTCGAGAACACAAGAAAACGCCACACAGTGCATCGTCAGGTCAAATTTGTGCAAACTGTGTATAAAAGCAATAGTGAATGCAGGAACACATATTGTGTGGATAGTGTAATAAGTTACTTTCAGACCTTCGTGCAGTGGAGTCTGGCAGGGCTGTTTTTCCAACTTAGTGTCATTCCAGTCTTACAGGTTTTACAGTTTCTGGGAGCAGGTTGACAGATGAACCTGACAATGATCAGATTATTACAGTGTAGTCGTGGTTGTTGTTTCATGTTATTGTGGTGCTCTGTGGGTTGGATACATCAGCATTAAAAAAAAGTCACTTCCACGTTTTCGGAGATTTGATTTGAGATTAAATAAGACAGTAGTCAGACACCCTCTCTTGAGCTTCATCTCTTTATCTCCAGTGGGAAATAATTATTGAAGATTAGGTTCTGTTTTTGTTCCAGCAGCAACACCAGTCCAAAAACAACTGCCTCTTTTATAAAAGACAAGGCGTGCCAAGTCCTGTGCACCTTTCCTCCATACATCCTAATCAACTTGACACTGACTGCACTTGAATGAGCCACTTGCCTCCTCCCATAAATTACCAGGCAAATGACTTCAGATACGCCCCTGCTGTCATCTTCTGACCAAAACTAGATATAGACATATAACAGTAACTGGAGTGGAAACTTTATTTAGAAACCATTTCTAAATGGGACATTGGTTGTAGTTTTGCATCTTTTTCAGTTTAGGTTGTGACTCATATACAGGAGGCCGGTCTTTTCCCTGCCCAGGTCAGAGTCCCATTATGCAACCATGCAGCTGACCTACCTACCTACACACACACACACACATGTTTGTATCTATACATAAAATTAATCGCAATTTTATCGAAATTGCAATATAGCCAAGTACAATATGCAAATCGCAGAAGCTGCATTTATTTTTTTTTATTTTACAAATGTAAAATATGTGACAAAACAGCATTTTAATGACATATTGTATTTCTGGAGAGATGCCTTGTTTTTACAAATGTTGTGCTCCAGATTTAAGAAAATATGTTTGTTTGCTAATGACCCCAAGAAACATTTCACATCATCATGATTTTTTTTTCAGAGAAAATTAAATTTGTAATAGTAAAAATGGTCATTCCCTAAATCATATCGCAATCGCAGTGTAGCAAGATTTCCGACAGCATAGCAAGATTTCCGACAGGATTTGAATGCACCTTTTTGCAAGTTTTTTCATCATCTTCCCCTTCCTTCTCTGGCGGCTGGAGCAGTTGTGTGTTTCCGAGAGAAAGAAGTGATCTCTGGGGGTTGACTTAAAGGGCTTTTGACATCTACGACTTTGGGGCATCTCTTGGTGAAAAATGCCTCCCAAAACCATAAAAAGACTTTTAGCAGACACGCTGGAGGACCTATCAGTCGAAGACTTAGACAAATTCCGCCACCAGCTTGTGGACCGCAGGGAAGAGCCGAGGGTCCGGCGGGGAAAGGTGCAGGGTAAAAACTACTTGGATATCACAGACGTCCTGGTTTCTACCTTTACCGAGACCGGTGCTGTTGCAGTGGCCGTGGAGTTATTGAAACAGATCGACTGCCACGAAGACGCAAGAAGACTCGGTAAATTACGGCACCAGGTTTTAATGGCCACTTTATACACGGTTTACACAACATTTAAAGTATGCTTGCAGATAAACTCGTAATAATAGACCAATAGACTATTTGTATTTATTTTTTAGTACCTTCAAGTACCTTGTAAGTCAAAGCGAAAACATTTGTACGAGCCCGCTTCCCTTTTACTTTCACTTTCGAGCACACTTTGGACTACTGCCCATTATACATCTTGTTCCTATATGCCTATTTGTTTCATTTATTATACTGTAGGCCTACACACAGAGACCCTATTGCTGTAAGAATAAAAGCAAAATCGTCCTTTTTATGTAGTTTATGAATACAAATCCCGTGCATCCGTGTTAGAGCACGACCGAAAAGGTTTTTTGAGACAGCTACCGATTTTAGAGAGGGAAAAATCACCAATTACTATACAGTCGTACTCAGAAGGCTTTCTTTAAAATCATGTTAAATAAACTCCCATAGCATACAGGAAGAGCTCTTTCAATGGCCTGAATGAACAGCCAATCACAGTATGTCTGCCAGGTGGGACTTTAACTCTTAGTTGTCATGGTGTGCCTCATTCCTTACAACATCACACTAATTAGGTTACATGTCACCGAGTGCTACCACTGCTGTTCTCCACTCTAACACTGCGTCTTCCTGTTTTTGCAGGTGAAGAAACAGCTGAGTATTTGCCAAAACCTGGTTCCTGTCATAGTGAGTTGTTTTAGCCTTCTTCTTTTTTTTTAAAACACAAGACATCACAGATTAGCTGTTGTAGAAAATAGGTTGCATTGATTTTAGAATTTCCCATTGTCCTCCTGTACTCTTGAAGGTGTCATACAGTATTTTTGTAGCGTTACAGCACAATGTCAAATCTGAGTTTTATTAATTGACTCATTCTTTAAACATATTTTACAAGAGTAATCCACCAAGGGCAGAATCTGAGAGTCTGTTATTTTTAAGAAATCCCATGAAAAGAAAACCAACAGTGAATCTATTCTTCTAACAAGTATTGCCTGTGTGGTTACAGCCTAGTATTAGTTATTCCTCTGTGCCATTGAGCTCCATTCTTGTATAGAAATTATTAAACATAATTCACCCTGCTCAACTGTACAACCAACACCATTGTGCTACCTTCAAGTACTCACTGGTACTTTTATAGTTGCTTGTTAGTTTCTTTTAAAAAGGAAACTATATATTTGATTTAGACTCCAGTAGGAACAAATGGACTTCAGGCTGAATGCCACAGACAGGCTGGGGAACTTGTAAAGTATTGAGAGACAGACTGACACATTGTTGGTTTTGATATTTTTGTTTTGTTGACAATAACAAAGAAATAAAATATAACCATAAGTCTGTACCTATTTTAGTGATAGATTTTCATAATGAAAGAAAGCATTTTGTTTGCTGTGTTCATGGGAGAAACAGTAATATGCATAAACACTAAGACAATTCATTGTACAGCTATTTTAATTTTCCATAAATTTGTTTCAGCTACAGGACCTTCAGCTGGAGGAGCTGGTGTAAGCAACATGGCAGATGGTAGGTGCAATGGTAGTATGATGTCTTGTACAACAAGAAAAAATAAATTAAAATTTAGTCCTAGTTGTGAATATTCTCATGTGCAGTCCAATGGTCACTGTCTGTACGCTGGCTGTCATCAATCTACAGCTGCTGTAAAACAGCGTTCACGTTCAAGTGTCATGGCTAAAAAAGTACCACCTGGAAGCTGCTAGTTGTCACATTTGCTGAACAAAACTCAAGAGAAGCAGTACAATTAGAGAGTATTTCCATCTGTGCTGAGCTTTGTGCTAAAGGATTTAAACGCCTGTCCCCAATAAAGGCAGGGGGAGTTCACGCCTGGGCTATTATTAGAAGTTTTCTGGTAGTTGCACTATAGAAATCACTGTTGCAGAATCTTAATGCATGTACTGTTTTTAATAATTGATGAGTTTCAGTCATTTACACTTTGAATATAAAAGGTAGCCTTTTCAAAAGAAATGTCTCAAGTTCAGTCAAATCATCAATCAGTCATTGTAGAGTAATTTTTTCCCTCTTTCCTCAGGCGTGCACTTTGTGGATAAACATCGAGTCGATCTGATCAACAGAGCGAGCAACATTTCACCTATTCTGGACGAGCTCCTCTACAGGAAAGTCATCTCGGCAGAGATTTATGATACAATTAGGGCTCTGCGTACCACTCAGGAGAAGATGAGGGCACTCCTCTCTGGTCCCCTGAAAGCCAGCACAGCCTGCAAAGATGTCTTCTACAAAGTCCTTGAGGAAAATGAGCCATATCTTATTGATGACCTCAAGAAAAAGTAAATGTTGTGAAATCCATATTGTGACCAAACATACAGTCTACCTGAACACAACATGTTTTAATACAGTTATTGCTTTGTTTTTGTTTTTTCTAAAAATAGTTTTTGATTATTGGCTTTCGTTTATCAGAGATTCGTCAGCTCTTAAATTAGTTTAAATGTGTACTATGGTGTGTAGTGCCTTCGCTGCCCTGATCTGTGAGGCTCATGTAATTGTTTAATTTTTTAAAACCAGATTTATCAAACAATCCTGTAAGAAGTGAATGATCTCACCAGACATGTAATGTTTTTATCCAACAAATAACAAATGGAATGAGAGCCTTTTTTTTTAACCCTATTGTCTTATGTAAACTAAAACAGAAGAATCCAAATGATTATCCATCATGTAAATGCTCAAATTTGTTTGTGCTTGTTTTATGACGTTAATTCTCTCCAAGAAAAATATACATTTATATTGAGGGGTCTTTCAAAAATGTTTTCTATTTTGAAATTTCTAATAAAATCTTTTTTGTGGTTCTTAATGTTTGAGTGAATGAAGTGTCTTAAAAATAGTATATGAAGCAATTATTATAATGTAATAGAGTTTAGAAATCACGTACGGGTTTTTGCACACTGATCTTAACGTTTATTTGTGTCTGCAATTGTTCAGAAGGATTCAAGTCCTTACTGATATGATGTTGAGGTTGATATTGTCGGTAAGGAAGTTAAAGATGTAAATCTATATGAAGGCTGCAGGTGTGATGGTGTTATTTTCTATTTTAAGAAATATAATCACATCTACAGCGTCTGTCAGAAAGGAGACAGTTTAATATATATTCTCATTTGAGTTTCATGTACGAGTTAAACCTGTTGTGTGTGCTATTCCCCTTTGAAGGGAGGAAGGGATAAAAGACACAATCCACAATAACCACATGTGATCTTGAACCAATCCCTCCATCCTAACCACTGCGCCCAGATCTTGTGGAAATACTGATAATTTTCAACCAAATTATTACTTAATCTGACACAGAGCTTTTCATTTTGTTCAAAACAAGCAGATTTTACTTAATCACACCCAAAATGAAACAGTAGTTCCTTTAACCTTAATGCTCCATCCAATGCTGTAAAGCCTAAATATATTTTATAATTTATGTATTTATTGATGTACTAGATATTCACAGTTATCTTGCAGTGTGTATAACCTGTACAGGGACTTTGTGCAGTGTAATGGGCGTTGGTCTGAGCAGTAAAGAGGGAGGTATCTGACTGTAGACTGGATTTTAAACTTCTCTGGTTTCCAATCTTCAAAGATACTGAAACTGACTAACTGACGAGAGAAGAGATATTCACGGTAAGTTTCCGCTTCCAGCGTGAAGACTTCACATTAATACCGGACAGCAGAGAACTGCTTCACGGTTAAAACTCGTTTAATAACAACGATGAACTATTTCTGCAATTATTAAACATAAGTGGGCGATTTCAGCTCTAAAAACTGAAGCTACTAGTTAAAACGGTAGTAAGTCATAACTTTCAGTTTCATAACTCCCTCTTCCTCTTCATCAGAATCTGCTCTATTGAGGTACAATCGTAGAAAAATATGTAGGCTGTAACTAATGATATAAACCAAACTAAAGTTAATGAAGTAGCACTTTGTTAACATTTGTATGCCTGAAAGAGGTCGCTAACCAAAGTACTTTATTTGATCATTTGGTGCTCATAGTTTCTGTAAAATTAAAGATTGAATTGTGGAGAATCTAACCAATATAAAGGTGCACTGAAAAAACTGACTTTTTGGTAGGCTATAGTAACATATTAAATTAACAGTCAGTTCAGTGAAGATTCAGAACTAGAATTTCTTAACTAAATATTTGAATTGTATTCATGTAAAAGATGAACTGGGTAAGAATAGTTAGCCTACTTTTATTAAAGATTTACTCATGCTATTTTAAATGATTAATCGTTACTGCACATAAACCTGAAAACACTGAGTAACATTTAATCTAAAAGTAGCGTGTGTTTGAATCTGCACATGCGCATTTGGACGGACGGGATACCCTTTACTTTCAGCTAATCAGCACAAAGGTAAACAAACGAGCCAGAGAGGACGGTTAACGTGAAGATCCACGTAGACGCTGCATGCTCGGGTTACCTCAGGTACAACGTCAATGTAAGTTTTAGATTTTCTGTTTTGCATTTGTGATAATATATATATAGATACACCGCGTGCATTTTGATAGTTTGGTTCTTGTTTGCTTGATGCTATATTTACTTTAATTGTTATTGTTTTAATCTGGGTTATTTCTGTACAGTAAGGTTTAACTTTTAGATAGCTAAAGCTACTATATTAGGAAAAAATCGCGTCAAAATGTGGAGGAAAGCTACATTTATTTCAGTGGCTAAGTTAAGTTATTTTAAAAGCACAAAAATGAATGTAAAACATACTGGCTTTGTCTGTGTGTATGCTGACTGTGAAAAAAACGGCGACCTTACTGAATACAACACAGCAAGTAAATTAGATACATGTTACCTTGTGCTTCTCACATATATCAGAATCATCAGAGTAAAGTAGAATTGAAAGTCTGAACTCACACTTGGTACCATATGCCCCTTCACACTCCATCTTTCTACACATGCTATGTGTACTTGAATTATTGCTCCTTCCTTGCAAATGCATGCTCTCATTTGACAATTCGTTGTGTATGAATAATGGTTCAGTATTAACACAATATTAATCTGCTCACAGAACCAAAGCATCGGGATGAGACGTGAAGCTGTTACTCTACCTTGGTGAGAAAGAAGAGGAACTTTTTGAAGATTGCCTGGTAAAGCATGATTTTTAATTTTTCTGTAAATGTTTTCTGTAATGACAAGGATTAAAATTTTAATGTGTTATCATTCAAGTGCAAGCTAAAGTAAGTGAGAAAGTCAGACTACAGTGTGGATATATCCTGTTCAGCAATGGCCCAAATGGTATATTGAAGTATAGATATAATATATTATATCTGGAAGAACTAACTAGCCTACATGGATATTTTTCAGTGATTCAAATTAAGTAGCCTTCAATCACAAAAGTTTAAAGTCACAGGTCTTTTCTGGTACTGTTAAGGTGCAGAGGCAAACAATTTATGTTGACATTGTAATGATTACATTCGAGTAACATTTATTTGGGGGGTAAAATCTCTGCAGCCATCTTGTGTCTGTGTTAGCTAATATTGGCTCACTATAAAATAGATTTGACTAAATTTAACATAATCTGAGCTCTCCTTAATGATGTTCGTTTTTAGCATCTTCATCCTGCCCAGATAATGAAGTCACTTTTTGTTTCTCAATAGAATTGTCTTCATTTTTTTGTATGCAGGAGGACACCCGCAGTGATGCCACTCAGCACATCAGCAAGATCCTGGTCGTCCATGGTGTTGATGGAGAGCACCAAGTGGATGCTAAAGCTTGCACACTGCTAATGGGGCTCATTTATGCCCTCAACCTTTTTCACCCCCTGACACTACACTTTTGAGGTGTTTCAGAAACTTTTCCTGGAACTGGGTGGGATTAAGCTGTCTCCAAAAGTACAAGCCTTAAAGTTAAAGCTGCTGTCTTAAATTCTATACAGTTCAACTTGTCCTTGGTCCACTATTTGTGGGAAGTTGACCGTCTTGAATGTTTACCATTTTGACTACGGCACCTGTTCTTCCTGTCATTGATGTTTATTACAGATGAAGGGTAATGAAAAAGTTAATGTTTTATTCTTTATATTAACCTTAAGCTGTTGATCAAAATGTTTTAATGCCTAGTTTTAATGGCATACTTAAAGTGCACTAGTCCAGAGTTCTGGTTTGAATGTTACAGTTGCACTGTTGTAAGGTTTTAACTGAATATTTAAAAAAGCACCTTATTTTTGTCATGTGATATGGCCTTTTATTTTTTGATTTAAGTAACTGAGTGTTTAGTTCAGGCTCAATTAGTTCAAAATATTACTTTTTTACTACCACACACTGCTTTGTGCCTTTATAGTGGATCAATGGTGTGCATAAGAAGCTAATTAGAGTGCTATCTACTTGTACTGCACTGCACTGTAGCTTATATTTGACACAATGTTTCTGACACATTGCTTTGTGGAACTGCTTTAAATTATTTATTGAACATTTCTAGCCTGACAATGTATGTGTATGGAGTATACCTGTATAATATTTTGTTTACCTGTTAAATGTTTACGACACAAGAGAGTTATACATAAAGTCTGAAGTCTAAATTTTTCCTACATTTTTTACAGCTGCTTGATCGTCAGCGGCAGCGACTGATTAAACTGATTATTAAAATGGCCAGTGACGACTGGTGGTGATTTTGGGTGGGTGGGCTAACAAATGCATTACAGTCACGTCACACAGCAACAACAGTAGCATCACATCACGTTACAGCAACAACATTGTATACTTTGTTAAAGCAAGGGCTCTACGGCAACACTGGGGAGACATACCCGAAAGAATGACCTGATGCCAAAAAATCTCTCTCTCTCTCTCTCTCTCTCTCTCTCTCTCTCTCTCTCTCTGTCTCTCTCCTCTTTCCACATCAGCACATGCCAATTGCACTACAACAACATAATAGAAAAGTACCAGCAGCAATTTGCAACACCATGTACCAAAAATAAATCTACAAAACCAAAGCAAGAATAACAGTATTTGTAGAGGAGAGAGTTGTTTGAGAGCTTGGGCATACCTTATTTAAAAAGCAGCTCACATCGATGGCCTTTCTGTGATGCAAACAGGTTAATCGCCACGTCATTAAAGTCTGCTGATTTTGGGATGAAGTCTGGCTCATGGACAGCATAGCCAGTGTGTTTAGCCTGTCCTGTCCAATTGTACTTCTAAGAAAGGATCCTCTTCAGTGTACTGAAACACCTCTCTGACTCTGCAGATGTCATGGGGGTTGTGGTGGCTATTTGCGTTACTTTCAGTGTTTCAGAAAAAGTGCTCTGTAGATTGTTCTCAGTCACCATCCTCAAAAGTGACATTGCGGACGTTAGGTCAGCAAACTCCACACTGCTGTAAATCACCATCAGCTCACCTTTCAGTTACTCCCTGCAGTTCATTGGGTAATGTTCACATGTAATGTCCAGCTGCTTCTGCGGGAAAGTGTTCTTAAACAGCGGAAAGAGTTCAGGGTCAATAAGTTCCTCCTACCTTCCACCATTATTAATGGCAGATTAAGTGTTACTGAGTTCTGGTAATGTAAACACAGAATCTGACTGCAAAACCTATTATCACGGCTGTCATTTATTTTGAGCCAATCCTGAGTGAACCCTTCTGATGCCTTTAAGTACGGCTATAAAACAGTCCATAACAGTGTAATTATTACTTGTTTCACTGAGGTTGGCTAAAATAAATGCCAGGCTGTTTAAGGTTGTTTATTTTAGCCTGTAAAAAAAATTTAAATTAACGATTAAATTAACTATATTTAATTTGCATCTCCAGTAGGAACAAATGGACTTGAGGCTGAATGCCACAGACAGGCTGGGAATTCAGAAAGTATTGAGAGACAGACTGACACATTGTTGGTGTGGGTCTTTTTGTTTTGTTGACGATAACACAAAATTAAAATATAACAGTTTGATCCTTTAAAGTCTCTTCCTAAACTGGAACCAAATGAAGGCAATTTGAAAATATATTACCTGTGTGTATGGAAAAATATTTATGTGCATAAACACTACATTGAGACCAATCCATTGTTGAGCAGTTTTAATTTTCCCTAAATTTGTTTCAGCTGCAGGACCCTCAGCTGGAGCAGCTGGTGTAAACACCATGGAAGACAGTAGGTGCAATGCTAGTATGACATCCTCTCTGTACATGTCCTCATGTTTGTGTGTTATTTTATCCCCATTAGCTAAACAGCACTTAAGTACTAAGATGTCTTTTCTCATTTATTTTCCCCTCAGAAAAACAGCAGCCTTCACTGACCCAGAGAGTGAGTATATCACATCACACTGACTTTACACAGTGCAGCTTTTTATCAGTAGATGAATAACTGATGATACAATATTTTTAATTTTTAAGTTTTAGACAAAGAGAATAAATCTATTAAAGAAATATTAAGAAATTAATTAATTTGCTTCTTTTTTATATTAGACGGAAGATAGAACCAGTTAAACAGATAAACTGTTGTAAAGCCATGAACACAAAAATTTAATTGGACAAATATTATTAATTGTATCATTTCCTTGTGCAATAGGGCTGATGTACTCTTACCAGATCCATATTTATAAAACACAATGATGATAACATAAAAATCTTTAATCTTCCTTGCTGAGAAATTTTACATTTTCCCCATGAACATTTTCTTTGAATTTAACAGGTGAAAACGATGGCGTCTGTGATAGAGCTGCTTTTGGAAACACTGAAAGATTTGAGTTCCGAGGAGTTTGAGGAGTTCCCGAGCAAGTTGCATCTATTTAAATTCTCCAGACCTCGCTTATTTGCGAGAACAGACTCCCAATTAACGATGCAGGAAATACCAGACCTGCAGGACACAGTGTTTTCAATGGTGCAGACTTTTGGCCAGAAGTCTGTGGAGAAGACCAAGAAAGTTTTAAAGAAGATGAAGAGGACCGACCTGGTGCAGAGGTTGTCTGACAGCAGCTCAGGAAACAAAAGAAGGACAAGAACTAAAAGTAAAAAAATAAGTTTATGTCTTCTTTTCTTTACATGATAAATAATAGGATTTATAATATGGAGAAAAGAATACACATCATCTGGTGTACAAATATATACTTTATTGCTAATGTGAAATAGTACAATAGTATAATGCAGTATTGCCTGATGTCACTCATTCTCTTTCCTTTATTTTCTTTCTTTCTCTTCAGAAAAACACTCAGTGGATGAACACCTGTCTGCACTGATCCACAAAGTGAGTAATGTCATATCGGTCTGACCAAGCAGAGTACAGCTTTTAGTCAATATTATATTCAAGATTCAGGGTTAAACTCATATCACCATTAATGCTGATACGTGAAGATAAATTAAATCAATTTCTCTGAAACTGAGATGAGGTTGAGCTCAATAATGTTATTATTTTCATCAAGTCATTGTCATAGTGAAACAATTTTTCAAAGAATTTATCAAAATACAAAACATGGCATTGAGAAATTCATTTAATTGTGCTGACACCTGTTTCTACAGGTCTCATGTCAGAATCTGAATGTAAATGCATTTGTATGTAAAATGTTAAGATCAGGTGGGTCAGTTTTGTGTTTGGAAACACACTGAAAGAGTTACAGGCTCGAATTTAAAAACACCCATTAATCAGGTTACAGATATTAAAGTGTAGAAGGAAATAAGATTCATCCTCTGTCCTAACAAACAGATAATTACTTAATGTATCAGTAGTTTAGGTGATCTTGTTGAAAAGGTTTTTAGTGAACAAATAACATATATACTTGGAATTTTTCAGGTTGCAACAATGGCGTCTGTTAAAGAGCTTCTTTTAGAGACACTCAGTGATTTGAGTTCTGAAGAATTTAAGTCCTTCAAGTGGCTGCTGCAGTTCACGTTGTTCAAGAGGAACCTTCCACAACTCTCATGGGAACAACTGAAGTGCGCAGGCAGGGTAAACCTACTGGTGAATATGATGGTGAAGAAATATGGTCAACAGTCTGTGGAGGTGACGAAGGAAGTTTTCATGGACATGAACAGGATGGATCTGGTGCAGAGGCTGTCAGAGACCAGCTCAGGATTCAAAGGTAAGATAAAGAAGAACTGTCACATTAATGTATGATAAAAGACTATACATTTTTTATCTTTGGGGCAAGATATTTAGTGTAGCTTATAGTATAAAGCAACACAACAACACTATATAGGACTGCCATGACAGAAAAATAGAGAGAATCAACAATCTCTCAAACACAACAACAACTTACTCAGATTATGACTTTTAAAGAAACAACGTGGTTACCTTTTTCTTAAAAAAAGCATATTTTTCTATCTTGGGCCACATGTTCATGTTGGGTTTTTGGTCCATTGAATTTGTGCATTTTGAGCTCATTATTACCAGTCCTTTACTATATATGACCAATAGGAATTTGGCTAATGTGAATCTATTGAATTGTGTTTTTGTGGAGCTTTAATTTGACTTAAACTACGTTCTAGTATAGAGACAGATAGACCTCCACCTGAAAGACCTGAAATTGAAATATTAATACATTATTCTCAGGACTAAATAGTGTACTCAGGACAAGGACACATAAAGTTTACACACAGTTTATTTATCATTATAACTAAAATTTGTATTAAATGTGTTGCAGCTGCAGGATCATCGACTAAGGCATTTGATGTGTACACCACAGAGAGAGGTAGGAGCCATTTACAAAAAATAAAGACAAAATAAAAACTAATCAATAAGTTTCCTACAGTTATTTTAATTAACATTTCAGTATATGAACCATTAACAGAGTCTAACAGCGAATAGGATCCATCAGGTTGGTTATTGATTTTTACTATTAAGTAGTATTTTTTTTTTTTTTTGTTAATTTTGCAATGAATCTCTAATATTAGAATTCTTATAGTCTGGCTGTCTGATTGAATAAATCATTCATGAGTTCTTTTATATTTCCTTTGTCCTCAGAGAAACACTCTGTGGATGAACATTGGCCAGCACTGACCCAGAAAGTGAGTGATGTCACATCTGTCGGACTTTAAACTCAGACTGAAACAATTAATAGATCAGTTAATTCACAGAAAATAAATCTGCTGCTCTTTTGATGATTGATCTGATTGGAAATCTGTAATAGTCCTAGCTGAGATATTGCACTTTGAACATTTTCTCTGAATTTACCAGGTGGAAATGATGGCGTCTATGATAGAGCTGCTTTTGGAAACATTGAAAGATTTGAGTTACGGGAAGTTCAAGGAGTTCAAACTGGTCCTGAGGCAAATTCACTTTCCTTCATTTAAGAAATGGGGGGTGCTGGAGACAATGGGCCTGCAGGACACAGTGTTTTTATTGGTGCAGACTTTTGGCCAACGGTCTGTGGAGACGACTAAGGAGATTTTAAAGAAGATGAAGAGGACTGACCTGGACCAGAAGTTGTCTGAGAGCAGCTCTGGATCCAAAAGTAAGACAAAAAACCTTAAAATCATGAAACTGGTGCAGAACATGATTCTTATAAGAAATGTGTTTTTCTCTTTATGGTAATACAATTTATAATATATGCACTCATGTATTCATGTACAATACATGTTTTATTAATAACATGAACTATGAAAAATATTGTGAGAGGAGCTTATATACTGAACAGGTTTTGGGTTAGCCTTCACTCTCTACCTGCATCAATGAGCCTTGGCCGGTTCAGCGCTTTTTCTTCCTCAGACCACTTTTGATGGTACTGACCACTGCAGACCGGGAACACCTTACAAGAGCTGCAGTTTTACGAGGTGCTCTGACCCAGTCGTCTTAGAATTTGGCCCTTTTCAGAGTCCCTAAAATCCTCACACTGCCCATTTTTCTGCTTATAACTGATCAGCTTTGAGGACAAAATGTTCACTTTCTAAAATATTCCACTCATAATCAGTGTTATTCACTTCACCTGTCAGTGCTCATAATGTTATGGCTGATTGGTGTATGTCACTGTTATGGAGATTTAAGTGTGATTTTTTGTATTGTACAATATTGCCTGATAACAATGTTTATTGTCAGATGTTAGATCAGTTGCTTATGAGTGACTTTTACCCCTTTTCTCCTCAGAGAAACCCTCTACAGATGAACAACGCTCTGCACTGATCCAGAAAGTGAGTAACATCTGTCTGACTTTATACAACACAGCTTTCATTCAACAGCTGCAGGTTAAAAAATATTATATTATTATATTGAACTTATTTTTAAAATAATGATTGACCCAAACCCATGACTTACTTCTTTATATATTTATTTTTCATAGAACTGAAGCTGCATTGAGTTATTTTGCATTAATTGTATCTAATAATAATAATAATAATGATATTTATAATAATAGTTTCTTTTAGTCACTGTGACTCATTTTAGTGTTTGTGAAAAGAGTTGTAGTCTGTAAATAAGAGAAAAGTAACCACATTCTATCAACTGATGGGACAAGGACAGTTTCTTCAAAAATGAATAGTAATAATAATAATAATAATAATAATAATAATAATGACAATAATGTGTCCTTGCCGCAGCCGTCTGGTTTTAATTTCAACCTGTGGCCATCATCCCTTCTCTCTCTCTGTTCCCTCCTTTCTTATCTATCACCACATTTCCTTATCAAATAAAGGTATAAACAAATAAAAATAAATTAAGCAAACATACTAAAAAAGTGAACACACTGCAATCAATACAGCAGCAGTTGTCAAATGAATCAATACCTTTTGTGATTTAGTAGAAAACCCCACAGCTATACTAACTCATACTTGATGAGATGTAAAGATACACATTTGCAATTGTCCCAATGAATAAAATAAATTTTTATATATTTTTATAAATAAAATGTATTTATTATTTCAGGTTGCAACAAAAGCAGCTGTTAAACAACTGCTTTTGGAAACCCTGAAGGATTTGAGTAACAAGGAGCTCCAAGAATTAAAGAGGCGCCTGAAGATTATTTTCTCCCAGAAGGACCTCCAAATGGGTTTGAGAGACACAGCAGACAGAGCAGAAATAGTGGATCTGATGGTGGAAACCTACAGCCAGCAGTCTGTGGAGTTAACCAGGGAGATTTTCATGGACCTGAGCAGGGCTGATCTGGTTCAGAGGCTGTCAAAGCCCAGCTCAGGACTCGAAGGTAAGAGAAAGAGGACATAAATCTGTTACATTACGTAGTCACAGTTTTAATCATGAATGACTAATAAATATAATATGATTCATGCTGCTTCTGTCCAAACTCTGTGTCCTCAGGTGATAATGTCTGCTGTTTTGCAGTGAATTAGTTTTATTTTGTTTTGTTTTAAAATATCTGAGCCTTATTAAAGTGGATTATACTCTCTATGTGTGATTAGATTATAATCCTCTGAGTATGTTTACATTTTCTTTTCTCTTCAGAGAAACCCTCTGTGGATGATCATCGACCTGCACTGCTGGAGAGAGTGAGTCTGACTTTACACATCACAGCTTTCATCATTCAGAAGATACAGGTTATATATAGAGGGTGGAGGGGTAAAGAGACAAGGAAAGAGACAGAGACAAAGGTGCACAACAACAACATTATAACATTATGACCACCTGGGCACCCTGGTGGTCATAATGTTATGCTGCCCCATACGCAACAAACTGTGATGTGTGTTCTGACACCTTTCTATCAGAACCAGCATTAACTTTTTCAACAATTTGAGCTACAGTAGCTCGTCTGTTGGAACAGACCACACAACATCAATGAGCCTTGGCCAATCATGACCCTGTCTCCGGTTCACTGCTTTTCTCTTTTGATGGTACTGACCACTGCAGACTGGGAACACCCCACATGAGCTGCAGTTTTGGAGATGCTCTGATCCAGTCATCTAGCCATCACAATTGGTCCCTTGTCAAAACTTTGAGAACAAAATGTTTACTTGCTGCCCTAATATATCCCACCCACTGACAGGTGCCATGACAACCAGATAATCAGTGTTATTCACACTGTCAGTGGTCATAATGTTATGGCTGATCATTGTGTATGTATATACATACTAATATCTATATCTAAGTATCACAATATTAAAGTAACACAACCTGATTACAGTTGCCTTTTTTATTATCCTCATTACAAAACTCACTTACATGTAATCTGTTACTCTCCCAAGCCTGATTAGTAGTAGTAGACTTTTTAGTCTTTTTTATTACTTACGAAATAAATCGAAGACATAAATCTTTAACTATCGCAGTCAAGAAATTACACAATTGCTTAACATGTCCTTTGAATTTTTCAGGTATCAGCGAGGGCAGCTGTAAGAAAGCTTCTTTTTGAGACACTCAATGGTTTGAGTTTTAAAGAGCTTGAGAAATTTAAGTTTTTGCTGCAGTTCACGTACTTCCAAAAGAGCCTCCCACAAATCTCAAAGAGTCAAATGAAGAGGACACACAGTGCAGAACAACTAGTGGATCTGATGGTGGAGAACCTGGTGGAGAACCAGCAGTATGTGGAGGTGACCAAGGAGGTTTTCATGGAAATGAACAGGACTGATCTGGTGCAGAGGCTGTCAGAGACCAGCTCAGTACTCAAAGGTCAGAGAACAAAACAAAAACTGACACATTACACAATAATGTGTGTCTCATGAATATATTTTATAATTCATAGTAAAAACATCTGCTTGGGTTCAAACTTTGTAGAACTAGAAATATTTTAAAAAAACACCACATTCATTACTTTGACTACAGAAATCAATCAATAGAGCAGCCTGTTTGATTTTCACCTGAGCTTTATTTAGGTGGAACAAAATGTTAGTACAGTTTACGGCAGCGTTTCACTGGTGGGCCCCAGTGCGCCATCCAGTGGGCTTTAAAATGTTTTTGGATCATTTATAAAACTAGTTATTGTTATATCTATATCTAGATAGACAATAGGCAAGAATTGAAATACATAATTTCAATGACCAGTGACATTAATAACAGAAGTTATCTCAGGACACTTTCCAAATAGAGCAGGTGTAGACCGAACTCCTTACCTAACATATACCTAACAGAGACCCAACAGTAACACCATGAGCAAGCACTTGGCGATGGGGACAAGGAAAAACTGCCTGTTAAGAGGCAGAAACCTAGGACAGATCCTTCAGCTCTGGGTGGGTGGTCGTCTGCCTTGACCAGTTGGGGTGAGAGAGAGAGAGAGTGAGAGAGAGAGAGAGAGAGAGAAGTGAGAGAGAGAGAGAGAGAGAGAGAGAGAGAGAGACAGACAGGTACACAGCAACAACAGTAGCAACAACTACACTACTAGTAGTGACTGATGATGATGAACATGAAGAATTAGAATATCACCACACAACCACGACACATGATCAGGTAGAGATGAACATGTTTTGCCACTGATAGCTAACTAATGCTCCCTTTAATTCAGTGACACAAAATGGATTGGTTTATGCAATGAAAAAGTCATGTGAGAGACAACCGTGCTGCAGTAAAAGCTCCGAAGCGTGTGGTGAGGAAATATGAAATGATGATATAAATTTGGATTTATGGCAGGCAGTGATGCTGAGCAGAAAGCACTGTGTGTTGAATGTGGGTCAGAAGTGGGCCTTAAGTTACAAAATGTAGAGAACCCATGGTTTACATTATATTGCATCATAGCCGAATACTGAGACACTGAATATTATAATATATTATAATAATTTCCCCCTGGGATTATTAAAGTATTTCTGATTATATAATTTAATTTGACAGCATTGTTAATGATACATTTTGACTCAGTTTGAACATTATATTTTTTTACAAAGGTAGTAGTGATAGTAGGGCTTTTGTATTTCAGTCCTTCAGATTTAATAGGTGTAATTGATATGGTGTCCTCTGTCTCTCTCATAGTTTTACATGATGTCAGAAACAAGTAGATTTTGTCATATTATGTTTATTCAAAAGCAACTTAATCTGACTAAAGTTGTTTATAGTTTGATTTTGAATCAGTCCTGAGTCAGTTTCTATTTTCTTTCTCCTCAGAGAAACATCAGTCTGAACCACCCCAGAAAGTGAGTAATTACACACTTTACACAACAGCATTTAATAGTTTAATAATGAAAGGTTGAAAATGGCAGTCATCTAAACAACGGGGAACCCTATAGCCAACCTAGGCCTCCTGAGTCTTTACTGCAGTTGCCATGGGTTCAACTCTGACCTGTGGCCCTCTGCTGCATCTCAAACTGCCTGAATAAATGCAAAAACAAAAATAGAAGCGATAAAAGCATGTGATCAGGTGGCTCATTCCTGCTTTTGATAGCACAGTGTCAGGGAGTAGAGCAAATTTAATAAAAGCACAATTACTAGTAACCAGTTTATAGAAATGAATTAAATGAATTATACTGTGTTGTGATGATCTTAAAATCTAATTTTATAAATGAAGTTGTTATAATACTCTCACGACTTAAATGTTTACATTAATGTAAGGAAATGATTGTTTCATCATTACAGAGACATTAGAGATATTACATAAATGCCCTCTGATCACTTTGAATCCATCAGGAAGTAACCATAACATCACTTTTTGAGAAGCTTTTGGAAACACTGGAAGATTTAAGTTCTGGGGATCTCGAGCAATTCAGGCATGTCCTGCAATACATGAAAATGAAGGAAGGTCTCCCAAGAATCCCAAGACACCAAATGGAGATGGCAGGCAGAGCTGAAATAGTGGAGCTAATGGTGAAGACCTACGGCCAGCAGTCTGTGGAGGTAACCAGGGAGGCTTTAAATAAACTGAACAGAACTGATCTGGTGCAGACGTTGTCAGACATCAGCTCAGGATCCAAAGGTAAGCTGTGGGAAAAAACTATATAGGAATATCAAAAATTTGGTATGCAGAAAGTGGTCTGAATTTTTCCTCACTCTAGACCAATCACTGTTTTAGTCGTGCTAGTTGCTCTATGGATCACAATGTCAGTGTGTCTGTTCATCACTTTGGTCCGGACTGAAATATCTTAACAACTACTGGATGGATAGCCATTCAATTTCATACAGACATTGATGGTCTCCAGAGAATAAATCCTACAGTCTGTGATGATCCCTGGATGTTTCCTCTACCTACACAAGTAGGTCAGATAGATGATCAGGACATTTGGTACACCCATACGGGATGCTCAGAGGATTAAACAGTAATCAAACATTTCATCTGGGGCATCCATCAGGTCATGTAGTATGTCCAATTTCTGAGTCTCTAATACAGACACACACAAATAAAAAGTCAGGATCAACACAGCATCTTCTATCACTACTATGGAGAAATCTGATTACTGATCTTCTGCATCTGTACACGGCTTTACTGTAACTAGATTGCTACAGTCAGTGCATGTAAACATGTTCTGTTTACCTGAGAACACTGGTTACTCAAGTGCATTAAAACGCACTGTATATAGCAGGACTGCAACATCGACGACCATTACTTTACCTTTTTTAATTTGTATTACTTTATATGTAATAATACTACCTACTGTTACATATTAGAGCAGAACTTTGCAGCACAAATGGAAAGTTACCATATAATTTTCTGTGTCAACATACTGTAGCATAATTTTTTTACAATCCCATGTGTCTTCAGAAGGGCCTTCAAGAAGCTTGGTGCTTAAGGGTGGTGGCAGCAGTATGGTAATTTCTCATATTCATTTATTTTTGTCATTCATGTATTTGTTCATTTATATGATCATGCAAAAAGACATTTCTACACTTTTGCAAAACTAATTGTCCTCTGCAGCAGGACTCCAGTGACTGGACTAAACTTGAACCTGAAGTGAACAGTACAGATGCTGATGAGGCTCCAGCTTACAGGTAAAAATAACATCCTGAATACTGCGTCACAGCAAACTGGAACTATAGGAAAAAGTTGAGGTTGGTTCTTTTCACAGAAGGAAAACAAAATCTCTCTCTGTGCCATTACAAATCCATTATGACTATTATGATGGCAATACATTTTGCACCAAATTAACTGAAGGAACATGGTCTCAAAATGGACATTATTCCATTGTGCCCTCTAAAACAGTATTTTTTTTGTATAAACAAACAACAAATTTACCTGTTTTCTTTTCCACGATTTAGCCTACAGACTGAAGCAGGAAAGTTTGAATGCAGTGTCTCTGGATTGCGCTGGTTCTGTAAGGAGAAGGTCAACTTTAAGTACCAGTTTTGCTCTTGGGAGGAACACATAGAGAGGATGGAAAGCATCCAATACATGCCTGCAGGTCCCCTAATTGACATCACAGTCAGGTCTGGAAAGTTGGATGAAGTGTACCTGCCACACTGGATCTGCATAGGTAAGTGGACATGAAGACTTGTATAAAAACAGATACAATCCCTTTCTCCTCACTAATTGTGTGCTTGTATTTTGTGCAGATGACAACCCTAAAATATCCAACAAGTTTGCAGTCTTACACATCAATGACTGTGGAGATGAAGTGGAAAAAGTGTCCGAGGTTACACAATCTCATGTCAAGTTATCTGAACCAGTTTTTTCTCCAAGAGCGGTCCTGATGAAAGCCGGCATTCCTGTGAAAGTAAACTGTAATGTGCTAATATACAAGACCAACACAGCATTCCTGACACTCCATGTTTATCTGATCCCACGGGATCCTGGTCTACAACAGGTTATTGAATATCTTATTGCAACAGCAGTTATTATAAAATATAGACTAGCACTTCAAATATATGGATAAACACTCAATGTCTCCAACTCTAATCCCATTTCTTCTCTCCAGGCAATGGACAAGAGGGAATTGTCCTATGGATACAAAGTAATCCGAAAGCCACACCCAGAGAAGTCCCTGAAAATGCGCGATCGTTTCATCTTAACTGCAGATTTGGATGGTGCAGAAATTTATCCTGAAGTATGGTTTGAACTGCTTTTAAATCTGTGGAGTGAACTGTGGTTCAGAAATGACTTATATACTGATACCAACTTTACTTTCAAGTACGAGTCTCATGCAGAGGTCTCTGAAACAGTCTAGTTAAATCACATTTTCTTCAAACATTAGGGGAAGGGTTCAAGGCCTGTAAAAACCACCCTCCCATTACATATACACAAACTCTGTCGCACTATAGGTAACTATTGTTATTTCTGTGTGTTTGACATGCAGCTGTCAAAGCCTCATAGCAGCTGAGGTTCTTTAAGGATAGGTTTTTTTCAAGCATGCCTTAAACAATAATAACATGATCTAAGTGTTCATCCAGTCCATCCATACTGGCCACAGAGAGAGGTCCTGCTTAATTTCAGTGTAACTGGAGGACAAAATCCACGATTTTCTTTCTGTGCAGAACGGAAGCACAGTTTGTAAAAGTTCAGCCAAAGCAGATAATATTCATCTTTTTGTCCCTGTTCATGTCTCTGATTTAAATAACAATACCTCTTAATTTTAAAACGTGAATTGTTGCAGTTGAAAAATTCTGGTGCTCAAAGTCTAACTTTCCTCTCATTCCCTTTATTATTATTTAATTTCTTTCACAGGAACTAAAGCTCAGATATGAAAGCAGAACCCCAAATTTCTACGAAGTGTTCATTGAAAATCCAGACAGAAACTTTGCGCTCAAGCTCGCAGAAAGAAATGGTCAACAAGCAGTATGGACCTGTGCAATTCGAAAAGGTCAGTTACCACAAGAATGTATCTACACTGCCTGTGTACCACTTTAATTTTATTGAGTTAAATATCCATCATTAGAGAATAACATGTCTATTGTTATTTTTTTCAGACGAATACCAAAGTACTCCTCATAAACAAGGTAAGACATTTCAAATATTTGGAAGAATTTGACTTTGGTCCGCTCTGCTGTCAGCCAGTATCAAGACAGACACACCTAAAAGAGTCAGGACCAACACAACATCTTCTATCTACAGTGCATGTAAACATGTTTTCTGAGTGTGTGTGGTAACATTTTTTTTTCTTTTTACTAAACTGATGCCAGAACTAATTATTTTCCACCCCCTCTGCCCTCAGGGGAGCACTTTGTGGATAAACACCAGTGTGATCTGATTAAGAGAGTGAGCAATATTGGACCAATCTTGGATAATCTCCTGAAAGAACAAATAATTCAACGAGAAGATTATGATACAATCAGGGCTATCCCAACCACTCAGGAGAAGATGAGGACACTCTATAGTGGTCCCCTTAATGCTGGTGGACATGCATGCAAAGACATCTTCTACAAAATCCTTGAGGAGGACGAGTCATTTCTTGTTGCTGATCTGAAGAGGACGGAGTGATAAACACTGCGACCATTGGATAAATTGGCAGTAGTGGTAGAATGAATGAAGAGGGAGGGAGCCATGATGGCTAGAACAAAGCAGTTAATTGTAATAATGAAGAAGAATTTCGTTTTCCACTTGGAAGCTGCGATACAAGTCAAAGCAGAAAGTCAAGTGTGATTTATTTCCAACTGTAAATTAAGTTTATAACTTTGCACCAGGCTGTACATACAGAACAGAAAGAGTGTATTTAGAGTATTATAGTCACTTTTTAAAAATACATTTTTGTTTCTGATTTTGCACAAATATAATTGTGACTATATATATATATATATATATATATATATATATATATATATATATATATATATATATATTTTATTTATTTATTTATTTATTTTTTTACATTTTTAAATATAGATTTTTTTACATTTTGTCTTTTTTATATAGCATTTGTTTCTTTAAAATCAGGGCTCTGCCTTCTTCTCAGCAAAGAAGAAGGGCACTCTACCCTGGTGTCCTGAAGGCTGGCACAGCATACAAAGACATCTTAAATCAAGCTTATTGATCAAGCATTTAGACCAAACACACAGTCCTACCTGAACAAAAGATATTTTTATAATAGAGAACTATTAATGTTTTATCTCTGTGGGTGTTTTCTAATGAATGTTATTTGATGCTCTATGTTTAATCAGAGCTGCTGACCTTAATTTGACTCTTAATTTAATTGAAATGTGCCTTCCCTGCCCTGATTAGTGAGGCTCATGTGTTGGAGGATCTATTGTCAGAAATGGAATATAATATTCATGCCTTTCGTGTTTCCTGTGAGTTTTGCAGCCACCACAGTTTCTCCTACACATCACATAAATTAGTCCTTAATTGATCAAATGCAAACATGTTTGATTATGAATGGTTATCCATAATTTTTGTGTTTACATTTTGTTTATGCCAAATGTGTTATTTTCTTGTTTTCATCACTTTTAATCTAATAAGAATATATATTTTTCAAGGGTCATTCAACATATTTTATACTTTGAAATGTAGAATAAAATCTTCTGCTTGTTATGTGTGGTTCTTGCATTTGGGCTGAATTTGAGTTTAGAAATCATGTGTATGCTCATCTTTTCCCTATAAAAGGGCTAAAACATACTCCAGTAACCACATGGGGCTCATTTCACCTGACACAGAGCTTTTCAGAGTTTGTTGAAAACAAGCAGGTGACAAAGAGTTTAATTAATTATAGCCAAAGTAGTGATACCACTGCCTGGATTCATTGATTTCAAGGGAAATCTGAAATGAATTAAGTTGCAGACATTAAGAATAATGACACAGAAATAACCCGTCTTCTTGCTGTTGGTCTTGTGTGCTTATGTAGGTCATATAGAGGCATCACTATTACCTCATACAGACAACAAAAAATATAGACATTGTAGTCAGAGTACACAACAAATAAATAAGACCTGGAATGATCACATCTAAAGTGTAAAATAGGATTGATGCTGGACCTTCTGAGTCACTGAGGCATCACTAGTCGCTCACTGAATGAGTTTCTGAGTGTTTAAAAACAATTTTAGCTCTCTTTCTGTTTTCTATCGTGGCCAATCACTGAGCCAGCCCTTCTGATCATCTTAGTTTTTAATCCTCTGCAGAGCACATTATAAAAGGGGACACTATATTCCCTGATAGAAAACATGAACAAGCTTGTTGTTAATATTAAAGGAGCTCATCTTCATCAAGAAGAATATTAACTGAGGCTTCTTGGATGCAACCTCAGTATTCTTCATACAGTTTAATTTACTGTCGAGGTAGACGTAAAGATATGTGTAAAATTGGACGATCTTTATCTGCTGCCCTTGATTGTCACAGGCAAGAGCTTTTCCTTCTTCCTTTTGAAATTAAAGATCAGAACATATCAGTTCAAATTAAATTTAAAAAGTTTATAATAAATATTGCGGATGCTTGGTGTAATATGCAGTTTGTGAAATAAAAATCATCACATTATGTTTTAATTCAAGGCCATATATAGAACAATTATCTTGTAGTGTGTATAACCTGTACAGGGACTTTGTGCAGTGTAATGGGCGTTGGTCTGAGCAGTAAAGAGGGAGGTATCTGACTGTAGACTGAACACTGCCTCAGACTAAAGGAAACTAGTTTATCTTCGGATTCAGAGGAACGAGTCAAAGGTAGAAATGTGGCTGGATTTTAAACTTCTCGGGTTTCCAATCTTCAAAGATACTGAAACTGACTAACTGACGAGAGAGAGAGAGAGAGAGAGAGAGACACACACACACACACACACACACACACACACACACACACACCAGGTGAGTTTCCGCTTCCAGCGTGAACACTTCACGTTGATACCGGACAACAGAGCACTGCTGAACCGTTTCTGCAATTATTGAACGTAAGTGGACGAATCAAGCTGTTTATAAAACGGTAGTAAACCATGACATTTGCCTTTTTTCCATACTACTTCCTCTTCATAGCAGTCACTAGTGATACATTATAGTTGAGTGGGGAAACGCTTGACTTGTAAAAGAGGTCGCTTGCTTACTGCTGGTTTCCACACAACAATTAAAACTGAATATAGGACCACGATAGCTAGACGTCAGGATACATGAAGAGATACAGTGTATTTGTCATGATGCTCGTTCATAAGATAGTAAATCAGTAGTTGAGTTGTGAGTTGAAGTACTGCAAGTAAACAATGGGAAGACGTCACTTTGGGCTTTATTAAGCAACAGGGCTGCACGATATGGTAAAAACATTATATTACGGTTTCTTTGACAGATATTGGGACATGATGCACAGTTAGTGTGGGATTTAATTTTTGCATCACGAATTATAATATTACTGAAAATATGTTTTCTTAGACCTGGAGAACAATATTTGTAGTTCAGGGTATCTATTCAGGGTACTACAGTACTTCCATATAACGCTATATATTTATATATTTTACCTTTATCAAAATATTTCATCTTCTGCAATTTGCACACTGCACTTGGCCATATTGCAATTTTGATCATATTCTTATTAATTGTGCAGCCCTACTAAACATTTAAAACATTTAATTGATCAATACCTTATTTTATCACATAATGCTTTTTACATTTTGTGGTATTATTTACTTTATTATTTATTATATTTTGTGATAAAAGGTGTGCATCAGACGCTCATGATAAAATACAATAAAATCTCCACTCCAAACTTATATTGACGCAGCTTCTTTACAGGGACGTGTTCAGACTTTTTAACTGGGGTGGCACAAGCGGGACACTGATTTAAGCAGGGGTGGGATGAAGAATGTGTGTCAGCTTTCCCTTCATTTCCAATTTCTGCAATTGTCTTGCGTCAATGAAAAGCAAGAGATAAGTTTCCAATCATGGAAAGAAATAATACATTTCACTATAATTGCATTGTACACTAAACTTAAAATTAGAAGATATCAGTAGATCACAAACATCTATCCTGCATGTACTGTATGACATGTCCTTTTAATTTTCCAGGTAGAAACAATGTCGGCTAAGAAGATGCTTTTTGAAACATTGAGTGATTTGAGTTCTGAGGAACTTAAAGAATTCAAGTCACTCATTGAAGTGGATAGAGGTTTCCCACCTTTCTCAAGACCCCGACTCAAGGTGGCAAACACAGAGATCCTAGTGGAGCTGATGGTGGAGACGTACAGGCAAACGTGCATGGAGACGACCAAAAACATTTTGAAGAAGATGAACAGGACTGATCTGGCACAGAGATTGTTAGACATCATTCCAGGAACCAAAGGTAAGGCAAAGAAAACACAAATATATATAAATATACAAATTTCTTCATCAGGGAGTCAAACAAATCTCATAGAACTAAAGGCCCCTTTGTAGTGGTATTCCACCAATAGGAATCTTCCACTTGGCTTGTGGCCTAAAAAAGGTTGTGGTGACACTCCAGCAGATGGCACTGTTTTTCCCAATATGCCTCAAAACTGAGTTACAGAACATCATGAACTTATTTATGCTTCAGTGTTTAATAACCTGTAGTTTGCAGATCCAAAAAGCTTCCTGCTGGTTAAGTTTCCTTAGCCAACTTGTCGTATAGGAGATGGGATGCGGTCAGTGTCAAAAGCTTGTTATTTGGATGGCATCCTTTGTATTATAAACCTTCATAAAGCCTGATGATCACTCACTAAGATGTCTTCTTTAATTTATTTTCCCTCAGACAAACAGCGGCCTTCACTGACCCAGAGAGTGAGTATGTCACATCACACTGACTCAACACAATGCAGCTTTTATTCAGTAGATGAAGATTGAAAATCATCTTCATCTTAAACATTATAATTGATGATATATTTAATATATATTAAATTATATATTAATATATCAGATCCTCGGATATATCCCTTGTTCTTAAGTCAAGTCATTAGCTTGTTTATGAAAATAAAAAACTTGCACAAGAGTAAATAACCCTGATGTTACTACAGAAGCCGTTTGTAAAATAGAAATTTTCTCTGAATTGACCAGGTGGAAACAATGATGTCTGATATAGAGCTGCTTTTGGAAACACTGAGAGATTTGAGTGACAGGGAGTTTGAGGAGTTCAAGAAGATCCTGAGGCAAATTCACTCCGAAAGACGTTACTCAAACATCCCATGGACACAGCTGGAGATAACAGACATGCAGGACACAGTGTTTTTAATGGTGCAGTCTGACGGCCAAAAGTCTGTGGAGACAGCAAATGAAGTTTTAAAGAAAATGGAGAGGACTGATCTGATCCAGAGGTTGTCTGACAGCAGCTCGGGATCCAAAAGTAAGACAATGAAGACAAAAAGGTGAAAATATGTTTTAAGACCAATGTGTAATACAAAGTTTTTTGTTTTATTTCTGTTATTTTGTTTCTTCCTCCTCAGAAAAACCCTTTGTGGATGAATATCTGTCTGCACTGATCCACAAAGTGAGTAGTGTCATATTCTGTCATCTGGGATACTACAGCAGTACCATCCTAAAATAAACAGATGTTCCTGTGATTTAATTGGAGGATACATATCAAAAGAATGCTGAAATACCTACATCATGTTGCTGATTTGTAAAAAGTCATTGTTGGGTCTGTCCGCAAGACGACAAGCAAACAACTTGTGTTTGTTTTGTGAACGTAGTTTGGAACGATCAGGGCTATGCTAACTTAGTTTATAGCATATTTTCAGGACAAGTTAGTCCAACTTTCTCTCTTACATCTCTCCAAGCAATCGCCTTTTTTCTAGTCTCTGTATAAATACGAAGTGGTATCAGAGATCTGAGTACACACAGACAGCTACAAGTGATGATAAATTGACTTTTTAATCCCAAAGGTTTTAAAAATAAACAGAGCTCTTTTCCTGCCGACTACAAATCACAGTGAAATCCAGTGTGACTATGAGGTTTTATTCCTCCAGAAGCTCAGAATAAAAAACATTAATCAGGTTACAGATAATAAAGTTCAATTGTGTAATATTTAGGAGGATCTATTAGCAGAGAAATATAATAGTCATAGGTATGTTTTCATTAGTGTATAATCTCCTGAAAATAAGATGTGTTTTCGATAGAATGAGCCATTTTTATCTATGCATGGAGCAGGTCCATAGAATTAGCCATGACCTGCCGTATTTTCACAGTAGTCCAAACACAACAATGGCTCTAGATGGGACCTTTCACGTTTTTTGTGAGTTTCACAACCACTGTAGTTCTCCTCCACATTTAGAGGGTGAGGCAAGTTGGTTGCACTAATTTTTATAGTGAAGAAATAATATATTTTCTTTATAAAAACATATTTGGAATTTTTCAGGTGGCAACATTGGCGTCTGGTAAAGATCTGCTTTTTGAAACACTCAATGATTTGAGTTACGAGGAGCTCAAGACCTTCAAGTGGTTGCTGCAGTTCACGTTGTTCAAGAGGAACCTTCCACACATGTCATGGGGACAACTTAAGTGGGCATACAGGGCAGAACTACTGGTGAATGTGATGGTGAGGAAATATGGTCAAAAGTCTGTGGACGTGACAAAAGAGGTTTTCATGGACATGAACAGGATGGATCTGGTGCAGAGGCTGTCAGAGACCAGCTCAGGACCCAAAGGTAAGAGAAAGAGGTGTTGTGTGTGTCTCATAAATGTCTGAGAAATGACAAAAACAACAGTTGCCCTCCGTGTGAAAAAGCCTTAAGGGAAGTTTTCTCATTGATTCTCTCTGTGATCTCTATGAGCACAGTTTCATCCTGCCTTAAAATATTGAAGGCTTTTTATTCTAAAGACTCAATATTGTACTCACGACAAGTACATAAATGTCATACACACTTTACTAATTATTATGATTACATTTTTTTCATTATATGTGTTACAGCTGCAGGATCATCAGCTGAGGCATTTGATGTGAATACCATGGAGAGAGGTAGGAGCCCTCAAAATAAATAACAAAGCAAAACATAATAACAAATATTAATTGAAGTAAGAATAAAACATTTTACAAACAAACAGTTATTTTTAATATGCATTAAAATACATTTCAGTGTATGGACCTTTTAACACAAGAGTTTAATAGCAAATAAGATAGTGAAGAAGATAGTGTTCATCGGGTGAAACTGGTTATCGATTTTTATGATCTTACTATTAAGAAGATTTTTGTACAATTAGGCTGTGGTCGACCAAAGAAAATCTTGGTTGACCACTTACTCTTCAACTAATCGATTGATAAATGGGGAAAAAAATAACTGCATGTTATTTCTAGGTAAACTAAGTGTACCACAGTACCTGGTAGCTTCAGTTTTGCCATTTCTTTTTCACACATAGTGTAGCTACATTGTTACCTTGAATTTCCCTCGGGATAAATAAAGTATCTATCTATCTACCCTCACAGCATGTGCATATATACCGGCGAGGTTTGCGGAGCAAAACGGGCTGCTGCACAACAACAAAGCTAATGCAGTGCCAGAAAAAGCAACATGAAAAAACATTTACCATCATCCAACCTACTATTGTCATTACTAGCCACTTACTAAAGCAAAGTTCAGTAGGGTAAATACTTATAAATACTATTTGACATTGTTTCAATTACTGTTGAGCTGAGTAAATGGTGCCCTGCAGTCTCCAGGCTGCCAGTTGGGTGTGTTTACTTCCTAAATTACGAATATTAAAATAGCCTATAACTCAAACATAAAATAGGTCTGCATATTTCCCTCCCACCCCTGAAAATAAGAGCTTTTTTCCTCATGAAAGTACAGTTGTGGGACAAGAGCATTATCGGCCAACCAATCGACCAACAGAGAGAAGGTGTCAGCCCTATAGTCTCATTATAAAGGCTGATGTTAAATCTTTTTCTGTTTTCTTTATTCTCAGAGAAATACTCTGTGGATGAACGTTGGCCGGCACTGATCCAGAAAGTGAGTAATGTCACATCTTTCTGACTTTAAACTACGGTTTAAACAATTGAGCGATCAGTTGATCGACAGAAAGTAAATTTGAACAAGCATATGTGACCAATTGGACAAATATAATCAATTGTATTACTTTGAGCGACATGGCTGACCACATTCCTCAAACACATACACTGATGAGATGCAAACAGAGAATTATGTAATCAACCTAGCTGAGAAACTGCACTTCTCCTTTTTTTTTCTCTGAATTTACCAGGTGGAAATGATATTGTCTGTTATAGAGCTGCTTTTGGAAACACTGACAGATTTGAATGACGAGGAGCTCAAGAAGTTCAAGTATATTCTCCTGATGCAAACTCACTTCCGGGAATGTTACTTAAACATCCCATGGAGGCCAGAAGAGATAACAAACATCGAGGACATAGTGTTTTTAATAGTTCAGAATGACAGCCAACCATCTGTGGAGACGACTAAGGGGGTTTTAAAGACGATGAAGAAGACCGACCTGGTGCAGAGGTTGTCTGACAGCAGCTCGGGACCCAAAGGTAAGACAATAAAATCATGGTTCTTGTGTCTAATAAGTTTATAATCTGTGTCTTTACATTATAAATAATCAGACTGATAGGATTTGTGTTAGAGCAGTTGCTCATGAGTGACTTTTACCACTTTTCTCCTCAGAGAAAACCTCTACAGATGAACCCCACTCTGCAGTGATCCAGAGTGTGAGTAATGTCACATCTGTCCGACTCTATACAACAGATTTCATTCAACAGCTGCAGGTTAAAAATGATCTCCATATTGAACATGATACAAGCCATAATTTACTTATTTATATATTTATTTTCCACTGAACTGAAGCTGCATTCAGGTCGAGCTCTTTAGCAGTTATTTTATTCACTAATGATAATGATATGATATCTTAACCATTGAGGATGAAATGAGGAAATGACTTTTTTATTCACCAGAATCATCTATGTATTGTATTTTAAGCAGTTTTCCAAGGCATTAAACGAAAGTACCAGTGAATAAATGAACGTCTTATGAATGCATTGATTATTTTAGATTGCAACAATGGTAGCTGTTAAACAGCTGATTTTGGAAACCCTGAATGATTTGAGTAACAAGGAGCTGGAGACATTCAAGGAGTTCCTGCAGTTGATTTTCTATCGGAAGGACCTCCCAAGGGTTTTGAGAGACACAGCAGACAGAGCACAATTAGTGGAACAAATGGTGGAGACTTATGGCCAACAGACTGTGGAGTTAATCAGGGAGGTTTTCATGGACATGAACAGGACTGATCTGGCTCAGAAGTTGTCAAAGCCCAGCTCAGGGCTCGAAGGTAAGAGAAAGATGGCAAAAAAAAGTGTTGTGTGTGTCTCATACATGTCTGAGAAATACATTTTATAATTCATAATAAAAAAAGTGAATCTGCTTGAGTTTAAACTATGTGTCACCTCTAATGTGTAATATAAGAAAAAAAGGGGTAGGGATCAATAAATCATGAATTAAATAATCAAATAAATCAACTCACAGTCTAAAAAAAACCTGAAAGTTTAATGACTGTGTAATTGGATTGTAATCTTCTGTGTCAATTTCTTGTCTCCTCAGAGAAACATTCTGTGGATGAACATCGATCTGCACTGCTGGAGAGAGTGAGTCTGACTTTTCACAACGCGGCTTCTGTTCAGTGGTTGCAGGTTGATAACTATGGAATGAGATTTTGTCAGTATAATCAAACAAAACTTCTTAAACCTGCAGTGTAAACCTTTTTTCTACGCTTTCTGACAGTGAGAGTGGCTACACAAACTGAAACGCATCACTGCCGCAGACTGTAGTTTTAATAACACCGGTATTGCAAAATTCAGAGAGATTTACCTGGCAGTGATAGGCTTTATCAGCATTGTGTGAACTTGTAGATGGAATGGACATTCATTTATATGTAAAAGTCCCACACTGTAACTTTAAATGTCAAACAAAATTTGAGAATTTGGGAGATATACAACAGCTTCAACACAACACCAAACATTGAAGTGAACTATGACATTGCCGTAACCAGAGTCTTAAATGACCTCAACGGATGCGCAAATATTTATTGCTGTTACAGTTATGTTTGCAGTGACTGAGGAAACTATTGGCACACACCATGGTCATTTAACGTTATGTTAAAAGTTCTTAACAACTAACCTACAGCTAAGCTTGATAATGTAATATTAACACAACTTGGCTTTCCTGGAAGCAGCAGCCTGAAGACACAGCCCTAAAAAAACCTACTCACACAAGAAGTTTGTGTCAGAACTGCAAACAAAAAGTCAGGCAGCGCAAATGAGTGTGTGTTTCAGCACTTTTTAAATATTTTCCTCATATTTTAACAATACTGCGATAATACTGATAACCATGATAATTTTAGGTCACTATAATTAAATTTTTGAATAACTTCACATACCGTAGAAATAATTTGTTTGCAAGTTATATGATTTACTTATTAGAGGAAATGAGTTCAGCTTTATTCTCTCTCAAATTCTCATCTTTGTTTGATATTTAAGAAGTATTATTTGATTATATCAAATCTTATTCCATAGAGAAAAAATAAGTCCAACTATCTCATATGTTAGTTACAACTTATTGCTTAACGTGTCTTTTGAATATTACAGACCGCAGCAATCGCAGCTGTTCTTTCGGAAACACTCAGTAATTTGAGTGACAACGAGTTCAAGAAATTCAAGTGTTTGCTGCAGTTCATGCACTTCCAGAAGAGTCTCCCACAATTCTCATGGAGCCAAATGGAGTGGGCAGACAGTGCAGAAAAACTAGTGGATCTGATGGTGGTGACCTATCGCCAGCAGTCTGTGGAGGTGACCAAGGAGGTTTTAATGGACATGAGCAGGACTGATCTGGTGCAGAGGCTGTCAGAGAGCAGCTCAGGACTCAAAGGTCAGAGAATTTATAAAAAAATGTATGAATCACAGTAAAACCTGTGCTTGGGTTAAAACTTAATTACCTGTGAGAAATATGAACAGTTTCACATCTGAGCTTTATTTAAGGGGAGCAACAGATTAAGCATATTCACAGTATAATAGTGCATTAAGGCCAAATACCTTGATCTCAACCATTGTCCTTCAGATTTAATGTGTGCTAATGATATGGTGTCCAGTCTCTCTGTGTTATGTTTTTTTTTTTCAATTAATCTTTCTTATCATGTTTTATTCAAAAGCTACTAAATCGGACTAAAGTGGTTTATAGTTTGATTTTGAATCAGTCATTAGTAATTTTCAATTGTTTTTCTCCTCAGAGAAACATGAGTCTGAACCACTCAAGAAAGTGAGTAATGTCACATTACACAACAACACAGCTTTCATTTAATGGTTACAGGTTGTAAATTATTCTAATCTTATCTACTATAAATAATAATACAAAACATTAGCATACTTTTAATTAGTTGGGGCTAATCCCAGAGTAGAGTACACTCTACCTGGTAGCTGCTGGATTAATTACAACATTAGTCCACAAAGCTTGAGACAGTAGCCACTTACCAACATACTAAAGCAAAGTTCTGCAGACTGAACAACACAATTAACACTAAAACAACATAAAATAGATAAAACAGGGCAAAACTTAAGTTTGAAGTCAGGTCACAGCTGGTAATGTTACTGATCCATCATTGAGCTTTAACGCCATCAACGTTATCCACTGAGGCTAGGGGACCATATAGAGCTGAGTAAATGCTGTAAGTTCCGCCCTGCAGTCTCCAGGCTGCCAGTTGAAGCTGTGAATATGGGAACTTCCTGACTTATAGATCGTTATCATGTTATTTTTAACAAAATAACATATCACTCTCACTAAAAGCAGGTCTGCATATGTCCCTCCCGACCAATGAGAATTTGGTCGGAACATATTGACCGACTGACCAGAATTTGTCAGCCCTACTTTTTTATTCAACTTTGAAAGATGTTTCAAAACCACAACTTCCCATCTGCTGTACAAGCCAAGAGAACACATGATCAGGTAGCTCATTCCTACTTTTGGTAGCGCAGTGTAAGTGTTAGAGGAAGTCAATAAGGAACAATTAATTGTAACCAGTTAATATAAATAAATGAAATCAATGATACTGTGTTGTGATGGTAATGCAAAAATGAACACACGTAGAAGTACTTTTTATAGTTATCTTAACTTTAAGATTTTATTAAATGCATGATTGTGTCTAATGTGGTTAATATGCGTACTTACAATACTCAACAATAAATGTTTACATTGATGCAAAGAAATGAATGCTTGATCACTACAGTGGAGATATTAAATAAATGCTCTATTATTTCAGGAAGCAACCATGACATCACTGAAGGAGAAGCTTTTGGAAACACTGGAAGGTTTAATTTACACGGAGCTCGAGCAATTCAAGTGGCTCCTGCAGGACACGGAAACAAAGAAAGGCCTCCTAAGAATCCCCAGACACCGAGTGGAGATTGCAGGCAGGGTTGAAATAGTGGAGCTGATGGTGGAGATCTACGGCCAGCAGTCTGTGGAGGTGATGAGGGAAGTTTTAGAGAAGATGAGCAGGAATGATCTGTTACAGAGGTTGTCAGACATCAACCCAGGATCCAAAGGTAAGTTGTGGGATAAAAAAACAAGCAACAATTAGGTATGCAGAGTGTACATACACTTAATATGCAATCTGCATGGTAAAGTAAGATGGTAAACGCAGTGATCATTGTAATAATAATCTTCTAAACATCACACGTGAGCCTCGGACACAATAAATATCAAGATCATATTTTTTGTGTTGGATTCGAGAATTACTTAATAATAGTTAATTTTCCAATGTTTTATATTACACTGAGTATAAAAGAACAAATCAGTTGTTTACTTTAATCTATATGTAGTCATACAAATAAAGTTATGTGACTGCCTGATGATTTTTCATGATTATTAAACAGCTACATGGAGCTAGTCTGCACTTTAACAGAGTAGACTTCACTCAACAGTATGTCCTGAATGATATACTGCTCTCATATCAGTGCAGAATTAAATGGCACATACTTCTAAAGCAGCAAAACATATGGGAAGGTACCATATGATGTTATATATTAACATAAAAGCATTTAAAAAATCCCATGTGTCTCCAGAAGAGCCTCCAAGAAGTGTGGAGCTTGAGGGTTGTGGAAGCATTATGGTAATCTCTTACACTAATTCATTTGTTCAGTTCAGTCATTCATTGATATGTTCATTTACGTGATACAAAAGACACATTTCTAATTATTTGCAACAATGATTGTCCTCTGCAGCAGGACTCTAGTGACTGGACTAAACTTGAACCTGAAGTGAACAGTACAGACGCTGATGAGGCTCCAGCTTACAGGTAAAAATGACATCCTGAATACTGCGTCACAGCAAAGTGGAACTATAGGAAAAAGTTGAGGTTGGTTCTTTTCACAGAAGGAAAACGGAATCTCTCTCTGTGCTGTTACTTATTATATCAATGCAATATGATTATTATAGAGGAAATACATTTTGCCCCAAATAAACTGGAGGAACATACTCTCAAAATGTGCATTATTCTATTGCCCCCCCCTTTTGCATCAAGAAACAACAATCTCACCTCTTTTCTTTTCCACGATTTAGCCTACAGACTAAAGCAGGAAAGTTTGAATGCAGTGTCTCTGGATTGCGCTGGTTCTGTAAGGAGAAGGTCAACTTTAAGTACCAGTTTTGCTCTTGGGAGGAACACATAGAGAGGATGGAAAGCATCCAATACATGCCTGCAGGTCCCTTAATTGACATCACAGTCATTGCTGGAAGGTTGGATGAAGTGTACCTGCCACACTGGATCTGCATCGGTAAGTTGACATGGAGACAATAATAAAATAAAATGTACTTTTAAAATGTTTTATAATGTGTACAAAAACAATCCTTTTCTCCTCACTACTTATGTGTGCTTGTGTTTTGTGATACAGATGACAACCCTGCAATATTAGATAAGTTTGCAGTCTTACACATCAATGACTGTGGAGATGAAGTGGAAAAAGTGTCTGAGGTCACACCGTCCCATGTCAAGTTATCTGAACCAGTTTTTTCTCCACGAGCGGTCCTGATGAAAACCGGCATTCCTGTGAAAGTAAACTGTAATGTGCTAATATACAAGACCAACACAGCATTCCTGACACTCCATGTTTATCTGATCCCACGTGATCCTGGTCTACAACAGGTTATTGAATATCTTATTGCAACAGCACTTATTATAAAATATAAAATAGCACTACAAATACATGGATTAAAAACACAACACACAATGTCTGCTACTCTAATCCCATTTCTTCTGTCCAGGTAATGGACAAGAGGGAATTGTCCTATGGATACAAAGTAATCCGAAAGCCACCTCCAGAGAAGTCCTTGAAAGTGCGCAATCGTTTCATCTTAACTGCAGATTTGGATGGTGCAGAAATTTATCCTGAAGTATGGTTTGAACTGCTTTTAAATCTGTAGAGTGCACTGCGGTTCAGAAATGAGTTAGATATTATAGGACCAGCTCAATGGAACAATTGTTTTTGTTTTTTCATATTTTGAACAAGAAAATATGACAAAATGTTTACTCTCTTTACTTTCACCATCATGTGTTGGTAACATACTTTAAGCCTCATGCAAATGTATTAGGCCACTCTGAAACAGTCTAGTTAAAGGCATCAGAATTTCCAAAACTATTTGTGGAAGACTATAAAGCCGGTAAAAAGAACACCCTCCACTTACCCATACACATGCTTTTGGCACTATAGGCTTATTACTTTCTCCAGCAACTTTAGCGATAAAGTCTTTAAGACCGCTCAAGACCTGTTACAACTTCAAAGATAGCTTCTGTTCCACTGACCTCCATTCAGTGTGGTATGGTAATAGTGTACATCTAACTTAATTTTCCCATGTGTGTTTGAATGGGTGAAGAACCTCATGGTAGTAGTTTCATAATGAAGAGAGTTTTTTTTCAATAATACCAGTATTTATAATTGCCACAAAATGTGATTTGATTTATTTTAGAAACTTTTATTGTGCTTCAAACCCCCCCAAAAAATAGCTATGGTTACAGGCAATAAATAACTAAAAACATAATATATCTGATCCCTCATTTCCTCAAATTTTTACAAATAGCTGGCAATATACAGCAGATATAGTCATATTTTTTGTCCCTTTCTCTATATGTCTTTGATATAATTAAACATTTTCTTAACCTCATTTGAAAAAAACATGAAAAATTATAATTTATTTCTTTCACAGAAATTAAAGTTCAGAAATAAAGGTGCAGACTCACATTTCTTTGAAGTGTTCATTGACAATCCGGACACAAACTTCAAGCTCCAACTCAAACAAGAAAAGGATCTTCAACCAGTATGGACTGGTGCAATTCGAAAAGGTCAGCTTTCTATACTGCCAATGTACCACTTTCATTTTATTGGATCTGCATCATTATTGAAACAGACGTCCACTGTTAAAGGCAGTAAATCAGCTACAAATCCATATATTAATGATTTTCTTTTCAGATGAATACAAAAGCACAGGCCATGTACAAGGTAAGACATTTCGAAGGATTCCTATTTCGAAGATTGTGGACTGTGGAAAAACTCCAATGTGCTGTCAGTGTGAACAGACACCAACAAAAAAAAAGGACCCACAGCATCTTATAACACTATAGCAGCTAAAATAAGAAAGCCGTGCTTTCAGAAATAAGGTCAGTGGTTGGAGAGAAATCATTACTGACCTGCTCCTGATGCATGTATGTGCAGATCTATTTTGTATAGGTTTTCACCCTGTACGGCTCTCACTTGCGGATTAATCCTCACTCGTGTAGCACTGTAGACATTTAGTCCATGCTCGGCATGTCTGTAGAGAACCCGCCTGGTGCTGTTTGTACAAAATCAAAGTCAAACTGAAAACCAAAATCAGGGTGCCAGAAACAGAAAAATGCTGAAAGGGACAACAAAGGGTGAAAGTTTTTCTCCAAGAAAGAAAAGTGCCCATGAAAACCTACACAGCCACATTAGCATTTTGTTAATAATGTTCTTAATGTAATGTTGAAGCCAGTCACAAGCTAATTATAATACAACAATATCCTACTTACTCTCCACTTACTTACAGTTATTATATTTAGTTTATTTAGCCAATTGAATCAATACTTATATACTATATTTAATCAAGAATCAGTTCTGCCTTTTTCCTGCAGATGCAGCTCCAGTGAACCCACCATCAGTCCTGCCCAGTCCTACCCAGCTCTCAGCTGAAAGAGAAGGTGAGCAGTATTTTCTTGATAGTAGCTAGCTAGTTTTACCTAGAGCAATCCATGAAGCTGATGATGGAAAATGCCATTCTTCTGCTTCTCCCAGAGCCGAGATTATTATATTATAAAATATATATTTTATCACATCATGAATTATTATCATAAATTAATAATAACAATAATAATGTATTTAAGGTAGTTAAAGTAAGGTACTTTTAAATGTAACCTCTGAGTGGATAGTCACATTCCTGTGAATACATTGTGGTAGGTTACCCTTGAATCAAATAGTCAGAATGACAGTGGCATCAAATGACATAAAGTATTTCCTAAGATATTACATATATTACTATATTGTACTATACCATGCAGGGTTCACTTCACTTGTCACTTGGCAAGTCGGTTAGAAATCTGCTTGGCCAAAGTACATTTTAACCACTATACATAATAAATATGTTTTATTAATTAGCAGTTCAGGATTCAGAGGGAAAACTAATCCCTGAATATCTGAATACAGCAAGGCAGCAAATGGTAGAGAAAAGATAAAATGGGACTGAGTAGTTCATAATTCTAGTGCAAAAGCACTGTATTGCATCCAATGTGTTATTTTTTCCTGTGAATCAAAGAGACCCTCTCTTCAGTGCACTGAATATTGACTAACTGCTTTCACTTAACTACAGAAACCTAAATAAGGTGGTAGCTGGCCGTAGGGGGATTGTCAGGAAGCTTGTATTTGGCTATATTGTATGTCATTTCCATTAAATAAACATCTAAATATCACAACACACAAATGTAGGAAGATATTATCTGATATAATCAGATATTATAAATATAATTCCCCCCCCCTTCTGCCCTCAGGGGAGCACTTTGTGGATAAACACCAGTGTGATCTGATCGAGAGAGTGAGCAATATAGGACCAATCTTGGATAATCTTCTGAAAGAACGTGTAATCCAACAGCAAGATTATGATACAATCAGGGCTATCCCAATCACTCAGGAGAAGATGAGGACACTCTATAGTGGTCCCCTGAAAGCTGGAGGACATGCAGCCAAAGACATATTCTACAGCATCCTCAAGGAGAAGGAGTTATATCTTGTGAATGATCTGATGAAGCTGTCATAAACATTCACAATCTGCTTTCTTGACCAAAGACTACCTGAAACTGAAATGTGTTGCACATTAACTAGTTTACAGCCTGCATTTATGAAAATGTTCATTCTGGTGCTTTATCTATCTGGTATTTTTTCTGTGTATTTTGTTGAGCTTTGTTCATTCTGTTAAAATGTAAATAGGAAAAAGAATAACGTATATAAGGGGGTCTAATAGCAAATAGATTGCATATTAAGTTACAAAATCACACAAATTTAAGATTTTCATAATTTGGCCTCGTGTGACTAAACTTCTTGAGTATTTTAAAGCCCCTTTCAGACATTACGATGCAATGTAACACATCGGCCTCATGCCTGAACAGGTGCCCATTTCAGCAGTTGAGGAGATTCTTCTGATATCAGATGAGTCTATAAAAACTATTTTCCCACTTGTTGTCGATCATAGACGTTTTCGCATTTTCCTTAAATGCTTGTAAAGTCCTACACACATTTTCCAAAGCAACACTTAAGAGTGAATGCATCCACATGCTGTTTAAAGCTTCTAAGCTCAATTCTGAATACAGCATAAAGTAACTTTGCATATTTACCTGTATGTAAGCCATGGTATTTATTACAGAACAACAAATGTAAGCAAAAACAAAGAAATGTTTTACACTTGGACTTGTTTGGTATGAAAACTTAGATTAATGTACAGCATTGCAGCAGTTGAGCATATTCATCACAATAGATTCATCTATTTTTAAGACAATGTTGTTTACCACCTGCAAGCTGCAATACCAACAAGCAAAGTATATTTGAAATATAAATCCATGTTTTAATTTAAAGTCTGCACATGCATAGCAGAAAGAGAGATTTCATGTGACTGTGGAATCCTACAAACCCCAAGATCCATTTTTAAAGACCTGTGTTGTTACGTATTTCTAGACAAATATAATTGTGACTATGCACTTTGAATTCATATTGTATTTTGTATATTTGTCTGACATTTGTGGCTTTTAAATGAATTGTGTTTGACTTAATTCTCATGCATTGTGTCCTCTGTAACTCATTGCTCACTTACAGTAGTAACACTATTTGACTCATTTTACAGAAATGACTATAACCAATGTTCTTAAACCTGCGATAACAATTTTTTTTTATCCTGAACACATTACCATTCATGTTTCCAGCCACCAGATGAATGCAAGTCCAATATTCACTCTCTTTTAGCCGTTTTTGGTCTCCAACTCTTGATGCTGCACTATGTTCACCACCTGGTCTCTGGTCTGTTTGCTACAAGGATGTTGCCCAAGAAATTGGCAAATTGGCTTGGGGCAACTTCTGTCATTGTCATCTCACAGGAGGGCTACTTCAATGTTCAAGTAGAAGAAAGTGGAAGAAAAATATTTTGGAAATATTTTCATTGTAAATCACCTTTGTTGTTCGCAGCCCAACAACAAATGAAGGCTTGAAACCTGCTCTCTTCTTATCAATGCATTCACGCATTAGCAGCACCTTTGCCCTTTGCCATTAGTTTGTGCCAAATGGAAAACTTGTTTTTAAAATAGAATTGTATTTATTTTGATTGTATATGAAGGGTTAGTTTATATTTTTGACATCATAGCGGTTGGAGGGGGATGGAAGGGGATCCTGCATTAGATGATTGAGGGGTGCTGGAGCTAATCGCAGCTCACAGTCACACCTAACCTACATGCCTTTGGACTGTGGGAGGAAAGAGAACCTGGAGAAAATGATGGTTTTGATATGAGGATGTAATGATAGTTAAGTTTAGGTACAAAAACCACATGGTAAGGGTTAAAGAAAGATCATGGTTTGGGTTAAAATGACTTCTACACTAATGTTAGGGCACCTTCATTATCACAATATAATAATAAACTAGATTTAAGGTTAGGGAAGAACTAAGCTGAACCCCTCTTCTTCGGGGAATCTTTTTTTTTCTTTGACAGACAAAGAAGCACAAAGTTGTCAAAAATAATGATAGATACTTGTTTTATATAACAATGAGGGTGATACATTGTCATTTTAAAATACAAAACATGAATGGCCCTCCTACAGTTAACAGTTATTGTTTTGCGACCTGAGAGATTCATAGGATACAGCACAGTCATTGCATAGCAAATTTCAACAACATGGCAATTTAAAATGCTTTATGTAAAACTTAAAAATATACAATTTAGTAAAAACTCAAGACAATGTAATGACACAAATAGGATTTTAAGATACAAAATAACATACAATTTCATAAAACAATGAACAGTAAGAAAAGATACATTAAGGCATATACTGTATGTAATCCATCTACAATAACAATACCTGTTTACATCTTGTTTTAATAAAGTATGTACCCCAGATCAGATGTTCAGTGAACTGTCTTCGTAGTTTTTCTGACACATTTCTTTCCCATTTTTATAGATTTCAAAACTGGAATGAGCCACCTGATCTGCTGCTTTAACAGAAGTTAAAGTACTTAAGTGTGTTTTGACCGCTATATTTTTTCATGCTTGAAAATAGTTCATGGAAATAGTTTTCTAATAAATATAGCAACTTCTGATCAACCCATATAAATTTCAAACTTAAATCAACAACCCCTGGCTAGTCCTGCAATTAACCAGCATCTATGGAATGAAAGCTGTGTTGTGTAAGGTCAGACAGATGTGTCTTAGTTCACTTTCTGGATCTGTGCAGACCAGTGTTCATCCACACAGTGTTCCTATGAGGAGAGAGGGAATTTAACGAAAACATCTGTGACATTTAAAATTAAATTACTGTTTGTTTCGGTCATCACAGAAGGATGTTTATGTAACATGTTATTATATGGTTTTAAGTATCTCAGTACATTTTGCAGGGCACCTACCTCCCTCTGTGGTGTTCACACCGGTTGCTCAAGCTGATGATCCTGAAGCTGCAAAACATTTAATGAAAATTCAAGTTGGGGTAAAAGCAGCCAAAATAAAACCATAGGCAAAATGTTTTCTTTGTTTCTAATAAACCAGAACATGTAGGGAAAAAGCTTAAGCCCTTTTCAGACATGGAATACTTAACATTGCTTCATCTGTCGGTGAAAGAGATGACTTTTAGGAAGACAGTCATTTCTGTTTCCTTATTTTTTTTTACATGCTGTGGGTAAATGACCAGTAAAACATATTTTTGGCTAGTAAATTGTTTTAGTTTACCTGCCATTGGCAGATGAGGCTAAGTTATTTTTGGACCCTGCCTGCATGTCTTTGGACTGTGGGAGGAAACGCATGCAGGTACAGAGAGAACATGCAAAACTCCACACAGAAAGAATCTAACCTGCCAGCAGTTTTAAACCCAGATCTGCCTTGCTGTTAGGCAACAGTGCTAAGCTTTCTATATATGGTGTCACTAAATATGTCTACTACTATTTTACCAGTTACCTTTGGATCCTGACAACATCTGCACCAGATCATTCCTGTTTATTTTCTTGAAAACCTTCTTGGTCACCTCCACCGAGTGTTCGCTGTAGGTCTGCCAGATCAGATCCACCAGGTCTAACAGTTCTCCCTTCTCCAGCCGGAAGCTTTGGATGCATGGGAGGCCTGCCAGGATGTCCCTGTCCTGCAGGAACCACTTGAATTCTTTGAACTCTTCCTTTTCAACCTTCCCAGCACATACCAAAGCCTCTCTCTATCCGTTGTGATTGTTGCCTGATGAATTCAAAGTCAATAAACAATGGGATATGATTGGACTTTAATTGGTAAATAATATCACTGATGAAAAGTGCACCTGAATGCAGCATCAACTTGTTGGTGAGAACCATCCAATTTGAATCACAACTGAAATAAAATATTGGATGATTATCAACCTGCATCTTACTGAATAAAAGCTGACTGATGTGACATTACTCACATTCTGCATCAGTGCAGACAGATGTTCATTCACAGTGTGCTTCTCTGAGGAGAAAGGAAAGAAAACACGTTGCATGAGTGATTCATTTAACATCTGACTAGAAACATTTTGTATCAGGCTTTCTTCATTCATAAAGATTTACCATACAAAGATATTTATTTAAAAAAATACCCATAAGGCAAATTAATCTTGAACCTATCCCTCTGTACTTATTTTTATAACACCAACTGCCAGATTGTTTAGTTGTTCAAGGAATCTTCCTAATTTATTCCAATGTGTTTAAAGTAGAGATGTCCCGAGGTATCAGTATCGGCTAATGCGGTCAGATTTTAAAGGATCGGAACTGGCTGAAATGAAAGAAAATCTGAAAAAAAGGTGTCTAATTAAATACAGGCTCTGTCTCTCAGAAGCTCTTCCTGGTTATAAATCGAACTTTTCCCCTAAATAAAGTTGCTGAATCACTCAGCAGATCAGTGTCTGAAAAGTCAACATTTCTGTAACATCAGGTCTCAAACTCCTCAAGTGAACTCTCAAGGAATACTTTAACTTCACATTTACATTGTAAAACTGTAAACACCAGCATACAGTTTCAAATATTCAGGTTGAATGTAAAATTAAAAGTGAAAGGTTGGTTTAACGACAGCTTTTCGGTGATGCTTCATGCTCAGAAAATAAATAAATAGATATTGAAAAGAAAACTTACTGTCACTTGAACCAGGTAGGGAGGATTGCCCACCTGTCTCTTGGACTACAAAAAGAGACTCATGCATTAATGACAAAAATAGTAGAGCAAATGTACTAGAAATAGCAGTTCAGCTCTGTAAATTCAGATAAAGACAACTTCTGAGCAAGTTTGTTCAAAGTACCAATTCTTAAAAAAAACCTCTTTATATGCAGCATCTTACCTTGTAAATGAGGAGAGTTTTGATATCTAAGATCATCATCTGAAATAAAAGAAAATATGGATAGCTGATGTAACAATGATAGTCCATAAACCTTTGCTCTAATAATTTATATTTTAATTATAAGAGCTAGAAGAAGTCATGTGTACCAAAGACCATTTGAGAGGTAAGACTTTTACCATTATTACAACTATAGTTTTATTTTCTTGGGTCTGTGATCAGTGGGTCTGTCCTCATACCCATACTTTAGTCTAGTCTTTATCTTCTTCTTATAGTGCAGGTAATCTTGTTTAATAACCACCAACCTTTTTGAATTTCACAGGTCCATACTGGATCACTCTTATTTGTGTGTGAGAGTATGAGGTGGAAGTCTCCGTCTGGATTCTCACTGACCACTTCATAGAAATTTGGCTCTTGGCTATCATATCTGAGGGTTATTTCCTGAGCACATACAACAAAAACAAAAGAGAAGTAATTCCCTGGTTAAACTGGTTAAAATTGAAGCATGAGCTCAACCAATGACAAATCAAATGTAAAAGCAGGATTTTACATTTGATTTGTCATTGGTTGAGCTCAATTTTGAGTATTGATAATCAAACATATGTGTGAACAAAAACTGACTGTATACACAGATTTACAGTACAAACTGTACCTTTGGACAAATCCTTGCTGTGTCGATGTCTGCTGCGAGCTTGAAACCCTGCTTCATTTTTAGGTACTTGTCTGGGCGTGGCTTTTCGATTAGTTGGTATCCTTTGGATGATTCCTTCTTGTCCACTCTCTGAAAAAAAAATATGCTGCTTCACAGTTACAGTCCTAAACATTGTCATCTGTGTTTTAAAATACATTCATGAACAATATATGGTAATATGGTTTTAACAATAGAGTATTAGGGCCAGTACTAGGAAGATATTTCAAGAATACTGTGACACTTCAATTAAAATCAGGGTCCCAACTAGAAGCAGGTCTTCTTTACGAGCCTTATGTGGCTCCACAATTTGACAAATTAACTGGAAAATTTCAGTGATTGAAGGAAATATAAGCCTTAGCCATTCATTTTATAAGTTTTCATAAGTTTAAGGTAGTCCTATTAAGGAAAAGGTCATGCTATAATACTGCTGTATATTCTACAACTAAAATCTTATGTTAAGCATTTGTGACAGTAAGATATTCAGTTACCTTTTTTAGAGCAAGGTCATGTGGGATCAGGTAAACATGGAGTTTGAGGAAGGTTGTGTTGGGTTTGTAGTATATTAACACATTACAGCTTATTTTCAAAGGAAAGCCAATTTTCATCAGGACTGCTCGCGGAGAAAAAACTGGTTCAGATAACTTGACATGAGATTGTGTGACCTCAGACACTTTTTCCACAACATCCCCACTGTCATTGATGTGTAAGACTGCAAACTTGTCTAATATTGCAGGGTTGTCATCTGTATCACAAAATACAAGCACAAAAAAAGGATTGCTTCAGTTTTTGTACACATTATGAGAAATTTAAACAGTACATTTTATTTTATTATTGTCTTTATGTCCACTTACCGATGCAGATCCAGTGTGGCAGGTACACTTCATCCAACCTTCCAGCAATGACTGTGATGTCAATTAAGGGACCTGCAGGCATGTATTGAATGCTTTCCATCCTCTCCATAGGTTCCTCCCAGGAACAAAACTGGTACTTAAAGCTGATCTTTTCCTTACAGAACCAGCGCAATCCAGAGACACTGCATTCAAACTTCCCTGCTTCAGTCTGTAGGCTAAATCGTAGAAAAGAAAACGTGAGTTTGTTGTTGGTTTATAAAAAAAAATACTGTTTTAGGGCACATTGGAATAATGTACATTTTGAGAGAATTTATTTCCCCTATAATAACCATATTGCATTGATATAACAAGTAATGGCACAGAGAGACAGACACAGTATTGAGGATGTTATTTTTACCTGTAAGCTGGAGCCTCATCAGCATCTGTACTGTTCACATCAGGTTCAAGTTTAGTCCAGTCACTGGAGTCCTGCTGCAGAGGACAATCAGTTTTGCAAAAGAGAAGAAATTTGTCTTTTTTCATGATCACATAAATGAACAAATATGTGAATGACAAAAAGAAATAAATATGAGAAATTACCATACTGCTGCCACAACCCTTAAGCACCAAGCTTCTTGAAGGCCCTTCTGAAGACACATGGGATTTAAAAATAATGATGTTACAGTTTGTTGACATATAAAATTATATGGTAACTTTCCATTTGTGCTGTACATTTGCTCTATGTAACAGTAGGTAGTATTATTACATATAAAGTAATAAAAAATAGAAAAAGTAAAGTAATGGTCATCGATGTTCTAGTTCTACAAAGTTTGAACCCAAGCAGATGTTTTTACTATGAATTATAAAATTATGAGACTCACATTATTGTGTAATGTGTCAGTTTTTGTATTATTCTCTAACCTTTGAGTCCTGAGCTGGTCTCTGACAGCCTCTGCACCAGATCAGTCCTGTTCATGTCCATGAAAACTTCCTTGGTCACCTCCACAGGCTGCCGAATCTTCAACAGGTTCTCCACCATCAGATCCACTAGTTCTTCTGCACTGTGTGCAAACAGCATTTGTCTCTTTGAGATTTGTGGGAGGCTCTTCTGGAAATACTTGAACTGCAGCAAAAACTTGAATTCCATGAGCTCCTTCATATTCAAACCACTGAGTGTTTCAAAAAGAATCTTTCTTACAGCTGCCCTCGCTGATACCTGAAAAATTCAAAGGAAATGTTAAGCAACAGATTTATTTCGTTGCAGTTTGTCAGTGTCAGTGTTTTACACAGAGAGTATAAATGTTATAAGAATTTTTTATTCCTTGATCACTCAAGACAATGATATACTAATAATATCTGTTCTATTGATTGATGTGTATGATGATGAAGATGATTTCCTTTATCTGTTGACCCTTTAATTCCTGTAAACTGATTAATACCTATATTATACAACATATTATGTTTCTGTACAGTGACTCTATCAGATCTATCAGACTTTATTTGTATAGCACTTTTAGAAACAATCAAAATGTTACACAAAGTGCTTCCCAGATTAACCCAGAAGAAAAGGATATGCCAAATATTATAACAAATTAATAGAACAGATTATAGTCTATAAATAAATAGAAATGTAGACAGAGTAATAAAAAAGATTAAAATGTCTACGAATACTACTAATATTAGTAATCAGACTTGGGAGAGTAACAGATTACATGTAAGTGAGTTATGTAATGAGGATACTAAAAAAGGTAACTGTAATCAGGTTACGTTACTTTAATATTGTGATACATATATATACATACATACATACATACATACATACTGATCAGCCATGACATTATGACCACTGACAGTGTGAATAACACTGATTATCTGGTTGTCATGGCACCTGTCAGTGGGTGGGATATATTAGGCAGCAAGTGGCAGCTGCAGAACACCCTGGTGGTCATAATGTTATGGCTGATCGGTGTATACATACATACATATATACGTTTATATATATACACAGTATAACCTGCATCTTTTGAATGATGAAAGCTGTGATGTGTAAAGTCAGACTCACTCTCTCCAGCAGTGCAGTTCGACGTTTATCCACAGAGGGTTTCTCTGAAGAGTAAAGAAAATGTAAAATTACTCAAAGGATTATAATCTAATTACACATAGAGAGTATAATCCACTTTAATAAGGCTCAGTTATTTAACAACAACAAAAATAAAGTAATTCACTGCAAAACAGCAGACATTATCACCTGAGGACACAGAGTTTGGACAGAAGCAGCATGACTAATATTATATTTATTAGTCATTCATGATTAAAACTGTGATTACGTAATGTAACAGATTTATGTCCTCTTTCTCTTACCTTTGAGTCCTGAGCTGGGCTTTGACAGCCTCTGAACCAGATCAGTCCTGTTCAGGTCCATGAAAACCTCCCTGGTTAACTCCACAGACTGCTGGCCGTAGGTTTCCACCATCAGATCCACTATTTCTGCTCTGTCTGCTGTGTCTCTCAAATCCATTTGGAGGTCCTTCTGGGAGAAAATCAACTGCAGGAACTCTTCAAATTTCTTGAGCTCCTCGTTACTCAAATCCTTCAGGGTTTCCAAAAGCAGTTGTTTAACAGCTGCTATTGTTGCAACCTGAAATAATAAATAAATTCATGGGACATTTATTTTATTCACTGGGACAATTGCAAATGTGTTTCTTTACATCTCATCAATGTAAGTATAGCTGTGGGGTTTTCTACTAAATCACACGAGGTATCGATTCATTTGACAATTGCTGCTGTATTGATTACAGTATGTTCACTTTTTTAGTATGCTCGGTTAGTTTATTTATTTTTCATTCATTTTTTTTAATTTCTTATGCCTTTTTTTGACAGGAAAGGTGGTGATAGGTAAGGAAGGAGGGAATAAAGAGAGAGAAGGGATGATGGCCACTGGTTGGAATTAAAACCGGGCCACTGCAGTAAGGACTCTTCCTACATGTGCCCTAATTTATCATTCATTTTTGAAGAAACATAAAGTACAAAGCAAAAGATAATTCCCTTCTCTTTCTCCCATTAATTCTTATAATCTGGTTACTTTTTTCTTTATTTTTCTTTACAGGCTGCAGCTCTTTTTTGCAAACACTAAAATGAGTCACAGTGGCTCAAAGAAACTATTATTATAGATATAATTATCATTATTATCATTGGATACAATTACTGAAAAAGAACTAAATCTGAATGCAGCTTCAGTTCTATGAAAAATAAATATATAAAAAAGTAAGTCATGGGTTTGGGTCAATCATTTATTTCAAAATGTTCAATATAATAATATAGTATTTTTTAACCTGCATCTGTTGAATGAAAGCTGTGTTGTATAAAGTCAGACAGATGTTACTCACTTTCTGGATCAGTGCAGAGCGTTGTTCATCTGTAGAGGGTTTCTCTGAGGAGAAAAGTGGTAAAAGTCACTCATAAGCAACTGATCTAACATCTGACAATAAACATTGTTATCAGGCAATATTGTACAATACATAAAATCACACTTAAATCTCCATAACAGTGACATACACCAATCAGCCATAACATTATGAGCACTGGCAGGTAAAGTGAATAACACTGATTATCTGGTTATCAAGGCACTTGTCATTGGTTGATATATATTAGGCAGCGGAGATTTTGGAGGACAAACGTGGTCCAATCCAAAAGACAAGCTACTGTAGCTGTGGTGTGGAGCTGCATAACATTATGACAACCTCCTCTCACAATATTTTTCATAGTTAATGTTATTTATAAAATATATATTGTACACAAGATGAAGTTTTTTTTACATTATAAACTGCATTATTTACCATAAAGAGAAGAAAACATTGCTTATGAACTTATCTGGACCAGTTTCATGATTTTAAGGTTTTTTGTGTTACTTTCGGATCCTGAGCTGCTGTCAGACAACCTCTGGTCCAGGTCAGTCATGTTCATCTTCTTTAAAACCTCCTTGGTCTTCTCCACAGACCGTTGACCAAAAGTCTGCACCAATAAAAACACTGTGTCCTGCAGGCCCATTGTCTCCAGCAGCCTTAATGAGTAGCCTGTTGTCTCCAGCAGACTCCATTTCCCCAGCCTAAACAATTGGAAGCGAACGTGACTCAGGACCAGTTTGAACTCCTTTACCTCCCCATAAGTCAAATCTTTCAGTGTTTCCAAAAGCAGCTCTATCACAGACGCCATCGTTTCCACCTGGTAAATTCAGAGAAAATTTTCAAAGTGCAGATTTTTCTGTTCAAATCAATTATCAAAATCGCAGCAGATTTATTTTCTGTGAATTAACTGATCTATTAATTGTTTCAGCCTGAGTTTAAAGCCAGACAGATGTGATATTACTCACTTTCTGGGTCAGTACTGGCCAATGTTCATCCACAGAGTGTTTCTCTGAGGACAAAGAAAATATAAAAGGACTCATGAATGATTTAATTAACATCATTATAATGAGACACTGTCAGACAATAAGCAGAAAGGATTCATTGTAAAATCAACAAACAAATAAACTTAATAGTAACATCAAAATAAATAACCAGTTTACCCTAATGGACACTATCTTATCTGACATGAAACTCTGTGTTAAAGGTTCCCACACTGAAATGTAAATTGGAATAACTGCAGGACTTTAATTGAACTAACTGTAGTCTAAGTTAGACTAACAATATTTGTTATTTTGTCATATTTCATTAATATTTCAAGTGTATTCCGTTTTTATAGGGCTCCTACCTCCCTCTGTGGTTTTCACATCAAATGAATTGCAATAGGAACATATTTAATCAATTAACAGTAAAAATCCATACACTGTGGGAAACCTTTATGTGAGTCCTGAGAATAAAAAGCCTTCAGTATTTTAATGACAGATGTGTGCACTGAAGGCAGGAGGTGTTTTATTTTGTATGAACAAGTAAACTGAATTTGTTAAATTACTACTTCAAAAATGAAGTAGTAATTTTACTGAGTAGGAAACATTCTGTGATTTTTAAGGTGACGGACAACAAACTCTGTTGTTCGGTTTTTGTTGTTGGATTTAAAAGGTTTGAAAATGTTTTTTTCTTTTTATCATCATTGTAGCCATTGTTTTATACTATAATCTGCACTAATAATTTTCCCCAAAGGATTAAAAATATTATATATCTATCTGTTTTATAAATAAATGTGCCAGTTTATCTTACCTTTGTGTCCTGAGCTGGTCTCTGACAGCCTCTGCACCAGATCCATCCTGTTCATGTCCATGAAAACTTCCTTCGTCACCTCCACAGACTGTTGACCGTATTTCTCCACCATCACATCCACCAGTAGGTTTACACTGTTTGCCCACAGTTGTTCCCATGAGAGTTGTGGAAGGTTCCTCTTGAACAACGTAAACTGCAACAGCCACTTGTAGGTATTGAGGTCCTTGTAACTCAAATCACTGAATGTTTCCAAAAGCAGCTCTTTAAAAGCCGCCATTGTTGCCACCTGAAAAAATGGGGGAAAAGGGATATGTTCATACAGAAAAATGTAACTGTGTGTACCTATCAGTGACAATATTTGATACATTTGAATGTTTTAAGATGTGTTTTTCAACAAGATAACATAAACTATTGATATATTTGGTAATTATCTGTTTGTTAGGACAGATGATGAATCTTATTTCCTTCTACACTTTAATATCTGTAACCTGATTATGGGGTTGTTGTTCTTTGCATTCCCATGGTGTAACTCTTGCAGTGTGCTGTCAAACCCTGAAATGTGCCACCTGATTTCACCATGATCAAATTCATGTTTTGTATTTTGTGTATTTCTTTGAAAAACTGACTTCATGAAAATAAGAACATTATTGAGCTCAACCACATCTCAACTTCAGAGAATTGGGTTTAATTTATCATCACTTATCAGCATTAATGGTGATAGGAGTTTAAACCTGAATCTTGAATATAATATTGACTGAAAGCTGTACTCTGCTTGGTCAGACAGATATAACATTACTCACTTTGTGGATGAGTGCAGACAGGTGTTCATCCACTGAGTGTTTTTCTGAGGAGACAGAAAGAAAATAAAGGACAGAGAACTGAGTGACATCAGGCAATACTGCATTATACTATTGTACTATTTCACATTAGCAATAAAGTATATATTTGTACACCAGATGATGTTTCTTCTTTTCTCCATATTATAAATCCTATTATTTATCCTGTAAAGAAAAGAAGACATAAACTTTATTTTAACTTTTATTTATTGTCTTACTTTTGGCTCCTGAGCTGCTGTCAGACAACCTCTGCACCAGGTCAGTCCTCTTCATCTTCTTTAAAACCTCTTTGGTCTTCTCCACAGACTTCTGGCCAAAAGTCTGCACCATTGAAAACACTGTGTCCTGCAGGTCTGTTATTTTCAGCAGCAATGATTGCATGTCTGTTGTCACAAACATTAATAAGTCAGGACTGAGGAATGGAAATTGATTCAGGACCTTCTTGAACTCCTCAAACTCCTCGTCACTCAAATCTTTCAGTGTTTCCAAAAGCAGCTCTATCACAGACGCCATCGTTTCCACCTGGAAAATTCAGAGAAACAGTTCATGGTTCAAGTAAAATTTGTAAGCAAGGATGATTAAAGATTTTTATGTTATCATCAGTGTGTGTTTTAATGAAATGAAATTAATATTTGTCCAATTCTATTTCTATAACCATATTTATGGCTTTACAACAGTTTATCTGTTTAACTAGTTCTATGATGATTTTCTTCATGTACTGAATAAAAGTTGCACTGTGTAAAGTCAATGTGATTTGATATACTCACTCTCTGGGTCAGTAAAGACCGCTGTTTCTCTGAAGGGAAAATAAATTAAAAAGACATTTTAATAAGTGATTTAACATCAGGCCAAAGTGACACAAAGACAAAAAATGACACATAGAGCTACTTGAAGAGTGCTGAACAGATTTGGATGCATTTGTTGCAATATGCAAAAAACTTAAAACCTGATAAATTGTGGAGAGGACGAGGATGAGAGGATGTCATACTAGCATTGCACCTACCGTCTTCCATGGTGTTTACACCAGCTGTCCAGCTGAGGGTCCTGCAGCTGAAACAAATTTAGGGAAAATTAAAACTGCTTAAAATGGATCGGTGTCAGTGTAGTGTTTATGCAATTAACAATTTTTCCATGCACACCTAACAAAATAATTTCTTTGTGGTTAATATAGATACAGACTTGCAATTAATTTGTCCTTGACTTCATATTCCTGGTTTTAAAACATTTTTTAAAAATTCCCTTCATTTTGTTCCAGTTTAGGAAGAGACTTTAAAGGATAAGACTTTTATATTTTATTTTTGTGGTATTGTCAACAAAAAAAAGGAGCCAAACCCACAATGTGTCAGTCTCTCTCAATACTTTCTGAATACCAAGCCTGTCTGTGGCATTCAGCCTCTAGTCTAAATCAAATGTATAGATTAATTTTTGAAAGAAACTTAAAAAACAAAAAAAACAAAAAAACAAACTGTGAAACAGGAGTAGATATTGCATTGGTATGGACTATTTCTTTCCTCCTGTAAAATCGGTATCTGTCACAAAAACCCATATCGGTAGTGTTCTAACACAGATGCACGGGATTTGTACCATAAACTACATAAAAAGGATTTTACTTTTACTCTCACAGAAATAGTGTCTCTGTGAGTAGACCTAAAGTAGCATATTATAATAATAATTTTAAAAAAAATAGGAATATAGGAACAAGATGTGCAACTAAGGGGCCATAGTCCAACGTGTGCTCGAAAGTGAAAGTAAAACGTGGGTCGTTCAAATGTTTTCACTTTGATTTCCAACTTCATTAAAATCTGAAGGTACTAAAATAAATACTCGAGTCTATTATTGCGAGTTTATGGCAAACAAGTTGTGTAAACTGTGTATGAAGTGCCGTAAGATATATTAACCGAGTCTGTTTGTGTCTTCGTGGCAGTTTTTTATTTGGCTATTAAAACTGGTTTTCACAGTTTTGCTTGAAAAATGAATTAAACTGTGCAACAGCCTTCCAGAGGCGATCAGGATGGCATAAGTCTCTTGTTAAGACGCATTTTTATAGTCTTGCCTTCCTGTGAGCCTTTTTACTAACCTTCGTTTGCAGTGGTTTTATTATTTTATCTTTTATTTATTGCTGTTGTTTTTTACCCCGTAAAATCACTTTGTTTTTGAAATATCCTATATAAATAAAGTTAATTATTATTAATATATTATTATTATTGTTATTATTATTATTAAAAACTCAAGCCTTTTTATAGATCTGCTGTGTTTATTTTTTGTTGTGTCTCTTTTTTCAACTTATTCTTTTCCTCTTGTTTTATTCATCTTTATGTATATGCGAATGTTTATGTAAAGTATGCGTGTGTGTATGTATATCTACCTAGCCTATATATGTGTATGTGTGTTTAAAGCACTTTGTAACTGCGTTTTAAAAATACATATATATTGTTATGAAGAGGAAGAAGAAGTTATAAAACTGGAAGTTATGATTTACTACCGTTTAAAAACAACTTGTAGCTTCAGTTTTTAGAGCTGAAATCGTCCACTTATGTTCAATACTTGCAGAAATAGTTCATCTTTATTATTAAACGAGTTTTAACCGTGAAGCAGTGCTCTGATGTCCGGTATTAATGTGAAGTCTTCACGCTGGAAGCGGAAACTCACCGTGAATATCTCTTTATCTATCTCTCAGTTTCAGTATCTTTGAAGATTGGAAACCAGAGAAGTTTAAAATCCAGCCACATTTCTACCTTTGACTCGTTCCTCTGAATCCGAAGATAAACTAGTTTCCTTTAGTCTGAGGCAGTGTTCAGTCTACAGTCAGATACCTCCCTCTTTACTGCTCAGACCAACGCCCATTACACTGCACAAAGTCACTGTACAGGTTATACACACTGCAAGATAACTGTGAACATTTACATTAATACAAATATATTTAGACACTGGTATATTTTATACTTGGCCTTGCATGAAACCTAATGTTGTGATTTTTTAATTATTATTTAAAACTGCATATTACATCATTATAGTAGCCTACTCAAACAGGCCTGTGAGGATTAAAAAAAACTGTATGTCAGACTGAGTTAAATGTAGTTTTAAGTCCTCAACCTGAACTTCAATATTCACCGATAAGAAACATTTAACCAACAAACCTCCACTGTTGCTTGATACCTTTGGTACTTAGTGAAACTACTGTTTCATTTGGGCTGTGATTGAATAACGTCTGCTTGTTTTTAACAAATTCTGAAAAGCTCTGTGTCAGATTAAATAATAATCTGTATGAAAAGAGCTATATATATATATATATATATATATACCTCCTTTCCTGTTTATCTTTAGCTGTCCTATCTAATAAAGGGGATATTATTAAAAAACTGCAAAGAATCAGACCTGAATCAGAATGTAAAAATGCCACTGTCATACCAAAATCAGATCTCAGCCAAATATGAGCAAAATAAATCATATACATATTGGGTCACTTTGACCTGCAAGTCTGAGACTTTTGTTCTGTTCCACAAACACAAAAAAAAAAGGAAATAGAAAACACAATATAACTCTTTCTGTTCTGCATGTACAGCCTTGTGCAAAGTTCAAACTTAAATTTACATTTGGACTTACACTTGTCTTGCAAAATCCTTCACTGCCTCAAATTTTCCCATTCCCCATTATTCTGCAGCTCCACATCCGGTCCAGCAGGTGGCGGTAATGCGTCTACAAGCTGGTTTGCAAACCGCCATTAAAACCCGACGAAGAACAAGAAGAAGAAGGAGAAGAAGAAGCAGGCAGTGCCGAAAAACTCCCAGTCGAAGAAGAAGTCACAGTACGTAACAACAACAAGCCAGACAGATGACCTGAGTAATCTGCTGGTAGGTCGTGTAACGTGTATTCATTAACGAGGCATAAACAGGCATAAACATTTTATTTTATTATTTATTTTAAGAAATTGGAAATATTTTTGCTCACCTGGCTAGTAAAGAACCAGCCTTCAGATTTAAGCTATTTGTTGTTGTTGTCATATATCAGTTATCGATATATTTGTTGATTTCACCTGGCTGTTTAAACAGGCATGTAACCTGGTTCTGCTTCAGCTGTATGTTATGATACATACCCAGCAGCTGTCTTTAGATAGCTACCAGTGAAATAAATAAAGGTTGCTCATGCTGTCAGTTAGTTTCTGTAACTCATTCATGTGTATAAAATTGCTAATGGATAATTCTGCAGTCTAGGAGACCCCCTGCCCACTTTAACAACTTAAAAAAGACATACTTAACTTAAACTGTTTTATCAGCCTGATAATTGATGGTTTTTCCTAAGTTCATGTCCTGATACTAATGTTTCGAGTCTCAGAGACTTCAGCTGTAAAACATGGTTAAATACAATTCACTTCTTATGCTCTATATGTGACTTCTGTTGACACTACGTTTTATGCAACACTACACTTCCTAACTACCAAAATTGTGAGTTGTCTATTTGTGTTTCTGTTCTTGGAGTTTGCTCATAAAAAAAAGTGTGGTGTAATCGACTCCAAATTTGAGGGTTATTCATAGTCAATGTTTGTGTTTTAAAGGGTTAGTCTGCATGCAAACTAATGTCCTCAATTATTAAAGTCATAGAATAACACAACAAAGGGGTCTGTGAGACCCCAAACAGCTTGAGACACTGCTATGCAGAAGCCCCATCTCTCTACATTAATATATATCCAAAGGTCCTGTATTATTATTATCATTATTAAATTAGTTTATATAAAAACACACACAAATGGCATTTACTCTTTATTTAAGCTTTTTTGTACTACTGGTTGTTTATTATCATTGCTTTGTTACCTAAATATTCACTTTGTTATTGCCGTGAGATTTCTCCTACCTGACATAATTGGATACTTTTCTTTAAAGATAATGTGTATGAGTAATGTTTGCTTTCCAAATCCACAGGAGGCCAGAAATGAGTTGCACTTTCCACCTCCTGGTTTCCCGCAGTGACTTCTGGCATGGCCGATTTCTGCTCATCTTGTCTCGACAGTCCCTGTTGCTCAGAGCATTCAGCTTCGGGCCGCAGATCAGCCGCAGCCTGCAAGAGAGCTACAGGGTTCTGCAACTGCCTGACGAAGGGAACAGCAGTGCTGTGCAGGTGAAAGAGGCCTACTTGCGCCTTGCCAAGCTCTACCACCCGGACTCTGGGGCTCCAACTGCAGATGCTTTACTGTTTGCTCGAGTTGAGGAGGCCTACCGAGCTGTGCTGGCACATCAGAGCAAGACCAAGCAACCTGATGGAGGGAAAGAAGTGGAAGACGAGGATAAGTCCAGAGGTAAAGCTTTTCCACACAGGCAATACCTCAGCTATGAGGGTGTGGGTTCAGGCACACCCAGCCAGCGTGAGCGTCAGTACCGACAGATTCGTGTCGACCGGGCAGCTGAACAGGTTTCGAACTACCGACAGAGGGAGCATGAGAGGGCAGCTGCTGGAGAGGGGGCACTGGTGGAACGGGACATGCGTCAGCGCAGCCAAAAGATCAAGATCACCCAGGCTGTGGAACGCCTTGTGGAGGACCTGATCCAGGAGTCCATGGCCCGGGGAGACTTCAGGAACCTGAGTGGAGCTGGAAAGCCCCTCAACAAGTTTGAGCACAATCCATACGCTGATCCTATGACCCACAACCTCAACCGCATCCTCATAGACAATGGTTACCAGCCACCCTGGGTCGTTACACAACGCGACATCCGAGAGACCACTGCTCAAATCCGAAATAGGTTATTGGAGGGCAGGGCCAAGCTCAGCGACCCTATGACCCCCAAAGAACACAGCCAGTGGGAGCAGCTTTGTGCATCTGTAGAGGAGGAGTTGGTGAAACTTAACAAGATGGTGGATAATTACAACCTCATGGTACCAATGCTCAACATGCAAATGGTTCACTTCAGTTTGTCGCGAGAGATAGACCGCGCTGTGAAAGGAGCCCGTCAACACAGACTGGACCAGCAGAGAGAGAGAGAGAAGGAAAGAGAGAGGAGGAAGGAAGAGAAGAAAAGAGCCAACGCAGTAACCAAGCCTACAAATACCAAACAAGGCCTGATTTCTTGGATGAAGAATTTGCTCAGATTAAAACACTAAAACTCTGAATCTAAGTGAACAGAACAATATTTTAGATCAGTGGTTTATTTGTTGTTGATTTTTTCACTTAAACCAATCATTACAGTCAATGGGGTAATATTTCAGACACATTTGTTCACCTGCTTATCTCTGTACATTGTACGCTCTAACGTCAGAGACAATGGAGGCACTTTACTCATTTAGCTCTGTGTTACTACGGTTATTGTCCAGATATGTAGGATAATCTTCAGCTGTTAGTGGAAGAACAGTACTGAGCAACCGTGATTGTGGGACTGTAAAGTGTGAGGAACTGCATGTGTTGATAACAAAGATTACAACATGAGGCAATTTTATGATACAAGTTGTTTCTGTGAAATCACTTATCTGACGCACTGTAACTTTTGGTTGCTATGTGACATTAAAAGTTAAGGTAATAAAAAAAAATAAAAAATCTTGTGTTACAGAGGTTTACATTTTTCAATCTGGGAAGTTTTTAAATAGCTGAATGTGTCATTCTAGTCTGGCAGCTGCTCCAGTGTTGCAGGGTTGCAGATGACTGTGGGCTCCTTGCTGCCGCCTCCGTTACCCGCAGCCTCCCTGTGCAGAGCCTGAGCGACGGCCCGGGACGGAGTGATCACCTTGGTCCAGTCGTGGGCGATGTACTGGTGGTATGGGTCGTGAGAGCTTTCAAGCTTCTTGGAGCGAATGTAGCTGAGCATGATGCCAAATGTGAAGAAGCTGAACATGCCGACCACCAGAAGGATGTACATCATGCCCTGAGACTGAGAGTGGGCCCTGGCTCCATCCACATGGTGCTGGCTGGTGTAATTCTGTGGTATCGGTGGAGAGAGTATGCTTGTGCTGTTGAGGCAGTGCTGCAGGAAGGAGAGCAGGAGCGACTGCAGCTCGGTGGTGTTGATGTGTGGCATGGCTGGCCTCTGCTGGACGCTTATCAAACTGCAACTGAGGAGGAAGAGGAGACTGTATTTCACTATTGTATTATTTAATGTGACTGTGATCCTCCTAACTTGCTTATGTCAACAGGAGGCAGCAGACACATCATTTCAGAGCTGGAGGTGACTAAAAAATAGACTAAAATATTTTCCATAAATGCATATTAAGACATTAGAGGGAAAAAAAGATGGAAGAGATAACAGAGGCATAAGCAGCAAGAGTGAGACACATCTCATAGTGATTTAAAATAAAAATGAATTTATCCAGGAGAAATAAATATTAATATCTAAATATTAAGGAGATACTATTTTCAGGATACTCAGTTTCTCAGAGATTTTATAAATGTGTATTAAGTGACAGTTTAGTGCAGTGGTTCTCTACCTGGGGTTTCTAAACCCCCAGGGGTCCTTGAGAGGCTTCCATGGGGTCCTTTCACCATAATTTCATTAGATAAAAGTTAGCCCAGTGAAATAATGTATACGAATTATTATATTCTGTTCATTCACACTGCAAATCTATAATATACTAGTTATTGAATAACAAAATCTTATCAGACAGGGATCCCTGAGACTATATCTTGTCAAATACGGGTCTACAACCTGTTGTGTATCAATTTGTGGGTCAAAAAACGTTGAAAACCGCTGCCTTAGTGTGTTGTCATATTTTAAAACTACACATCGGAAACATATTCTCTGAATCCTACCCAAGAAGCTTAAGCTTGAATGCTCTACACTTGCTTGGCTGACCTTTTCAAATTTGTCTTATGAGAGTGAAGGTGAAATGATATAGAAACTGATTCCTATTAATTATATCTACATCATTTTTCAAGCTGTGTCCAGTAGAAAGAAAAGCCTACCTTTCAAGGATCTGGAATCGGTTCCTGTTGTCATTTGCACCAGCAGACATCGATCATTTCAAGTCATGCGTCTCCAGCAGGTCTAGAAGCAGCTGGTCCCTAACTACACGTCGAATAGAACCGTTCAATCTCCCTTCTCCTAGTCACAATGTGCCCTCCTTCATGCTCATGCTCTTACGCGGAAGAGATATCCAGCATGTTCAACATGTCAACACTTTTAATGAAACGAGGAGGTCACAGGGCAAGGTCAAAAGCTCAGTATAGTGAGGCATTGGTACAGCATGACTTGAACCACTGTGTGAGAGTTTACTGAAGATGAGCATGCTCAGGGTTAGGCTATTAGTCTTTACATGATACCTAAGCTGTGCTAAATCTGGTAATATGTCATTAAAATTGTAAGAAAAATATGTCAAAGTAGATTTAATGTATTTATGTTATGACTACGTGATCAGGATATTCAGAATTACGTGTAGATACCGTTTCCATCACCCTTTGTGGCTCAAGACTGGTGTTTGTGAAGAGGGTACGTGGTTGATTGTATTGTCTCGTGTATTTATTCATGTATATTATATTTTGCAGTAGGAGTGTGTGGTCATTTTCAGGACAGTGTCAGGCTGCAGCAGGAGAACAAAGCTGCTTTCAGACCGGAGGTAGTTTAGACAGTCTGCAGCACAGCTCAGACTAGATTGAGTTACAACACTATCACCTCCAAATGTCCTTTAACTCGCTGTTGTAGTTGTGTGTGTGTGTTGTGCCTGAAACCTGCAATAAAGAGGTATTTAAGAAAGAGATGAAGAAGATAGATAGATTTTTGTCCTCATATTCTGCAGGGGGATTGGTAGGCAAAGGGCAAAGTTTGATATAGATCAATGTTGTATTTTTACTGTATTTTAAAAAACACAAAACATACCTCTCAGCAGTGGATTATTGTCAAAGTTAACACTGAAAAGGTCTTCAGTGTCTGTGTTTAAGTCTTTGCCAACACAGCAAACACATCAAGTGCAGTGGACAAAAAATAGGTTGCATCAAATTGGATAGAAACAAACAGAGTTTATATTGACTACAACAGACTTTTATGTTTATGCTTCACACTAACACTGGTGTGAGAGTGATGTCAATGTTATGCTAATAGGGTATCCACTCACTTTCATGTTTAAAATCTCAAGATATCAAGACCTCTCTTATTTGGTATGATGAAGATATGACAATGGTCAAAATGTAATTTGTTACTTTTTTTTTTTTTGGCATTTCTGCTTCTGTTGTGTGGCCAAAGACATGTAAAAGAAGAAAATAGTTTCTGCAAATGTCCTGCGCACTAAAACCAGCACATTTACATGATACACACCACAAATTTCCATCAGCACTGTTGATCCTGTAGAAATGGGAGCAGTGCAGAGAGCTGAGGCATGTCAGTAAAGTAGGAGATTTTTTAAAGTACTTTTTGAAGTATAATTGATTAATTATATAAATTAATAAGTCAATCATTTGATTAGTTTATCAATAGGAAATTTATCAATAGCCATTTGGATAACTGTTGATGTTCTAGAGTTACAGCATTACAGGTTGTCCTTGCATTTTTGTATGTTTCATTGTTTTCAGTTGGATATTTTTGTATTGTTTGGACTTTGGTCACACACATTGTGCAAAAAGTAAAAAAAAAAATACTTACTAAGACTAACTCGAATTTCTATTTTTATATGCTATAGACCAAAAACTAATTAATTCAATAACTGATAGATTATTCAACAATAAAAATAATTTATTGAATTATTGAAAACTTTATTTACAAATCTACAAACTTTCAAGCATTTAATAGTCCCACAGACTACATTAGACACTGAATTTCATTCAAAGGAGAAATCTCCCCTGCCTACTGCATCATCAGCTAGTTGACCAAGGCATTCAAATTTCAACCTCTCATCATGGCACAATAATGAAGCTTGACTCGCGGAGAGATGAGCTTGTTACCTGGTGGATATAAAATGAAAAAAACATGTGACATGCGACATGTGACATGCTTTCATATATGTCATATTATCACATTTTCTTAAAAGCAAGAGGTCTCACTCACCGGTAATTTTACTCTAGCTGCACCCCGTCACAGGTGTCTTTTGATTCTAACAGCCTGTAAATATAAAAAGAAAAGGTGAATCATTTAGATGTGAGAAACAGTAAGGAAGAGAATCATAATGAATCCCCCAAATGTCTTTACTTTATTCATTTAAACATTGTTGCTGAATCAAACTAAATCAAAAAGCTTGAGCTCAAGACCCAAAAGAGAAATTTTGTGTCTCCCCAGGACCCAAACGTATCGGCCTTTCACACCCTCGCTCCATAACTCACCACCTCCAGCCATTTAAAGGTCCAGTGTGTAGGATTTAGTGGCATCTAGCGACGTAGTTGCAGGTTGCAACTTCCTCGATTCACCCTCCCCCGAAGGAGAAACTATGGCGGCAGTGGAAATGTGCGAAATACGTGAAATGCCATATCTAGAGCCAGTGTTTGGTTTGGTTTGTTTGGTATCTGTGGCGTCTGTAGATATTCAAGGCTCATTCTAAGGTAAAAAATACAATGATATGAAAATACAATTCTTATTTTCAGGTGATTATACACAAATTAAAACATATTATGCATATTATATTTCATATCTTTCAATAGATTATCCTAAATGTTACACACTGGACCTTTAAATGAAGGGAAGGCAGCAGAGAGGAAGCGGTTTAGATCATGGGGTAAAAAGCAATTGCTGAGCTGTGCTGAAATTCTGGCGGTAACCACCTAGAGGCAGCAGTCACTTTTCCTCCCACTTTTGCTTTTTGGGCCATGTGGCAGTCTGAAACAGCCTTTACACAAATTCATCATGAATTAACACAACATCTACATTTATAAATTACTGAAAAAAAAGATTGCAACACACCAGTCAGGTCAAATGCTAAACAAAAAAGATTGGCAATTTTGACTTTGATTTTGAGCAAAAAAGGTCCACAATCTATTTTGGGTCTCAAGCCTGAGTTTGAGAAATGCTGGGTTAAACAATTACACACACACACACACACACACACACACACACATACATATATATATAGCACACTGTATTAAAATGTGTGGCACTTTCTAAGACACCTGACTCCAGTACATTGATTAAAGGTTAAAAGATTGATCCTTAATTAATCACATCACATGAAATACAAATGACTCACTCTGCCTGAGCTTTGAGAGCTTTACGGGCCTCCCGAGCTTCGTGCTCCTCTGAAATCTTCTTGTAACAGTACACTAGAACCAGAATGAGCCACAGCTGCAGAACCACAATCAGCACGTACATCATTATCTCTGAGATCACTGCTGTCAGCTCCCGATTGGCTGGGAAAGAGAAACCAACAATGTAGCATTATAGAGGATGCATGTCCACCAGGGTTAAGGCTGTGTTTTCTGTGCAGACTAATTCCATGTAGTCCCCTGGCAAATAGCAAAGGAGAAATGTTGATAAAAAAAATCTTTCCAGCGTGGACACGGAGAGTCATGGTTGCGGTCATGAAGCCAGGACCTTATGTTTAGGTTTTAAATGGTGGATTGAAAAATAATCTCAACAGGAAAACTGTGAACGCAGTTTTACCAAAATAGAAGAAAGGAGAGATACTGAACAGAATTAAAAGTGACGGCCAGTGGTGGAATCTGACTAAGTGCAAGTTACTCAAGTAGTGTTTTTGAGTACAATGTACTTGAGTTACTTGTACTTGAGTGTTTCCAATTTATGCCACTCTTCAACTTCTACCCCATTTCAGAGAAGAAATGCTGTACTTTTTACTCCACAACATTGACCCACCAGTTACATTTTTGATTAAGATTGTACATATAAACTAAAGGCTAGGTTTAACAGTTTCCTGTTGTTTTGACTTGTGCCTGTGACTGATGTGACCAAAAATGATTTCCCATCTGAACTTCTCAGATGGTTTCTATTCTATTATAAACCCAAAGAGGTCAAATTATAGATTAAAGAGAAATACCAGTGTGTGTGTCATAGAACTTCCTCATCAATCATCTCACAACCCGGCCAGATTAATTTTGTAATTTTATTAAACCACCTAACTGTATATAAAGTATATATACTTATATATCATATATATATATATATATATATATATATTCATATACACTGATGCATGATATGTAAAGTCACAGAATGACTACTTTTACTTTTGATATTTCAAGAACATTTTGCTGATAATACTTTAATTTAAGTAGGCTTTTAAATGAAGGACTTCTTACTTGTAACTGAGTATATTTGCATTGTTGTATAAGTTCTTTTACTTAAGTGTACACCCCACCTTACCTACAGCCACCACGCTGAGCTCCACCTCCTTCTCCACAGTGACTTGCTCATTATGATTCACCATGAAGAGAGTGCGGTGGATTGTGCAGCGGTACGTCCCTGTGTCATTAAAGGTGACATTATAAATGTAAATAGCTCCTGTCTGAATATCGCTGTTTTGTGTCCCATGCCACTCCAGACGGTCACTGAAATCTTCATGGATTATGTCGGAACTGGGGTGGTCATAGTGAAAAATCTGAGGGAAGAAGAAAAAAAGGAAACATATGGAATTTATGAATATTTAAGAGCATGTATATAATCTTTTAAAGTTCCTGCTCTGAATAAACTATTCGGTATAACTTAAACACATTCACTGCTTTGTATCTACAAATGATGGAGAGTGTAACATGTCCGTCTAAAGCAGAAGAACAAATATGTGTAAGTCATAACACAAAATTGTATAAAGATCCATTTGGGTTTAGTGGGTCTTAGTTTTGATATATATGTATGTTTGTGTGTATGAGGGTTGAGGTAGTACTCAGCTGAAACGAATATCTGGTGGCTTAAATTAACAACATCCGATTAGTCCCGTTCATAGGAATGCCAATCATTTAACACAACGGTTGAACCAAGTGTGAACCTATAATGACGTCATCCATTGGTTTGTAGAGTACCATTTTGAAGCCTTGAGTTCTGCGTTTTAAACGTTGACATGACGTGATGTACTGTGAATTGATCTGCACTCACTGGCTGTGCAGTTTAGACCCATATTTGATCAGCAACTTTGACAGTTTGACCTGAGTTTGGTGCACTGTGCTGGACCGACTCACTGAGAGTGACTGATCAGTCACAAGGTAGCCACGGGCAAAAGCATATGTAGCTTTATCGTCTATTTTACTGTAATTTGGACCATAATTTACTAAATGAACATCACAATGTACGGGAGAAGACATGAAACAAGCGATTGAGACCATAAACTAGTTGGGAAATTGTTTACTGAGCTCATAAATGAAGTGAGAAGTCGACTCATTCTCCATTAGGGTGAATGGTATAGGTGTGTTATTGCAGCCAATGGAGCTCTCCCTGCTGGCCTTTACATAGAATACAGGTTTTAAGGAACTTCGACATTGGCTTCACTGTTCAGACCTGGAAGCTCTGTCCATTATATATCATGTCAATGGGTTGAACAGATACAGATAATAATGTACACGCTCATCTTATATATATATATATATTCTTTTAATTTGAAACAACAATGTAAAAACATAAGATACATAAACCTGGATTTCTTATATTTAATGACAGATGCAGATGACTACAAAAGGAACCCTTTTCAGTCACAACCCCCAACCAGATTTAACACTCCCTTCAAAGACTTTGTTGAACTCACATGCATGAACTCCTCCTCTCCGAGCGGTTTGAAGTGCCAGTCTACAGTGGCTCGTGCAGAGACCTCCTCTCTTCTTTTACAGGAGATGCAGCCCAGCAGGAATCCTTCTCCTGCCACGGCTTCAGTCATGGAGTCCACCTCCGCACATCCTCCGAGACACTGAGACACTGCAGGGAAAAGAGAGAGGACAAGAAGAGAAGAAGTTGAAAACAACAGTGATTTAAATTAACAAGAGGGGAGAAGAAGAAGAACATGCAAGGACTTTATTATATTGATAACTTTTCATATGCCATTTAGACTGTATCCCACTTGATAGGAAAATATGTTTAGTACTCTAAGTACTCTAATCAAGGGCTTGTAGTTGTCAGTAAGTAGTATTTTAACATAGCTTAACAGAACTGAACTTTATTTGTATAGCACCTTTTAACAACAAAGCAATTTAAAGTGTTTAACACAAAACATAAAAAGAAACACAGCAACATACAACAAGACTTATATAAATTTGATTTAGAGAGTTGTATTCGACACCTAAAAAACTATATTCAAAAACCCTTATTTTGTGTTTATAGAAGGCGGGTGCAGTAGAAATACAATCTACTAGGAATGCATATGAAGTCTTTGCCATTTTTTACATTTTATTTTATGAAAAAGCTGTGAGGAATCTCTAAAGAAAGAAATTCAGTTCACTTAAGAAACTCACTTTAAAATGTGCAGCTTCAACCACCAACATCAATAGGTCCTCATTATTATTATTATTATTATTATTATTATTATTATTATTATTAGAGGTACAGACATAAATGATTTTGGACTTACCAGAAAGACTGAGGACAATTAGAAGAGACAAGTGGCATATCATTTCTCCTGGAGTAACTTAAGGCCAGCCGTTGAACAAAATATTGAACTTTCCTTGACGTAAACCTGCAGAGAAATATCCGTGGCGTGTAAGATTACATTACTGACACAATGCCTCTTGATTCCTGATTAATCCCATGTCCTTCACAAACCAGTCCACCCTTTAATCCAGACTTCGATTCAGTCTAGTAGTTCCCCAATCTTGTATTTCACAGAGCCCAAACTGAACAGACCACTGAAAATGTTTACTAAAAAAAACTTTCTGTCCGTCTCCGTGTTTCTTCGCAGTAGTTTTAAATCTCCCCTGCAGTCCCATCTGGCTTTAAGGCTGCTATATTTAGTGCGTGTGAATCCAGGAGAGTTGGACGTTGTGAGTGTTGAAAGCCAACAGGAAACCTGAGATGAAGAGACCTGATCCGGCAATAACTACACAGCCTAACCATCTAAACCAAAACTACAGCCATGTTTCTTCTTATCTGCAGATTGACAGAAGAAAGTTTTCTCAAAAAGGAAAAAGAGAAGAAATAGATCTTTGTTTTTCTTTCTTAGTGCTGCATTATAAGAAAACATTTTTAATCAGTTATTTTTGTACAGCTTTGTATATCATTTTCATTTCCAATTCCATTTTGTATATCATAAAATGTTATGCGTCCTTTGGTTATTACCTTTTCTTGCCTTATTATTATCTTTGCCAAACTGTATTCATGCTGTTCTATAACCTGTATTTTGTATTCATTCTTTAATAAAAAAGGAAGCAGCATGTCTGGCATGCAAAACCATCCCTGACATGTTTTGTTTAACAAATCCTTTCGGACAAACACATGCTGGAACTTAAAGGGAAATTATTGTTTTAATGCATTATGATACCTTGTCTGTAAATAAATGCTCTGTTCTCCTGCCCCTCTCCACGGGTCAGAGGTCAGTTACAGAGCCCTGCAGCTGGCAGGGGTTTAATGTTTTTGCTCAAGGACACTTCAGCAGAGATTAATCATTTGCTCCAGCATTTCGAATGTTAAGTTACTAGAAGTTGATCTTTCCCTGAGGATTTGCATGCTACTTTGTCTATCATTCCATGAAGTGAACTGACTTCACCAAATCTCTTCCTGTTGAAGACTGAAAACCAGTCAGGGTTATGAGACCTTGAGTCAGGAGCACTGGCAGACCCCATAAAACCAAACACCCTCAACAAATCTTCATCAAAATCTGCTGTTGTTAATAAAATATATTGTACAATTAAGTTTGTATATCAATATGTGTCATTTGAGTTACAGTGGCTGACTGTGTAGCTGGTCATTTGTGCACCTTCCCAGAAGATGATACACAACAGAAATGTACCAGTCAGCACAGATGTTTCAGATTGTTTGTTAGGAACAATCTGATGAGTCAAATAGTGATACATGTGACTGGGCCTTTTTAAATCTTCCAAAAGCTTTTCTGTTTATCTTATCTCTGAGATAAATGCATTAATTTTTTTTTTTTTTTTTTTTTTTTTTTTTTTTTTTTTTTTTTTTTTTTTTTATTTTTTTTTTTTTTAATATTTTTTTATTTTAATATATTTTTTTTTTTTTTTCTTTTTTCTTCCTTTTTTTTTTTTTTTTTTTTTTTTTGTTTTTTTTTTTTTTTTTTTTTTGTTTTTTTTTTTTTTTTAAAGGTAAAAAAAAATTTTTTTTTTTAAATATTTTTTTTTTTTTTATATAATTATTTTTTTTTTTTTTTTTTTTTTTTATGGGGGTTTTTTTTTTTTTTTTTTTTTTATAAAATTTTTTTTGAACGCAAAAAGGGGGGGCACCCCTTGTCTGGAGTGTAACATTGAGGAGGATCTATTGGCAGAAATGGAATATAATATTCATAGGTATGTTTTGCATTATCAGCCTTGTTTTCTAATATAATAATAATAATAATAATAATAATAATAATAATAATAATAATAATAATAATAATAATAATAATAATAATAGTAATATATAAAAAATATATATAAACAAATGATCTTTATTAAAATAAATAAATTTCCCTCTAACAGCAGAAAATGTCACATTTTGTAAGTATAATCTCTCTTCTTATCAGTTTTGATCTGCCGTCTAAGGATCTAACAGCCGGTCAATGTCAGTTGTCCAGTCAGAAAAACAAGGCCACTGAAGTCAAGGCTGACAAAACAGACATTGACTGAAGGCCTCAACTTGCGTGCCTTGCACGTGGTTGGTACAGACAACATGTTGACGTGATGAATGTAATGAGATGGTTTTTTTTCTTTTTAAAGGGGAATGCCTCGTCACATGTCAAGTCAAGTTAAACATATCCCTCTCTAAGGCCGTGCAAATAAAAAAAAAAAAGATGTACAGTGTAAACAGGAAGGATATAAGCTGTGTTTCTGCCAGTCAGGCTGTGTGTATGTGTTTGTGTGTGTTTGTGTATTTTGGCTGCATTGGAGGTCAGGTATGTCATGTGATGTAACCAGATGACACAGTGAATCACTGAGCTCTTGATAAGGGTCCTTGCCTCTTTTAACCTTGTGTTAGCCTGTGAATGATAATGACAATAAAAAATCAGCCAGAGCGATCTTGAAAATGACACACATTGCTAAGACAGGATGAGAGAAAGACCTTGGGTTGGCACACACATGAGTGGCGAAACTTCAAGGAAATGTTGACATATGATAAATCCTGTGTGTGTACGTGTGTGTGTTGTGTATATGGGGGTGGGCTGCACCACTCTGACCCTACACACGCATATACACAGTGAGTGACACACCTCCTTTCTCGCTATGCTGGTGCTGTTTTTTTTTATTTTTAGCACAGATCGAGTTTCCAGTCCCCGAATCAGCAGCCAGAGGTGCTCAGCAACACAACTCCCAGTATCCCGGAGCAGTTTCTTGCCCTGGGCTGCACATGTAGCACAGACCTCAGTTCTCTGTTTTGAAGTGGAGCCGGGGAAGTGTTGATTGCAGGAGGCGGTCACAGGGAGTGAGAAGACAGAGGATGCCGGGTAAACCTATGGAGAATTTGAAATTGCCAAGTCATTGTGATGCTGTGCCATCGATTTGAAAGGATACAGAAGTAACTGCTGGCTGAAGATTTAAACTGACAGGCAGGTAAAGGCAAATTCATCACAGCAAAAGATGTGCAGATTTTTTTAGTTATATATGTTGTTAGATACCGTATGTTTTCCTAAAAAAAAAATTTAAATGATAGCACTGACTTTGTTTCTATCATCTATCTGTTTTAAAGCTTCTAAAGCTTCTTCTTTACTTATTGAAGCGTAAGGATATCTGCCCCAAAGTGTAGCCTATTTTGAAAAAGTCTAGTACACTGAGTGTTGAACATTATGGAAATAAGACTGAAACATGCAAAGTATGTACATACAGATGGGACAGATATGAGATAAGTTGCGTTCTTTTAAGTCAACAAGAGCTAAAATGATTAGTCAGTTAAACGATTAGTAGCAACTATTTTGATAAGCAATTCATTATTTAAGTTATTTTTCAAGAATTACTTGACATTTGCTGGTTCCAGCCGCTCAGTTGTGAGGATTTGTTGCATTTCTTTTGTCTTATGTGATAGAAAATGGAATATATTTTGGTTTTGGATTCAATCTATTTGAAGACTTTGGGCATTGGGGACAGGTATTTTCATGAGTTATCTGGAAAATAATTTAAAAATGAATCAACAATAATAATCATTAGTTACAGCCCTAAAATTGACAGCGTTTCAGTTTACACATATTATCTATGGGTAGATTTTAAATCTATGTGAATCTGTTGGTTAAAATCTCTACATTCATGCATCATCGTAACTGAAAGAGTCTTGTCAATGTATGTTCTTTTGTTTTCAGTTTCAGACAAGGTGACCTGTCACTGGCCCTGCTCACTGTATGTGTCCCAGAGGAGAGGATATCCAATCTCTCACAGGCTGCATCCTAACTATAATAGCTCATGAGACCATATGAAGTGATGCTGCTACTCGAGGAAACGGGTGAGACATTTACCATACACATTATGCCATATTTCCGTTTTGTTGCTGCTATTTTATGATAATTTCTGCTTAAAAAAAGGACTCACAAACCTCACATTTAGTTGTATAGCAACTATAATGGCTGCACTCAGCCTTGTTAGACACAAGGGGTCGCAATGTTTCTGTCCATTCATTTTGGATTTTACTATCAGCTCCCTTCAAATTAACTCTGAAATCATGCTAAATCTGTGGGTGTACTTGTACTAGTTGCTCATGTGCTCAGGTGTACTGGGAGAAGAGTTAATATATCTCTGTTGTGTGGTGGTTTGTGCAACAAAAAAATCGCTGTAACTGAAACTGTACAGGATTGCTTAATTTATTTCTCCACGCAATAAAACAACGTAACTGTTGTTTTAATTAAATCACAAGGGTTTTTTTTTGTAGGTGATGAAAGATAAAAACAGACTTCGGGTGGATTTTGTTCGTCTCATGTCAACACTCCTCTTCTTTCGCCACATCCTCTGAACAGTTATTTTCCCGGGCTGTACCACAAAGTTTGCAGCGGGGGTGTTTGGTCTGGTGTCGCTGATGGCTGTGTATGTTTGATCGCATCATAAACGTTATTTATAACTTCTAGAATTTGTTTGTGTTGTGTTTGTTGGTAGGTTTAAGCCTTGTCAAATAAAAAAAAATTTAAAAAACGGTAGCAGGGATTATACTTTTCTTGATGAGACTTCTCGTAACACCCCCGCGTCCTAAGTTAACCGTCCGACGGACCGACTTCGTTCCTTTTCACTTTTCGACAATAAACCGTTTTGTGAGTTTCTTTAAAACCAAGTTGCTGCTTCACCAATGTTGAGCCAACTTCGGCTGTTGCCTTTAAAGTTCGCCAGCAGTATTTATTTATTTATTTTACCGGAGGCTGGTTTTAAACGCGGAAAATGGAAGACGTCGGCGTAGTATTTTCTCTCCTGAAAATTAAACCCTGCTAGTCAGATAGTCATCTTTTTGTGAGCTGTCGGCCTTCAGAGGTCGGTGGTGGTGGGGGGGGGTGGGTGGGGGTGGGAGGGGGTAACGTAAGCTAAACTTGGTTAGCTGGCTGAAGGCTAACTGTTAGCTGCAGCCGGCAGATGCTTCTGTACGCCACCGAGTATGTTGATGTGTTCCTGTGAAAAAGTGGATTTTAACGTTACTCCCCGCACCGTCGCTCGGCTTGTGTTCGAGGCCGAGCAAGATACCCGAAACGGAGGAAACTCATCCAATGGGAGGTAGGAGTTTCAACTCAGCTTAAGCCTTTTTTTTTTTCTCCCCAGGCTGCAGTTTGTTTGTGTGCCATAACGTTGTTGTTGTTGTTGTTATCATCGTTCACCCCGATTTATTTCTGTGTACTGTTTTCGTCCTTTATCATGTCAAACTTGGGCGATGTCAACATGTGTCAGTGGCTTTGTGCTGCCTTTCAATAGCAGTGATATTTCTGAGTGATGCACTTTTTTTATTTATATCACAGGATGAACTGTTCTGAACACTTCACGCTGCAGACACAAGTGCTCCTTTTGTACGCTTGTGTTTTGTTTGTTTTTAAGCATCTGAAATTGGGCTGTGTTCGGGGGTGTAATGTTGTGCGATGGTGGTTTAGAGGTGGCCTGTGTTTTATGGCAAAAAAAAAAAAAGGATCAGGCTTGTGTGGACCAAAGAGTGAAGGCTGTACGGGGATTATGGTGGATTACTCTGGACAAACAAGTCGGTGCCAAGATTGTTCTTGTTCAAACAGATCACAGCAAATACTGTCAGACGTGCTTGGGCCCTTGCCTTGGAAGTGCCTGCTTTGAAGGCAAACAATGGAGTGACACACACAAACACAACTCTTCCCTGTTGGAGGACACATCTGCAGTATGTTTTCATGTAGTCATGACCTTGGTAGCCTATAGTGGCAATTAGACCTTGTTATTGGCTGTAGGAACTATGTATTTTCAGTGGGTGTTGTTTATGTCTGCTATAGTATCTGGTGGTTGCTGTGGGAGATTGTGTGTGTTTGTTTTTTCTGGACCTTCTTTTAGGATCAGCTGTGTTTTTATAAGTCGTGGTTTTTTGGAAATGCTGGGATTTAGATTTCCTTTGCAACACGCAGGGAGGAAATTTATCTCGTGTGTCCGTAACTGTCCACTGATGAACAGAGAGTGACTGATGTCTGTCGGCCGTGTTTACCCAGTTTTGGCAATTTCTGAGTTACTTGAAGGGAGAAAATATTGAATAATGCTGCTAAAATAATTAAACTATTATCCAAACCTGGGGCAAAAGAAAGCACGGAACATAAACTGCCCCAGCATAAATATATCCCATTGATCGGCCCTCTAACGGGAACAGTATTTCATTGCAAATCATCATCATCGTCATATGATACTTTACATTCCCGGAACGGGCAAAGCATACAGTATCAAAAACCAGCTAGAAATAGTCTTAGTCTCGCAATAATTTGTTTTAGGCTAGTGTGAAAGGTTGTAGTCAGATGTAGGCCAGCTATTTCAATGCAAAGTTTCTGCTCTTCTCACTCCTCAGGTAGCTACTTCCAGATACAGATCTGTCTTTGTCTGAGACTTCAGCTGTTGAAAAGATCTGCCTGATAATGCAAATGCGGACTTGAAGTCTGCCAATGGGAGCGGAGTGGAGGAGTACCGAAGAAAGAGAGTGAAACGGGACAGTGTAAGAGGAGCGAGGAGTGAGGCACATAAGCTAAACACAGAAAAGGGACGATGGAGCTTTTTATTCACTCTTAGCCAAACATAGATACAGACTGGACAACTGGAAATGGATTGCCTAAAGAACACAAATTGACAAGGCCTGTGAAATTATCTAACAAGCTATATATATATATATATATATATATATATATATATATATATATATAATAACCTATTTTCATTCCTCATTTTTGACAGTAAAGGAACACCCTTATCAATACTTCTAGGGAAATTTGCTTGTGTGATGTAAAGGAACTTCCAGTTCACAAGAAGTATGAAGAGAACTGAATCATCATCTTAAATTCAGTCAGTGTTGCCTAATAAGTCGATTATTATTATTAAGTGATTTGCACGGAGGGAGTACTTGATGTGTTTCCCACATCTTGCGTTACCCATCCTGTTTCTAAAATATACCAAAGGCAAGCATGACTGGAACATTTTAGTCAGTCATGGGTCAGCCTCGACTCTAAAGATGCGACAAGAAGTCCTTGTTGGTGCCCTTGACTTGACTGAAAGAAAATTAAGCACTGAAGAGCTCTGAAGATGACTATGTCCTCTCCTGTGGGACCAGAAGGTATCACTCTGGCTCAGCCTGTCCCCGTCCCAACCCTGACTGTCCTGCCCCCATCCTCAGATACAGAGTCCTGGTCTCGCTCACCGAGCCCCAGACTGTCACGCTCCAGCCGCCATGGTCGATTCCACCGCAGCAGGAACCGAACCAAGAAACGAAACGAGGAAGAGCAAGGCTGCACTCCTAAGCGACAGTGGGGTAAAAAAACGCAAATTGTAGTAGAGGAGACGGGCCCCATTCCAAACCGTAGCCCCTCGCCCTCCCCCTCCGTGGCCAGTCAGATGGAGGGGGAAGAGCAAGGTCAGGACAGCCCCTCACAGGACCACCTCCTGCCACCGTCTCGCTCCTGGTCTCGTAGTCCCTCTCCCAGCCGGCGCTCCCGTTGGTCCCTAAGGAGCCTACTCAGCAGAGACTCTGACTGGGAGAGCTGCAGGTTAGTGAGCTGGATTCATTCCAAATAACCAGCCAGAGATATATAAAAATTAAAAAAAAAAAAGATGAAAGAAATGATGAAATAATGTGCTAGTGTGCAGCATTTATTGACTCCCTCGTGTGCAGAGACCCAAACTAAAGTGTTTTGGATTTTTTTCTTAATTGATTCAGTTGAACGTTATCTCTTTGCGAATGGACTGCACTTATCTCACAGCAGCAGCAGAACAGAGCGTCCACACCATCAGCACTATGCTTGACTGTCTCATGGGTATTCCACTCTTATAGCTCTGTTAAACCTCAGCCAATTTGCATTCAGGCCTCCTGAGCCCAGATTTGCCTGCAGTGCCTGACTGGAGTGAGTAGCTACTCATTTGTGCATGTTTGTGGGGAATAAAAAGGCCTTACATCTGACAGATTTACGCTTAGTAGACTTTTCTCAAATGACACAAAAGGTCAACTATTTTGGAACAGGGTGGGGTTAATTAGCCAATGGCTAAAAGAAGTAAGGACAGATTACACTGTTAAAATCCTGATTAAGTTGATTCATGGTATGCTATGACGTCAGATTAAAAAGCAGGCCAACGCAAAATTTCAGTGATGAAGCAAGAAGTGGCCTGTACCCTGTACTTAAAACAAACAAACAAAAAAAAAACCACACATATTACATATGGCCATGGTATTTTAAAAGAATAGTGTCAGCTTTAGGAAAGATGATCTCTTTAAACAAGCGAAACAGCAAGGTTATGAAAACTGTAAACAAATAAAGTGAGACAGCTCATGTGGCAGCAAGGAAAAACGGATCTGGTCAGTCAAAGGGAGCTAGAGGCGGGGTTCATGCGCCATTTATCCTTCCTCTGAAGCATGACATCACCTCCAGCCAATGGGAGAGTGCTCTTAGTCTGATGATGTCATGTGAGTCCAATCAGAGGAGGTTTTGGGCAACACTGCAGTGGGCTACAGAGGGCAAGCAGAGGGTGATTCTCTCTTGTGCTCCATATAAACAGCTGTGCCCTTGTCTTCTTCATTTACACATCATTTTATTGACCCAGTTATATTGTTTTTGCTGGATATTACTGGGACGTATACAGATTTATGACCCCTCTAATAATGGTTTGACAATGGAGACATGGTGACAAAACATATGTTTATATAGCTTAAAAAGCAAGTGGAATATTTAGATTCAAACAAGGTAAAACTTAACACATATATGTCTTTTCAGAGTAAGGCTCCAGCACACACATGCCTATGGTTATGTAACCATAATTCAGATAAGCCATAAAATAAACAAATTACCCTATTCACACAAAATAAACATCCTCTTCACCACACTAAAGAAGTTTCTAGTTGACTTTAAAGTGTTTGTACAGCATGACAAACTCTCCAAACACATGTGACACTTATGAGAAAATGTTTATTTTTCCTGTTTAACAGTGGAAAGTGCAGATCAAATAAACTGTAGGTAACTGACACAAAAGCCACTCAAGATGCATTAGAGATGAATTGCGAATCACAGATCTAAACTGAATCTTCTCGTCATTCGCTCAATCAGTTATTGGTTGAGGCAATATTTACACTTGACTTTCATTGTGTCAGTGGGAGCAAAGTATTGTTATTTTATATTATTCAGTTTAGCAGCTCAAAGTCTATGATCATGTTCAAGTATCTTGTATTATATTGGGAAGAACAAAATTGCAGGTATATCCCATGTTATGATGTATGTCTGAATGGAGCCTATATCCTGCAGTTTATCCTGATCATGCCTTAATGCGAGACCCACTATAAAGTCTCCTTCTACAGGCTGTTGCACAGCAAATGACTTGTGTCTTCATCTATAGTTGGTGTCCAGTGGGAGATGTATCAGTAATAATAATCAGAGAGGATGCCAGAAGATCTAAGTTTCTATGCTTGTGTTTCTTGCTGCTTGTTTTCTGACTGTAGTATTTGGGGTTGAAAGAGTTTATTGGGGACAAATTTGTATCTTTCATTGCTCTTTGAATGTCTCCGTTGCCAGATTTGCTAGTGTAAAGCTGCCTTCACTTGCTTTGCACAACTAGCACAAATGCATTTTCTAAGGAACAGCTGAAAGGGCAATTCCGCCTTACACAGAGACTTTCTACTTACTTTGATGTAAACATGTTGTCAACTAGTCATAATAACAACTTACCATTTGTTTAGCTTTGCAGATATGTAAAACCGATAGGCCTCTATTTTTAAAAATGCTAATCTGTAAAGCTCTTTTCTTTTTTCATGCTTTTTAGCTTAAGTGTTTCCTGTGTCAGTATGCAGACAGTCTGAAGAGTGTAGGAAATGCATCGAAAAGACATGATCATTTTTATTAGATACCTTGTTTTTAATAACATACAGAACAAATGTACTTCATATATTGTTCAGAAGACCTTGGTAAAGTGGACAGTTTTTTAAATCTACCTTTAAAGTGATGTATTTATGTTTAGCACCGCTAAATCAACAACACAGTGACCTGCTGACTGATTGTGATTGATTATAATTGTGACCTTTGTCTTTCCGCCACACTGATCAGTGCAGCATTGTGACCTTTTGACAGTAACCTGATTTAAGGCAGTTTCTTTCCCTGTTCCTGGTTAGTATGTCATGTTCAGTACAATTATTTACAATATCTACTTTAAACCCATTTTCAGTAGTCAGCTTTTATAGTCATACTCACTCATTTATCTAATATTTTGCATAGTGTGTAGGGCTGCATAATTAATCAAAATCACAATATGGCCAAGTGCAATGTATGAAACGTAGATGCTGCAATGTTTGGATAATGGTAAAATATGTCACAAAACAGCATTATAAAGAAGTACTGTAGTGTTGCAGAGACGCCCTAACCCACAAATGTTGTTCTCCAGATTTAATAAGTCTGCGTGGTGCAGACACGTGATAAACATTTTAACAGTTTCGTCAGTGAAAATTTACTTTGTGATGCAAAAAAGATCATTCCCACACTATCTATGTGTACTATAGACACTTTGGATTTTGAACCATGTGTACACCAGGAGCTGCAAACTCCTTGTTAGCCCAAAGACATCGATCCGTGCTTTCACAGAAGTTCACTTGCACTGCTCTCCTTTTTGTTGCTCTGTTGAAATATGAGGTTTTTTTTGTAGGCAGGAAGGAAAAGGCATACAAGTAGTTACATCTCGCCCTGTGTACTAATATCCTGTACATTTCCTAAGCAATTCTGAGGTTTCTCAATGTCCCCTTGGCCCATGAAACTCTGACATTATTATGGGCCATTGGTGAACCTCAGAAAAGCAGATTACACTGAGGGAGACAGAATGGTGGAGATGTGGGCCTGGCTCAGCCCAGCGTGGATTATGATGTGGACTCTAATCCAGAGGGATGGACAGAGAGATTGAGGGTTAAGGGATTGCGTGGGCTCTGGGCTTTGGCCAGGTGGATTCACTACAGGCCGCCATGCTTTCTGTTTACAATGCTAGTCACGTTTTAGCCTGTTGGTTTTTTTGTGTGTGTGTGATACTACACTTACGGGCCTCCATCCCTAAAACCTAACTTGTTTTTTTCATTAATTAATCTACTAGTTATACTAATATAACTAACTAGTAGTTTGGTCTATAAAATGTAAGAAATCTTTGGCCAAGGAGATGTCTTGTTTTGTCCAAAATCAAAAGATGTTCAGTGTATCATCAACATAGGACTAAGAAAGCCAGCGAATGTTACATCTGAGAAGCCAGAACCATTGAATTTCTGGCCTTTTTGCTTAAAAATGACACAAACAATGAATCGATCAGTTGATTAATCCACTAAGGAAGTTGATCAGTGCCTCATTTCAAACAGTAGCTACCTGTTGTCCCCACAGAGGAACGGGGAAGCTTGTCTTTGAGCATGTTTGTTTAACAAATAGCCGAAGCATAGAGTTTGTAAAAGTCAGTGTTTGACATTTATCACACAGATAACTGTTAGTCAATAAATGTAATAGCGACCTGTTGTCTGTGAGGTACTGGTGCCTCTGAATTCAGATAAAACCCCTCAGTTTTGACTCTGTCTTATCTTTATCGTTGCCCCCCCAGTTCAGAATCACCTCACTGTAAAAAAAAAAAAAAAAAAAAAAAAAAGGGCCTCACTCAACACATGGAGCTGTCTCCTCCCTCCCTCCTCCCTCCTCCACTTCCCTCCTCACCCCCCTCACCCACCCTCTCCCTACTTGCAAAGGGGATTACAGATGGACGCAGAGACTGCAGCCCGTTACCGGGTCCTGCAAGCGGCATAGGGAGCAGCGGTCCGTCCGGTACCTGGGTGTAAGGTGCAGGGGCGTCGACCAACGATGGGAGAATAACATCCGACCGCGGGACGGTGGACGGTGGACGATGGGCGCATTTCTACCCCGACGCTAAGCGAGGAAACCAAGACAGAATAGCGGACATCCAACACCGTTACACCCCCGAAGCGTCTGGCTTGCTTTTAGCTGCACACACACACCGGTGCCATATTGATACAATACCGAACAGCAACGCGTGTATGTGTGTGTTTGTGTGTGTGTGTTTTGTGGATATCTGTTGGATCGCAAACGCCTCATGACATGTTCGAGTAAGTGGCATAAAGAGAGTCTCCATCCAGTGTAATGAATAGCATATGCTCATGCTGTAATCTGTCTTTGGTGCCCACACACCGTCCATGGGTGTGTGTGTGTGTGTGTTTTTTTTTTTTTTTTTTTTTTTTGGTGTGTTCAAAATGATTCACAGCTCGCAAATCCCACTAATAATATGGGTGGGACAGGCAGTGTTTATGTGATATTAGCTGTATAAACGGATAGGCTATCTGTGGGTTTAGTGGTTCGTCCTGTCGGTGCTCAGTGGGTCACTGGCTGGAGCCCCCCCCAACCACCACCACCACCATCACCCCTCCATACCGTTTCACTGACCGTAGCAGCCTCCATCCCTGCAGCATCTAGTGTTTCTTAACTTAAAACGAGTTGTATAATTCCTCCCTAATGACTCATGTTTGACTTTGTCTCGTTCCTTGCACGTTTGTTCATGTATGGTGTCGTAAACGAGATTGTTGGACTGCTTTGTTTTGGTTAGCCGATGTGCTAACTACCGATTAGCCGATCTGTGTATGTATGCATGCATGTTCGCTTCCGTTTAATATGTGACGGGTGTAGGGCTGCACAATTAATCGCAGTGTTATCAAAATCACAATGTGCAAGTTGCATTTTGCGTCAGTTAAAATAAATGTAAAATGTGACAAACAGCATTATAATGAAGTACTGTAGTGTTGCAGAGATGCTTTGGTCTACAAATGTTGTTTCTCCAGATTTAAGAAAACATTGTTACAGACTCCAACAAATGTCACATCATGATTTTAATAGGTTTTATTCCAGTGAAAATTAAATTTGTGATGCAAATATGATAATTCACGCACTGTTTGTGACTCATATCGCAATCAATATGATGTGTTGTGCAGCCCTAGACAAGCCACAATATAAAGGTTAACTACGTCAGAGAGATAACTGGAGGTTTGTAAACACTGGCTGACACAGATTCACATCACAGTGTCCTGACCGCACACCAAGCCTATTTACAGCACCCTCCGCCCTTATACGTTTACCTAAAGATAGCTTAATGCTCCTTGTCATTGTGCTGCTCTGATTAACATTGCTGCATTAGATAACGCAGTATTTCAGGGATTATTTTCCTATATAATGAATCTGGTGAGGTCTGATAGATTGGACCCCCAGCTTCCTCGCTTCTTGTCTTAGCCATTAGTGGTGTTGCCTTGGAGATTATCATTTTGACTCGTCGCTTTTCCTTTTCAACTCCTGTTTCCTTTAACTCGACCAAGCACACGTTGAAAAGTCCTTTTCAACCAAGGCCAAGAGGACAGCATGACAACATTATTATAACACACAATAAAACGTGTATGGACGATACTATGTTTAGAGATGAGCTGATATTTCAGCCAAACATCAGTTTTGCCTTAATCTGCGGCCAGTGTTTATCTGTTGTGTTGCATCCATTTTGCTATGGCTAAATGTTGTCTTGGTTATATCCAACTTGGATTTTGGAGAAATAATCACCTCCGTTTTCCAGCACTGGCACAAATTACATGCAAACGTCGATGTGCTCCATGCAGCAGCACGGACAGTGAGCAAGTGTTCAGCTCTGCGTCTTACATCTTGGATGAGAAGAGAAATAGACTGAGCTGCATCAAGCCGGAGATGTTTATCTTTTTTTCTATCTTTCTCAATCTGTGCATCCCTAATTCAATAAAATTGCACAACATGTTTATTATAAAATATGTTGATAATAATTTATCAGCAGTAATCAGATCTGACAATTTGAAGTCCTTCTGTATGTTGCTCTATGAGAACAGGGCAATGTATTTGAAAACTCTTTTGTCCAACTCCATCCAAACACTTCTCAGGCCAATTTAGAATCAGTTTGGATGTAGAAAAAGGAATTAAATTGTCAACAGTTTAGAAAATTGTCTGAGGGATTCACTACTCGCCGCAAAAATTAAAAGGGGAGATTGTACAAAAGTCATGATTATACTCATGGAGGAGGTGAGGAAATGACAGCTTATGTTGATAGAGAAGTTGCAAAGTAACGGTTAACATTGGGGTTTGATGAAAGAGTTGGGGTTTGTGTGTGGAGAGCAGTTTGGCTTGAAGGGAGGAAGTGAAGTGATGAATTCTTTGTTTGGTTTCATTAACGCAATTACTTAAGCCCAGAAGGAGCCACTGCAGCATACTGTTGAGTGAGTGAGCCGAGAATTCATCAAGTTGCAGGATATCTTAAGTGTGGAGTTTACTGATTTAAAGCTGACACTGGTGCAGCTACTGTACATCTGATTCATGATGTTTGGTCAGGATAAGGGAATGGGCAGTGGTAAACAGCTGCGTGTGTATGTTTGAAAGACAGAGGTACATTATAAGTTGATTGATGGTTGGTTACTTACAGAGGAATGAGGTGCAACCATGGAAACTCTGTTGGCGTAAATCCAGACATTTTCTCCGGTCACTGACCTGAACTTTAGATGGAAATGTTTTGGCAGCAGTAGTAGGATGACCATAAAGAGAACAGTAGAAGCTGAACCATGTCAGAAACAGTTAATTGTCTATCAAATGTAGGCTATAGTATATAAAATATAGTATAGCGTTGTTTTTAAATTGCTTATTTAATGAGTAATTGATTATTGTAATTGTTTGAGCCGTAAGACAAAGTTATGACAACCGTTCAGCTTTAATCTATGTATGTGTGTATGTCTAATGTTGCTTTTTAGTCTGCATGTCTCAAGTAAATGTCTTTTACTCAAGTTCACCAGAAGACAATCTTAATTTAAATATCTGTAATTACAGCACAAACTCTGTCTGACCTGGTAGTGTTTTATTCTAAAGGAAGCCAGTTAAAATCAGTTACAGACACAGCCTTACATGGCCTTTCTTTGGTCTTCAGTTGGCGGTTTGAGATGACGTGCTATTATCAAATAGGAAATGCGTGCAGCCTTTTATCAGAGCATGACATTAAAGGCATTAGAGATCAACATTTAGTGATGAAATATGCAAGAGTTTCCTCAGTTCTCCCCTGAGCTAAGTCTGTGTCTTTTTTTTGTCTCCAGTACAGCCAGTAACTCTCCGCGCAGCACCCCCGGCAGCTCTCCCTCCCTGCGGCGCAGGGTCCTTGGGGGTGGCAGGGCCAGTGAGAACGAGGGAGGAGGAGAGAAGAGCAGTGGTGGTGGAGGAGGAGGAGGTTCAGATAGCCCCTTGCCCTCCATACCCTCTGCCTCCTCCCTCACATCCGCCTACCCACTTGCTTCTCGCCACTTCAGCCGCAATGCCAAGGTAATATCCACTGATCAAGGTGATGTGTTAAAGAGCGCTGCTAAGCTTAAAATGCCGACATGCAGAGGTGACGCTACAGGCATGAACTTACTACCAGTGTTCCTGCTCCGTATACAGTATGATTGCTATGTAAGCTTTATGTTTGTGAGTGAAAGACTCAAATCTCTTCCATGTGATCCCAATGAGCAATGACATGACTAAATCAAAGATGTTTTTATTGTCATACCAAGACTCTACAGTCTTAGACTTAAATCGTTTTCATAATGACCTTTTAGATTTTGATGTAAAACATTTAATAAACAATTTCACATGAAAGCACTGTTTTGTCTGAACTTTCAACTACATTTCAGCTAGATTGTTAAATGAAGTTATTTCTAAATCAACAGCTTGAATACCAGAAACGTTTCAGGGTGACTGAAAATGGCATTCCACTTACATGGCAGTAAATTCACATCTACACAAGATATCTTGTGTGAATATAAATATTTGTTTTCTATTTTTGCTACCTTCCGTTTTAGCCATGTGAGCTATGATAATGTTGATGGTTTCTTTCAACAGACTGGAAATGTTAGCTTGTTTGTTCTCTGTAAATTTACTTAGACAGTGTCTGTAATTCTATGTGACTAAGGGTTCTGTGTAAGATCCACATGTTTTTATTTCAGGCTTACGGCTGTGAAAAGATCAGCTTTATATACTACTGACTGTTCGTTACAGCTGGTCCGTGACACGTACCTTTTTAAAATGAAGAAGTGCTGATTGCTTTTGACATCTCCTGAAAGCGGCAAAACCTCAAGGTTACAAAAACAGGCTTAGCTTCGAAGACTAGGCTGGCAGGATCACATTCATACAAATAACGGAGTGGATTACTTTACCTTTACAACGTATGCTGATGGATCTGTATAAAATCAGTTTGTATTGTAACATTTTAATTGTTACAGAGAAATCTGAGTCCGGTTACTACTAAATATGCTGTTCTTTCCTTTACAGAAAATGCAGAGCTGGTACAATGTAAGTATACATTAACAAACACTTATTAGACATTTGCACTCCAGGGCACTTGACTTTGCTGATGTTTGTCTTTTACTTCCACGCTGGTGGAACTAGTTGATGTAGTAAAATTATTGGTTTTAAAGAATCCTTTAGCTAAACTGTGTTTTTCTCACTTGCTCAAATAAATATCCCAGTATAGCCTATGGGTATCGACTGTTGTGAGGGCCAGTTTTGAGGTAGAATACCATGTTCTCTTTTGCCTTTCCTGTCCTCAACCTCAGGTTCTCAGTCCTACATACAAACAGCGGAATGAGGATTTTCGTAAACTCTTTAAGAAACTTCCTGACACAGAGCGACTTATAGTGGGTGAGTTAAGTGTCATAAACTGGTTGACATATGATAAACTCTGTTTGCTGAACTCATGTGGTGTGAGCTACCCTTGTGTCACCGCACACTTTATGAGATTAAACACTCACCAGAACCCCTCACTTAAAAACCAGCCTCTTGAATTGTTGAAGTGATTCCTGATACAAGCACGTGTCTATCAATTGACCTCTTTTCTTTTCCTGTTTCTTTCCTCAGATTACTCCTGTGCTCTGCAGAAGGACATACTGCTTCAGGGCCGCCTTTATCTGTCAGAGAACTGGCTCTGTTTCTACAGTAACATCTTCCGCTGGGAAACCACTGTAGGTCATGCAAACACTGTGTACACATTTGCACGCGCACAGTCAAACACACGCCTGTTGTAACCTGGTTAATGTCGTACCTGCAATCTGATAAGAAGTCATTTTAATACTCTTGTTTGCGGATCAATATAGATACACTCACAGCCTTGGCGAGATAAGAGTATCACACAAAGAAAGACACACTGACGCATACACACCGTAATGCTTTTCCCTTCTCTATTCAGATCACTATCCTGCTGAAAGACGTGACCTCTATGACCAAGGAGAAGACTGCCAAGCTCATCCCAAACGCCATCCAGATCAGCACTGACAATGAGAAGGTCAGACTTGAGCCCAAATAATACTTAGCCGTAGTTAAGACATTTTCAAAGAAGACTTGTAATTTTAGTCAATAATTTACTTAACTGCTGCAACAAAAGCATGAAAAGTGTTAGTTATTGATACTGTTTTACTCCAAATTACCCTGTTATGCAAGTGAAGCAGTATGAAATGAGCTGACTCAACTTTAAACCCACTGACCATAACAAAGACAGCAGAGGGAGGTTATCACAGGTTGTCACATTTTTTTTCTTTCTCCCTTTTTCTTCCTTCCTGTCCAACTGATATTCACCCTCTCAGCACTTCTTCACATCTTTCGGAGCAAGGGATCGCAGCTTCATGATGATTTTCCGTCTGTGGCAGAACGCGCTGTTGGACAAGGTACTGCCTCCTCGCCCACCCTCCTGGCGCTTTATGCTGCTGCCTAGTGTGACACAGCTAGTGGTTATCATCTTAGAATAGATCACAGTGTCAAGAAGCAGGAGATGGCCACAAACACAGGCTTGGGAGAACAATTTAAATCACTGTTATTTACTGAGTTTGAATATAGACATTTATTTGGACAGCACTGGTGCAGAAACACCGCAGATTAGTATTGCAGCACAAAGCAACAGACAGTGGGATGAAACGTGCGGTGGAAATTTTACAAGATGTTGACTCACTGTCAACTCAGCTTGATTGACTTACTGTTTCTCTTGCAAAAGGCTGTCAAATAAAAAAACTAACTTGCTAACAATCATCAAATACTACATTGTATCAGAACATTGTAGAAGCTGAGGTGTTATCTTCAAACATACTTATTTGCTTTGAATTAAGTGTGTAAATCATTGTGGAGGTCAACAGAATAGAGTATATCTCGTTGTGAAGCACAATTTTAAAGTCTGACAACAAGAAAACACCAAGAATATGCTGATATATTGACTATTTTAAGGTCCCGTGATTAACATTCAGGAAGATCTACTTGCAGAAATGGAATATAATATTCATAGGTATGCTTTAATTAGTGTATTATCACCTGAATATAGGAATTGCTGTATTTTCTCTACATTTGAATGAGCTGTTTTTATCTACAGATGCCAAGGTTCGCCTTCCATGGAGTCCACCATGTTTATATAGTAGCCCAGAACAGACAAACCAAACTCTGGCTGTAGATATGGCCAGATAGTTTCTCCTACACACGTCACTGCCCGTTCTCATTCCCAGGTCGTCAAGTACAGACAAGAGCCATGTTCAGTTACTCACAATCTACAACTTCACTGCTAGATGCCATCTATCCTACACTGGTCCTTTAAATATCATAGATAAATCTTATGAATGTATACACTGTATTTAGCACTGCCTTATTGTGTGTTCTTCATCCCATTTACAGAATTATTTGGCATTGAGGGCACTGGGCATTGAAAATCAATCAAAACTCTCATACTATATTGCACTATATTGCACATACATATACTACAAAATCATAAGAGAATGCAGGAAATGGAGAGCTGTATAGCTGTTGTGGAAGAAATTGTGGCAATACATGAATGTAGATATCAGAAAATTAGTAATTTTAATTTGATCCTAATTATCTATTTGATATTTTGCAGTCTCTATCCCCCAAAGAGCTCTGGCACATTGTACACCAGTGTTACGGCACTGAGCTGGGCCTCACTAGTGAAGACGACGACTATGTCTCCCCCACCGCCGAACACATGAACGGCCTACTGTGAGTGTTCATGTGTAAAAACTTCCTTGTATATGGTGCAGCGCATGTTTCTTGAGAGCTTTATATTGTTGATGTATGTGTGAAGGCGTTTTAACATGTGAGTAGTTAGTGTGTCGATAGTGTGTAATTGTGCAATTTATTTCCTTGTAGTTAGTTCAACTTTACAATGTATGTGTATGTTAGAAACAGGATTTTTGGAGTGTGACAGTTAGGCCAGCAGAATGCTTCTTTTATTTCTTATTTCTTTTTTTTACAAAATACTATTTTAGATTTTTATTTTTTAGATTTTAAGAAACTACTATGTATCCTTAATTGTACCGTCTCTTCCTGACATAGATGTAGCTTGAGGGGTTAGTTTGAGCTTTCTTTAACCAAACAAGTGGATCCTTGCTTATTAGAACACAGAGGTTGTTTGTGTGTAGGTTTTTTTTTTTTCATATTCAAGTCTTTATTTAAGTTTTTTGAACTAGTGTTTTACATGTCCGCTAAAAATAACAATTGCATGAAATGCCTGATGGGTTGAAGATTTCCTACCCCTGTCCCTAAGTTATCTAACAAACACTTGGCTCTTGTGTCTTTCTCTCACAGTGTGACTTTTCTCTGTATGCATCTCTGTCTCACTTCCTCTCCCTTCGTTCCCCAGGCCAGGAGACGAGTCTGTGTCGGTTACAGATCTACTAGACCTGAGCTCAGTGTCGGTTCCCTCCACCGGCAGCTCTCCCCCTCCCCTGGTGCCCTGCGGTCCAGTCAGCTCTTCCTCATCTACCAACCTTGTGGGCTCCTCTCCCCCTTCCTCCGCCTCCTGTCTGCCCATAGAGGTGCCTTCCTCATCAGGACGCAGACTGAGCTCTGACCCCATCGAACCCAGCCCACCCAGCTTCCACAGCTCGCTGCCATCGACCACTCCCACCAACGCCTCTGCCTCTGCCCCGGCCTCTGCTGCTGCCTCCTTTGTGAGTGTTCTTGACATCCACATGTACTTAGGCATGCAACATTGCAATAGTTAGTCTTCCGGGTAGTGTTACGCATAGTCTAATTGCAATGGAGTTTTTTTTTATTACTTCATGTGCAAGACAGTTGAGCAAGAATAATGTAAGACCGGCACCACCTGCTAGTCATTCTTATGCGTATTGAAAAATACAGGTTGTCCCATACAGCTATGGACTAGGTAGCAACTTCCACTTTAACAATCAGTTTCAGCAGAGTAGAAAAGTCTGCTCACTAATTCATCTGCTCCTGCTATTGGTGTTGCAGACATGAGCCTGACATGAGACAGCTGGTGAGCTAGCATTAGCTATAACATAATTGTTTTGTGCATATTATAATAACTTGATTTTCCCAATGTAGATATTTTAACTGCAAAAACAAAGTCTAAACCTGTGACAAATGTTTGTGCAGTGTAATCATTGTTCCAGATCTGAAAGATAAGGCATTAGATCAACATTTAAAAACACAAATAAAATCCAATAAAACATCAAAATGAAGTGAAATATAATTCAAAACAACAAAAAATAATAGACAAGAATTACAGGATTTATATAAGTACGGGTGTAGTTGTTATATGTCCAACCAGTTCTGCTCAAAAGCAGCTGCTGTGGTTGTTTGCCCTGCTGTCTAGATCTTGATACTGACAGATCAAGCCCAAGCCAAGCTAAAGCGAATAAATGCTGTGTTGACTGTGTGTCGGTTTCAGATTAATTGCACGGCTACAGTGGTATGTCTGCTCAGGCCGCGTCAACACGAGGTCAGCTCAGCTGAGGCCTCTTTCCTCTCAAGTCATATGACAATGGGGTGATTTCCCTACAAACCTCTTGCTAACTGTCCTCTGCTGTGCTTTTTTTCCCCCTCACTGCATCAGAATCTGGAAGAGGGTGGGGACAGCCTGTCTGAGTCAGCCAATCACATGCTGCCCCCGCCAACCACCAGTCTGGGAAACCTTTCCTCATTGGATATCACCAACGATGAGGAATTGCCCACAGACCCCAGCAACTCCTCTGACACGCAAGAAGAGAGTGAGTATTGTTTGGGTGAACAGACCACCATAACAACCCAGTGGAGATTAGAAAGTGTAAATTATATGGAGATTACATTAGATTACTTTTTTTTTTAAAGATAATTTTATTGTTGTACTTGTTGTGAATCAAGTAAAATAAAAAAAAGGCAACACTTAGTTGTTGTGAACTTTCTTTTATAAATCTACCATAAGGACTGAGGGTTGCAGATTCAGCATGAAGTGCATCTTAAAACTTATTTTGATGAACTCTCATGTGAGTCTTTCATCCTGTGCACTTTTTATTTTATTTTTTTTATTTGTGGTTTCTTTGTACTTATTTGAGGTTGTTAGCCTTAGTCTGACTGTGAACTAACTTGCTAGTGAAAGTTTATTATAGTAAGTCTATTATTTGCCCTTCCTCCTCATGTCTGAGAATGATAAGTGTATTTCTGCTTCGTTGCTTCCACCACTTCTTCTTTCCACATCAACAATAAGTACAGGGAAGGTTCTTCAAACACTAACATGGAATAATTTATTGCCTGTGGGTGAATCAGTCCTGAATTAAAATGATACTAATTTGGAATGCATGTAGTTTTGGTACAGTCGGATGATTTACCTAAAATTGCCTCCAAGCTGACCTTATTATATGATTGCCCGAAGGTTTAATATTTTCATCTTTGAACCAGAAACTGCTCAGTAGGCCATCACTAATTCAGGAATAAGCACAGACATAGAGCAGCAATCTGTGTTTCCCCTGAATTCATTTTGCAATAAAATCACTGTCACAGCCAGAGTCGAGTGTGATTATCAGGCCATATAAAACACTTTGTTACTAAATTTTAAAAAGTGTTGTATGTAATGATTTGATGTATTTAGATTTATGAACTACTATACGGGGATAGATATTAAAACCAGATTATTGACTCAAAAGAATATTGAGTGTACTAAAATAACCAGAAACAGAAATTCAATCTTTCTTGTTTTCTATCTGACCTTCAGGTGAAGTGGAGTCGTTCTGCGCTGACCTGAGCGGGCGGCTTCACATCAACGCCGTGGTCCGCATGAGTGTAGACAAGCTGCATGACCTGCTCTTCTCTGCCGATACACACTTCATCCAGCACCTCTTTTCCCAGCGACACTTTACTGGTAGCTACAACACCCATCTACACACACAAATCTAATGGAATATGTTTGTACACAGTGGATATGTGAAAATACATATTTTCTCTAGGGTTATATGACTCCCTTTAATATGTAATGATTATGTATTAGGGCACTTTTAGTTTTTTTATTGGTTCACTGATGTTTGAGAGGTCTCTGTGAGTTCTTTTTCTTGCTGTTAAACCTGTAGTAACCATCACAGAACTTGCATCAACTTGTTGATTAACATTAAGCGCAAGAGAGCAAGTTTTTCCTGTTGAGACAGTGACAGTTACGGCCCAGTGTTTGTTGTTGCTCTGCTGCTTAGTTTAGGCTGCTGTCAGTGGAAAAAATGTTTACTCTTTCATTCTTTGCATCTGTCACTAGTACCTGATGTTTGCTGTTGATGTTGATACTATGACATTTTTCTGCCATTAAGCACAATTATAGGTTCACTGCAAATATCTTTTCTGGGCTGTTGTTAAAATGTCATGTGTGGGAATAAGAAAAACACACTCACAAACGCCTCATCTTATCTTTTGTTTAAACTGTGCAAACGTGTTTTTCCTTTTTGAATCTAGTTTGGTTTCTCTTATGAAGCAGCTGTGCTACTCTTCAGTTGATTAATACAAATGTAGTGACGTACCCCCGATCCCTCAAAGACATCCTCTAGCCCACTGTATTGTGCCACTAATGAGGGTGCCACACTAGCTGTTTACGCTGTGTTAACCACCCTCCATCACCGGCTCTTCTTTTCTTTGCCTTCTTCAGTTTTTTTCACGCCTTGCTTTGTCACTGTACAACTACTTTTTATCTGATAGACTGATACATGCGGTATAAGTGCATTGTGTATTTTGGTCATTTTTCTGTAGTCGTTGAAATGGGAACAGAGGTGAAGCCGTCGAGTTGATTTGGCCAGTGCCTACCCCAGTTGGAGGCCCAGCCCGCTTGGGAACATTGTGTAGCTGTAATTGGGGCATTTCTTTCTTTCTTTTTTTTATGAAGGAGCGTGGATTGACCCTCTCTCTCTCTCTCTCTCTCTCTCTCTCTCTCTCTCTCTCTCTCTCTCTCTCTCTCTCTCTCTCTCTCTCTCTCTCTCTCTCTCTCTCCTTCCACTCGCCTGAATCTTGTGGTTTCTATCCTTTTCATTTACAAATTCTAAACCTCTCCTGCCCTCTCTCATTTTGAAAAAATGTCTTGGAACTTTTTGTCTCTTGTTGTGTCTTGACTCTCTCATATTCTCCGTCTCTTTTCTGTCCCTCTATCAGACCTGTCGGTGGGTGAATGGCAGCAGGACAGCAGCACTGGGAATACCAGCCGTGTGCTTAGCTACACCATCGCCCTGAACAACCCCCTCGGCCCCAAGACTGCCCCTGTGGTGGAGACGCAGGTCAGTCCTTGACAAACGCCAGCCGTTTTTTGTTTTATGATGTGGACCTTTGGTACAGAGGCTTTGTTAAAGACAAATGACAGGACAGAAACAACGCAGCTTATTTAGTTTTAATTGGAGTGGAACTTTCCCTATAGTCTTATGTAGTTGTGTCTTGGGGATCCTTTAATTTTTGCTTTATACTGGATCCAGTTTGGGGCCCAGTTTGTGTTCCAGTGTAGGCTTCAGTGCTAAAAGTGAGAATCTATTGTGACAAAAATAACTATTCTTACACATTCTGAAAAAATTCATTTCAAAAATAAAATATCTACATTTTGGAAATAATGTTACATCTGCTCAGACAAAATCATTGCTGCCGTAAAATTATTTCAGTTGCATTTTATCAAGTAAAGAAAGAAGAAGAAAGAAGTTTATTTTAAATGTTTATTAAGCTTATGTACTAATTTTCCCTCAGTGCATTCTGAATTAACACTTATGTTAAAACTTCTTGTTGTGCTGCCAGTAAACTGGTAAACTGTTGTGACAGGTCAATGTATATATTGTGCAAGTGTTTTTTTAATTTTACTTATTTATGTTTTGTTAGGGGTATTTATTGTAATATTGATTACCTTTTCCCTGAAACACTAAATGATTTACACTGAATACAGAACAGAAAACATTAGACACATAAGAGACTGAAGGCGGAAAGAAGAAAATGTGTGTAAGACATTTGGTCCAACCACATCGTAAATCAAAATATTTATAGTTGTTCCAAATGGCCACACTGGAAGTCAGAGTGAAAAGTCGGAAATAAATGGAATATACTTTAAATATGGAGGTAGGGACATTAATTTTAAGTCTCTCCTGGAAGACATTCATGGTGTTGTACTTAGCTGTTCATGTGAAAAGTGAAATTGTTGTGTGAAGAATCAACAAAGATTGTTTGAGAGAGAGAAGTTTCAAACCCTGCTTGCTTTCTCACCTCCACACCGCTGGCCGATCATAGGGCCAGAAAGGTGTGTAGAGAAGGACCTCCCAAAGCCTTTTGACCATCCAACAAGTAGTTTTGATGAAGCATACTGGCGCCTTTACTCCAGTAAATTATCAGACAGCCAGGGAAGCCGTAACTATCAGAAGAGTCAGATGATCCTTGTGTTATGTATCAGAGGAAACCAATAGGTTTGCATACAAATAACCATCCGCCTCTACTTTTCTTCCTGCTTTCAGACATTGCATAAGAGCAGCGCCCGGGGTGAGTGCTACGTGGTAGACTCGGAGGTTATCACTTCAGGCATCCCCTACCAGGACTACTTCTACACTGTCCACAGATACTGCCTCACCTCTATCAACAAGCACAAGAGCCGGCTCAGGTAGGTTGTCTGGTGTTGTCTTAATCCATCTGGGTGGGAATTTGACTGTGAAAACTACATTTAAAACAGGCAAGCCATAAATGACAATCATACTAGTGATTACTCTCATGTTGTGTGTTGCCTTCCAGAAGGAACACTAAATTCAAATCTTATATACCTGAGCAGCTTCTTAGCTCAAGTTTTGGGTTTTCCAGCATCCCATGCAAGAAGAACCATGACAGAATTAAACAGAAATCCAAACAGTGCAGAGTAAGCACCGCCAAGTTTCATCACCTCTTGATATTTGATCCATTAAATCCTTGTTTACACATGTTAAGTTTACAGCATAATAGATGATGCAAACTGTAGTTGAGTGGTTACGTCCCTCAGCCTAGGGGACCAGAAACTCTCGCTGGTACGTGAAATGATCCCATCAGAGCTTTCTCTCCCTTGTTTCATCCAGTGTCCCTTGCTACTTTCCTGATACTTAAAAAAAAAACAATGGCTGAGTGATGGTGCTTTTATTTCCAGGACCATTCTGCTTGACATGTTCTGTCACTTCTGCAGACATTACTGGACAAACTTGTATTTGACTTCAGCATATTTACAGTAAACAGTGGGCTTTAAATATACTTTGTAAACACAAGTCTTGATGTTAACATCTCAGGCTCAAAGACTTGTACAAAGACCAAGGTCATCTTATCATCTTTTGCACCAATGAACAATCACTGTGAACAATCACAGTGGAAGAAAAAGAGAAGGCAGAAGTTTCTCCACTGACATTGGCCACAAGAGACTATTATGCAATATGGCCGCAAGACATGTTTCATTTAAGTAAGGGCTTTGACAGTCTTGCTGTCTTCTTCTCGTTAACTGTATCACTAGTTGTTTCTATTTGGAGCTTTTTTTCTAACAATAACCTGAAAAGGATCCAAAATGGAATAAACTGGCTCCAGTGGTATAGCACAAAAATCTTCAGTGGCCCCATTCCCCTTTAATACATCCATTGCCATTACTGTACAACTGCAGCAAGTAAACCCATGCAGGTGTAGAGGTTCCTAGTGTAATCATTAAGTTTTTATATGCCATTCAACAGCCTGTAAAATGTGAAATGTAGCATATTTAAGCCTTATTTCCTCAACATACTTTAATCAGTATACGCAGTGTGCAAAATTGAACTTATTTGTCCATCAGTCAAAATGGCTGGTATATGTTCAAATTTTACCAACCACTCAATAGATTACCGTTGTTGAGTGAAGTAAATCTACCAGCCATGTTTTACCAGCATGTGGCTGCTGCTAATTTTGTATCCCGACTATGACGTTTTAGAGGATTTTAGATTATTTCTGTCACAGCTTTGGAACGTCTTCATTATAACCTGGGCAGGAAGCCATCAAACTCTGGCCCCTACACTGAGAAAGAATTTCTGCATTTCATAATGAAAAGACAATATTCACTGGTGTCATTATGACATGCAGGAATTCTTCAAGAACTAGCCTAATCTGTTGCAACATGTGTGGCATAAAGAAAACTTAAGAAATTTAAAGACACAATCCATACATATCTATATAAATTGTGTTCAGAATATTCTGTATTTCTTTTCTGTTTTGGTCGGCTGATTTTAGGTCAAGCTTGCTTTAAATTTGACCTGAAATCAGACAACATTACTGTTGCAGTTAATTCATGGGAAATGAATGATATGATTAATGTTACAACAATATAGAGCAGGTTGAATATGAAAGGTGTTTTTCTTTGTAAAAAAGAAGAAGAAGAAGAGATCACATCCACACATTAGATTGTCTGTGTATATTTCAAACAGGCTTTGTTTACTTTTCTTTGCCCAGAGTTTCCTCAGACATCTGCTACAAGAAGCAGCCGTGGAGTCTGGTGAAAGCATTGATTGAAAAGAACACCTGGAGCGGCATTGAGGAGTACTATAGACACATGGGTGAGTCACATGGTCTGCCTCTTCCAGCATACTTCTATATACATACTGCCTGTGGAAACAAAACTGGCCTATTCATGCTTATTTCCCCTTTGAAATAAGTGAACCAAATAGTGAAACTGCATAAGCAGGCCATACTTGATGTGAAAGCCAAATACACAGTTTCATGTTGCAGACCACAAAACATAAGAGCAACACCCTTTTGTCCATTTGTGTGTGTTGGATTATGTTTGCAAGTATCATGTTTATGTAGTGCAAGTCAACTCAGGGTCTTCTCAACCAGTTTTTCGGTGCGGCCTGTATATATGTGTGTGTGTGTGTGTATATATATATATATATATATATATATATATATATATATATATATATATATATATATATATATACATACACGTATCTATACCGATTTTTGATGGCTTGCTTTTTATTTACATTCCCCTTCCACTCAACAATCGGACAACTCGGATGTTTGAGGTTCACTTTGCAGAATTATGTATGTGTAGTTTGAACTTAAATCTGAGTCTAAGATGTGTGTAGTTTGGAAGCCAATCGTGGTCCAATATGCATTATTACTCAAGTGTGATGTGGACTCTTAAAACCTCCAGTGCACATGGACTTTTCATTGATGTAAGAGACATACAAGAATTTTTCCCACATAATACCCACACATACATTTACATATAATTATCAAAAATATTGATAAAGTATGGCAATGTCTGGTCAAAGAATAAAATACCAAGTATATGACCAAGCATTTATGCCAGCATTTGTACTTGATACTGAGGTGCTAAGGACACAATTTGGTTGGTACTTCTTTCCTCAACGTGTATTCTGTTTGGCTACTGTCTATGTTTAGGAGATGTTGTGACAGTTGCATTTGCCTCTCCACTTCACTTTCCTGTGTTATGCGTATTTAAATTCCTCCATCTACTTCCTTACGCCCATGCAGAGAGCGAAGTGAGCAAGCTGGAGACGCTACTGCAGTCTGAGGTTTCCGTGGTAACCACAGGCGAAGCAGTGGGCGCCGACGCTGCCAAGACCCCGCCAGCCCTGCGCCGGCGCAAACGCACCTGCTCTCGACGGCAGGGCGAGAAGGAGAGAGAGAGGGAAGGAGGAGGCATGGGCACCGGAGACCGAGGGGACAGAGGAGTCGGAGAGGACAGAGACAGGAGAGAAGCCAGTAAGTTAGCCAGGCTGCAGTTATTGAAATGTTCTTCAGTGTTACAATTTCAGTCCTTGCCACCAACGTTGAAGGTGAATCCATCTTTTGTACAATACTACCCTCTAGTGGCTCTGTGTGGAGTTACATTACTAGGGGAATTAAGAGGAAACTGGTCTAATTTGTTTTCAAACTAGAACTAGAGACAATTGAATATATCTTTATTATTATTATTTAGATCTGGGTTCCTTGGCCCAGTATATTAAACCTAGCATCACAAACCTAGGGGTTAAGGTGGACCCTGAGCTTAAGTTTGACAGTCAGATCAAGGCTGTTGTCAAATCAAGCTTTTTCCATTTGAGGCAGCTGGCCAAAATAAAGCCAATTCTATCAAGGCAGCACTTTTAGACGGTAATCCACGCCTTTGTTACCACTCAGCTGGATTACTGTAATGCACTATATGTGGGGGTTAGTGGGTCCTCCATCGCCCGTCTTCAGATGGTACAGAATGCTGCTGCACGTCTTTTAACTGGCACATGTAAACATGAGCACATTTCCCCCATTTTAGCCTCACTCCACTGGCTGCCTATTCAATTTAGGATCCATTTTAAAATTCTTTTATTTGCTTTTAAATCCCTAAATGGTCTTGCCCCGCCCTACCTATCTGAGCTTCTACACCCCTATATACCCGTCCGCCCCCTCAGGTCAGATGATCAGCTGCTCCTGAGTGTGCCTAAAACTAAGCGGAAGCTCAGAGGGGACCGTGCCTTTGCTGTGTCTGCTCCTAAATTATGGAATGATCTGCCTCTGCACATTAAACAGGCCTCTTCTCTGTCTGTTTTTAAAACCAGTCTTAAAACCCATCTCTTCTCTGTGGCCTTTGACACCTAGTAAGATGTCGACTTTATTTACTTGATATATTTTTTGTATTTGTTATTTTTATTTTTTGATTGCTTGTTATTGCATGGTTATTATTTTTATTTATGTCTTTTCATTTTATTGTTGTATTATATGTTATTTTGCGCCTCATGTGAGCTGTTACGTCTTTTATTTATGATGTCTTATTTATTCTCCTGTACAGCACTTTGGTCAACTTTGGTTGTTTTAAAGTGCTTAACAAATAAAGTTGGATTGGATTGGATTGGATTTATTGTCCACTGGGGTGAAAATGTGTCTTTGCTCACCAAAATAAGAAAAGTCATCATAGAAAAAACATTCAAACGTATAAAAGGTCACATTACATATTTAGACACAGTTCATGTCAGTGTCAGCACCTTAAATCACATCAGTCACTTCGAAGAGTCAGAAAAATACTTGAAAGAAAATGGGGAATCCTGATCACTTTCTTCTTTTTTTAGGTGCTCAGTATATAAAGCTTGGGGAGCGTTCGCGTGGAGGACAGAACAGTATCTCTACCATCCTCCTCATTGTCAGCTTCATGTAAGTTCAACTGTTTGTACTGAGTCTTTGTGGCACTGAGTCCTCGAATAACATCAGTCTTTCTGAACTTTCTGAGCTTCTCTTCTGGCTATTTTAACTCAAGATCGTTTCCAGCATGTTTTATAATTTACTGCACACTGATCATATGAGTCTAATGTCTTACTCACTAGTCACACAGTGAGGTACTCACAATGTAGAAGAGCTTCTCTAGATTATGTTCTATAAGAAAAGGATTTTCTGAATGTACAAATAGAGTGGAATTGAGTAACAGTACACATAAAAGCATGTGTTGTCCTTGCATGTGTTCCTCCTCCTTAGTATTACGGTAAATGCTTTCCTATATTGTGTATAGGAGTTGCTCCCTGATCAAATCTTTGGTTTGATTGAATATTTTGAGTAATATTGGCTTTCTGCCTTCTTGGTTCTCTCCATGTCTGAATGCTCCCTCATTCAGACATGTTGGATATTGATCTTCTGCATACTAACAGCCTCACAATGCCTTTCTTGCTATTTCTCTTCTTTTCCTTTCCTCTCTGCAATACTTCTTGTGAATAGGATCTGTATCAGGTTCGTATGAGAGGCTTTGATTTTTACACCACCGGCTGCATAAATGAGAACTATATAAATTATACAGGAAAAATCCACCCTCCAATACTCTAGAGGTGATCTCAAACTGAATATGAAGCAAAGGTTCGTCTGCTGGAGGGCTCGAGTGATTTTTAGGTCCCTATTTGTATTCTTGTAGCATCCAAAGGACTCGACAGATGATGTTTGCTTCATATTCAGTCTAAAAGCTCCTTCAAGTCACTTTTACAACTGTGCTTTGGTTCATTTGGTTCAGAATGAGAAATAAATTGCACATTGTAGCCTTTTTTAGTTCAGATCTGCTTCATTTGTCTCAGCCAGCAGCTCAGTTTGAAATAAGAAATTGCCAGATTTCAAGGTATGTGTCAAACTAAGCTAAACAGACAACATACAGTGTATTTTTTCACTTTTCCACGCAGACTCTCTGATCAGCTGTTTTTGCTGTGTGTGTGTGTGTGTGTGTGTGTGTGTGTGTGTGTGTGTCTGTGTCTGTGTCTGTGTCTGTGTGTGTGTCTGTGTCTGTCTGTGTCTGTGTCTGTGTGTCTGTCTGTGTCTGTCTGTGTGTGTGTGTGTGTGTGTGTGTGTGTGTGTGTGTGTGTGTGTGTGTGGAGGACCTGCAACCGCAACAGAGAGACTGCAGCACCATAATAATACACTGGTCTTTATCTCCAAAGCATATGTACTCATATGTACATAAAAACATTTTTTATTGTGCATTTTCATATCGCCATGACAATGAAAATACAATTTATTGATCAGCTCTAACACCAGCCCAAACAAAACGCAACAACTGAGCACCAGTTTATATGAACTGAACCAATGGGAAAGGAGTGTATCATCTATTTGTAGTAGGTTTACCCACATTTAAACAACCTGCATATATAAACTAGTTTTGGTGTTAACAGTGTATTTGTACTTTTTTTTCTACTTGATGTAGAGTGGTGAATTAGTAATTGAACTGGTGGTACTTTATATACCAAAACAGCCATTTCCTACCAATCATTTCCCACATTTCCCAGAATGACTTTTAAAAAACCTTTTAAAGAACAGGATTTGTCTAGTTCTCAGCTGTGGGTTCAACCGGAAGATAGAGAGACCAGTCATTAATAGTTCACAACAATCACTCAACACGCAACATTTATTGTAGCTGCAGTGCATTCTGGTCAATGGGAGCTACTCAAATTGGTATCGCTGTCAGTATGTGTGATTGTTGACTCCAGAAAAGTATTCCTTATTTAAACTACCAAAAAATACAAGTCAGTTGTTTACAACACTGATATTTGTGTCAGGGTGGATTTTTCCTGTAATAAACTTGCATTGTGTCGTGGATAAGTGCTGGGTTGTGATGGACAAACACTGAAATATACGTGTCTGCTCATTCTGTGCCACCAGTGTTGACATTTTGCTGTTGATATCTTACTGATTTGCATAATTTTTGAGCATTTTCATACCAGTCAGTAAATTACACAATTCTCTCTCTGTCCCTGTCAGTCTGGTGGTGCTGGTGGCTCTCAACATGCTGCTGTTCTACAAGCTGTACGCTCTGGAAAGAGCGGCCCATACACTGGAGACATGGCACTCCTATTCTGTTGCTGACAGGTAAACACTCAGCACTGTTTTCCATACAAATATAGATTCTCTGTTGTGGGGTTAATTGGCATTTGGTCTCAGGTGATTCTTCTAGGATTTAAGGTGTGAAATGTCCCTCTAATAGCAACAACTCCACCGTTGCCTTTTGTGAAGTAATTATAGATAATAATTTATTAGTATTAATAATTGATCACATGATCTCTTGTATGTGGAAGGTGTCACTTATTATCACCCGACTCTGATGAGCATTTTGACCTCTTTCAGCTCATTGTTTTGGTTTTATGGCCCGCAAGTTTACTGTTTTGGTTAATCGAGATTTTATCAAACTTCCATGGAGTCCACCATGTTTCCTACAGTAGCTCTGAATGGACAAAACAAATACTGGCTGTAGATGAGGCCTTTTTTTGAGAGTTTCTCGGCCACTGTAGTTTCTCCTACACACTTCGCAGCCAGTTTTCATTCCCGTGTCATTTCAGTCTGAAACTTCACCACTAGATAATTTTACATGTGTGCTATATGAATTTCAAAAGTGACTCTTTTCTTGTTGCCCCTAGCGGGAATAAAACAGTTATAACAGATCTAATAACAATGATTATACAACTGACTACTTGCAATAGAAATAGTTATGATTATTCTCATTGTCTCCCCATGGTCCCTTTACTCCTCTCCTCTTGTTCTCTTCCCCTCAGTCCTTTGCCCCAGACACCTGGAGAGTGGGCTCAGGTCTTGCAGCTTCAGAGGCAGTTTCACCAGGCTCAGCTCAGCAAGTGGCAGCAGATCCTGCAGTCCTCTGTCACGCTTCTCGACCAGGTGTGTGTGTGTGTGTGTGTGTGTGTGTGTGTGTGTGTGTGTGTGTGTGTGTGTGTGTGTGTGTGTGTGTGTGTGTGTGTGTGTGTGTGTGTGTGTGTGTGTGTGTGTGTGTGTGTGTGTGTGTGTGTGTGTGTGTGTTTTTTTTTTTTTTTTTTTTTTTTTTTTTTTTTTTTTTTTTTTTTTTTTTTTTTTTTTTTTTTTTTTTTTTTTTTTTTTTTTTTTTTTTTTTTTTTTTTTTTTTTTTTTTTTTTTTTTTTTTTTTTTTTTTTTTTTTTTTTTTTTTTTTTTTTTTTTTTTTTTTTTTTTTTTTTTTTTTTTTTTTTGTTTGTTTTTTTTTTTTTTTTTTTTTTTTTTTTTTTTTTTTTTTGTTTGTTTGTTTGTTTGTTTGTTTGTTTGTTTGTTTGTTTGTTTGTTTGTTTGTTTGTTTGTTTGTTTTACTCTGTGAAGTAAATTGCGTGTAAACTGCTCGTAATGTGCTGGATCGTCAGAGCATTATGTAATCCAGCATATCTGACCCTACCTCTCTCTCACCCCCTCCCCCTGTCACCCCTTCCATGTTTATCTCCCAGATGAAGCAGTCTTTAGAAAAGCTCCACCGGGGCATCGTGGTCCCAGAGGTGCAGCAGGACCCCCCTGATGATATCCTCACAGAGTCTGGGACTGAGGCCTGAGTCCCCCCCACCCCTACCCTGATTGTCTCCTAACTCTGAACACACCCTGGTAGAAAAGAGCGGCCTCGTCAACTTGGTTTTGCTCTGTCCCTAATTTCCAAAATCGACAACCAGGATTGGGACATGCAGGGGACTACATTACCCACAACTCTCCTCGCCTGACTGACTTGAAATGGCATCGTTTGCCTTCAGCCTCAACCAGTTACAACTTCAGTGAACTCATTCAGACTGGAAGCTATCAGGACCACAGCAATAATCTACCTACAGCTGCAAGTCATCTGTATGTACTGTATGGAAACAGGCCACTGGTGGGCCGATTCAGACCATCCACTCCTCAAGAAACGTTTCAAAATGGCCAAACGTGTTTCAGAATAACTTTATTTCAGACCTCCTTAATTTTCAAAAAAGAAACCCATTTTATGACTATCATAGACTTCAGTTTCTCTCCTGACATGCAACATTTCAAAGGTGCAATGGGAAGGGATCAATGATTTCTGGAAAGTGGGAGTTCTTCCTCCTAGTCCTGGGAACAATTAGATACCTTTGCCTCTAGTTGAACGCCTGCTGATACAAAAAAAAAAAAAAGGGGGGGGGGACACCACCTGCTGTGTGGATGTGATGAACACCCAGAAGGAGAGGGGAGAGCGCTGACAGGAGCACTGCGCCTCTCTCGCTCTTTCCGCGAGGGATCCACGTCCGATTTGAGCCCCCTCAAAGGCTGTCGGTCCTCTGTGAAAGGGGATGAGGAACATTTCAACATCAGACACTTTAATTTTCACCCTTAATTATAGATGTAATTTATACATCTGAAGAACTCCCAAACACCCTCCCACTCCTCCCAGTCCTGTCTGGGTTTTATCTTTTTTCAAAATCAGTGTGTTGGGTTGTTTGTTAGGACAGCAAGCTGTGTCTGACTGTTACAGTATTTATTATCACCAATGACTTTTAAACTGAAGTCCTGTCCTGCTCTTAAGAAGTCATTTGGTGGGTATTTTGTGCTCTGATTTGCTGTTGCCGTGCGGACCAAGAGGAGCTACACGAGAAGGATTACTGTCACAGCAATAATGACAATAGTGATTCTAGTACTTTTTGAATGTTTCAAACAAAGTAGTATATAATATTAATAATAATAATGAGTTGTGTGTGAATGTGTGTAGAGGCAGTGAAAAAAAAACCAAGCAAAGAAGATTTTGACTTGACAGATGCGTGCGTGTGTGTTCATGAGGAGTCCTCAATGTTACATTTTTCATATTAGCGTTTCTTGAGTTCGTTTTTTGGATTTCACGTTTGGTTGCTCACTCTTTGTATCACAGAGCCAGACCTTACCAGTTCAGGATTTAGACTTGATCAGGTAGAAACCTAAGTATCAGAACAGCTACTTCGTTGTCCAACTGGGCTGGGCGTTTCAAGATGAAAGGACCAACCAGAATTTTGTAGGCCCAGGTGAAGAAAAAGGGAATCTGTTTTGCAGTATTGTTTTTTTTTTTTGTGTTTGTAATATTAATTTCATAATTTGACTCGCTTGTTTTTCTCTTTTTATTCAGTTCTTTTTTTTCGTTTTCTATCTTTATTATTTTGTCATCTTTATTTGTTGTTTATTTTCAGCCAGTGCTCTCTGTCCACTCAGTTCTGTCCTCCGATGATTTAAAGCATCTCACCCATCTATACTCCCTCCTTTGTTTCCTCCTTCTTCTTATTCTTCTGATCACTCAAGCCCACTCTTCCTCTCTTTCCTCTCTGTGCTCTCCCTCTTCACCCGCTCACTCTCTCTCTCTGTTTCTCTGATAATGGCGGCTACAGAAGCATGTGGGCCATGCTGTGCATGGCCATCCGCGGATAACAAAAGGGTGTAATATTTATTTAGGGAGGGGGGGGGGGGGGAGTAGATTGAGGGAGAGAGAGAGACGGATCAGAAGCGGGCATGAGAATGTACTGTAAAGATGTGATTGTACACCACGCCATGGAGAGAAATGAAAAGTTCTAAAACATGCAACAACTCCTCGCTGATCTTTGAGTCTGTGTGTTTTCACTTTACAAGGATCTGGTGTGCATAACGGTGGAACTAAATAATATGATTATTATTATTATTATTGATTTATCTGTCTGTTATTTGGGCCAAAAAAAGATCCGCAAATGGTAAAACACCAATCACACAATAAATCAAGCCCAAAATATTCAGTTTTATATTGTGTCTATATATCCTTTATATAATCAGGTAAAAGACTCATTGAGATTAAACATTTGATTAACATTTGGGAAGCTGGAGGAGGTTTTTCTTCACAAAAGAAGCCCTAAAGGAGGGATGCAACAATTATTTTATTTTTTTTAAAGTATATTTTTTGGGGGGCTTTTATTGCCTTTAATTGATAGAGACAGCCGAAGGTAGACAGGAAAGGGGGGCAGAGCGAGGGGATGACACGCAGCAAAGGGCCGCAGGTCGGACTCAAACCCTGGGCTGCTGCAGCAAGGACTCAGCCTCGGTACATGGGTCACCAGCTCTACCAACTGAGCTAACCGGGTGCCCGGGATGCTACTAATTGTTATATTCATCATTGATAATACTTGCTTGGTGTATGAAATGTTGTTCATCATTTCCCAGAGTCCAGGGTGACAGAATATCGTGTTTTATCCGACTCCAAAACCAGAAGCTATTCAGATCAACCATCATATACGATAAATAAAAGGCAGGGCAGATGTGAGAAATGTTTAATTCTTGATTAAATCAAGGACATTGCTTCACACGGCGATGAGAGAGCTGCTTCTGTAAATTAACTGTAATCTTATCTAAAGAGGAATTCTCTGTTCAAGTTAATCAAGTTACAAGATAAAAGCGCTGACTCGGGGACTAGTCTTGTTGATGTGTTTTTCTCAATCATCTTTCAACAAATTGAGGTAGTTTGTGTCTAGCAGGAAGGTCACAGTGGCTATCTTCTAACCAGAGGTTTGAAGTTTGAACTCCTGAATCTGATGGGGAAAATGTCACTAAACTCAAGCAGACTTCATTCTTGGATAAGGTTTAGTAGAACGTGCTGGGAAAATACCGGGCCTGATGGGTGATACAGTACACATAGTGGGTTTATTAGAGGCATTTCATTCATAAATTCCAGTTTTTTTTATATACTTGAGAGATTATTGAGGGCCCCCTTTATTGACAATGACATCCAGTCAGCAACAACAAAATAAAATATAGAACAGCAATACCACAAGTGGCTAATAGAGAGCCTTCAAAACCTTCTGATTAGTTTGATAAATTAAGATAAATAAAGTTAGAATTGTATAGATTAATTAAAACAATTAAAATGCTAAATAAAATACAGCTATGTTAAACAATTACAAGTAGAGGTTGGGAAGTTTAAGATGACATTTCTAAGATGTCCAAAAGGTAAAACTGTATTAATTTTAAGCTTTTTAAAAAAAGAAAGATTTTAGGCTATATTTTATTCCAGGAGTCAGGTGTACTACATTTTAAATAGTTTTTCATATCCAAAACTGCATTACATTTTGCTCTGCTCATTTTTAACAGTGCACACCAGCGGAGGATCCGTCTGAAAAAGGTAAGACTCTAAGATACGACTATAGATGGACCGATTAATTAGATCTGCTGATTATCTGACATTTTGAGATAGTCTAATGCATCCTGCTGTAAACTTTTCCTTTTTAAATGTTCCGTCACTGGCTAAATACTGAATATATATTAAGTTATTGTCTACAAAGAAATTTACATGTTGTATTGACACTGCTGGTCTTTTAAAAATCCCCGTTTTGCCTCAGAACAAAAGTGTTTTAACACACCCCGCTGCATATCAACCACCTACACATTTACCATTTTATGTAAATAACAACAGATACATGGCTGATTCTCTCACATGGATTTTTATTTATTTCTTTGTATCACTTTTCTTTTTGGCAAGCAACATTTCCACACCTACACGTGAACTACAGTTTTATCTGTTGCTGAAAGAAAACACATGGACACAAAGCAGACCAACAATGTGGGGAGCAGTGTGGTTTTCATTTCACTGGTTGGTTCATCTGTGCAGTAAAAGGTGTTAGATGATGTAAACTGATGGATACCCAAAAAGTAAATGCCCCAGGAAACTGTGTTAAAAATTGCTTGAATGGCCTTCAAAGGAGATCTCGCTCGTTTTGTCTGTTTAATGGTTCCACCAGTAAGCATGCAGTTATTCTGTATTAATTCATCAATACATGTGGTCCCCTTCTCAGTATCTCAAAATGTATCAAACTCACTCTTTTGGTACAAAACAGTAAACATGCAGAATGGCAGTGTTTGGTTGCCATCTAGTGTTCAGCAATAGTCAATAACTGGCTGTCTGGAAATAGAAGTACAGATGCTGCACTAAAGATTTGTAACAAGGCTTCAGCTCTTTCCTTTTGGTTTCCACTGGCTTCATGCTGGGAGGCACACTGGACAGGTTTTGTGGTACATTTGCCCGTGACAGTTAGATAATAGCAATTTGCCAAGCCCTTAAGTTTCTACAAAGACAGTAAGACATTTGTGTGAAATTACACATCAGTGGGAACCACTGTACACAAATTAAGCTAAAATCATATAACTTTGGATAAACTGTTTTTCGTTTTTGGTGTGATGCAAACTGTTCTGGTGAAACTGACTGAATCATCCTCTCATAATGTCACAGGAAGTCACACTTCGGTGCCATTTTTACCAACAAATGAAGCGAGACATTCTCTCAGCTCTAAAACTTGCACGCAGCTAAAATCAGCACTGAGCCTGCTGTCGTTATGCTTTAGTTAAAATGGTATTCTTTAGCTTTAAATTGATAAATTAGACCTATTTATCATATTTATGAGCTCTCAGGATCAAGGAAAAGGAAAACAGTAAAAACATCAATGTGTTTTGTCTGAGAATTAAAGATAAAACAGGATCTCATCTCCGTTGGTTCCCCAGTTTAATATGAAATATTAAAAACATGACTATTTTATTCTATCATTTAAAGCAGTGCCTGATAACTGTGTCCCTTTATTTGAGAGCTAGTAACTCAAACTCAAGAGAATACTTCTCCAGTGACGATCTAAGCATTTAGCAAGTTCACACTAAACGCAGATAACATTTCTCTTGGTGAGCAGATGTGTGAGTGTGTGATCCTGAAGTAAAACAAGTAAAAAAGATGGGTGATCACATTATCACACTACAGACAGTGACTTTCAGCTGATGTGTGACGTTCATGAATCATCTGCTCTTCAATATTAAAAATATAGGTAAGAGGTTTGGATGTTTTCTCTATCAGGGTTGGGCCGTTGATAGTGGTTTGCCAATTTATTTATCAGCCTGTTGGGTGGCCACCACTGATACGCTGGACCTGCAATCATGTTTTTTTCCCCATTTATTGTGTGTATTTTGTTCTAAGTGCTATTTTCTTTCTTTTACAGGCTGGTTTTAATAAAATTCTGCAGAAAAATACCAAATACTTAATTTTTTGGGGGCAAAATGAATATCAGGCCAAATAACAGCTTTTGTAGCAGTGTTTTCCTTAGAAAATGACCAGTTTAATTTAGTCTCACTATTTAAAAGTAGAACAAATCTTTTTTTAAAAATGTTGGATTTTTGTTATTAAAGTGTTTTGATTTATCATTAAAAATAAATTTTATTTGCACCACAGCTTCATGAACCTACCAGGAAACACTGACATCTGTTGGGTTGAAAATTGGCTTTATAAAACCTGCATCGGTCAAACCCTGATGCCAACACGGCGTAAAATGAAATATGACATAACTGATTAAAAACTCATCAGAAGTATGATGTTGAGTGTTAATAAGCTTGTAAGCATGCAGATATACAATGCAGGCCTATAATATACTCTACATGTGTTTAAAGATAATCTGTGCTTACTTATACACCTATATACACTACAACTCTCCCTCTCGGTCTCTCCCCCTCTGTCCTGTTGGACCACGACCGGATGCATCTCTCCTGTCCCTCAGAACTGGATACAGTCAGAAAGTCACTTAAAAAATCTTTCCGTGAAGATCTTTGTCCTCTCTGTGGTTCCATGTGGAGAGGATGGCGGGAGGTGGGTGACGGCGAGAGAAGGGGGCATGAGAGTGGATGTGAGATTCCTCAAGGAAGCCTTGAGTTCTTCCTTGACCTGAAATATAAAATTTCAAACTGTCAAGAAAATGAATGAATCAACTCTCTCAAAAAACTAAGAGAACTTGTAGAGAACACAATGCTCTAATTTCTACGTATCTTGAATCTAAATAAAATAAAAGACGAGAGAAGGACAATTTAATTGGGAGAATAAATGAAGCAATTTGAGGGCACAATTAATTGTAATAATTTGAGGGTAGAAATTATTTAATTAAGGAAAGGAACAAAGGTACACTGAACACCAATTGGTCATTTGGGGGCTAAAACCCATGTATACTCATTCACTTCTGTTTTTATTGAATATGTGGTCCTGAACCAGGCCTAAATATGGGATGGGTTGGGAAAACTACCTCTCTACCTGTTGGATGCCTTCAACTTTAGTAAAATTAATTTGATATTTGGTTGATCAGTCATTTTGAAGATCCAAAAGGTGATCGTAGCATGCTGAGGTGTCCAAATTGTTTCAAATTAAACAATCTGAGAAGAGAAAACCTTGTTTGAGCTACTCATATCTCAGAGACATGTGACAGGATGTAGACATTGCTTCATATTAAGGGGTAACAAGCAAAAAAGAACCAGGGAGAAAAGGGGAACACTGAGCTCGGGGACCAAAACATTAAATTTTTTGTCCTGGTTTGTTGTTGTTTTAGTACAGATATCATATATTCAAAGAAAACATATAGGGGGGATGTGGAAACAAATGTATCAGTTGTATTCTAGTGGTGGTTACAATACAACAATGACAACGGCATAAGCACATAAACAAAATAAAGCACACAAAGAAACTGAGATCAGGTTTAGTGAGAATCCAGACCTACCGGTGCTATTCTGCCACTTGTACACCTGCACAATTATCTTTACTTTCTGATGCTATAGCTAAATACTCCGCCCTGGAGGAAAGAGAGCGGTAAAAAAGGGGAAAAGGGGAAAACAGGCAGTCAAGGTCGGTGAATCAGAATCAGAACAAGATATGAGTTCAGTGATGGAAAAGGGAAATGTTTGTTATCTTGAAAAGAACAGATTGAAACAGATTGTGAAAGTGGTTGGTGGGGGCATCAGGACATCAGGACATTTGGACGGCCCAGCAGGATCTTGACATGAAGGTCTGGCACTGGAGAGAGGCTGGCCCTGTGTGTGAGGGTGTTTGTGTGTCTTAAATGTTACTCACGTGCTTTCTCTCAGAGCTTCCTCTCCTGCTGCTGAAATCTTTCTGTAGCAGTAAAGCATCTCAACAACCAGCCAGAGCTGCAGCCCGATGATGGAGACATACATCATCACCTCAGACAAAATGGATGCCAGTCCCCGGGTGACTAGAGAGACAGAGAGGGAGATATGGTAAGATATATTGTATGCGTATGGAATGGAGACTGGTTTGAATTTATACTATGAAAAGGACGTGGGATGCCCAGGCCATGTGTGTTTTTTTTTTTTAAAAGCTACAAGTCATCATTTATAACCTCCTGTCCTGAATTACAGTGTGTGATAATTAATGATTTCCTAAAGACACAGGTAACCTGACATCTGACATCCATAAGTTAAAGGTTATTGCTCATCACAGCCAAAAAATTAATAAAAATAAAATAAAATAAAAATACATACTGTATTACATACTGTTCCTATAAAGCAATAAACACATAATATTATCAACCTTTACGTTAATGCGTTAAAGCTTGTGGCCACCTGGTGAATGCAAGTCCAGTGCGCATTCTCTTTTTAGCTCTGTTTTTGGTCTCTGTGGCTCTTTATCGGTTAGATGTTCACCTGCTAGTTGTTAACTTTGTCTGTCTGCTTTAGTAGTGTAGTGCAGGTAGTGTACAGTGGATTTTTTTACGCTTTTTTTCGCTATAAACAACAGCCGACTGTGAAACAAAATATTAAAGTTGTGGGCCAGAAAACCAAAACAAAGAGCTGAAAGGCTCTGAACTTTAATTACCTCAAGTTACTCTTTAAACCTGCATTAATAAATTTTTTCCTACCATTTTCAGGCAGCAGGCTACAAGACACTGTACGTATAACATTTGGAATATTATCATTATATAGTACAATATCCCTCCTTTCTGTCCTTACGTTTTGGAACCACGTTCATGATGATAGTCTTGGAGATGTTGGTTTGAAACTCGTAGTTTGAATACACAAGGGTGCGTTGGAATATACACTTGTAGGTTCCCGTGTCATTTGAGGTCACATTGAGGATGTAGATGGAGCCGTCCTGTAGGTCATTGGTCTTCTTGCTGCCATTCCAGTCCAGACGCTCGTAGAAACGTGGGTCAATGATCTCAGGTATTTTATCTTCATAGCTGTATAACTGAAGGAGGCAAATGACAGAGGCAAAGCAAAATGGAGACAGTGAACATTCTTACCAAAGTGATAACATGGTTTCAGGCATTTTGAAATACCATACTGGTGTTTCTACAAGTTATAATCCAAATTGTTTTTGCATTATTGTGAGTTTTTGAGCTGATGAATGTGATTTTTCCTACTTACATGCAGCCACAGTACATTTCAGTATGCTGTGAAAATGAAGATAGGCTACTTGAAACCTGTTTATACTCCCATAAGGGAGGGTTATTTTTGTTACTGTCAACAAATCTCATGAAAAAAAGTCTCACAATTCTTTCTTACTTCCCTAACCTGTCTGTAGCATGTAGCCCCAACCCCATTGGTTCCTACAGAGGATGTAAATCTTTAAACTTTAGAGCCAGGCACGGTAGTTTTTTGCAAACATTACTCAAACAGGAACAAATAGTGCATTTGTTCGGGACTATTTTCAGCCGTGGATTTCATGCTATATTATATTATTAATGTGAGTTTGACTCAAAATTAACTAGAGTGTATGAAAAACACAATAGTTTTCAATAGTCTTTGGACTACAGACTCAGAATCAGGTTTATTGCCAATAAGTTTTCAAATACAAGGAATTTGCCTTGGTACATTGGTGCGTAAGACTCATGATCAAGCATAGAAAAATATATATAAGATACAAAGATATGATAAAAGAGACAATAAAAAGGAGCTACTGTATACAAATATAAATATAAAGAGTGAGAGAATATACAACGGAGCTCTAAAGCACAGAAGAAGAAGAGATTGTTAGAGACTGTGTGAAAATGATACATATATATATAAGTATAGCCTTTGTGTGGCTTGTAGTCCCATTTGTTTACACAGGTAAATAAATAAAACTAAATCTAAATGCTGCTGTTGCTCCTGGATGCTGGTAGGTGTAAAACAAACTGATTGTCCAGTTTTCCTGTCATGCTTGAGGAAAACAACACAGCGTATCCTCAGTTCACCGCTGCCGCTGTTTTTCTTTATCGACAGAACTGTAGTTACAGCCTCACCTCAGCACTTCCTGGTGAATTTGTGGATACAGCTTCCAAAAGGACTAATGGGATCTCTCCTGCTATAAGTATATACTGTAATGGCCTCTTAGCTTTGTATGGTGAGTACTCCTTCAGTTAGCAAATTCTTCCAGCACACAGAAAGTTTGTGTGGGGGGGGAGCTTGTCATGAAAAATGCAAGACTCTGCTCTCTCTCATGATAAATGCATTGCAGCCGTTTCCCAGAAGAGGAGAGAAAGAACCTTGTTGCTCGTTGTGATGGATGTTTGTGGCTTTGTGCTGATTTGATCTAATGCTTTATTTGGGCATGTGATAAATAATTTCATCAGGGAGAAAACTGTCTGCATTTAACGTGATGGATGAATTAAATGGTGGAACTGTCAACTTTTTTTTTTGTTCTTGACTATGCCGATTCCGTTATAGAAACCCACATTTACAGACACAATCAGACTTCTGGGCCAGCAGCAGGTTTTGCACTCATTAGATATTCTGTGAAATCTGGAGAGTTTGGTTTCCTTCATTGGGCCTTTTGCAGGACATTTAGTGTTCACTTTTGTCTGTAATTTTAGTTTTGATAGTCATTTATAAATTAAGTTAAAAACAAACTGTGGTTTTATAGAGGGTTGTGTGCGAGACTATTTCTTGCCCTGGCGGCACAGCAATTCGTCCAGGAAGTCACTGTGCCCAGAGTTCACGGTAGATCGATTTTGTTACATTTGGACAGACCCAGGCTAGCTGTTTCCCCTAAGCTAAGCTAACCAACAAGCTTCCTATTTACCAAACAAACTTAAGAGTGATATCAATCTTCTCATCTAACTCTCTGCAAGAAGAACTAAGTGCATTTCTCAAATGATCAAACTGTGCCTTTAAATCATCACAGAGTACTACAATTTCAAAGCTTGCAGTGTTCTTGCTACTCACGTGGGAGAAGTCGGTCTCATCTAAACCTCTGAAGTACCAGTTGACGGATGCCATTGCGTGCACCTCGCCCCTCATCTTACATGAGATGCAGCCCAATTTGAAGCCTTCATTGACCACGGCCTCTGTGTCTGAGTCCACTTCCACGCAGGCTCCACGGCACAGAGATGCTACAGAGTGGAAAGGATGAAGGACACACAGTTAGAAACCGCCTGTATCACTTGTATGGCTCTCTGTCTATTTGCAGGTCACAGGGTTCAGAGGTAAGAGCCGTGGGTGGCCGTCATCCTCTTTTTTATGTACCCGTGACTCGAGGGAAAGGTTGATATACGGGAGAGCTCAAGTGTTTTCCATTATCTCAGTAGTTGCAGGCAAACTTTCTAAACAATACTTTACAAAACAATGCTAGAGTAACTTTTGTATTTTTGCGTGCTTTCTCCCAATGGTCAGTGCATGCGTATTTTTTGTTCTTTTGTAACGGGCATATGCTTATTTCTTGCATTTTTTTTATTTCCACCCATCATTTCAGTTCATAGGTTATTGTGAATTTGATTCATTTGTTTTTTCTTTATGTAGTAATGTACATTTTAGGTGTTTTTAATCCGTGAAACTGAGGGGAAATAAAGAGGTTGCAGTGAGCGATACTAGTTTCTTGCATTCTGTCAATTGGCAACTGAGCTAAATTCATATATAGAAGCGTGAGTCTATATATGCCATCATCACCATGACACATACTTCTCATCGGCCAGGAGTTACACACCTGTAACTCCACATGTTTCTTTCTCACACTGCACCTTGCAGTTTCCACTGAGGCCTCAGCATGGCTCTCAACCAATGATCTTGTGCTATTCTCAACTTTGACCTCTGGGGATGCTTTTGTTTCGAATCGCATGATGGCAGGGAGGGAGAATGAGGGAGAGGACAGGAAACACAACGCTGATCAGATGAACTCAAGATGAAGTGAAATCATTAAAAGTTTGGTTGAGATTCACGAAGGCTGCACATCGTCCATGGCCTCATGTACATAAATATATAAAAACAAAGGTCTATTTCTTTTACTCCCTGGGATGCAAATATTGCAGCACCAAAGTGAGACGTATCAGAATTAGTAATGCCACCACACTGCGGATAAACATGAAGGGGAGGAATGAGGGAGGAGGAAAGAAAGAGAAAGTTAGCACAGGCTTCAGTAGTAACAGCCATTTCTGCAAAAGCATGGGGAGATGGGGAAGCAGGAGGGAAGAGGCCTAATGCTGGCTGATGCACTGCAGAGAGAGAAGAGGGAGAGAAAAAAGGAGAAGGAGGAGAAGAAAAGTTAAGAACATAATGCAAGACTTCACAGGCCCAAAAATATCAAACTCAAACTTAAATGGACGCCTTGCCATTGCATTTAAACAAGAGATGGACCCATGCATTTAAAACCAAACACAGAACCCAAACCCAGCTGGACCTGAGAACGACTAAACCCAAATGAATGATTGGAGCTGATTTCATTCCAGTTTCAGTGGTTTTAGTGGACCTGAACAGAGGTTACACAGTTGATTTTTGCTGATCTAAGGTCTCAAATATGCTGAGTGCTTTACCAAAGCCATATTCGAGAAAGTAATTGGCTGCATTTTGTTAAAATGTATAAAAACACAGCGTACATTATTGATGAAGTATCTCCTTTTATCAGGGCCTATTGGGTCTGCTTAAAACGTAATGATAATGACAGTTTCATACAACTTGGGTCTTATATTTTTATAGTTTTGGACTTTGTTCCTCATCAGTAAATACCGTAACTCTCACCAGGTTATTTGCTGAGACGTGGGAACGTAACCAGACATCTGAAACGTGAGCAGTCAGATGATCACACGGGTTGTAAACAAGCACCCAAACGTATTTGGAAGAGAAAACGAAGGTGAGTTGTAAAACTACCCAAACTTTCTGTTGTGAACGTTCATCACAGACAACTTACTCGTTCGTGTTTGACCTCCTGATTTTCATAATAGACCTTTTGCACAGCAGCTACTTTGACCAGAAATAGTAGGGTGATATTAAATAAGGCTCTGTTCCATTTAATGTAGTAGAGTCTTCCAGTGAGCCGACATGCACAAAAGCAGCACCCTGACTCTGTTTTACCTAAATGGAACAAAATAGAGTCTAAAATGTACAATATGTGATTCCCGCCACTAGGAGGTCTCTGACATCACAACAGTAACAAAAGGCAAAGTTTGATGACGCTGTGATGTAGAGTGGGATCATGGGAGTCATTGTCTTCACCACCATTGCCGTCGCACGTCAGTTAGGAGTCCTTCATGTTCACCGTTCAGGAGTTGTTGTTTTTTTTTTACCAGGAGCTGATGATCCGCAAAGGTCTCCTCCTCTACGAAACAAATGGATGCAGTGATTAAAACCGGTACAAACACTGAATAAAGAAGTTTCACCTTAAAAATCTGTGTTCAGTTCTGTTCAGTGGACAAAGGACGTCCTGAAGGGCCTGCCAGTCGAGCTGCTGCTAACGTTACCTCAGCTTGTTTCTCTGATAACTTAAGATCCAGACGTACGATGACTAAAAACCTTCGTCTGGTTGAAATATATGTTTAAACAACCAAGATTTTAAACGTGTATTGTAAAAATGTTTAACGTTTACGTTTAAAACTGGATAAAAAGTAACATAAAAATATGACCCAAGTTGTAATAAACCTGAATTGTCCTTTAAAGTAGCACTTACACAGACTCTTAAAAAACTTAAATGTTTGAACCTACATAACAGGGTTCGGTTAAGGGGTCTTAGGTTTTCGGGTTTTCTGGGAGGTGGGTTTGCTGAGGCGCTCTAAATTATAACAAACAGACCTGAGAAAAAACATTTGCTAATACTTCTTCTGAACTGCTTAGAGAACAGGTGCACTTATTCACAGAGAGCAATGCAGTGAAGGGAAATTATTTTTTTTGGTGTTATTTTATATAATTGTATTTATTTTAATCTCTGCTCTAATTAGCATCTGTTACACGTTACTTGATTGTTTGTGTTAATTACAGGCTGCTGTAAACGACTCCAGCTGTCAGTGCTGCAGCTAATCCTGCCAATAGAGGTTGATGAAAGTCATTTGTCACTTAATGCCCGTGTAAAGTCTCACAGGGAATCAACTAATAGACATTTTTGCAAATAGGCACCACCAAATGTTTAATTTTAAAACATATTATGCAATGATATTTTGACTCATGTCTGTGAGAGACTCCATCATATCAGCTTCTGCTGTGTAGAAAAGACAGAGAGGCAGAAAGAGACAGAAAGCCAAAGAGACACCAGACAGACACAACAGCAACACATCTCATGCAGAATAACACAGAAGGGTTTCAGATGGCTGACATATTGCCAGTTAATAAAAAGACAGAGAAAAGGAGGGGAAACCTGAAACACAGACAAATGAGACACATTACAATGACAACAAAGCACAGGTTTGACGGACAGCAGGAAATAAATTAAGAGGATGTGTGAAGACAGAAGAGATTCCTTTAATTGCAATTGCATTGACAGAAAGAACAAAAAATAAAAGAGACAGATGATAATCTAGGAGGAACAGCAGCACACAGATGGTGTGAGGCAATAATCCAGAAGGAGGTTGGTGACGTAGGGAGAGGAGAGATACTGCTGACTGCCCGAAGCTGAGACAGCAAGTTAGGTAGACAGCGAAAGAGACAAACATGCAAGCAGACACAAAAGGAACTGCACATACAAAGTGCAGACTACACAGAGTCAGAGAAACCAAACTGCCTCAGCAACGATTCAGCAGCAGGACACACACACACACACACACACACACACACACACACACACACACACACACACACACACACAAGCATCAAAAATGCAAATCCATTGCGTAATCTGTGGACTGAGGTTCAGGATTATGCAATGGATATTTCAGAAATTGCAGATTAGGAGTTTTTTCTTTTTTTTTTTTCCTGACAGGAGGCCTGGATCGTTAATCCCTCATATCAATTGCTGTATACCCCTGAGGCCTACAAAGCAAAAAACTGACTTATAGCTTTAACTTTACAAAAGACCATCCACCCTCTGGGGTTAACTCGCATGTCACCAGGAGCTAAAGGAAATACAACATGGCTCAAGGAAATTTGCTGAACTAGCCATAAGAGAGAGGTAGGAAAGAAAGCTGGATAAGCAACAGCAAACAGAGATGAGGGAGGACAACATCTGTTTCCATGACTGGGTTACCACCGACATAAACACACACATACTGTTGGCATACATAACCTGGGGAAATGCCAAGCATCCATGACATTTCCCTTGACACCAAGCAAGCAAGAGACTTTCCACTGGAACAAGAAGACCATTAACATACACTGCTCTGCAAGTATCTCTTTCATTTTACTCCACAAAGCCGTCAGTGTATATTGACTCTCTGTCAGGATAGAACAGGCCAGATAAATCCCTGCCTGCTTTTCTGTCTTTATATCTTTTATTAAAACAGCTGCTCCTTTGGATCAAGAAGATTCTGTCCCAAAACCAAAACAAGAGACATATAACATATGTCTCATAATACTTTACAAACAAAAAAGACACACACAAAAATTACAAATGAGCAAGTATCTGCTACTACAATCAGATACAGCCTGGTCTCCTAGATGTGACGTTTATTTCATTTGCAACCACAAATACATTTTGAGAGTAACATAATACCACCCAAATTCTAATTCTTTAATTCTCTATTACTACTTTGTGCATGTTTTGATGCAGATAGAGATCCCTCTATCTGCTGTCTAGTTTCATGTCGATCTCACGTCATTCCTTTCTGTTTTGAGCTCTGTAATTTATGCACAAAGGCCCCTTATTTTTCATTGACATTTTGTTCTGCAAAACAGATACAAATCTGTTTTGAAGAATGAAACACAAGGCTCGCATTCATTCTGTCCTCATGAATTCCTTTTCAGCATGTTCGTGACACTGAGCCTTTCTTTCCCACAATATTACATGTAGTCTCTACAAAGCTTTACATGGGCAGACATTTTGACCAGTGAAAGAAGGATAGGCATATGTGCAACTATGAATGATGTTTTCATTGAATCTCTAGAGACATGGTGTTGTGCATGCCGGTTCACTGACACCTAAATGGTTGTCCGATTAATGTTATTAGTTAAGTGGGGGTCAGTCATTCTGGAGAAAGATAGTTAATTGTTGAGTCTTATTCCCAGGTCATCAAATACAGATACTTTGGATTATAGTAAATGGGAAACAAATAAAGCGGCTTGGAGTGAACTACACAACAGGTAGCGTTTGTGCTCCCAGGTCGTTAAATACAGGCGGTTTGCTGCAAAACCAAAAGACTGAGCTGAGCTTTTATTCTAAAAATATGTATGATATATACTGATCTGAAATGTTACTATTAAGCTTTCAACATTTTCTGACTTCAATATGTAGTCAGAAAATGAAGTCAAATGTAGTCCTTTTTTGTCAAGACAGATGACACATTGTTCAAACATCTCTCTCCACACAAAGAAAATGATCTGCATGTCCTGAGTCATAATGTGCGTTTGTCCTTGTCTGCCCTCTGGCACACACATACACACACGCACACACACACACACACACACACAGGTAATTTCCAGAAGCACTATTTCACGCAAGTGTACGAGTGGTATGAAGCAGTACCTTACTGCTGCTGATATCGTTGCAATGCCAGCTTCATGTCTCTCTTCTTATTGGTCTGTCTGTCTCCAGGATATAAACTCCCTCTGCTTTTTTCTTTCCTACCTGAGTGATTGTCAGAGCTGATATCTTCAGGGTTTCTTCCAACTCTCTGCAGTGTTATTATGTACGTCCAATACGCATTACAAATAAGCAAGATGCACAGCGATGTGTTCACAGTTTTCACAGAGATTGGTTAAATTTGTGTTATTTGTTGTGATCGTAACTTCCTGGAGGGTCTGTGCCCATAACGTGTTTTTTAATTGTTTTCGATAAATGAGAAAAACTAAGGAATCTATTCACAGCTGTATATTAAGCTTCAAGACAATGTGTCAGTAGCATGTGCAGAGCATAACATTTAATCAACTATTTTGATGATGTTAACAATAATTATTGCCAAACTGATGAGTTCCCTGCCCTTCAAATACCAATCGAGCTGTGTGGAAGGTCATCTCGTCCTTCAAAGCCTCCCTCACTCACCTCCAGCAACTACAGGGCACCTCAGTTTTACAGACCTCTGTCACACAGCTGGATGAACAGGAGCTTGTGTGTGTGTGTGTGTGTGTGTGTGTGTGTGTGTGTGTGCTTGTGTGCGTGCTTGTGTGCGTGTGTGTGTGTGTGTGTGCGTGTGTGTGTGTGTGTGTGTGTGTGTGTGTGTGTGTGTGTGTGTGTGTGTGCACGTGCGTGCTAGCAGGCCACACAGCCTGCAATTAGGGCACGATGGTGCAGTATCTTGCTCCAGATTTGTGGGTTAAAATGAATGTTGCAATCGAAAAGGCTGAAATAGGATCAAAATTAAACTCTTCAGAATGAGATTCAGGTAGCTTTGAGGCTTCAGAGTCTGACAGCAGCTGCAGATGGGGCACAAGGGAGAGACTGTTATAGTTTCTAGAAATCACGTGCACGTTTTTGTTCAGATGGCAGAGAGCCACTCAGATGGAGAGCATCAATCGAGAGCTCTTTGTTTACAAGGCCTGCTGTTTGTAGAAGGCAATAAATATAGATCTAGACATCCTATATGCTGTATGTAGCAGCCATTGCAAGTTTTGTAGAGCAGGCTTGTACAACCTTTGAAGACAATGATGACATAATATTTTATCAGGGGTTCAACTGCAAAAAGAGTTGACTTTTGTTGTCATATAAAAGCATGGAGAGTAGATTCTGCTAAATTAATTAACTTTTATGGGTCAGATTGGCCAGAAATCAAACTTGTTCTGGAGAAAAAAAGCTAATATTTTACATACATTCCTTTACTTGAATGTGTCATTTTTTTAATTTAAGAAAGTTTGAAGTTTGGAAAAACTGCAAACAGTATCAAACCTCAGAGTAAGAACACAATTCCTAAAGCTAAAGTGTTAACCATAAATCAGACTTTTAAAAAGTTGCAGCAGTGCATCACTCGGGTACTTATAATTAGTTTATGTTCCACCATTTCTACTTAAAATGATGAGCTTATATGTAATGTAATTCCCAATTTGTACAGATGCATTGGTTGGAGTGGAGTGATGGAGTGAACCAAATGGCTTGGGGATGAGAAGATGCTGTGGTTGTTCAACAGCAATTTCCTTGGGGCGTGATTTAATGTTCAAGCCATTTGCAGACTAAATGGCTCCATGCTGCCATTGTGAAAGCAGAGTGTGTCTCTCCTGCATCCATTAGTTAAGGATGCTATCAAATGCATTAGGTTCTATGAGTCATAAAGGATTAATTTAACTGTTGTAATATATTCTGTCATTCAGAAACTTTTCTTTTTAAATAAATGTACATTTGAATTTCAAAAAACAAAGTGCACAGTGTTTTTTTTTTTTTTATCAGCCTCAATCTGTTCCTTTCCTCTTATTTTAGGGGATTCCATCCAATTTCCCGTCTCGTCTTATATCCTCATCCTCACTGCGTCCAACTCCAGATGGGCTCACTCACTTCAGTCCTTAACTAACCCGCCAGCTCGTCAACAAAACTGTCTATTTCTGTCAATCTAGGTTGTGTAACCTTCTTACTTTTGGCCAAGCTTCACTTCTCCGCTGCCTGGCTCGACTTTCTGCAGCTCTGTCTGCTTATTTCAGCCTTATATCCTGGATAAACTGCCCATTCATGTAAAGGAATAACAACATAAACAAAATATTTTTTGAGATTATAAGGTTGTGTTGAATGGGAAACAAAGAGCATCTGGCTGACAGTGATCTCTCTTTTAATGCACTGCTTCCTTTTCGTGCTCAATTTTAAATCCCAGTGCTTAAAATGAGATTATCTGTGACCGCAAAATGCCACCTAAAAAAACTTTTTTGCGTTTTCGTTTTATTCGTTTTTGGTTGGATTAGTACAAAAAGCAAAATTAAAAAAGTACAAAATAATGTACTAACATCTACATCTTGTTTAAATTTGCCTCGAGTCGTTTTTAATACCAACTGATCATTTTCAAATCAACCAAGAGGCCATAAATAAAGAGACGTGGCTGTGATCGTAAATTTCTTAACACGGATCAGTGAAGGATTATCTCCTTTTAGAGTTGCTTCTCCTCCCGTGGGTGTCAGGAGACTGACAGAAACGTAACGGTGATGGATTATGTAGCTCATGCTATAAAAAGCAGCTTTGAAAGCATAAATGGCACTAAATAGCTTCTTGTGAAGGTGGGAAATTGAGTCGGGATATCCCAAATTATACAGATAACAGCAGGAGGAGCGGGAAGATTGATGGCAACTTAGATTGATAGATACAAATTTAAGGGAACATGTTCTCCTTTAAAAGACTTTCATGATAGTTTCCTGGGCAGGAGTTGTGTATAAGTTGGTTACATACAGTATGAGACCTGACTTGAGTGCTGAAATCTCAGCATTAACTCACTGAGAACATCCATTCAACTGATCTTAAACAATTAGTCATGCGACAGAAAATTAATCAACAACTATTTTGATAATCAATTAAAATGTTTGAGCAAAAGGAAGTTGTGACAGGCATTTCTCATTATTTTCTGCTATTTTATAAACCAATTAAAGACAGATAAATGAGAATAATAATAAATGAGAATAATCATTAGCTGCAAAATGTGAACACACAAATATGCTATGCCACAGATCACAGATTGTTCTAGACCTTTGAATACACAAAGACTGCTGTGTGTGTGTGTGTGTGTGTGTGTGTGTGTGTGTGTGTGTGTGTGTGTGTGTGTGTGTGTGTGTGTGTGTGTGTGTGTGTGTGTGTGTGTGCATGCATGTGTGTGTGCGTGTGCGTGTGTGCCTTCCATTTTAACACTGCCAAATGGCCTCATCTAATTTCTCTGAAAAAAAACTGAACAGCTGGGCTTTTAGCAAACAATCCAGCACAACGATGAAACCAAATACTCACTCACACATCTGCATTTAAAAACACACACCAACACACACACACACACACTTCCATCCATAAACACGCACACTGGAGAAAATCCACGAAACATTGCCTACAAACAGAGCAGACAGTGGTAGAAAGTGCAACATCAGACAACAGGAAACACCTCAACAACAATGACAAACAGCACAGTCAGTGAATGGGGGATTGGATGGTGGCTCATATGCATGCCAAGGTGTTGCCATCGTGGCATCACTATGGCAACACGACCACTGCCCACTCACCTTGAAGCGCCAGGAGGGCCAGAGGTAGCAGCAGCAGCTCTTGCACTGCAGACATGCTGACAGGAGAAAGGAGACTGGTGGCGGCTCTCAACGGCGTCAAAACACACACACACACACACACACACACACTGAGACACACACACTTCAGAGTGAGAAACACAAGACAGATCTACAGCAACTATTCCGGCTTGTTGATGAGCACTGAGATGCCAAAGATGTCCCGACTGTGATTAAAAGGCTGGGAGGTGAGAAGAGGAGACTCGTTCCTGAAGCTGTTTGGACTCTGGGTGTGGTCCGTCCGGGTGTCTTCTTCTCCTCCTTTTTGTACAGCTGATACAAGGGCTGGAAGGAGGTGTGGGTGGGTCTTCTTGCTGATCTGGTCTTTCTTAAGCACCTGAAAAATCTGACAGCAGTAGTGGGGAAGGCATGTGCCCTGCTGCTTCGTCTCTTCAGCCTCTCTGGATCTAAATCACTCTATGTTGCTGGAGAGTCTGTCCAGCCTCTCAGTGTGTAAGCATATAGAGTTACCAGAGGGAGGAATCACTCCGAGTTTCAGGTTTCAGCCCCTTGTTGCTCCAAAAGGGCCTTTGTTCAACTATTTATACTCTGTGGCACACCCTTAGGGTTGTTTACCTCCACAATGAGTTGTTCGCCAAATAATGCCAGTTCCCTGACACACAGACCAGACAATAAATGGCACTGTCAGTGATCAACAAGAAAAGCTACTGGAAGACTGATATCTTAGGCTGATCTAATAGGGGACGAAGCTGATGTCTGGTGGAATTTGTGCTGAAAATGGAAGACGCAGCGTGTGAGAGAGTCGTGCAACGGAGCAGGAGCAAGTGATTGTGCAGAAAAGTCAGTTAAAAATGTCAAAATGTTGCATGCGTGACTGCCCCTGACTTTTCCCTCATGTACCACTGCAGACGTCACCTGGGCAAAAGAAGAGGGTCAGTGCCTGATCGAGCCACAGTGTGAGTGAAATGGCAAATGGAAGCAGTGTGTCTCCTCTCGCTCGTTTCCACCTCTCTTTGGCTCTTGGAAGAAATTACAATTGTCAACTTTTTATTGTTATTGCCTCATATCAGCGTTATTGCTTTCTGTCTGCAGTCAGAGTTGCAGTTTCACAGCGACATATCTCTTCAGGTAAAGCTCGGGCCAGTGATCCAGGGCAGAGTCTGGTTGCTTCTGACTTACTCACGAGAAATCCTCTGCTGTTTGTGCACACCAGTTATGCACCATATGGTTTGTTTAGCTGCTGACTGCCCATGCTGCCCTCAGGCTTGACTGCAACCGCACAGGTGGCTCTGGTGCTCAGATGGGGTCACCAACACATGACACCAGTCTGAAAAGGCATGCATTGAACAGCTAAAAGGGGGTTTGTTTACACCAATGTCCGCCTTCTGTGCGTCTTTGGAGGCTTAAAAAAAGTGCGCTATTATTATTCTGTGCATTCCAGCAGTGTGGTTATTAATTAAGAATAGGGTGTGCTTGAATTGGGTGCTCATACAAGAAACTACAATCTTGAATCAGTGGCTAAAATGCATCTAATCCTGTATGTCCTCTTTTAAAAAAAAACGCAACAGAGCAGAGCACAGCGCCTCGGTGTCCTTTTACCTGTCACCTCTTTATCAAAATCAGCTCTTTAGAAATTAAATATTTCCTCACTTAAATCCTTGAAACGCCTCGTCCTATTGATGGGTCAGAGGTGGACGCCTTGCATCCCGCGTCAGGCAGCCAGATGCTGGATTCCCCCAACTGCTTTGTCACCGGGGACCATCGGAAAGATTTCACGATCAGAGCACAACACAGGGGGAAAAAGAAGCCCTTCTTATTCTTCTTTTTCTTCTTCTTATTGCCTTCAGGATGAGATGTACGGTGGGAGATGTCTTTTCGAGACCCGCATACTCCTCCAGGAGATGCTGACCGAGGCGTCCAGATTAAGAAAAGCGGAGGGACACACACACACACACACACACACACACACACACACACAAAAAAGAAAAATCAGTAACCTCCAGTTATGACATGCTGTGTCAGTGGAAGGATGCCACGCTAATCAGTCTTTGGGATGGGTGAAGGCTGAGGGAGGGAGGTGCATGCAGGAGGAGGAGGAGGAGGAGGAGGGAGGGTGTGATGCATTGCAGTAGAGGGATGGAAAAAGAAGAGGAGGTGGAGGGAGAAGTATAGAGCCGTTGTTATGGCAACAGTGATTTTATGTGATGTTTTCGTCCCTTCTAGAAAGCCCCACGTGTTGGCAAAGAGATCACTGTAAAGTATGCCTGTATTAGAGACTGATGGCGATGATGTCGAGGGAGCACTGTTATACATTGCATTTGACATGAAGTTTGGATCATGTGGATCTACAAAACACGCTGAATCCAGGAAAATAACTTAAATCCAAATCAAAATAGCTTTATTTATCCGTTAGTTTCTTAATTTGTGTGAAGGCGTCACTGCTTATGATACTTGCCTGAGTACAACCCAACTTACCATCAGTGGCCATCAGTTGTAAGCTGATATTTTGATTGCTTTTATTATTATTTTAATGAAATCCTTTCAACAGTAATTCAATTATTAGTGTTTAGTTTCTGAGGGGACAAGAGGAAGGACTGACACTGACTGATGTATTTGTGTTTGATGTCAGAAATATTATTTATTTAACTGACATTTTGGATTTGTTTCCAGTGAGATATTATTGAGTCTATATGCTAACTTTGCTGCTGTAAACATTAATGTTGCTGTTCAAGAAACAATATTTAGTTATATTTGATACATAAATTAATTCTAATGCGGTTCAGGACAGTTCTTGCCAGTGTGTGAAGAACTGTGGGGGGGTTTATATAAATATTGTAATGATAATAGTATAAACTTATGAGGAAGTACATAGTTTGTAGTTAAATAACATCAGCACCTCTTGGGGCCTTGCAGTCAGAGGAAGTGAACTTCTGTCAGCAGTATTAGGCTGAGCTTCTGTCAGTGAGGATGTCAGTCTAGGTGAGAGGTGGGCTTGTTAACATGTGAGGGGAATCATGTAGCAGTGTTTGAATGAACTTCAGTTATGGGTGTGCCTTATGCATACATTGTTATATCCTTTTTACAGCAGTCAAAATTCCAGGCATATTTAATTATTTAATGTATTTGGGTCCCTGTCCCTCTAACATCCTCTGCACGTCCCTGATCAGAGATTTATGATAATGATTTGCTTCTTTTTTGACAGATTCGATGTTTGAGGTATGAAGAGTGAAATAATAATCTAAACTTTACTTTACTTTTCTTCACAGAAATGAATGAAGTGCTCTTTAAAGATTTCTTACACCACTTAAAATCAAGAAGACATTGTGAAGCTTTGGCGTCCTCTTGTGGGGATCCAGACCCCCAGGTTATGAACAACCATCCAAGAGGGCACTTTATCATGTTTATCTACCATGGCATCCAACAGGGCACTTTGCAGCATTTTCAATGCAACAGTGGAGTAGACAACACACAAGTGCGGTTTAAAAATGTCCACCAGTACAGTTAAGCGTGCCTAACAATGTCCACAAATAAATAATAAATAGGGTCAAACCCACAAACTAGCTCAGGCATTAATGAGTCTGATGGAAGAAGGTACAAAGCTTGACATGGCTCGCTTGGTCTTAACTGGGAGTGACTTATATCTGCGCCTGAAAGTGTGTGTGTGTGTGTGTGTGTGTGTGTGTGTGTGTGTGTGTGTGTGTGTGTTTGTATGAGAGTGGGTTGGTGTGTGTGTATGTGTAGTCCTTTAGTTTGAGCCCATCTGCTGTAGGTGCTGCTAGGTGGTTCCAGGTCCGGACCAATGATTTTACTGCTCATCCTGATGATCTTATAAAGAGGATTGGGGTGGATGTTGCTCAAAGCACCAAACCAGGCTGTTATGTTGAAGGTGATGATGGATTTGATCATTAAAAAGCTAGGATTTACGTAGTTTGCTCAGAAAGAAGAAGCGTTACTGACATTTAGAGGAAATTATGTAAAAAGTTTTTAACATAAGTTACAGATTACAACTTCCTTTCTTTCTATTCCTTATTTTTTTAGGTGATTGTACACTAATGAAAACATTGCTATGTTTGTACAGTTTAGATCTTTCCATCTTTATCCTTATCTTTATTTATTTATATTTTTAAAAGTACTTTATTTTTGTTTGTTTATGCACCAATGCACAAAGGCAAATTCCTTGTATGTGTAAAAACTTACTTGGCAATAAATCTGATTCTGATTCTGTATATTATATTCCATTTCTATCAATAGATCCACCTAAATCACATCTGCATAAAAAGCTGTATATAGTGTACATACAACTCTTATTCTCTTATTCTATTTCCACTATATCTTGTATTCTTCCATTCTATTTTTATTTAATTTTTATTTTCTTATCTGTTGTGTTGTACCTGGAGCTGCTGTAGCAAGTGAATGTCCATAGCGTTGGATCAATAAAGTCTAATCTTATCTTATCTTAAATGTTACACACTGGATCATTGAATTATTTGAGTCTCAACAAGTTTTTACTAATTTCACAAATGCCCCAGTTTAGCCTGCTTCTGTCTCTTTAATAAAACAGTTTAAAAAAGTTTAAAGACACTGACACTGAATGACTCATAACTATATGGAAATTGACTTATTTACTTGCCTCAGCTGTGTCCTGTTTCACACAAGGTTATTTCGCTGATATAATAACATGTAAAAAAGTCCCCACAAGGTGTTAAAAAAAAACAAGACACAGACGAGAAATATGAAATAATGTGAAGTGCCATTACGTTACTGTGTAATCAAATGAACCACAAGATTTCAAACTGACTATTGCTTTCTGTCTCAATCAACCCACATGTACTGACATTCACACACACCCACACATGTAACATGACTACAGGTGCACTGACTCAGCTCAGAGGGGGAATCAGTCTACTGAGTGAGTGCTGATCTTTTGGCCATTTCATTTGCCAGTAGTGAGGATTACTGAGCTGATTGCGTCCCTGTCCTCGGCCTGACAAATGCCCATTCCTCTGTGTGTGTGTGTGTGTGTGTGTGTGTGTGTGTGTGTGTGTGTGTGTGTGTGTGTGTGTGTGTGAGTGTGAGTGAGTGTGACCTCCCTGTCCCTAATTCCATCAACATCCCTTTTCATCTTTTAAAATATGTGGATTAACTACACTCACAGCAACAACACAAGTGAGGATGAATATTACTCACCCAGTAAGAGCCATTGGGGATAAAGTTATTTTATCATCCACAAATACAAACCTATCTTTATCTAGTGATTCTTGTACAAAAAAGCTGGTTTCATGCATTGATAGGTGATTATGTATTAATTAAGAGGTGATTTGAGTTTTGTCTCTCAGTTTCAGCTACAGAATTTACTTTCTGTAATTTCTTGTTTATGCTCATACATACATAAGTTAAACCAATGTCATATTATTGTATATTTAGTCATTACATACATGTTTTAATAAGTAAAGAGAAAAGAGGGGCCTCTCTCAGTGGTTGCCCCTTTGTGCAACTGCCTTCAGTCGCCTTTAGAAGGAGAGGAAGTATCAAAACAATTACTTACTCCAATAAGGGAACAGAAAGGATTGTGAAGGAACTGATAACCTGTTGACAAAGGAAAGAAAAGTACATTTCTGATAAAGGCGGAACTTGCGGACAAAGGTTTATTTAGATTTCTATATATAAATATACAGATATACATATAAATATGTAAAGCAAATCCTTCCTTGAAATTCAAAACACATAACAAGTATCAACATGAGTCTATACATATTCAACCAAAGAGCAGTAAGAATGAATGAACAAGAGCAAAAAGCAGTGAGTATTCATATCTGACTTCCTATATATACTGTAAGCACTGTAATATTCTGTCACCTTTCTGTGCAATACTATACAAATACAGTAAACATTGTGAATGAGCGGAGGAATCTTCATAAAAGTTGTAACTCATTACATGTTCCCTATCTAATTCCCTAACTAATCCCACTAAACATTTGGAATAAGAAATGATTTGTAATGATGTCTTCCTTAAATCAGTCCCTCCAGGATTTCGCAGGCAGGTTTTTTTTTTTTGTGGCATAAAATGACCCCCCAAAAAATTGCAATGCATGTTGTGATGTTTTTAGGCTTTATTTTGCAGTGAAATTGCAAAAGGAAGTGAGTTTCTTGTTCCAGTGGGAATAAAAATCACACTGTTAGTCACAGGCACCCTCCACTATAAAGTGATGATGTATCAAACCCTGCCATATAATAATTTAGAGAAAAGGAAAACATCTGTTTTCAAACAGTTCTACTCCAGTTAATGACGATGACCCTAACTGACAGGGAAGATCGATCCTCAAAGTAGATGACTGGTTATGAATGTCTTTGATATTGAAGATGAGTAAGGGGTCTTTTTACTCCCGAGCAGCCTGGATCTCCATTGTTAAGCCTCCATTCAAGGCAGACAAACACAGCATCTGTACATCAGCATCGCAGTTACGAGGCTCAGAAGGATGGTGACGGGCACCAGGAGGAGAGCCACATACAGAAACCACGGCTCTGGAAACACCTCCACATCTGGCTCTGACAAACACAAAATTACTGATATGAAGTGTAATCCTAACATTAAATCACACATTAATACAGTGTTGGATTTATTGTAATTATTTCTCCTGTCAAACCAAATTGAAATTTGGTTCACCCAAATCACAAAGAAAATAAAAAGATGGAAACAGGAAAAAAAGGCACTAGAAATTCTGCCACCGCAGCAGCAAAATTAAATGAAAACCAATCACAAGATCTTTGTCAAATGAGTGGGTTGAACAAAAACATGACATTTGCTGCTAGGAGAGACTCACCAGACACAGTTGTTGAACATGTTACCGAAACATTTTTTTCAGCATCTCCACCATCTCCAGGCACTAAGGAGAAAACATTTGACCAAACAAGTCTTCACTTTAAAGCCACATTATGTAAGAACTTTAACGCCACTGTCTTATCGAGGTAATTTACAGCGGCTGCAACCAGGACTCTGCTCTATTTTTAAGAATAAAATATTCTCAGTTTTTCCTCTGGTTGCTCTGCCTCAACTCTCAGCAATTTATGGAGTTTCCTAATGGTGAGATAGCTTTACTTGTTGCTAAATTAGCTGCTAACTGCAGCTGCTGGGGGGTAAACACCAACACTGCCCCTGTTCCGAGCAGTGCAGCTGCACGGCTAACGGTAGCTACCATCAGCTACATATTTTCTCCAAAAAAAAAAAAAAAAAAAACCACCAAAATGAGTGAAAAAGTATCCTGACATGCCTTACATTCTAAAACCAGCCAGCAGAGATTTGACAAGCCGAGTTGCACTCAACGCCATCAGGAGTTGAGCTGAGAAAAGTTCTAAAACGGTTTCGTATCTTTGTGAATCTTCGGTCTGAACTGGGCTTTAGTATTAAAGGGTAGGTTAACTTTTTTTTCCCTAAGTCAGGTTTAAAACAACACTCACATGCCCACATAAACGCTGAGGAGGTTTTTGCTCTCTGTAATCATTCCCTTCCTAATGCATGTGATGATGGGGGACAAAATCCACAGTGCTTGTTTCATGCAAAAATACATTGCAAACTTTATCTGAAGTGAATATGGAGCTTCAGTTGTCCAAGTTAGTAAATTAAGTTGGTATCCTCCAAAGTTACAGTTTTTAGCAGTATCTGAATTGTACCAAAAAAAATACTAGTATCCTACTTCAGCCCAACCCTAACCACAACATAACACGTTTTTTTTAATCCATTTTTTTACAAGGACATTTTCAGAGCTGTTATTTTCAGTGTTACCACCAGTGTACCATACGCTGCCTCTGATTGACTCTGACCATGACAATTGTCTTTTTCTAACCCCAACCATCTTACTTATCGACATATATAAGGATGGACGATATGACAGCTCCCCAATAGTGAAGCCAAAACATCTCAATCCACCCCAGTACACCTCAATGTCCGCCAAGCAAATGGACAGGATATTGATATGCTGATATTGACTGCGGTGCCGACCCTGATCACTACTGTACAGACTCTGGCTTCAAATAATGCCACCAGTGCCAGATGGCAGGGGCTATATCTGGGATACTTTGGGTTTTATGCAAATGTTTAGGGATGTGACAAAAATCTGAAGTACCCGTGTGTACCTGCCCATTTCAGGCAATGTTTTTTAGAATGAATGTACTGTTTACATTCCCTTTTCTTTCTTATTACGACCAGTTTAATATGAGCCTTTACAATTTTAAGATTAATCTTTTTTTAATTAGCAAAATCTGAGGAGTGTTTAACACAGCAGAGCAGCAAGTGTGTATGTGCATGCATGGAAACTAGATCAGAAGATTATTACCAGGCAGATGGTAGTAGATGTTTTTCGCCACCAGCTCTTCGTTCAGGTGCAGCTGACACTCATATTTTCCTTTATTCCTCAGATAAATTGTTTGAGAAAGTGTGACGTAGGGCAGAGCTGACACATTTCCTGGAGCAGTGTCAACAGTTTGGAGGTTGTATCCAATGTGAAAAATGGACAAAACAAATCCAGGACCCTGGGTCACGTTTACTTCACAGCAGAGCAGAGACTGATTGTGACTGGTGGGTTTAAAGTTCACGGTGTCTGAAAAGGGACAGATACACAATATGTTAAATATACACAATCAGGTATTGCAGGTTTTGTCTATTTTCATGAAATTCTTCCTTAGCCTCTAAACTGCACAGTGTGGCACAACCCTTAATTTGCCTTTTATTTACCATAAACCATCAGTAAAGTTCCATTTCCACTCATCCTGAAACGTTTATCCTGGAGAGTGATGGAGACTTTGCACAGGTACTTCCTACCGTCGGTCCACTTGACCTTCCTGAGGAGTAATGACTTGTTTAAAGAGAGCACATCATGGTCCAAAAGGTCAACACGTCCCTCATAATTCTCAGAGGGCCTCCACACTCTGACATTGTTGGTGTCTGTCCAATACAAAACTGATGGGGTCAGCATTTTCTCATCATGGGTAAGATGGCACGGCATTACAACATCATGACCCAGAGCAGTGGTAAGCACAGGAGGCTGGTGGATTGTGACCAGAGAGCAAGTACCTGAAACAACATAAAGATAAAGATAAACAAATTACTGACAGGAGCATATTAACTATCTGTCAAAAGTAACTGAATAAACTGTATATTTCACTGAAATGCTCAACCTCCACCTGTGTTGTTCTGGTAAAACTGTGTGAATACATGGCTGTACAAGACCACAGTGTGTGAACATGCAAGTTTAGATTTTTAATTGGGACATTTGACCAATCATATTAACAGAGAAAACAATATTGAATTAATGATCATGTGATAGCTGAAGTTCCCTTCATATTTCAGATTACTGGAAAATAATTCTGTCTGTTGAGCATGGATGGAGGGTGCCCACTTGAGAACTCCCAACTGTCCAACCATCTGCCTCCCCCAACACTAAAGCAAAGCTCATGGAAGTGCTCACCACCTTTTGGCACAGGGGATTGTTTACAATGCCTGTGATTATTTTAATTACTTTATGAGGATAAAAGAATGATGCAAAGAGGATGTGATGTCCAAATGTTCAATCAGTTTCACATGCAGTAATAACAATAAAATGATCTGAGGCGTCCTTCTACATTTAGTCCATGATAAATCCAAAGAAAGAGAACCGTCAGACTTACCTTTACATTAGTGCACAGAGGCACTGGAATCTTAATTTCTTATTTACATACATAACTATGTTTTCATTAGTCTATAATGTGGCTGGCATCCCTTTGGCATGGTCTTGACTAATCACAGTATAGCAGTGGCATGACCGATTACTCTACAGTAGGAGTATAATATAATGTTTCAGCACACATTCGCCACATAACATTTAGAGGGGCTGCTCTTTCGCTCACCATCTCGCCTCTGGGAGAAAACGCCACTGTGTGAGCCAGAGGCAACTCTTCATCTAGCCTGAAGCTTGTTGTTTTTTACAGATGTGAAATAAACCAGAGTGTTCTTCCTGTGCCAAAACTACAGCAAATAAACCACTAAAGAAAGGTTGATAAATAATAATTATATAGTAATAAACACTTGCAGGAAACTGCACCAACAGCCTGTTTTAGATTTGATTTGATAAATAATTTGGATTTGCTTGTAAATTAACCTGCAGAACATTAATGATAAAACACGCTGTACTGAAAGGCAAAATTAATAACTCCTCCTGTATTTTTTTACAAGCTTAGGATCCCTGTCATAAACACATACATCTTTCATCTACATCAGAAACTTCATGAATTTTACCTGAGACCATAACGTGGAGAAAGATCCATTGTGACAATGCCCATTCTGTCACAATTGACAAAATTATCTCTAACATGTCTCTCACCAAATGGCACGGCACAAAGATAATGGGGGCTACCCAGTGAATGCAGACACATACAGGCATATATTACAGCCTACACTTCCTCTAGCTAACTGTCAGTAAGAAGAGGAGGAAGTGGTTCTTTTGGTTAGAAAAAAGGAGAATGTAGGATTTTTTTTTTTACATTTGTTATTTTAAATTATAGAGTAGCACATTTGACAAAACAAATCTCCATTCAAAGTCCAGTTCTTTACTTGCTCTGGAGATTTCAGCTGTAACACATAGCCCCCATCAGCAGAACAAGTTTGTTCAATTGTCATGAAACTGTAAATGTTCAAACTCTCCTTTATTCTGGGCACTTTTAGGACCTCTCATTCATGTTGGCTTATACTTTGTGAGAGTGTTTTGCCCACTACTGTTTCCAAGATCAACAGCTCGTAGGCCAACGTGAACGTCTTATCTGCTAACGAGGCAAGAAAGCTGCAGAATTAATAAGCGGACCTTAATAACTGGAGATTAGTGTCTCTGCTGCTGTTTCACGTACAATTTGCTTCCTGTCGTGAGGCATTTTCCACTTTCCATGTGGGGGGAGAAATGTTCAGTTGAACGCTGACTACAAACCATTGTGGGTTTTGACACCAACATACAGAGGTGTGAAGACCCTCAGCTCTGCAACAGGATAACGTTCTGCAAACACCCACTTGCCTCGGGGAAATGGTTTTCTCTATTTTTTGGTAAATCATAGAAATCTGTTGCCGTTCTATAATGTTTGGCATTCATTTACTTTAATACTTTAAAGGGTATGGGAATGTGTCTTAGCTGAGATTGACTTCAGTCCAAAAAAAACAACACATAAACACCCACTGCTAATGTAGTTCAGTCTGTTCTTTGTTTAATATATTTCCTTCCTATTAAAAAGTTTAATTAAATTATGTGAAATATGTAAATATGTCATTTTAGGGATTTTATAGTAGGACTGTCTGGTTCACACTCCGGAGCAGAAGGTGGCGGGTCCGTGTATGTTTTGGTCATTGGATTTTCCTTTCAGAAACGGATATTAAAAAACAGAAAACGAGTGGTTATTTGATTTTCGTTTTAAAATACAAAATTCAAATTGAAATACAAGGCGTTTTCTTTTCATGGTCAAAAGGATGAGCAAATTAAAAAATTATTCGATTTTCATTTTCTATTTCATATAACAAAAAATAAAATCACTAGAAAACAGAAATATAAGAAAATATGGAATCTGGAAGTATAAATATGGGACTTTTATTCTTTAATTTCTCCACATTGGTACAGTAAAAATGCTTGATATTAAGTATACTTGTAGTCTTAGATGTGTAGAGGTCAAATATATCATCCATAGCCAGGAATTATTGAGCAAAGTGTTTTTACAGTAGCTCAAATATATGAAAATACCACTTGGAGGTACATATATGGACTTTTATTGTTGAATTTCTCCAAATTGGTACAGTAAAAATGCTTGATATTAAGTATGTTTGTAGTCTCATATGTGTAAAGGTCAAATATACCATCGGTAGCCAGGAAACACTGAGCAATATGTTTTACAGTACCTCAAATATTGTCAAATATGCAATCTCTGGAGGCATAAATATTAGACTTTATTTTGGCATTTCTCCACACTGGTGCAGTAAAGATACTTGATATAAAGTGTTTTTTATTCATCAGGGGCACAACACTTTAATGTAACATATTTTAATTATAGCTTACGGCTCTAAATACCTTTATTTTGAAAACCGGAAGTAAATACGCTGTTTCTCCGCATTTACCATAATGCTGAGAATACTTGTACACTGGACATTTAGGTGCGGCTGATTTGACCACGGAGATCGGACTCACGGCTGGATTGACGGCAGTCTACTAGCCTACTGTTTCTTCTCCACAGCACCGTCCTGTAAATGACAACATCCGGTCTCAGAATATGAAAAAACAGGCTTTTTCTGTTTCTGTTTTCTAGTGATTTTATTTTTGTTATATGAAATAGAAAATGAAAATCGAATCATTTTTTAAATTTCGCTCATCCCCTTTTTGACCATGAAAAGAAAATCGCCTTGTATTTCAATTTTAATTTTTGTATTTTAAAACGAAAATCAAATAACCACTCGTTTTCTGTTTTTTAATACCCGTTTCTGAAAGGAAAATCCAATGACCAAAACATACACGGACCGGGGCGGCAATGCGCCGATAAACTGGAGGCAAAACCGCCGTAAAACACAAGCAGAAGAAGAAAAAGAACTCCATTACCCATACAACCTTCTGCTAACGCTTTACGTCATAACGTCAGTCGGCAGGCATATTTCAACATGGAGGATATCGTAGCTGTAGAAAAGAGCCCGGTATGAATCAGTGAGATTGTTTCCTGTGTTTTTTTGTTTTTTTTCCGCACTTAAAATTGACCGCGTTTCTGTGGTAGGGTTTTGTAACTATACGTCTTTTGACTGTTGCTGTGTGTAGTTGTTTGTCACCATATTTTACGCGCTGTTTTAAGGCTCGTTGACGTTGAACGTAAAACCTGCCAATTCATTCTCCGCTCTGTGCAGTTGCTATGTCATGCAAGTTAGCTTTTTTTTTTTTAGCATTAGCATTGGTTTGTTTTATGGCAGACGAGGGTTTTTACGCCACTACATCCACCAAAGGTTGATGTTAAGATGTTAATCATTCGGCAGATGTTTTTATTACTCACCAGCGGCTTTAAATTGTTGTTTTTATTTGCTTTTGTGAGCCTTTGAAGGTAGCTAGCGGTTAACGAGCTAAGGTTGGCTAAGCTAGTGTTTGTCTGTAAATGGGTGCAGTGCAACAACCGAGCATACAGCTGTTGTTATTATGTTTCTGTAGAGTTGGATATGTTTTCTGTTCCTGAGCTAAAAGCCAGTCAGTCTGTACCATAAATATATAACTTTATATATATTTTTTTCTGTTAGTTTGGTTGTAATACAGTACAGTTCCTTTATGTGTTGTGTTAAATACAATAGTAACTTTAACCTGTTTGCATTTTAAATGTTGTTGTGTTATTGTCACCCTCCACAGGAAGACATGCCGGCAGTACTGACCTCCAGACCTCAGACTGGTCTGTCCTTCCTGGCACCAGAACCAGAAGATCTTGAGGACCTTTACAGCAGATACAAGGTCTGATACTTTCTCATACGTTTGTGTTAAAAGATGTAACCTAACTAAAAATCTCTTGAATATGACAAACTCTAGGCTTGAGGTGAATACTATGAGTTTTATTCTCTGTCTTCTGTCATCTCTGATTTGTCAGAGATTCAAGTGTTATAAAGGGAAACAAAATCTCAATTCAGTATGATTATTAGGGTAAAATTACACAAGAAGAGCAGTACATTTTGCACAGATCATGTTTTCTTAAGGTTTATATTATGACATATATATGATATTCTCCGTTATAAAAGTAGTATAGCTCCTTTAAAGGACCAGTGTGTAAGATTTAGGAGGCTTTATTGGTATAATATGGCAGATATGTAATACAATATTCATAAATATGTTTTTATTAGTAATCACCTGAAAAGAAGAATCGTGTTTTTGATGTTTTAGAATAAGCCCTTGCACCGCCATGTTTCTACAGTTGCCCAGAACGGACAAACCTAACACTGAGTCTAGATAGGCTCCCGTAGTAGACCTGCACGATATGAGGAAAATTACATACAGACAGCTTTTGATTGGTAACAATTTGCTATTAGCCAAGCTAGCGTGCTGTGCTTGTGTAAAACATAGAGGAGGTGGATGAGAGAAAGCGGACGGAGCAGATATCGCTCCTCTATTTATATGAGAGATAGATTGATTTATGGTACTTTCATCTTCAGCAGGCTCTCACCCTCCTTTTGTTGTGTGTTTGCAGAAGCTGCAGCAGGAGCTGGAGTTCCTGGAAGTGCAGGAGGAGTACATCAAAGATGAACAGAAGAACCTGAAGAAAGAGTTTCTCCATGCCCAGGAGGAGGTTAAGAGGATACAGAGCATCCCACTTGTCATTGGCCAGTTCCTGGAAGCTGTTGACCAGAACACAGCCATTGTTGGCTCCACCACAGGTACCATTAAAAAAGGGGGAAAAAAACGGCCTAAATGTAAAAGACCTACACCGACTGAAATGAAATATGTGCTGCCAATATAAATTTTAAGTAATACATAATGGAGAGGAAGCTGTATCGTCCTAGTTTCCCTTTTCCCCCATTCTGCCTGTGAAACGAAAGGACAAAGGACTGTTTGTCTGTATGTGTGTGACAGAGAGAGGACACACCGGAGAATGTGTGCATGTATGTTTGTTTGAGGAGGGATTCTCAAACGGCATAATTAAACTGTCTTGGTTCTGCATGAGTTGCCTCTAATTCTCAGACAATAAACGCACACCAAGTGGACCAATCACTGTTGTTGCAGCCTGCGTTGCTGCAATGTATAGTTACATATTTGGGCAACTGCACTACAGCGTAGGCTACGAGGCCCACGACGTCCATTTGACACAGAATTCTAAATTAGGCTTTATACTTGCCCTCTAGTTTGCACTGAATAACACTGAAATAGAACCAGTTCTTAGTTTAGTTGAAAGTTTTGTTGGTGTGTGTCGCAACTTAATGTCAACTTTTATATTAAGGTAATATCTGCAAGAAGGAACAATTAATTTCTTGCTACAATTTAAAAACTCAAATATTAAAATAAATTAAAACATATCAAAATTGAAAAGGTAAAGCTGAGAATTAAAAATTTCATGAAATGGTAGATGGTACATACAAGCTGTGTATTTGAATGCTTTATGATGTTCAGGCTTTTCATTCTCTTTTGAGAAAAGAGGAGATGTACTGTATGCTGTCAACTTTTAATTATTCAGTGTGAAGTAAATGTGTAATGAGTTCTATTCCTGTGTCTTTTTACTTTTTATTCATCACTGTCTCCCCCCAGGGTCCAACTACTATGTGCGCATACTGAGCACCATTGACAGAGAGCTGCTGAAGCCTAACGCCTCAGTGGCCTTGCACAAGCACAGCAATGCCCTGGTGGATGTGCTCCCTCCCGAAGCTGACAGCAGCATCATGATGCTTACCTCAGGTAAAACACTCTGTGCCACTCTCTCCCAGAGGATTTCTGGACCTGTTTTAATAGCTCCTCAACATAGACAACTGTGGTTATATGTAGAGATTACTTGTTATCTACGTGCATCACAGAAGATTGCAAGCATTAATGTTAGCCATTAAAAATACATAGATGCATTTTATTTTTTTTTAAGCTGTTGAGAAGGTCGAAGATCCTATATAGTGTTTACTGTTTGAACAGCAAAGCTGATATAACTTTCCTTTTTCACTCTGCTCCCAGACCAAAAGCCAGATGTGATGTATGCTGACATTGGTGGTATGGACATCCAGAAGCAGGAAGTCAGAGAAGCTGTAGAGCTGCCACTCACACACTTTGAGCTCTACAAACAGGTCAGATATTCAAGACAAATGTGCCAGTTTTATATGGAATAATTTTTTAAAGGTATTTTACACTTAGTCAAAGTGAGAAAATAACATTAATTTTCTCTCTCAATAATGAGAAAAAACTTGTGCTAGATCTTTAATAACTCTATTCTAAGTCTAAGTCTATTTCCTTTCTCAGATTGGTATTGACCCACCCAGGGGTGTCCTTATGTATGGACCTCCAGGTTGTGGTAAGACCATGTTGGCCAAGGCTGTGGCACACCACACTACAGGTAAGTCCTCCATCAGAGACACTGAACAGAAACTTCACCCTCAGTATGCTACTCACATACATTTTGTTAATACTTATACTAACAATATAGAATACTACAAACTGCAAGTGCAATTCACAGCAGATATTGTGTTTTAGTTATAGATTGTTGGTAAGGAGTATGTACAGTAAATCTCCAATCTCTCTGTCTTCAGCGGCGTTCATCCGTGTGGTGGGCTCCGAGTTTGTTCAGAAGTATTTGGGTGAAGGCCCTCGTATGGTGCGTGACGTCTTCCGGCTGGCAAAGGAAAATGCCCCGGCTATCATCTTCATTGATGAGATTGATGCCATCGCCACTAAGCGTTTTGATGCACAGACTGGAGGTATGAATATATTTGGCTCCCATGTAAACTTACTGTTATCAATCAAGTTTTATTGTAGATTTCAGATTTTTAGGGACAAATATTATTCTTAGGTATCCTTGTTGTAGTCAAGATTCTCATTTTTAGATACGTTTATGTTTTCCTGATTACATCCTTGTAAATGACGTAACATCATGGTACAAATCAAGCCTGTGACCTTGTCTTCTTTCTTCTGCAGCTGATAGGGAGGTGCAGAGAATCTTACTTGAGCTGCTTAATCAAATGGACGGCTTTGACCAGAATGTCAATGTCAAGGTGAGTCCAATCCACCTGTCCGAGGAAGCTCTTTACTTTCCCCCTGTGACTGCACCAAGTCCGTATGTGCTGACTCGCGGTGCCACTGATGGAGCTTGAGCACTGCATTTACTGTGCCATTGTCAGTATGCCTTGTGTCCATTCATTTAGCTGAGCCAGTACCCAAAAGGTTTATGTTGTCAATCTTCAAAACCTTAAGTGCACATTTTGCCCATAAACTATTTGTAAATGCAATTCAGACTTGCACAAAGAAAGTATTTAAAGAGGGTGTCTGTTTTTTCTGTCAATTTTCCAAAGTTTTTTATTTTTGGCATTAACTTTGCAAATTTCATTCCAAATCCTGTTAATTGTACAGCTGTAGCTTTGTATCATGCTTTATGTAAGACTATAAACAAAGCAAGAGCAGTTCTCTTTTCTTTTTTTTTTTATTGGCAAGACATATTCGGTTTCTATTTGCAAAATAGCAGTAACGGTGCAAAGTGTAACATTTCACTTACAAAATAATTTACTGTTAGTATTATTTTTACCACTGCAAGTTATCTGTGGCAGACACTTTTTTTTTTACTTTACCAGCCCTTTGAATATATAATGACAGGCATTCTATGTTAAATCATAGCTTGATACAACCGTTTAGGGAAGTGTTCTCCTGTGAGGTTCCGTCTTGCACGTTTCAAAGTATTGGCAAGTCCATTGCCCTAGATACCATTGGTGCATTTGGTCCAAGTTTAGCTCATTTGTCCTCCCTTCAGTGAGCCAGAAGGAAACATTTTATATGGAACCAAATGCGCCGCGTGTCACAATATGTTTACAATCCACCATCCTGTTTACATGACGTCTTCTGACATTTGAACCTCCCTTAGGTGATCATGGCCACCAACAGAGCAGACACGCTGGACCCTGCCCTGCTACGTCCTGGTCGTTTGGACAGAAAGATTGAGTTCCCCCTGCCCGACCGCAGGCAGAAACGTCTCATTTTCTCCACCATCACCAGTAAAATGAACCTCTCTGAGGAGGTCGACCTGGAAGACTGTATCCTTTGGTTCAATAACAGCGTGTTTAAGTGATGTTTGTGTGTGTGTTTATATTACAGTGAGTGAGAAATTAACTTTTCTTTTTTTAGAGGGCACCTTGTTCCCCCTGATAGATTTGCCATATTGTAGAATAATACACTTTAAATACAGAAGCAGATGCATGCGTAAGGTTAGCAGATTCTTGCACTGCTGGGTACTCTCGTTTAATTAATGTTCTGGGTGAATACTCAATTCTGATTGGCTGCAGGGTGTCAATTAATTCTTAATGTAGGACACCTACTAGGTAGCTCCAGTCTGTTCACCATTCCAAAATTAAATGATAACAAAATCTGAATATCTTCTAAATATTACTTCCAACAATGAGTGTAGTCCTTCAGTCCTCTGAACACCAGAGGGTGGCGAATGTAACACACAAGCCTCTACACTGCCCCTCTGAACTTACATACCATATCATCGTTCTTGAAAAACATCGTATTGGGGATAATGACGTGGCTGGATCGCTAGTTAGTCATGCTGTTAAACACACTGTCAAACTATATTCACTGTTTGTCAACCGTACACAGTGTTATTGACTCGCACTCTGGCTGGTAGCTGAGCCAAAGGGCTGTATGAGCGGAGGGAGCTATAAATATCTCCCATAGCCAAGTCATATCTAAGGCTCGTCCTTTTTACTGGAGTCGTGAACAATCATTACATTGCATTAGAACTTTAAGGGATAGTAATGATCCTTCCGGGTATTGATCAAAGCCTCAGGTGTTACCAGGGAATAGAGTTATGGCTTGCAAAATTTTTTATATTTTGATTGCAAAATGCATAAAATAAATTGTGGACTTGACTCGTTCTTTTACTCAAAACACAGAGGCAGACAGCAGGAACTCATCATACATACAGTACTACATTATAAAGCTGTTTTGTCACACATTTTACCTTTATCAAAAAATTGCGGCTTCTGCAATCTGGATATTGCACACAGCCATATTGGGATGTCAGTACTTATTGTGCAGCCCTGCAGGTTACAGCTCTCTATGGATGACAGTTGTTCTGGACTTTATATGCTGCCTACAAAGTGACAAATAGGCAAAAAAACAAACTAAAGACTAAATGAAAACTCTAATCAAAACACATAGCAGCTGGTGCATTTGCAATTTAAACACTGTTATGGTTGAGAGTCTGCAATTTGTTTACGGTGCGTCATTCGAATATTCTTTTTTGTTTAAACACAGCTCAGATACTCAGATGTTTTGCTTGTATTTTGGCATTGCTGTTGCTTAGTCGTCCTTAACTGATGTACAGATGTGGCCAGACCAGACAAAATCTCTGGAGCTGATATCAACTCCATCTGCCAGGAGGTGAGCTTGAGCTTTAACTATCTGTTTATTTATGCTTTCTCTTTCTTTCTCTTGGAGCAGTGCGAAATGAAAACTAATGGAACCACATAAACAATGTTTTACTTTGTGTATTGACCAGCTAACTACATACACATTCATTTGTTCATGTTTTCTTTTTTTTTTTTTTTTTATTTCTCTCCTCCTTTTTATGTCTACCTCTGCCGTCTCAGGCTGGCATGTTGGCAGTGCGTGAAAACAGGTATATCGTCCTGGCTAAGGACTTTGAAAAAGCTTACAAGACCGTCATCAAAAAGGACGAGCAGGAGCACGAGTTCTACAAGTAGAGAGAGAAAAAAATACATCCTGAAGAAAAAAAAGGTGTCCAGACACACAAGTCTGTTATTGATTTACATCTGTTTGTCTGCATCTACAGTGTGTTTTGTGGATTTGCAGTCCCTGACTTGTATAGATTTTTGGACTAAATTTACTCACTGCAATGTCAGATTAGCCCTGTGTCTCCAGCCTTGAGAAGACAGACTACCATGTGATGGGGTGTTTTTTTGTACAGGCATTCTACTGTTCCTAAAAATATGACCCTGTCTGTAGCTAGGATAGAACATTTGTATCAATATGTACTCACTTAACAAGACAATACTTTAAAAAAATCCATTAAAGATGTTTTCCATAAAAAAAGAAAATGATTGTTGTTGTTTTTCTGCCTTTTAAATATATGGCTTTTAATTGAAGAGACTTAATTATAAAAACTAGCATTTTTGTGTAGAACTGCAAGTTATGAATTAGTTGATCAACAGAATAATTAATAATTGAAAAGAACATTTTGTTTGATATGATTAATCGTTCAAGTAATTTTTAAAAGTAGAAGAAATAAACTGGTTCCAGCTTCTCAGATGGGAATATTGGCTTTTCTTTGATATTAAATAAAGGTTTTTTTGACTGTTTGTTGGAATATATAATAAAATGTCAACTTAGGGTTTTGGAAATTGAAATGGACATATTTTACTATCTTATGACATTTTATGGACCAAACAATTCATTGAGAAAGTAATTGACGTTAATCAATAATGAAAATAATTGTCAATAGCAGCCCTGGTCGTCATTACAGTTATTAAGTTGCTGCATTAACCCCCACTACAGTCTTGTATTGGCTGACCTTTTAGCAACACTAGTTTTTCACTGTCCAGTACTGGTGCCATGTTTCTTGCCAAATGTTCTTTTGAGAGACGTTGCCAAAGCACCTACTTGGACACAGTTTCCCAACATTTTGAGGCAATGGAGATGGGAAATGTTACCCTTAAAGGTGGAAATGATAACTTGGACAAACTCACTGTGAATAAAATGTGTATTAAGGGACCAGTGTGTAAGATGTAGTGTCTTCTAGCTTTCAAGTCACTACGGTGGCCTCGAAAAGTCCTACCTAGAGCCAGAGTTTGGTTTGTACATTTTTTCTAAATGTTACAAAAATAATCTCCCACACGCACATAAGTGTTATCTATGCTGCTATCACATACCATCACACACATGCTCAACATTCATATCTGTAAAAAGATTTAGTAACAGCTATGAGACAGAAACTTGAGGGTGTTGGCAGCTAGCAGTGGTAGCCATACATCAGATAAATATACTGTTTTGTGGATAAACTCCTGCCAGTGTTTGAATCTTGGAGTTGACAGAGTTGACTCAAATGGATGCCAGGTGCGGGCCCAGCTTCTTGTTTAGTCCTTAAATGCAGTCTTCCGTGCTGCTCAGTGGCCCTCTGCCTCTCCTGTTTTAAGTCTGCCCATCCGTTGAACCAGTGCAGCCCGAGGTTGCAGCTCTCCCTTCAGGCCACAAGTGGGGAGAAGATCATTCATTACAGCTTCCAAACGGCAGTAACAGTAAAACAAATGCACACCAAGCTATACAGCAAAATACCACCTTTGTACACCAGTTGTGTGAATTTACATGGACAGGATGAGGACCAGAGCCCCTTGAAGAAAAGCTCAGACTCTATTTGAATTAAAAATAATGAGAGAATCTAAAAATGGTTATTCTGAGATGTAACTTGCTCTTACATCCATTAAAAGTTTAGGAACGGTAGTGGGACCCACCTGTGTTTCACTTGGTCTCTGCTAGGAAGGCTGTAAGTGACCTGGTCAAAATAGTAGTGACAGAGCTGCAGGGTTGCCAGTTCTGGCCGGTGAGACATCCTGGCAAAGATTTGATCCAGGATGTGGTTTTGTCCAAAGTCCTGTCCGGGGAAGAGTCTACACCACAAAGCTGACACCAAAGCATCCATGCTGGTTTGTGCTGCTGAGTGCCTGTCATTAAATAACTCAGCCATTTTGCTAAATCTGTCCCATCGAAAACATAGACAAGAATAATAATAATGTGTTTATTGATATTTTCATGTAATCACATACCGTATTTCTGATTGATTTGTATTAATCAGAACTGACATTTTAAGATTTGTCAGATGAATTCATAAAAAAATAAATGATTGTTACTTACCTTAACTTTGAAATGCAACTTAACCTTCAGTATGAAATGTGAAATGTGTTGTTTTCTTTTATTTTGTGTGCTGTTCTAGAACATGTAGCTTTATTTAAATAGTGAAAGATCAGGAAAATCACATCAAGCTGATCGTGATGAATTCATAAATGGACAAATATAAGCTCTAGAACAAGTTAAACCTGTAGGCTTAGTTAACTGTTGTTTTAATATAAGGGACATGGCCTGTATGAAGTTATTTCTTCGAGGTATGCCCCAGCTGTTACAAGTTGTATACATGCATTAAAAACATGGAATATGTAAATCACAGATTCAGTCAGTACTGTCATGTGTTTTTGCAAACTTTTGGAAACTTTAATATAATTGAATGTCCAAGAAAAGCAAACTCAACCACACTTTATTAAACGTTTAAAAAAAAAAAACTTGATTCACCTTTGATTAGATTTGCGGAAATCGAAACCAAACTCAAAAGTGACAGCCAACTGGGTCAATGACGTTAAATCTCCAAACCAAACGTGGTTACCGTGTGCTTTATTTTTAACAGGTTAAACCTGATCATGGTTCTTCTTTTTTTCAGTCTGAAGCCACATCAGGTCTTCCCAACAAAATCCAACTAAATCCACATCTTTTGAGTGTTAAACAGCTGTATATGTTTTACACCTAACTATGTAACAGCTTTTTGACTTCATAAGACGTCCAGTGTAGCGCGATTTTTCACGTGTTAATTTTAAAAAAAAAAATAATAATAATAATAATAATAATAATAATAAACACAGACATTTTCAACCAATAGATTAATTATTTCTTCCAGCTCAGCCAAGAGTGACTCAGTGTGTCACCTCACGTTGAATTAGTTTCGCTCCAGTGTAATTTGGTGTTCGGAGTGAAGGGGAGGGGGAAAGCTGCTGTGCGACATTGACTCTGCTCATTCGCTCTTCGGCACTGTGGCACTGTGGCACATCGCAGCGGACGGCTCACCATCAACTTCAAAACATATCGGAAATCCGGAGGAGGGAGGGTGTTGTTGTTTTATTTATTTATTTTTTTTTGTGGGGGGGGATATCGGCGGCTAACAGCTACGTTACCAGCCTAAGGTTTCCTGCAACACCATCTGGTAAGGATGAAACCATTAAACATATTGCTAACCGACACCTTAAAAAAACAAAAAAAAAAACAGAAAGCGTGTGCTAGCTAACGTAGCTAGCCAGCTAACTAACGTCTGTTTTAACCCAACGGCGGCTAGCTTCGTGTTTTTGGTTTCCCCCGACACAGCTGGGTGAGTGTCGGCTGGGGTTGGGAGGGAATAGTTTCCCCCCCCTTTACAGAGTTAACCAGGATTGTGTGGTTTAACGTTGAAGTGTGGTCGATTATCTCTTGGTTTTGAGCAATCAGTCACACAACAGTTGAACTCGGGTTAGTAAACGACGGTGAAGTAACGGTAACGTCATTAAATAATCCGACGAATAACGTCAATAAACGGTTAAACGACCATTTTGCTCCAACGCTGACAGAAAGTAGAGGGTTTTTTCTAGGTTTTAAAGGTCTTTATTATACTAACTCAGCATTAGCTAACATAGCCAACATTGTGTACGATAATGTTAGTCAATATTAGGTCAATGACTGTACGTTACCCCCCCAAGAAAAAGTCAGCTTGCGTTACTTTTAGTTTAAGTTAGTTAACAAAACTTGAAAGTTAGCTTGACCTACAAGTTGCCACACGTCTGTGTTTCTGCTCAAAGCCCAGAGGGCGACACAGGCAACACCAAAAAAAAAAAGTTTGTAAATAAGTTTAGTCACAACTGGAGTGGGCAACAACTCGGGATATTAATAGCTGTGGACTCATGAGAGGGGTTGAGTTAGCCCGAAACGTGTGTGAGTGTTGGAAGAAATACTCTTTTGATTGCGACATTTCGTGCTACTCTCTGGCTTGGGCTCCTTGACTTACAGCTGAAACAAGTTTCATAGCCTCTATTCTTTTCCAGTAGTTTCATGTGTACCCTCCTCAGCTGAACAAAAGGCTCTACATGGCGGCCCCTCCCCCATCGGATTGATTAAGTACTTGAGAAATGAAAGGACCGATGAAGGCAGGGGTTGTCAGCGCTGTGTGACAAAATCAGCCCTGATCCAACAGGGGTTTCCATATTGTCAGTGGTTACCACATGTCCTGGAAAACATTGATATTTAGAAACTAGTTTTCCAGTCATGGGGGCACTTAGAAATTGATTGAAATGACCAAACATCCTGTAAATAATCTATGTTCGAAAAATGGAATTGTGTTTTATTCTCTCACTCATCTACATTAACCTAGTTTTGATGAAAACGGCATTAAACTGTCAAATAACTGGAGACAGAAAGCGGAAAATGAGTGGAAAAACAGTGTCCCGTCAAACGCTGACCCACCTACCTGTAATGACCTTGCATCGCTTCACCATGAAGCCTGCATCACAAAAGAAGGAGGAATAAAACTGTGTAAACAACCTGTAAATTATACGACGTGTTGTCCTGTATTGTCAAGAAAACTTCTGGGAAATGATTTCTTAAAAAGAGTGGGAACCCTGTACCAAAACTCAAAAAAATCCAAACCATACACACTGCTTTTAAAGTAGTAATGCACCGATATACCGGTCGAACATCGGTATGGGAAGTTTGTATGTTTGCCTTATCGAATGACTTTTATCTGTTGTGTCACATCAGTTTGGCTCCGGCTTTATGTTCTGTTGGTTATTTGAGAAATAATTATCTCTGTTTTGTAGCACTGGCACAAATCACATGCAAATGTGCTCCATGCAGCAACAGGGACACATGTTGGATGAGAAATGTTCTGAGGTTCAACAAGGCAGAAATGCTTATCTTTTTGTAGCTTTATTTGTTTCCCTGCCACAAAAAGAGTGAATAAATAATAGGGGTGGGTAAAAATATCGATTCAGCAGTGCATTGCAATATATTTTTTCCCAATTCAATATCGATTCATTACATCCTCTGAATCGATTCAAGCCCCTGGCCAGTGGGGGGCGCGGTGAGCACCTTTTGTGTGATTTGCGTTGTACGGACTCGACCACACAACGACAACATGGCAACCGAAGCAGTGTTAAACCTCCGCCTTCAACTTTAAAAGCAGACGTTTGGAGTCATTTTGGATTCCAGTGTAAACACGGGACACAGAAAATAGACCAAAGTAAGGTAGTGAGTAAGCTGTGCCAGGCGGTACTAAAATACGGCAATAACACAACAAATTTGCGCAGCCACTTAAGCCGACACCATGCAGATGCTCTGTACCAACCCGCAAAAAACTAAATCAGTCATCAGCCAAAATGTATTTTAAACATCGGTGTCGGCTCAGAAGTTGAACAGCGTTGCTATCATTGCCATACGTATTGTAATAGCTACAAAGCAACACCATATATGTTTGTTGTGCCAGCATTACATCAGTTTGTCCTAAACAGTTCTTTCACATAGGTCCTAGCATGGCCTTGTGTCAGTAGTTACAGTATATAATCAGAAAGAAAATATAGCTCTGTGAATGAGTCTGTCTGCTACAGAGTTATTCATGTAATTTGCATTCAAATTGTGTCTACCCAACCAGCTGACAAAAAAAATTGAACCCACGGCAGTACTTCAAAAGAAGTCAAATTATGCAGGAAAACCACAGACCTGGCAACCTGGAATGCAGGAAACAGACAGTATAATTATTTTTTCCACCCCAGGAAGAAGGACCAGTATTTTAACCTGTTATCTGATATGTTCTCTTTGTTTTATGTTACGCACTGTGTGTTCAGTATTATGTACTCATCACACCCAGTTTTTATTTTATTTGTGTAAATTCATCAGACGCACTAATGCGTTCCAGGAAGCTTTCACTCTGTGCACACAGTTTTTCAACACTTACTACGCAACTGATCTCTCTTATATTAAGAAGAGACCTCCAACTAGTTATGACAGCCTCTGTCTCTGTGACATAAGTGCTTTTTTAAAAACGTTTCCCATAAAAGATAAATGTACAATAACTAGTCATAGTAACATGGTTACACAGCTCAGCACCAAGATGTAAAAACAACATACAAGCTTCCTTTCTGAGATCTCTTTTTCCTGTCTCGGTTAAGTGGTGGCAGAGAATAAAAGCTTCCCCCTCTGCACATGACCACTGGCAGTTATTGCGATTAAGGTTGATTGTGACAATACAATCCTGTGACACTTTTTTTCTAAAAAATAATACAGGTTTTCCAATTATCATCTTGCACATTGCTGCAACAGATGTTCTTTATCCTTTTGAACAATAATCTATTTACTTTATAAAGACTAAAATTGCGCCTAAAAATGGCTAAATAATTCCATTTGAGATATGTATATACGTCACTGGGAGATGTTGTTGTCATACTTCCTACCAGAGCATAGTACTTATCCCAGTTAAGATTGTTTGATCCAAAATATTGTCACTTTATTGATATTGAGACCCTGGGTTAAAATAACAAAGATATTTTGTTGTAATGATCTCAAGGTTAAAACGCAGCTCCCATAGATAATAACTTTTTTTTGTAAACTGACTAATAAGCAGGGCTGCAGCTATCGAATATTTTGGTAATCGAGTATTCTATAGAATATTCCATCGATTCATCGAGTATTCGGATAAAACATACTTTTGCTTAATTAAAGCCCGATTTATAAATATACAATAGATAACAAGACAGATGACTGTTTTCAGTTTTCAGTCCCGGCGTCTGCCGTTCTGTACAGCAAAACTGTACACACACGTTACAGAGCCCGCTTGCGTCTTCTTCCGCGTTGTTGGGGACGCATAGCCTGTGACGTAAGCACGTTGTGTGACACTAAAAAGAATCCGTGCAAAACGTGAGCTTTACGAGGCTTCGAGGCAGACGACATTCCTCGATCATTCTTTGTAATCGAGTTATCGAGGTACTCGTTGCAGCCCTACTAATAAGTGTAAGTTGTTGGTATCAGCTCTCAGACTGTCAGATTGGATCTCACTATCTGACATACTTTTGTTTCTTGTATCTTTGCGCATTAGATATTCACATGAAACAACCGTTGGCAGTCCCTTAAGGCCCAGTGTGTTTTGTGTGTTTCATTTCTTTGCAGTTTCATTTTTGTTTAAATAAGCTAAATGGCACAAACAGCGGTATCAACTGTCTTCTTTCTTGTGTAACCTGTTGCCCGTTTTGTTGTGGGTTTTCCAGCCCCACGGGGGTTTCCTGATCTCCATGGTTGTCATTGCTAAGTATGCAAACCATTGTCCCTGGTGGGTTGGTTATAGCTGGAGGTGAACACTATGGAAACAGCATGAGACACCAGAGGAAGAAAGATGAGAAGGAAAAGTGGGAGGAAGGAGGAGGATGATGTGTTTTTTTCCCCTCTCCTCAGCAGTCTGTCCCAGCAGAGTCGTACTCGAGGGAACAGCCATAGAGACATGTACCAGCTGCACCCACGATGAATGGCCAGAGCTCAGGATGGGTTGCCATGACAAGGACGCTGGTACGCGTTGTTATGCAGACACCTCTTTTCTCAGGGCATGTTTGCACATTATTTCATTGCCTGGTCTTGCTTGGTTAGCGAGCGAGCGAGAGAGAGAGAGAGAGAGAGAGAGAGCCTGCTTGCGTATACAGAATTTGAATAACATTTTTACCTTAAGTCTGTTTAAGGCGGATGGTGGTTTGTGTACAGAATATTTCCCTAATGTCCTGGCAGCCTAGTGAAGAAGCCATGCTGTTGTGTAAGAGCTGTTTGCGGTCTGCTGGCCACATCTGTCCAAATCAGTTTCACTCTTATGTGCAGTATTAAACACCAGTTCCTAAACCAGTAGAAATACTCCTGTTAATTAGCTTACACTCACAGGTCCTCGCTGCATGAGTGTTCAGGAGTGGCATATACCAGTTGTTCAGCTGTGGAATACAGCCAACGTCCCAAAGCCCCCCAAACAAGAGCCCAATAAGTGCTTCTTTAAAATCCATTGTGAGGAATTTGACTTTGTAGTCTATAGGTAAGGCCTGGTTTCCTAAGCCTGGTATCCGTCTTTTAAGAATGAGGAAATGATAACTCAATACAATAATTCCTGTTAATGCTGAATGGCTGAGTAATGGTTGAATAACTCCAGGGGATAATGCTTTCATTCCAGACTTTATATCCCAATGCACTGCCCTGATGCTAATGGGTTGCCCAGCGTGATTGTAAAGAAACCTGGTGTGTTCAAATCATGTGAGACCACAATGAACCAAACAGCACTCTGGTGCTGCCTTGAATAGATTTTGTTTCAGCAAATGGCAAATAGTTAGAAGTAACTTTAATGCAAGATATAAATATAATGGATGCTAATACAACATAACCACAAACTAATATAGCCCAGAAAGAAATACTCAACTGATATTGAATCATCTCCTGACTAAATGAGAGAGGAAAAATTGTTTAAAAAAAGGTAAATTGTTCAACTTGCCTGACGTAAAACATCACTTTGCCTGTTCAGCCATGGCACTGTGCATTTGCTAATTGGATTAGAATGAGGTCAGATTTTAGCCTTGTCTGTGAATCATTACAGGTGTTGATGATTCATTGAGATCTTCAAAGCGTGACTTTACTCCCAAACAGACACGTACATGGGCAGCCTTGTAGTTCTGTTTATATTGTTTTCTCTTTTTAGCCGCTTGGACATTGGTAGTGACCAGAGAGCCTATACCTACACCCTCTGATGATGAAATGTACGTCACTTGAAGTGTACTCAGGGACTGGGAAAGTATATTTCCTCTACAGGGACATTTTTTAAATCCACAAAGGGAGGGAGAAGATCAAACAAACTACATAAGCTTAAACTAACTATATTACGTATAAACTTGTCCAGAGAAAGAGAGAGCAGCTCCAATGAACTGTTTGAAAACTTACAAGCTATATGAAAACTCTAACCAAGGAAACGGAAGAGAAAGTTGTTGTATATCCTGAACTTTGATATATCAGAACTGAAAACCAGACAGGAAAGCCCATTTATGGGAGCAGATCGGAAACCGAATGTTGCTGGTGGGTGTTGTTCTATTACCCGCCACGTGTAATACTACACAGCTAACGACACTGCGTAGTCAACCCTCTGCTAACAAGTGCTTCATCTCAGTGCTCCTCATTGCCCTGCGGGGCTTTTCTACCAGACAAATAACACCAGGTCCTAGAGGTAATAAAAGAAAGCTAACTACACCTTATGTTAACTATGTTTTATGATCTCTTCCCACCTATCTGATTCTGAACACAAGGCATTTACTGACGGGGCTTATTGGTCCGTTTCTTTATTGATTTCTGATAAATATTCTGTGTAGGAAACAAGTAGGCCTACAGAGGTTTTCAGTTTCAACACCACTGTTTTATGAACTCTGAGCCTGAACACAGTGTAGAAACAATGGAAAAAACTACTCCCGTGTGACTCAGGTGTGTCAAAGCTCCACTGCTATTAATTTGGATTTTCAACTTTGTAAATTGGATGTTTTTAATGGGTGAGCTGCTTCGTTGGGAATCATTGGCACTGGTCTGAGAGTATCAAATACATGTCATTCGTTGAATGTAAGTCCACGTTGCATAGAATGATCTTTTCAGCATATTGCGGATGTTTCCACCCTTACTCGAAATGAACCTTTTACAGATATTACAACAAGCACTGTGCTTTTGACCGTTTCTTCCTCTCAGGCCATGACTCAGTCTTGTTGCAAATTTCCAGCAATGTAGACACATGAGTTTGCAACGCCCAACTGTCAAAAAAAAAATGCACAGCATTAAAACAAGTGATAACAGTTTGGAACTGGTTCTCGCTTCCTATCTTAAGTTCTGTTCCTACCAGACCTTTTGTGTTTCAACCCATTTCCATCAATGCTCTTTCTGCACTCTTTAAGCAGCCACAGATCTGACCTTCCATCTAATCACAGAATACAGAGTTCTGTTTCATTCATTAATCTTATTTTACTGGTAAGTTCTTCTCTGGTAGAAGATGCCTTTTTAATGACATCAGTTGCCGTTGCCTCTCCTATTGATGGCCATCTTAGATGTTCGATGTGTATAAATGTGTCACTGTGTCCTGCTACCTTGACCTGCTGTCCATAGTTAGATAAATAATTTAGGCGCGATGGATAGCAAGTTCTCATAGCATGCAGGAGTCTTATGCTGTAACCATGAATAAAAGCATAAAGTGAATGTTTTTGTAAAAGTGAGTGGGATTTGACTTTTCCCCCCCTCTAACAGTAGTAGAGGCTTAGCAGATTGAACAGGAAGGTCATGCGTTTAAGACTGGAGAGCACTCGCTCGTCCTCAATAGGCTGGCACATATAGGAATGATGACATACTCGGGTAGATGTGAAAGCTTCAACCCCTAATGCAGAGCCTTACTATGAGCTTCAGTGGGGTTAAGAGGTTTTAAGGACCTTTCTATCTAGTCTAGGTTGTGTGGCCAGATTTTCTCTTTTTTTCGTATTTGCCAATACCTAATAGCTTTTTTTCTTGACTTTTTTTCACTGCTTTGAAGACAGTTGCAGACAATTTAGTAAAACAGCATTTTACTCAAGTGGGAATGGGTCACATCTCTGCTCTGTACTCTGCTCATTTGATGTGAACCAGCTGTGCCTGGAATTTCTGGCTCAGATAACCACCAACTGTTAAATAACCCTTGACAGGTAGCAACCTTGGGTGTTGGAAATGTGAGGTTTTTGTGCATAAATGCTACTGATCAGTGCCTTTACTGTTGGAGAGGGGAGAAAAGGGAAGAAAGAAGAAAGGCGATTCAGGTGTTAGGACTGTTAGAGACTCAGTAGGAATGTCTGGTTAGGTAAACTTCTTCTGTGGTGACCCCCACTGTGACTTGGTCTGGCTGCTTGTTTACCTCCTTCAGGGGCTGCTATGACTGTGAAAAGACTGTGCATGAGTTCTTTGCTGTCCCTTTTAGGAATTGCAGTGCTGACCATAAACTATTGTCCCTAGAAGATGATCTAAATATATAACTCCCATACTCTAACCCCATCTCGTTGTATTTTCTTGTCTGCTCTTTATCTAACCCCCATGCCAGGCCTCTTGGCTCCTCTTGCATTCATTCATGTGTGTGCAAGCATGCATGTGGACATACCGCATATATGTAATATTAATGCCCCAAGGGGCGGAAAGAAAAATGTCCCATTTGTTGGCTATTAAGTGCCATCGCTGTTTAATCCACACTTTGCACAGTGAGATTTAAAAAAACCATAAGAAGAGAGACCAGAAAAGGCTTGCTTTGGCATGCTGGATGTATGATATGCCATGCCAAACCTGCCTCTTTTTAAAATTCTAAATGCAGAAAGGAAGGATATCGTGCAGGAGAAACAATGAAGTCAAAAGAACATAGTGTAACCAGACTGTTGGCTGCTGTCCCTCTCCCCCTCCGGCTCCTTTTAGTTTGCTTTGTCCTCCTCTCTCTTTGGTTCACTCCTCATCCTCAGCCTTTTAGCTACACAGAAAGATTCGTCTAAATCTAGTCACTGGGTCTCTTTTATACGTGTGTTAAGTCAGTGCCTGAGCTTTGTTGAAGGAGGTGCCTGTTGCCAAGTTCTCTCACTGTACAAGCCAGCTCAATCACAATATGGCCCTCAGGCACTAAAGCAGACCAGACTTATCATTTCTCCCCCTTGTAAAGACATTCATATACCTCATTACAAACTAATGTGACGCTGGATTATGGAAGAATAGGAGGAGGGTGTCATAGCTTAAATTTGGTCTCTGGGGGTTTTCCTAATGAATGATGCTTAGTCATCTAGTGGTTCAAACCTGCACATTGCATTGAGTTTATCAGCTGTTTTGTCCTTCCATCTCAAGTGGTTTAATCTTGTGAGCCTCAAAGATCATGAACTAGTTAGTAACTAACTAAAAGACGACTGTTTTCCAGGTCACTTGTTTTTGTGTTCTGGATCACATTTCTGCGTGGTGGAGTTGAATTTCCTCACTGCAGGATTAACCAGAGTCTTTATGGCGTGATCTTTTATAAGTCATATCCATAATCTATGGGGTTATTATAGGTGCCAGGCAAAGTGAGAGGGGTCAATGTTCCATCTGCTCACAGTTCCACATGCAGGATGAAAATCATCTGCAGCGGCAGGCAGAGGCTTTCCTCTCCCTTTTGATACACATATCCCCTAAGAGAAAACCCTTTTATTATCCTTGAACTGAAAATCCTCTGAGTCAGCTGTCAAAGCAAAATGCAGAAATACATCAACACTACAGTTCAGCTTGTCAGATGTCATCAATATCTCTGTGTAGTTGTAGTTCAAGCAGGCTGTGTGTTATAAAACAACATTGCATTGCAGAGCTGACTCCTTTTTAAAAACTAGATGTTAATATGTAATGGTGTGGGGAAAAGTAGTTTTCTTGTAATTATCAAGACAAATAATTATAATTAATCACTTGTGTGATTTTATGTGTGATTTTAATTATTGCAGTATTGGCTGATTTATTCTTATATTATTTATTCTTAACAGCATTGTATATTTAGAATCAAAATGTATTAATTATTCTATCATTATTATATCCACCTGTTTTATTGTTTACTCACAAATACTTTCCTTTTCCCTCATCTTCCCCTCCACGCACACACCTACACCTCACTTCTCACACACCGGCTGCCCCCCCCTCTCTGCTCGTCTTTCCATATACAGGAAGTGTGTGTCTGCTTCGTTACTTTGATCAGCAGTATGTTTTATAAAGTGGCCGGAGAAACACAACTCACGTTTTGAACGTTTTTCAGCCGGGATTCCGTATTCATCACTCTGTGCTTGTGACATCCACCAGATAACGTCTCTGTCTCTGCAAAATACTAACACGAGTCCCTGGCCGTTAATATACAGAGTATATTCAATCAATGATCTATGTACCAAGTAAATCTCTGTGTCACAGAATGAATAACTCTACCAAGGAATAAAATAAATGCGTCAGCTGTTCGGCTAAACTAATTAGAGCGCATATCATCCGATTACGATCGGTGACCAATCAATCGGAGCACCCTAAGTAGTCTTCTTTCTTTTTTCCATCTCTTGGCAGAGCACTCTGTTGTTTTTTCTTCTTCATCTTTGCTGTTTTCCATCTCTCTCTCTTAACAAGCTGCGTTAATAGCATAAGAACACTGCTTCTGATATCTAATGTACTCTGCCAAGAAGAGTGCTCATAATGCATTGTTTTCCCCTGTGTAATTAGTCATACACCAAGGGCTGAAGATGTCAACACCATACTGATGATACAGTAGGAATAAACTTAACTGGGATTTAAACGACTGCACTTTCAATTTCTAGAAATTGAAAGTCAAAATATAAAAATGTGTTTATGAAGGCCATAACAGTAGAACATTACCATTAGTTAAGTTCAAGTTCACTGGGATGCATTTCAGTTCTATATGTGCCTTTCCTTTAATGCGACAGACTTAAACAAATATTGACTTTTTGGAATTAAATAGAAGCTGTAAAACCAGTAATGGTATTATGTTTAGGTGAGAGGTTGGCAGCTGCTCTTGCTCTTCTTACCTTATTTCTCTCTCAGTCTCTCCACCACCAGTGTTGTAGCATTCAGTGGGATTAGGATTAGCGACCTTAGGCTGGCTACTTTAACAAGCACTAATTGATTTGCAACCAAGGATATGTTGGATACTGCAGCAGACAGCATCGGAGCAGTGGTAGGGGTTACACAAGGTTGGCAAAGACAACATTGCAGAAAACTACAGGGCCACAGAGTTCATTGGCTCTAGATGTAGGAAGTTTCATACACATGGTGGTGCATGGCTTCCCATCTGCCATCCACTGTGGGCAGCAGGGCTCTCTTGGGTGGTTGGGGGGGCATCTGCACTGGAGCCCATGCTGTGCCTGATTAGTTCAGGCTATCCAACTGTGCTGTTGAGTCTCCCTGTAAACAAACACAATCCACTTGTTTGGCCTGCACTGCACACAATTAGTCATTGTTTGTATGGGAAAGACATTCTGCTGTAAGTACAAAATCGCTGATGTCAACAGTTTGAACCAAAGGGTGTCAGTCAATGTAACGGCCCCTCCTCCTCTTCTGTGTTTTGTCTTTCAGAGCCGTGCTGGAGTGATTGGTTCAGTTCCTGTCCATCCAGTGAATCTAGTGGCTACCAGCCCAGTGAGCTGCGAAGTGTCTAATAGCGGTGGATTGCATCATTATGAGACAATAGCAGTGGGAATCAAAACTCTCCCTCCTCCTCTCTTCCTCCGTCTCCTCTCCCATTGCTTTTTCTCTCAGCTCGACTCTCTGCTGAAACCCTCACCCTAACAAATACACAGTCGCCCACACACACACACACACACACATGCAACCCTCTGACCACTCCTCCCACGCTGGTCATTGTCCACTCCCCCTGTCTCCCCAGCCAGTCAGGCAGTGAGTCGATGGAGGCTGTGTAATCCTCTGTAAAGTATAGGGCCTATACGGCTGCATATGCTCCCTTTTGTCATGGCGGCTGTTATTGTTGCAGAGGCCTCCCTCAGGAGAGAACATGAGGGAGAACAGAAGGCAGCATAAAGCTCACAAAGGGAGGAAGAGAGAGCGAGAGAGTGAGTGAGAGACACTGACATTGGCATTTATTTGACCGCAGGAGAATGAGCTTCACGGGGCCACGGATGGAATTTATTGGGGGTGAAACCACATGATGTGGGACTGGCATTACCACCCCACGCCAATCACAAATTGGACCAACAGTCAACTTTGGAGATATTTGCCACATAGTGACCTGCAGCAGGGAATGCAGTGAAATAGAGAAAAGTTGACAAGACTTTTCTTCTTGGTTCAGAATATTTTTCTATTTTTCCTCTCCTTGGAGTTTTCTTTTTAATTACAGCCTACCAAAAGTGCCTTTTTTGTGTTACTTTTGTCTATTTTTTTCCACACATCTTGTTCTATATTCATACTCCATATTGCCACAGATTATTGCATTTCACTTTACACATAACTGTCACATTGCCATATTTTAGAGAAGGTACATAGTATATTTGACTTTGTGGATGTTAACTGCCACATCACCAGCCTCCATCAAATTCACAGTTGACAATCGTCTCCTTCCTGAACTTTATTCTGCTTGGGGAGAGTTTACCAGCATTAAATCACTGAGAGTCAGGTTGTTCCAGAACAGCTGACTTTCTGCACTGCCTCCTCCCGACCTCTGTTGTTTGGACGACCAGGAGCCGTCGCCATGGTCAGTATCCAGTCCAAATGGCGCTACCTTTTCATGTTTCTGGGCATCCAGCTGGTGGTCATGGCGCTGCTGTCCCGAGAGGGATACCAGAAGAGGGTCTCTTACTTCATCCGCATCTTCCGCAAGCCTGACACCTTTGGCCTTTTTGGTCGCAACCACACAACAACTGGCATCACTGGAGGGGATGTGTATGCCAACCTCTCCCACCTATCCAGAGCTCATAGCCATGGAGATGACATGCCCCTGTGTCCTAAGAAGTCCCCTTATGTCGGTGAGTGGTCTCCCCTGCTTCTGTGTTATTCCAAAGGACCTGATAAGACCATGTTACTGAAGGTAGATTTCTCTCTCCTTCACACACACACATTTTTAAATACAGCATTGATGTATAAAAAAAAACATACCTGGTCATTTTCCAGAATTACATATTGCTGTGATTCGAGCCCTGTGTTTACCTGCAAATAAGCTGCCCCTCTATAAACCAACATTTATTACGGTCATAATTGATTTTTAATGGATTTTGAAGCTAATTGTTTATTTGCAAGTTTGTAATCTTGACTACTCCAGTTCAGTAGTGTGTTTAATACGATAAATCAGACACCTACTTGAGTACAATGAAACAGCAAGCAAACATACTGTATTGCCCATATACATCAATGTAAACAAGGATGTAGTGACAAATTAGCAACCATGATGGTTTCAATATGGATGAAAGCTTACATGCTTAACTCAGTCATCACAGAATGAATGAATGACTGAAAACTTGCAGACTTTAAATTTTACTTACCAGGTAACCTAATACGGTGTGTCCTTTTTTTGTGTGGGAAAAAAATCGATTTTGTAAATGTCAGTTTGCCAAAAAGTCAAATTCTGCTTCCCAGCTGTCAACTTCACATCTTTCGACCGCATCATCATCTCAGTTTGTGTGATGACAAACTGAGCAAACTCCATCCACTGATGAAGACAATGAGATAGTGTTGAAAGCTTGGGGGTAGTAAGTGACCTTTGGTACATTCCATTTATTTATATATTTGTCTTTGCCCTCCCCACTTCCTCCTCCACACTTATTACACATTGCCTGGATAAAGGTGAGCCAGCTTAATGTTTGTTCAGTATACCTGAGATGCACTGTCAAAATAGGCTTAGTTTCCTGTTCCCTGGGTTCTGCCCTCAGCCCTTTTGTTACTGCCAGCAATCTTAAACTTCATTGTGAAAACTGAGCTACAAGACATTGACTGCTTTCCTAGCAAAAAAAAAGGATAAAGGTTATTGAGGTATTTCTTGACAATTTGGTCAGGCAGCAGGAACGGAGGAACAGAAACCACCTGGAGGTTTACTGACAAAGCTTTGAGGAAGAGAGAATGAACAGTCCAAACAGGTTTGGTTGGAATATCACAGCCAGATTTAGTGGGGTACATGCTGGAATTTTTTCATTGTAGAATATCACAACAAGTTGATTGTCCCGTGTTGGCAAAACACAAATGTCTGCAATTAACAGACATTCGATTCATAATTTTGCCTTTTATACAATGTTATTGTATTGTCTAATTATCGTGTTGATTTAATTATCATTAGAAACCATTGTTAGATCCTGCTGGGAAGCACTGAAAACCAGTGGTATAATAATACATAACTCTAGGCCATATTTCCCTACTGGTTTCCTATCATACTTTAATATTTAGGCTGATATGATCATGAAAGGGATATTAAATTGTGTACTACTAGAAAGTCTTAATTTTTTCTGACTTAAATGATCATTTGACTCTTGAAATTGTTGCTGACCCATTTTCGGTCCATCGACTAGTTGCTTAATTTATTATAATCATTTCAGAATTAGACTCATTGTACACATTACACTAGGTTAGCTAGATAGGCTAGGCGTTGACATGTATCGACCTTGTTTTCACATGCCCAGTTATTGCTTTGTAGGGTAGGCTCTTTGTAGAAAGCTTTGTAAGATGTCAGTTATTAATCTAGTGTGACTAGTGTGATGCACCAAACACATCATTCGTAGTTGCCCAGTACAACTGCAGATAAGAAAGTTACTGACAGCATGATCAATATCTTAAAAGTCAGCAGGATCATAAGTGTAGGCAGCATTAGTATTGCAAAGGTGTTGGTTTGAAACAGAATTGTTCAGATTGTGATCCAAGATGTAATAACATTTTTGCATACTCAAATGTACTTCGCTGCTCAAACTTAAACAAAAAATAAGTGTTAAAACTGGTATTTGTACATTTACTAACACCTCAAACTAACACAAGTTCAGTTCAAAATGTTCGACAACAAAGGAAGGTTCAAACTGCAACCTCACGTTCAAATCATAGGCTCTCGTAGTCTAACCAGACTATTTGCCTTCACTCCATCAAACATATCGTGTTTCCTACTGGTAATGACAGCTGACCCATTTCTGCCCACAGGTGGGCCAATCCACGTCAGCTTTCCATCAGGGCTCACTCTAGCAGAGGTTCAGAGGAAAAATCCACTGGTGGTGCGCGGTGGACGCTACAGGCCGCCCGACTGTGAGGCGAGGCACCGAACTGCCATCATCATTCCCCACAGACTCAGAGAACACCACCTTAAGTTCCTGTTGTACTACCTACATCCTTTCCTGCAGCGACAACAGCTCCATTATGGGATTTACGTCATTCACCAGGTGAAACACTCACACAACCAAGTCATATATTGTCTCAAAGGGTGAATAAGGGATTGAAATAACATTTTACTTTTGATTAATATAGATTTCATATTTGGCTGAAACATAAGGAAATTTTCTGTCAGATATTTACAGCTAATATATAGTTGATTTGACCTGTAGGCACACTGTCCTCGGTTTGATACCTACAGTTCAGGCTAGATGAAGAGTGCCCTCTAGTGGGCTCTCACTGGATGTTAGAGGATGAGAATGCTCAAGTGGCTTAGAGGATTTAATCTCCTTAGCTGCTAACAATTCATTCATGTTTACTCCTCAGCACTTAAGCTCTTATACCTCTTGAGCTGGATTTCTGCACAGTCATATTGTTGAATCTTGCTCCTTATGATTTATCCTGCCTCGGCTTAGAGGATACCTCAAAATAAGCCCAGAGTGTTTGAATAAACGTTGGATGAGTAAAACATTAACATCTGAATTAGGCCTGAAATTATAATGCAACATTAACATTGAGGTAGAGATGAGCAGTATATCTATATTTAACATTTATTATGGGATACGTTTTTTTTTTATTGTGCACATTAAATGTTTGTGTTTTCTCCGGTGCTCTCAGGCTGGAAACTACACATTTAACAGGGCCAAGCTAATGAATGTGGGTTTCCGGGAGGCCATGAAAGAGGAAGAATGGGACTGTCTCTTCTTCCATGATGTGGACCTCATTCCAGAGGACGATCGCAACACATACATCTGCGACTCCAACCCCAAGCACGCTGCCATCGCCATGGACAAGTTTGGCTACAAGTATGTCCTTTTACATCTGTGAATGTTCATTGAAGGGTTCGCTCTTCACAGCTAGACCAATAGCACATTCTGTGTTCCACATTGAAATTTTTTTTTTATCTTTAATCCTCTCCAGGCTTCCGTACAAGATGTACTTTGGAGGAGTGTCAGCTCTGACGCCACTGCACTACCTCAAAATGAACGGCTTTCCCAATAACTACTGGGGCTGGGGTGGAGAGGACGACGATATTGGAGTCAGGTGAGAATAGTTTACCCCAGATGCTGCGGTGAATAATGCATCTGTAGCCAGTCAGACATTGATGTTCCCTGACCTCTGGTGTGACATTGAGGCTACACTAACCAAAAACAGCCTTCAGTTAACCACAAAGGAATGTAGGTCAGAATAAAAAAGTCAGAGAGACAAAAAGGACCCCACTTCAATTCTGTTATGGATACAAGACCACAATGTTGGTATCCTCATGACCCACATTAGGAGATGTGTGAGACCCAGTTGGACTGTGAAATACTGACACTTTTTTCTCATCTTCTCAGAGTGTCTCTGGCAGGGATGTACATCACTCGTCCGTCACTGAAGGTTGGCCGCTACAAGATGATTAAACATAAGCTGGACAAAGGCAACGATATAAACCCAAAGAGGTACAGTAAACATGTTGATGCATCCAATTTTACATGGGAAGTTTTTAGCAAATCTGAATTTAGTTTGCATGCAGACTCCAAACATTTGTTTGTGTTTTTATACTACAGGTAAAATGTGATGGTATGCAGCCTTCAATATTCAATGCTCTGTCTTTGCTCTTGATTCAAAGGTTCAACATGCTGGCCAAGACACGTCAGACCTGGAAGATGGATGGAATGAACACAGCTGAATATGAGACAATCTCACTGCAATACCTGCCCCTATACACCAACATCACTGTCAACATCGGCACTGAGGATGGTCTACACGCACCTCCCCGAACACCACCTCCCACCAAAGCTGAAGGAAAACCTGCACCCGTTGGGAAATTCTGGGCCGATACCAATAAAAATATATCAAAGCACCTGCCGAAGTCCCAGCAGAAGTCCCAGCAGAAGTCCCAGCCGAAGTCCCAGCCGAACCCCCTTGCCAAACTCAAAGAGGGCCACTCAGAGAAATAGTCTATCCTAAGAGACTACTAATCATGTTTCACTCTGCCATAACTTCAGTGGGTGGTTTTTCACCTCATTGGGTTTTCGTCAGTGTGTGGAAGAATTAGTTTGTGGAGAATCAACATCATACTTGTATGCGAACAGTGGGGCACTGATTTGGGTGATAGAAACACCTGATTTATAAAAAACAAACAAAACAATGAACCTGAATTGATCAACCCTTAGGTGACTGCTCTCCACCTTGATTCCCGCAACGTCACTAATTATTCTTCCAAGGGAGCCACAGTGAAGAGTGAAGGGTTAAAGTTGGACTCTATGAGTTTATGTATCCACAGCGCTGTGGTCGCTGGTTAAACCTTGTGATGCCTTAGAATCTTGTTCTTTTCTGTCTTTTCACTAGTACCTTACATTATTTTGAATATTGGGTTTAGTGGAGCAGTAGCTGCAATTTCCAGCAGTCACACTGTGCCACAAGTCTGACTCATTGCTTGTCTCAGCACCAATGAATACATGAGTGAAGATGATGGTTTTTGTTTCTCTGTGTGTGTGTGTGTGTGTGTGTGTGTGTGTGTGTGTGTGTGTGTGTGTGTGTGTGTGTGTGTGTGTGTGTGTGTGTGTGTGTGTGTGTGTGTGTGTGTGTGTGTGTGTGTGTGTGTGTGTGTGTGTGTGTGTGTGTGTGTGTGTGTGTGTGTGTGTGTGTGTGTGTGTGTGTGGCTGCTACAGTGAGTACCGAGTGCAGGACCGTTACTACGATTACGGCGCACATATCCTGTATCTGTCTACAAATATCTAGGGTGTTGTTTAGAAGGTGGTCCCAAACAAAGATGCTGGTCTGTATCTGTCTGGTTTTTGTATCAAAACATGGACCGTTTTGGATGCTGTACACATAATAATTTTGCGTCTTGCCATGGTCCGTGAAATTACCAGTGAGTGAGAATAGTGTACATTTTTAATTCTGTACACCAAGGCCAACGTACAGTTCCTCTGTGTAGCGTTTAGCTTAGTCAGTGAATTCAGTTCAGCCTTTCAAATTCCAGCATATCCAATATTTACATCATCTGATTGAATTTTCTGTCTGTGTGTGTGTGTGTGTGTGTGTGTGTGTTTGCCTTTATCATGAGCAGATCTTGGTGGCTGTGATCAGTCCTCTGCCTTTAGCTGAGCTTTTAATTCACATCAAAATGGAGTCTTGCTTAACTTATATATATATATATATAAGCATATATAAGCTGATTATGTACAGTGGTTTTGCTATATAACTCCTTATATAAATGTTCTGGCTTGCTCCCATAACACTTTATATACAGTCGATCGTTATAATGTGCTTCTTTTTAAAGTCACTGCTGTTGTGTCATCAGATCAGGAGTAGGAGTTGAGATCAGTAAGTGCTGTTTCAAGCTCAAGTTACTGTAGCCAAAATGTATCCGTGTAGACAAACAAGTTAGTTCAGTGGCTTGAGCCCAAAGCACATGACACATCCCTGATCGCTGTTGATGGGCAGTGGAAGTTGTTATGCTGCTGTTGCAAGAGAACATTTTGATTGTGCATGTTTTTTTGTTCAGTTAAAGGATTATATTGTCCTTTTGTGTTTTTAAGAAAGCATCTTGGGACTGATTTTAATCATTCTAAACCCCTCAAAGTAATGTGGACATACTGATGACCAATGCAAAGTATGTTACAGATATCTTTAGCAACATTTGCCAATAAGGAAACAGGCTGTGTTTCTTTCTCTTTTCTTTCCCCCTTTTTATTCTTCAATTTTTTTTTTCTTTGAAGCAACTTGTCACTTACTTGTTTACTATCGCCATCCATAACGTGACCCAATTCTCTCACAGTTTGACTCCTTAAAGAAGTTATCGCATTGAGACATCTGCCATATCTTTTCCACTAGTGCCCGTATACTGCATGCCGACTGTCTGCCCTCCTCTTCACTTCTCTTCCACTCTGACAGATTTGATTGTTTACGCGAGAGAGAAAAAGCCCAGTACCTTTTTAGTTTTTGAGTGTGGCTGTACTGGCAGGTGAACATGGCTGAAACCAAAGACGACTGCATGGAAAGCTGTGATGATGGATAAGAAAATTGTGTGTGTGTGTGTGTGGCATACAGTATACTCCATATGTTGTGAATGGTTTCCGTGACACTGTATTATTCTGTCTTAATGAACAGGCCTATCATTTCTTCTTATCAATATTTGTAGCCTATTTCAGTTCAAAGAATCTCTAACCAACATGTATTCAGTAAAAACTGCAGATGAACTCTTTTTTTGTGAATGGATGACGCTGTTTCATGATTTTCTTTTAATTTTCTTCAAATGCTGTACTGAAAACATATTTATCTTCCTGTCATTGTATTTGTCTGCTGAAATGGGTGAGACGGACTCTGAGAGTGGTTGCCTGTGATTTTCATAAATAGATGACTATATATTGCATTATAATTTTGATGTGAATTCATATTCAACTCCCTATGGCCTTAGCAACACACACAGTACTAGTATTTCAACACTTGGTTACAAATAGCATCTTTATATCAAGACTAGATATGCATGGCAAAGAACCTATTAGTAAGGGTATGGGAATGTACTGAGCACAACATGGAGATGATACATATCAGTGCTCACCTAGAAAATATGAAGCATGCTGAACTGTCTATGTTGTGAACTGGAAACTGGTCTTATTGTGATTTTTAAATTCAAGTTTCCATCTGCTGTGCGGAGTGCTCCTCACTGTTTGAGCTAAATGTTCAAAGGAAGCTTTAATTTCCAAAGTCACAATGTACAGTCTCTATCAATTTACTGTGTAACACTTGATCGGATGTTTTTTCTTTTTTTTTTTTAAGTTACTTTACATTTGATTTGGTTTGATTCTGTTATGATGTGGATAAGCTCAACAGCAATAGAAAGCAGTCATCACAGGGTAGTGCTGAAGCAAACAAGGGCAGTGTGACTGTGATTTATTTCTGCTCTTTATGAATTCTGCACAGTCCAGAGTGGCCTTAAATTCATTAATAAACTGATTATTGAAAAGAATTTTAGTTGTCTTTTTAAGTATGTTTTTTGGGGCTCTTTTTGCCTTTATTACAGTGACAGCTGAAGATAGACAGCAAAGGGGGGCAGAGAGAGGGGATGACACGCAGCAAAGGGCTGCAGGCCAGATTCGAATCCTGGGCCGCTGCAGCAAGGACTCAGCCTCGGTACATGGGTCGCCAGCTCTACCCACTGAGCTATCCAGGCGCCCTTTTTTTTTGTCTTTTTGTAATAATTTTATTTTATTATATCTTAAAACTGTGTTTGTGGCCAGAAGCATATCTCCTTCCCAATACATACATGCCAAGTACAAGCGAAGCAACACAATACAATCTAAATAAATCTAAGAAATAAAAACACAAACTTATATTAAGTATACAAGGAAACAGTCATTTGCCAAACCACATAATTGACCCTGTTACCCCTCACCCCAGAAGGACCACAAAGGTGATTTACTGATTTTCATCACTATAACCTCATACGATAATGCCTGAGATTTGAACATGATGCATTTTTGCTGTAGAGCCTTAAGAAGATATTATATACAACATATGAAAATAGCCATTCCTGACTGGACAATCTGTGCAGTGGTTTCCATGTACAGTTGTTGTAAGGCTGGCTAAATTGGTGTTGTCATTCAGAAATAGCAGAGGGGGAATGAATTTACCAATAATGGTAAAAGGAGTTTAAACTCTCCGACCTTTTTCACCAACAGAGAACTGGCTTTTTGTCATTACAGCTGACAGTGGATAGAAATGGACATATTCATCCATTTCTATCATTTAGTAAACTGATGACCCCTGATTATGTGACATATTATATATGAACCCAATCAGTGAACTCTTTTACTGTAAAAAAATTGTGTAAAACGAGTGATTTGGGTGAATTTTGAGCAGATTTTTTTCTTTTTTTTTAACAATCATATAGATGAAAGACTTTTTTTGGACATTCAGTGTTTTCTTGTTCCTGGTGCTTGGCCATTAACAATTTACCCGATCCCTAGGTTGGGAACCACTGCTCCAAGGTAATGACTTTGATCTGGGTTACAGAAAACATACAGAGCCAATCACAGAACATGATGCTTAAAGGGGAATGCACATATTTAAGCCATTAACTTTTCAACTTCTAACAGGAACATTAGCTAATGATTTGGTGCCCTATCAGGTTTTATATTTGTCCACCAAAAATCAAATCAAATCTGCCATTCCTGATTCACAATTCATCCCGTGTGGTTGAAGCTGATTTCCTCTTATGGCCAAATTTAACGTAATTACTCTTGACAGTGCTGTCAGGGGTAAATTATCTGGCACAGAAAAATTTGGAGGCAGGTTCAAGACTCAAATGCATTGGGAAGGCACCATTGCTTTGGGTTCGGACATTGTGTGGCACTCAGCTGGGCCTCTCCCTGCTGCTCTTATTACACTAATTACCTGTGCAATATTTGCCCGTGGTTCTGGACTGCCCTCCAACATCCAACTGACCACATCACAGAAAACATTTCGCCTAAGAATGTCCTGTGTGTGAGAAGGGTTAGTGTACATCTGTATCCAATGAGAAGCTCAGCGATGATATTACCCATCACCGATACAAAGCAGCTGTGCCTTGTCACAACCTGGCTCTGGAGTATTCTTCAGGATCTTCTTACAGAAGACCAAGCACATGTTACAGAAGTACCAGGAGGTGGTTTTAAACAACCCAGAGACATTACTCCTCAACCCTGCAGAGGAAACCACACATCCCACTTCCTTGTAATTTGTGGCTTAGAGATAGAAGGCTCCAGATCCACAGATCACAAGTCACTTCTGATACTTAACAGCTGCTGCTTTTTATCCTTAAGTCACTCATTTGTAGGAGGATTCAACATCTGAAATGTAACACACTTTAGTGTAACAAACACCAACAGTAAGAACAAGGAAAAAAAGTTACAATAAGACACACCAAGCACAGTGAGTAGAGTTCAGTGCTGTCAGCTGTGTTGTTTTAAGATTACTACATGGTGGTCGGGGTACATACAGTTCATTACTGCAGCAGTGTTTAACAAACACATTGACTGTAAAACAAGCTCTTCTGGTTCTTAAAAGGGTCTGTAAAATAAAAACAGTGCTTCTTGTTTCGTGTGTCTGAGCTCTAAATACTGGCGGACCTAAGAATTCTGCACCCAGAGCTAAAACCATTAATTGAATTAATTCATTGATTATATTTGCAACAATTTTGATAATAAATAATGGTTAAAGTAAGAGGCATTAGGCATTAGGTTTTTGGGTTGTCCTTACGCACAGATGTCCCATTCTCAGGAAGGTGATATCTCAGGAACAACAAAAAACATGTTTTTGGCCATAATTCAAGAATTCATATGCACATTATGATTAAGATTAAGATTTTCACACAAATGTCTAATAGGATGAACTGATGAAGTGTTGACATTTTATATCCAAAAGGTCAAAGGTCAACTTCACCATGACATCCTAATGTTCTGCAAAAACCCTTTTCAGGCCGTTATTCAACGCCATGACTGAACCGAAGTGTAGATTGTGACTTGATTAATTTGGTTGGACCTGCATGATGTTTTCAAGAGTTATAAGTCCTCTAAAAAAATGTGCAAAAGATATTTTAGAATGTGTTAATACACACAAAGACATAATGTATGAGCCATGTTCACAGTCTTATACATTCAAATGCTGAAAAACATTCACTGATGGCTGTTAATGCCTACAGATATTTTTTTTGTGGCAAGAAAATTAGAATTCAATTCAATTTTTCAATTCAATTTTATTTGTATAGCGCCAATTCATAACAGAAGTTATCTCAGGACACTTTTCAAATAGAGCAGGTCTAGACCGAACTCTTTAACATTAATTACAGAGACCCAACAGTACCACCATGAGCAAGCACTTGGCGACAAGGGCAAGGAAAAACTGCCTGTTAAAAGGCAGAAACCTAGGACAGATCCTCCGGCTCTAGGTGGGTGGTCGTCTGTCTCGACCAGTTGGGGTGAGAGAGAGAGAGAGAGAGAGAGAGAGAGAGAGAGAGAGAGCGACAGACAGACAGACAGGTGCACAGCAACAACAGTATTGGCAATGGCAGTCAAGCAGGACCATGGCAGGAGGCTCCACCAGGATCCATGAGAACCTGCGAGACGAGAAAGCACAAGAACTCCGGGGAAGAAGTGGAGTTAGTAACATGCATTAAAGGGACATGAATGAGTGCAGAAAGAGAGAGGAAGAGAGTAGCTCAGTGCACCATGGGAAATCCCCCGATAGTCTAGGCCTATAGCAGCATAACTAAGGGATGGTTCAGGACTCACCTGATCCAGCCCTAACTATAAGCTTTATCAAAGAGGAATGTCTTAAGCCTACTCTTGAAAGTGGTGAGGGTGTCTGCCTCCCGAACCACAACTGGAAGCCGGTTCCACAGGAGAGGAGCTTGGTAACTGAAGGCTCTGGCTCCTGTTCTACTTTTTAGAGACTATAGGAACCACAAGTAGCCCAGCATTCAGAGAACGTAGTGTTCTAGTGGGGTAATAGGGTACTATGAGCTCTTTAAGATATGAAGGGGCCTGACCATGAAGAGCTTTATAGGTGAGGAGGAGTATTTTAAATTCAATTCTACATTTTATAGGGAGCCAATGCAGAGTAGCTAGTACAGGAGAGATGTGATCTCTTTTTCTAGTTCCTGTCAGTACTCGTGCTGCAGCGTTCTGAATTAATTGGAGCGTTTTAATGGACTTATTGGGGCAACCTGATAATAAAGAGTTGCAGTAATCCAGCCTTGAAGTAACAAATGCATGGATTAGTTTTTCTGCATCTGTCTGTGATAGTATGTGTCTAATTTTTCTAATATTACGTAAATGAAAGAAGGCAGTCCTAGAGGTCTGCTTTATGTGGGAGTTAAATGACAAATCCTGATCAAAGAGAACTCCAAGATTCCTGACAGTGGTGCTAGAGGCCAAGTTAATGCCATCTAGAGTGACTATATCTTTAGACAATGAGTCTCTAAGGTTTTTGGGGCCAAGAACAAGAATTTCGGTTTTTTCTGAGTTTAACATCAGAAAATTGCAGGTCATCCAGGATTTTATGTCCTTAAGACATGTTTGTAATTTAGATAATTGATTAATTTCATTGGGTTTGATTGATAGATATAACTGCGTATCATCTGCATAACAGTGAAAGTTAATGGAGTGATTCCTAATAATGTTGCCTAAAGGGAGCATATATAAAGTAAATAGTATTGGTCCAAGTACAGAACCTTGTGGAACTCCATGACTAACTTTAGTATTTATGGAGGATTCATCGTTAACATGTACAAACTGAGTACGATCTGATAAGTATGACTTAAACCAGGTTAGGGCAGTTCCTTTAATGCCAATTTGATGCTCAAGTCTCTGTAAAAGAATATCATGGTCAATGGTGTCAAATGCAGCACTAAGATCTAATAATACAAGTACAGAGACAAGTCCATTGTCAGAAGCAGTCAGAAGGTCATTATTAACTTTAACCAGAGCTGTCTCTGTGCTATGATGAACTCTAAATCCTGACTGAAAATCCTCAAATAAACTATTGTTATGTAGAAAGTCACACAACTCTTTGGCGACTACTTTCTCCAGAATCTTAGAGAGGAACGGGAGGTTAGAAATCGGTCTATAGTTGGCTAAAACCCCTGGGTCAAGAGTAGACTTTTTAAGAAGGGGGTTTAATTACAGCTACTTTAAAGGACTGTGGTACATATCCTGATAATAAAGAAAGATTAATCATATCCAGTAAAGAAGTGCCAATTAAGGGAACAACTTCTTTAAGCAGCCTAGTTGGGATCGGGTCTAACAGACAGGTTGATGGCTTCGATGAAGAAATGATTGAAGTTAACTGATGAAGATCGATAGCAGAAAAACAGTCTAAATATACATCTAAGTTTACATTGACAGAAGTCCCTGAACTTGGAGAGCCACTGATAACTGTTGATGGCAGTTGGTGATTAATTTTTTCTCTAATAGTAATAATTTTATTATAGAAGAAGCTCATGAAGTCATTGCTACTTAAGTTTATGGGGAAGATCAATCCAATTGCTTACATGCTTGAATATCATATTACAGCACAACCAAAACCTTTTCAAGATATCTTCTTATTAAAGCTTAAAACTTCCAGCCGGAAAGATTGTAAAAGGTTGTTGTTAAGTCCATTTTATCTGTAGAAATAGGTGCCTACTGTAGCTGAATCTCAGTTTACTCCTTAGTTCAATGGAAATACATTTTATTTTCTCCTAAGAAGATACCAAAAGTGGACCCTGAACTAACCAGTTTAACCAGCACATGCAGTCCGTTTTGAGGAGACAAAACTCTCATTCTACTACTACTTGCTATTAAACTTGACATCATCATACTTGACTATCTTCCCATCACGTGTCACCACCTCCTTCTGCTCCCATTTTTCTACCTCCCCATTTTTCTCCTCAAAGCGCCGCACCACCACCCTCCCTGTTGTGGGCAGGTTGCAGGGCATATCCTTGGCAGCCTCTTCGTACAATCTCATTTTCATGAAGTCTCTGGTAAGGTCGGCTCCGCCTGTCGGGACCAGAGCCTGGTTTTTGTTTTTATCCTCTGTCTTCTGAGGGGAAGGAGAGTGGTGCAGTCTGGCTTGAGGAAGCAATCCTTTGAGTTCTGGTCTTGGTGAACGCTCCCATTTCAGCGGTGATGGAGACCTATTAAGGGGTGACGGATCTCTGTTAAACGGTGATGGAGCTCTGTTCATTGGTGACAGATCTCTGTTAAACGGTGATGGAGCTCTGTTCATTGGTGATGGATCTCTGTTAAACGGTGATGGAGCTTTGTTCATTGGTGACGGATCTCTGTTAAATGGTGATGGATCCCTGTTCACTGGAGATGCACCTCTGTTCATTGGAGATGGAGACCGGTTTGTGACATTAATGTGGGATGAAGGTGGTTTAAGGTGTTCTGTTTTAACAGGTTTATCAATGACGATGCCTGCACCTCCGGCTCTTCGTATCTCACTGATTACCCCACCCATGGAGGCCCTCAGGGAAGGGTTGTTCTCCACCATCCTACACACAGCGTGGCAGTACGGCTGATCCTTCAGGGTCTCCATGATCTTGGCGGGACAGACGCTGGGCGTGTACAGCCGGACCCGGGCACAAAGCTCAGCGATGATCTTACCCATAGCCCACACATCTGAGCGTTGGTCCCGCTGGCTGGTCCTCTGCAGCACTTCGGGTGCTGAGTAGGCCTCGTTCCCCATGTCAATGGCAGAGTTGAGACCATGTCTGAAGAACTTGGCCAGTCCCAGGTCGATGATGACGGCTCTATTTGTGTTATGCTCCACCTGGAGGACAAATGTCATTTAGTTGATTTGAAATATTGTCTTACAAAACAATTAACAGAGCTTTAAATGTGGGATAATGTACAACAAGGTGGTCATTCATCATCAACTTCTGCCCAATGATTATAGGTTTCATATATATAGTCTACAGCAATGCTAGCACTTCTAAGGCTGTACCATATCATGTCCACATCTTAGCTTAGCGTGTTAGTGTGGAAACATTTGTTAGTGCTCAGCTGAGGCTGATGGGAATGTCACAATTTGTGCAGATATTAAGAATTTGACAAATTGAAATTTTGACCTGATGATGGCAATGGATGGAAAAGTTCAGTTCAGTGTTTAACATTTAGGAAGTATACAGTATTTTATGTGTAGTTAAGTTTTTAAGTGTATAATCCCCTGAAAATAAGAATCATTATGCTTTTGTTACAGAATGAGCCTTTTATATATACGTTGAAGATAATTCCTTGGGGTGCAATTTTTGTGGCTGGTTCATATGAGCTTTATTCACTGCACAGTGGAGACTGAAGTTCAAAACAAAGCTGTAGAGTGAATTTGTGGCTATAATTATATACAGGATTACAGGAAACAATCAGGCTAAACAAAAGGTGAGGGCCCGGGCTCTCCCTCATAATAGATCAAAGGGTTTCACTCACAAGGAACTGTTAATCATTGTAACATCTCAAGACAGAGCTCACTGTCCTAAACAAAGGCAGGTACTTAAAGCCGTATTTAGTCAATGAAGATTAGTTTGTCTCAGTAAAGGGATCACTGTGATTTAAGAAAATTAAAGACCATACCAAAATAAAAATAAAAACATCAGATTCCGTGAGGCGGAAAGAGGTGGTATGATAGACTGGCTGACATTGCCAGTACACCTATACAATATATGGAATAATTATATATGTTAAGTTTTAGACTAATACACTGACAATACTGGCAGGCCTCCACTCACCATGATGTTTTCAGGCTTGAGGTCCTGATGGACAATATCTCTGGAGTGGAGGTGAAGCAGCCCTTCACACATGCCGATGATGATGGTGCCTTTATTAGATTGAGTCAACTGTAGAGGCAGACATTTGAGATCAAGTTTAACCAGACTGGCATCAAATATCACCAGCATAATATTCAAACCAACTTCCTCATGAGTTTTCCTTCAGGCCTGCATTAAACTGCTTTGCTGACGTTAACAAGGCGTAATGTGAAATCAGTGAGGCACGTCCAAACAAATCCTAGAACTGACATCCAGACTGCAGTCACAAAAACAACACAGTTTTCTGTCATTCACCTCAAAATATAACCTTTTAGATTTGTTTCAGTCATACAGTTTAAGCATGAGATGATATCATGATTTCTCTGAGTCTGAGGTTTGGTCAATATAGGAAGATTATAAGATTTATACCCTAAACCAATGCATGCTACAAGAACATGACGTGTCCCAAATGTCCATGGTGATCTGCTTTGCCATCATGGCCAAATTGAGCTTGTATTTAGATTTAAATCATGTACTGTGTTCCCTGGCTTTATACAGTTTTGCTATTTTTTGTATTCTAGGTACTACAATCCTCAATTTTACCTCGAATCATGTGACTTTTGTCTGTTGTCATGATAGCTTTACCTGTATTTTAGACTTTGATGCTTTGAAGATGGTGGTCTCTAAGTCCTCTCCAAAGATAAACTCTAGAGGAATTATCCATTTTCCATCTGCAAGAGTTATGTTGCCCAGAAGCTTCACTATGTTGGGATGATTTGCTTTGCTGCAGATCAGTGGTAGCAAGTCATGGAGAGAAAGAGAAAATGACAAGTCAGCAACAAAATAAAACAAAATAAAAACATTTTGGGCTGAAAGATTTGAAACCATCTGGATCCTCTTTATGTGAGGAGATTCTGCATAAAATGATTTACCAGAAATAATTGAATTGCAATATTGATAGTGGTAACAATATAACTGTACACTGTATTTTAAAATATGTACAGAGGGTACTTAAAGTATGCTTTATTTACATATACTGCCACCCTAAAAAACACCCCATAACAAAAACATTGATTACACAGCTGTTTTTCCTCTTCAGACATTTTGGAAACTTAGGTGTTTTACCTTACAGCATTTTAAGAAATCAGCTTCTCCTTTTTCAGTAGTTCCTTTTTAAAAATCACCTACTCTGCCATCTTTGAGAGTGCAAACATAAAAAAAAAACACACTTGTACTCACTTGTACACTTCACACTCTCTCTCCAGGTCCTTCCTATTGATGAGCTGGTGGGGGACCTTCTTTATAGCAGCCCAGGTATCATTGTATTTCTGCTTGTACACCTTCCCGAAACAGCCCTGTGCAAGTGTGCTGGTGGAATACGCCATCTAGACCACGTTGTGATGACCAGAGAGTGAAGGTCAGGCCATTTTAATAAGCAAGCTCAGATCAGACAATAAAAAGCAGAAATGTTTTAACAGAAATGTTGATTCAACATTTTTTGAGTCTGTGGTTTGTGCAGCTGTGGAGTAAATATCCGGTCCTGTCAGTAAGTCTTTGCAAGCAATGTTCCTGTTTAGAAGTGCAGGTGTCCTATGTGTCATAAATGTTGGTATTTTTGGGACTTTCCTCTTTGTTACCTTACGTAATACTTAAGAGTTGTATGATGCATGATGCATGAGCAATTCAGAAAGGAGCTACTAGTATGGTCACGGTTATAAAGGATGCAAAAGGGTGGATCTACTAGCTCTCAAATACACTTTATTTTGAAATTTGAGACTAACCACTAACAGTCTCAGTTAAATCAGGAAATATATGCAAACATTCACCAACACTGGTGCTAAACCACAGAGCTACTGCGTTGGATTTTACAATTTTTCTACACATATTTTTCATCCAAGCTTCTTCTCAGCATGAATCAACATGTTGACAGCCTGTCAGAGCTTAAAGACAAATATGTTCAAATGAAGTATGTATTCTCAGGAAGGGAGTGTCAGCGAGGAAAATGAGTAAGACTTGGGAATCCTGTGTTACAAAGGAAAGAAGCATCTAGTAAAATGAATGTTATTAATATGAATCGGAATTAACATTTAAATCATATCTATAAACAAATTAGAGATGCAGTGTGGGTGGGGATTCACAAAGTCTGAAACCCGGATTTCCTGAATCCTGAAGCGAAAAAAAAAACCTAACATTAATAAATAATACGTAATAGGTACGCTGCTGACCTCTGTAACCATATAAATCTACCATAACTGAGTCTGTTGTGTAAATAATGGCTCCCATGCACTGATCTAAACAGAAGTATTTACTGTTTTGGGGATTTTGACAGAAGAGTGACCTCCAGTCAGCATTCTGCATTTCACAGTCTTTGAGCTGTGTGTTGTAAACCAGGAAGATAAAAAAAAGCTGACAAACTGGTCCCAAGAGAATACTTAGTAGAATAGTTGGTCTTTGCATCAGCTGGAGCACAAAGTTGGCAACTTATAACATAAACACATTGAAAAAAACACACTGTCATGTTGAAGCTGTCAACAACTTGAGAATGAATAGTCATAGTATTTGATATGACTGCAATCAGTCACCTAACAGCGATTAATATTAACACAGGACAGTCTGAGACAGACTATAATAACCAGTAAACACCCGAAAGCCTCATCAGCGCATACTTTCTGTTCAATAAAGAAATTTTTAATGTAATTAAAACCTCCTGAAGTGCTACAATCTAGTTGATCAAGTCAAGGAAGCAAACAAAGAATTAAAAGGTTATTAGTCATTTTAATTCTATACTAAGCTAAAAGTGGATAAATCTATGTTATTTTGTGTCGTTCAACAGAAATCCTCTCAGGTGCCTACCTTTTGCTGTTGAGGAAAAGCATCTGCGTCAAGTCTGAACATGAGTTGACATAGTTATCTCTCTTTATACCTCTTCCACGCCTTCTTGTATCTGGTCCATGGCCTGGAGGCCAAGCTGGCACACCTAAGTGCTTCAGCAGCCTGACTGTATAGGTCAGGAAAGAGAGGCAGTTTAAACTGTGAGAACCAATGAGAATGGAAAAAGCCTGATAAACATAAGGGCATGTGACTGTGTGGACAAGGTAAGATGAGGGGGAGGGGGTATTCCCACTCTGATGACCATGTGGAAAATACAGGAGCAACACCTATGACACAGCCTGCATTCACACTGCCAGCACAAGTGACTCAAATCTGATTTGGTTGCTCATACGTGAACTTGGATCTCTTTTTTTCATGACAGTGTGAAAAGCAGAAATCTCATAGATCTGATCTTTTCCAATCAGATTCAAGTCTAATTTTGTTGCAATGTGACCTGAACAGTCATATCAGAACTCTAGATCTATGTTCATCATGCAGTCACTTAAGGACCATGACCTGTTCACACTGGAATCTGATATGGGCCACATTTGACAAGAAATTTGAACAACCAAACAAGAAAACCAAAAAAAACAGGTTTGAGCCACAAATCAGAATTTAATGCTAAAACCTGCAGTGTGAACACATAGCAGCCCGAATATAGAGGTTAGTTAAATTGACACTGACTCTTATACCCACCCTGTATATACATTACATTAAAGCACCCCCCTCTTCCGCACAGTTTTCTTTTCTTATCTTCCTTATCTTTATTTATTTATATTTTGAAAATACTTTATTTTTCTGTGTGATTTGTATATTTGTATATATGTATTTGTATATTTTTTGTGCACCAATTGTACCAGGACACATTCCTTGTAGGTGTAAAAACCTACTTGGCAATAAACATAATTCTTTTTTTTGATCAAGGTTTTATTTTATTAGAATTTTCAAATAGTAAACAGCGCCACAGAGGGGCTTAATAATCAAAACACATACAAACAAACATAATAACACTAAAAGAACAAATACAACCTCCAGCTTGCTGGCTCCAGCCTCTCGCTGCTTCCTGTTTTCACTGCATGTGATTGTTTTCCATTTTGTATTTGTTCTGACATCTTAATGCTTCACAATAATATTCTTGTCTTGTATGCACTTCTGTGACTTAATTTATAAGTGTTGTTATTTGACCTCTTTATTTTTAAAGTCCTGGTTATGACCATGTCTGAGATCAGGAACTTGCTTTGGAGTTTCCTACAGACGTACAAGATCTGGAAACACTGATTCAGGAAGTTGTCATTCTGAAACCGAAACAAACTCAAAATCTAAAATGACCACTTGTTTTTTTCCTTCTCCTCCTGTTTGTTTTTTAATTTGCGAGACACGAAAACAACAAAATGAAATGTAAGAGATTAAAAAGAAGAAGGAGGAACTTTGGGGTAAATCATGCAACAGTTTAATTCACTGGGATAAATGTGAGTTTAAACTACAATAAAAATGTGTACAAATAAACGCTTGTAGGTAGGTTATGATTGAATGTGTATTGTACGTGATCACCCGAGACACATTTTAATCTGAGGTATAAAATGGGCCTCTCTTTGCCCCTTTCTTCCGGTTTGTTGCACATATGTTGTTGATGGTAGTTACATGAAAAGCTCTAACCTGTAAGAACCCAGTCATCCCATGCATTAGAGGCCATTAAAAGAAGACAAAACAAAAAAATTATATTATTTAAAAATATCACAAATTATTACATCTTTTATAAAATGAACTTAAAATTAAAGAAACAAACACGCTGTCTCTCCAGCAGGTGGAGATGTTGTTACAATAAATTTTAGCAGTAGGATATATTTAATTCATTTCCTGTTCAGCTTCTCATACAGCAACGTCTCTTGCTGCTGCTGCTGCTCAGCTTGACAATAATGACCCATCCAACGGATTATTTTTTACATCCTCGGTCAGAAAGTAAGTCCGTTCATTTATATTCCATTTCTTTAGTTTCTTTAATTTAAGCTTCACTCTTTAGTTAAACAGAATGAAAACTTTTTTGTTGTGCTCAATGGCCTGCTGCATGTTCCATTCATTAGGCCTGTCAAAACTGGATGACTTGACAGGTTTTTTCCGTCCTGAGGACTAAACTCATGTAGCCTTTGATCATATTACAGATTTTAATTACTTCGGTGACCAAATAAATGATTTTATTTATAATTTTAAAGCTGTAATTGCACTAGTACAAATAGGGAAGTAAATAGGAGCATGTGCTTTTTGCCAGACATTCCCATGGACAGTTGCTGTGTTTCTGTTTGATCTAATTTCAGATTTATCTCATTATATTACTATAATAGTTGTATTTCACTGTCACGTTTCTTTTTAAAGCTCAATATTAGAGTGTATACTTTTTATTAGAGGAAATGATTATTTTATAAAGTAAACAAACAGTATGCCTGATTAGTATTTTCCCGGTAATTGAAAACAAAAAGTTCTGTTAAAAAATAACCGCTATTCGTAGTTTTAACTGTTTATTTATGTTTCAAACTTGAAGGTGGCCAGAGCTTGCACACTCAGGAAAGCGGGTATGGTTCTCTTCTGTTTATTTATCCTTCGAAAAATTTTTTCCTTTGGATGATGTCATCTGAATGTCATGTAATCCCTTGCAAATATCATTTTGATATTAGCTGCTTACTTTATTTGTTTCCATGAATGCACAAATGTGTCATTTCACATGTATTTCTTTGGAAGAACCACCACCTCTCTTGCTTCTACTAAGAAGATTTTTTTTCATATTACAGTGATGCCGGCCTCTCCTCCAACATGGCGCATCAATTCAGTGACGATTACAGTGTGCAACGTGCTTTGCCTGTAGTAGATAAAGGTAGCTTTGTAATACCAATCCCTAATGCAGAGCCACGTGTTTTTGAGCACCCTGAAATGTCAGGAAGGGTAAAATCACACACATCAGTGTTTCGGCATGCTGCCTTCCCTGTTGCTCCCCCACTGGCACGCCCTGTGTCTGCTGAGAAATTGTCCACTGTTGTTGTCATCAACTCACAAGCCCACCCAAAAGAGGAAACTGCTATGGTTTTACCCGGAACAGCCCTTACAGAGGAGCAGTCAGAGTTAGTAGGAGGAGAAAGCTGCATCATGGACACTAACAAGAACACCGGGGCAAACCCACGAGAACCAAAAGGCCCACCACTGATTCCTGGAAGGAAGATCAAAGTCAAGCATCGCAAGAAAAGAGCTGCTGGAAAGAACTGGAAATGTAATTAAATTTCAAGTTTATTAGGAAAATAACATGTAATAATATATATCTGCATATTATTTAAGTAATATACACACTCTATTAGCTATGCTATAAATTCTAGTTTTACAACGTTTATAATGTATTTGGTTACTTTGCCAGAAATGTGTAAACACAATTATACTATTATTATTGAAATTATAGTTAAAGGTGCCATTGTACTGGACTTTGTTCCATTTTCTCCCCCTCCTATTTAAATGCATGAGGGAGGCAGAATATTATAAACTCCTCTCACTGTAATGCAGTCCTGCACAACACCACATGTAATTATAACCGTGTTGCTAAAACATATAATTGAATTAACATTAAAAAAGATAAGATTGTACTGGTGTATTTAATTAGGTGAGTCTATAATTGTCATTTTATTACCAGTATATTGGTTATGATATGCAGAAATCAATGCCAGTTTAGAGTGTACCTCTACATAATAATACGTATTATATTTTAATAAATATTATTATAACTTATATATAATTTGGTCTGTGTTTCAGTGTACCTTCAATGTTGCATGGTGCTCATTGCTCTTGGGGGCTTTCCTGGTATGTGCTGAAAAGTGATTATATTTCAGTGTCACATAATTATGTGCAATTTCTTCATTTATTTAGGTTAGCTAAAAATTACCTTTTATTGTGAACTCTGAACACTATTTTGACCAATAATTCACAGTATTTTTTTTAAACCAGCCGTAGGTTCTCAACCTCCAGCAGACCAAGGGCGTAAGTTTAGACATTTTGTAGTTAACCAAGCTGCAGTCATTTTATTATTTCAAGTTATATAATAGCAATATTCTTTTACTATTCAAGTACCCTTGTTCTGAAATTTAAATGAACACACATTTACCTCATGTTACTCATAAATGTTGTTCTCTTTTTTTGAGCGCAGTTCAGTGTTTTATCTGCAAGGATGAGGAGAGATGCCCAAATTTGGCGACTATTTATGACTCTGATGACACTCTTGTGTACGAAGGGGATCTCAACATTTCGACATCCCAAAATAAAACCCTCCCAGAATGCTGTGGAATCTCTGACCCTACTCCTAAGACCTGCGTTGTGTGCCGTTATCACTCCACCATCACCATCATCTGCTCAGAGAACGTTACAAAAATGGAGGTGGAAGATAGTAAAGGAGGACAAATTCTAAACATCTCTTCTGGCTGTATGTATTACATGAATGTATCAAACATGAATCCCTTGTTCCTTGGTTAAAAAGGTTAAAGCTAAGCTAAATGTGTATTAAAAGAGAAAGTTTTTCAAACATTGGGTAGATTCTACTGCATTTAAATTAATATTTAATTTGGCAAAAACTCATAAGCACACAATGAAATACAAGAATGTAGATGACACATCAAATAACAGGGTGTTTCTCAAAAAACCACCCACGATTGAGATAGCTTCCTGTCTTGTGAGCTTTTTTTTTAATTAAAATTAGTATTGTTCCCATAAAAGATGTAGCAATTTCTCTGTGGAAAGGCAACTCTGCTCTTTTCCCATACAATTTAAAGTTCCCCTCCAGATATATATTAAGACATGCATACAAATAGTCTACTTGGAACATTAATGTGTGCCTGATGTGTTTCTTCCACAAACAAAAGTATAATTTCCAAAATCCTTGGAAAAGGCCACTACTCTTACCTCTTTAAAAAATCCAAAACATATGAATATGCATATTTTGTTCATTTCTAAAGTTTTCTGCTGGACACAAGATGTCTCCTACGTCACTGTAACGTCCATTCTCAGTATATGTGCACTGAAGGCTTCAAGTTTCCACATTATCTTTGTATAAGTTGAATATTGGACCATTTAAAATCATCAATTATCAATGCATGAAAAAGTGAAAAGTGAACCAGGTGGCTTTGTGGAGTTCCTGATGATATATTAATGCATTTATTCTTCTTCAGGTGTACAGCGCACCTGTGGCCCTGCACATAATGGATTGATTGGTATGTGATTGACACTATTACTGAATGTCAATTTGATGCAAACATTGATGAACTGAATTATAGATGCGTGGCCATGTTTTGATTTGTAATACACTTAATCAATGCTTACTGCGTTTATGGAGTACTTTGCGTTGGGTGAGGATTCGATGATGCTTTAAACGTGCATTAGGTCAGAGAATGGTGTGGGAAAGTTTTCTGACTATTTAGACTGTATAGATAAACAGGGATGATGGCTGGCTGGATAATGTGCAGTAACAGCTCATGAGTGACAGCACAGGTGAGGTTTGCCCTTCATTTACTGCAGGGGTCCCAAACTTTTCCATCCCATGGCCCCCCAAATAGCATTAGCATAGAAATGCAGCCCCCTTTTTGTAAGATTGCAAGATCAAAAATCCACTGGCAAAACTGTAGAAAATGTAACTATAAAAAAAATAAAAAACTAATTTCATTACTTTTATTATATATTTATATTTCAGAATCAGAATCAGGTTTATGTAAGTTTTTACACATACAAGGACTTTGACTTGGTGCATTGGTGCATAAAAAAAAAAATCACAAAAATTACTATTTTTGGAAATACTGTAGTAATTTCCTGTGAAAACACAGGAAATGCTCATCTCACATCACCTACAGCTCTGTCCTTTTTGTGCCTTTGCACATAAAACATACAAGTAAATCATTTTTCATCATTTTTGATTTGCTGCCTTTTGAAATGTTTTTCATCTGAGTTTCCCTCTCTCACTTTCTCTTCTTCTTTCTCTCCTTTCTTTTGGTAGAGGACCGGGTGGGAGGGGGGGTCTGTTGGCATTCTTGCACCGTGTGCTTTGTGGTCGACCGGGCCTTGGCTCTGGTCCGTATCCCCTCTCTACCCTCTCTCGCTTCTCTGACAAAAAGGTTCTGAACATTACCTAGCCTAGCTTAGGTTTTGTAGAGTTCCTGGTACTATTTTAATGTATTTATTCTTCTTTAGGTGTTCAGCCACTCACCCATGGCCATTACGGATTGATTGCTAGTGTCGGTATGTATTTAACACAATCACTCAACGTCAGTTGGATACTGACATTGATAAACTGTGTGACTTTAAACAAAGCCAGATTTTTGACAGCTACGTCTTTTTATTTTGCAGTCCTTTATGTGGTGGCAGCGCTGGTGATCTACATTGTAAGTATGACTTATTATGGTCACTGGTCACAACTTTCAATGTGTTAAATTGAGAAACAGAACTATCTTCAGTTAGGTTTCTGCATGAGTCACTAAAGTGATTATAAGTCATACATACTCCCAAGTAAAATCTTCAACGCCATTCAAAGGATAAAATTGACTTTATGTTGTATATGGTACAACACATTTTTAAATATGTTTTTTATTCCTTTCCTGTTAGCACTGCCATTAAAACAGGTAGGTTCAGTCTGTATTAATAGATTACACTTCATTAATGAGCCCATTTATCATTATCATTGAGTTGTTTAAAATATGAACTTAAAAAATACAGGACGCCTACTAGGTGACTTTGAATATTTTTAACTCAACAGATGCACACTAGACACTCAGATCGTGTTTTTTTTTTATAGGACTGAAAAAAGAACACTGCATGATCAAGAAGGAGACAGTAGTGTGCTGAAGCCATCCACTCGCCAAGCATAATAATCCCTGGTTTTAGCTTCCATGGGGATGCCATATAGCTGTGCAGATTTTTTTTAATGTATACTGTTTGGGACAACTGCTTTAGACTAAGGACAGGCCTGCTGATTATGTTCTTGATTATTCAATGAATATTTGGGCTATAAAATGTCCAAAATTATGTCATCAAACTGCTTGTTTAGTCTTGCTTTGAAAAACTAACTGGAAATTATTTTGCTATCGATTAACTAATTGCTTATTTGACGAATCAGGTTTGAGCTCTACTTGATGATTATAAAGATTTTTGAAATTAGCGTGTTTTCTGCTAAAATACCCTAATGAATATGTGTATCTGCTGCCTTAATTAAAACTTGCTTTAAACGGGATCTGGTTCTGTCATTATTCTGTCATTATTAATCAGGGATGGACACAGTTGTCAGATCTGTAACTTAAATAAAAGTAGAAACCAAAACCAAAGTGTAGAAACACTGACACTTGTTACAAGTTAAAGTCATGCATGTTTACTTGAGGTAAAAGTACAATGGTGGACCTACTAGCAGCTATAATGAACTGAAAGTAAAAGTACTCATTACACAGATTGGACCCTTTTCTGAATAGTTGGATCGTAGTTATTGGTGTTTTAATGTGTAAGCATCATTCTTAAGGTTTAACTACTGTATTTACTGTTGAATAGTTAAAAAAAAAAAAAAGAAAACAGGCCGGCAGTAGGTCAGTCTGTAGGGACTGCGACTATTTTTGGAGTCCACTAATTCGACCTCATTAAAAACACCATCTGCAAAGCCCAAACATCCAACTGTGGGAAGAAAAACGTATTCTTTAAGTGGAGGGGGACTTTAAGTAAAGGTTGCAATACCAAGTTGTGGAAATACTCTGTTACAAGTAAAAGGCATGCATTCAAAATCTTACCTGAGTAAAAATATAAGCATCACAATTTACCTTTAGTACCCAAAAGTAGTGCAAAATGGCCCATTGCAGACTATATATTATATTACTGGATTTTAATTATTGAGACTATCTCACTATATATACTGCTGGGTGGGTAGCTTGTGAATTTCACCATTTCAGTACAGTCATATCTTAATCAATAATGCATCATCATTTATTTGCTGATAATATTTTGTATTAGGCTACTGATCTGAATTTACTAAATAACATTAAGTGATTAAATTAATGTAGTTGAGTGAGCAGTAGTAGTAGAAAGTATATTTCCCTCTGAACTGTAGTGCAATAGCAAAAACTGTAAATAAGTAGGCTACCGCAAACTAGTACTTGAGTAAATATTCTTAGTTACTTCACACAGTATGCAGTATGCAGTAATACTATGATAATTAAGTGCGGGAAAACTGCGCAACAATCAGTGTTAAGTTGCAAAATTTCCCACCCACAGAAAATGGGCCTACTTGGTTACTCACACACACACACACACACACACACACACACACACTTGTACTCCCACAGACGGGTTGAACATTAACAAATAGTGGTTTTGATAGCGTTATCAGTGTCTGGATTGTACCAACTAGCGCGGGTAGGTGAAACATAACCTTATTTCTCGGTCAAATTCCTATCAGGGTGCACAAAACACAGCGACCAAGAAAGCTTATGGTATTTTTCTTTAACTGTCCTGTTCTTAACACCAGCTCCTTGTAGTCAAATGAGTCCACTATCGAGCAAAAAAACAACTCAAAATACCGTACACACCCCTGTGTTTCGCAACCTGTCTGTGCAAGCTGAGCTCACCTGTTGGCTGCGCGGCTGACGTGGGACGTTCAGGTACTCCTCTCGCCTTCAAGCACACAAAGACACAAAATGGAGCTGGAACTACCTGACTGAGGAGAAGTACAGTTGCGCTCTTTTAGTATGTACAACCTGAAGGGGTTTTATTTGTGTGTATTTAATGAAATAACAAGATTCTACGTCGACTGAGAGTCAGAGGAAAGAGGAGTAAACATGTTTTGGACGTTAATCTTCGCCGCTTTAATGGCAACAGGTAAGTTGGCCTTTTTTTTTTTCCCAAACAGGGTGGGCCCTCTTCCGTGAGAGCTCTGTGCTTCTGTGGCTGCTCGACTCTTTTTCAAATTTGACCCAGTTTTGTCTGGTAATTTTTCGCCTAGTGCCTGTTTTCGTCCATGTTTATTATTAATATAATTATTAAGTTTTAAGAAAGTTGCATTAGATGATCAAAGCCGCAGTTTATCTAACAAGATTTTTGAACCATATAAGCTGTTATAACAACAGATACGTAGCTTGTTGTTGTTGACAGGGGTTTTCTTATACCTAGAAAGTCATAAATAAACTGATTATAATTTTTTATTTTATTGACATATATTTATGGCAGAAATAATGCAAAACCTACAAAGATTATGGGCAATATAAAAAAAAGATACCAAATAATATATATTTGTAATTATAGTTTTATATTTTCTATTATATCTTTTATAATATTTGTATTGTATTATTCTTTATTGTACTTAAGCATTATATTCCACTGTGCAGCTGTGACTGACTTGAATTTCTCCTACAGGGATCACTAAAGGAACTTCTTATCTTATATGTAACATTGTGATATGGAGTGATATGACATTTACTCAATGTACAAATGGAAAAAAATATGTCGTTGGGGGAAATGCTAAGTCACCCATTTGGAAACCACACACATTGTTGGCGGCGTGCTCTGTCATTCCTGTAGGCTAACCTCAGGTCTTTACGTTTAAGATGAAAGATAAGGTTAGTGAAACAGGAGGGTCAGAGCAAACACGTCCCAGTATAACACAGTTAACATCAACTGCAACACAAACTACAGCCTTTCTAACGGTTGAAATAACACAAAGGCCTTCAGAAACCCCTTGCTGTGATATATCTATCATAGTTCAAATGAATTAGAACTTTAGAAGACATCCGAAGCATTCAACAACTTGTTATTACAAAAATAAAGACTAGTTGTTCTGGATGGTGTCCCTGATAGTCCTACAATATGATTTTATGTATATATACTTTTTATTGCAGTTTAGTGATATAATGTCTGCAGACAAAACCTGTACACAAAATATGCACTTGCAAAGTGACATTTTGTATTTTATTTTGAGTGGTATGGTTGTTTTAGGGACCTCACATTTAACTTTAGTAATATGGGGAAAGCCGCTGGGTGAGAGAAAAGTCAAGTTATGACACAGAAGACTCCATGGCTAAAAAGGGGGCACCTTCAAGAACATGTCTGGCTGGAAAGAACCCAAATTAACGGTGTTACAGTGTCACAAAATCCCATGGCCAATCAAAGTCTTTGGTTTGTCTCCAAAGCCTGGTATTACTTATTCCCCTGTTCTCAGAGCATGCAAAGCGTGCATACTGGATGTCATAATTCACTCTGCTGTGATGGTCAGACAACACAGAAACTGTCTGAGGTGACTCATCACACCCAGTCTCAGTGATACTAGCAATGAGGAAATACTGTGTGTCATATACCACTCCCTAGGGGGTACTGTAGACTAATTATAGAAACCAACACAATATGACTTAACAGTGTTTTTTTTAAATCTTTTTTTAGAGTCCACAATGGCCATCTCGGTCCAGTGCCCCACAAAGAGGTACATTGTCATCCTCTTCCAGCCAGTTACCCTCACCTGTAACTACCAGACAACCGCCACTCAGTCTCCTGTTGTCACATGGAAGTATAAATCATATTGCCGGGACCCCATCCAGGCTGCACTGAATCCCAGCAGTGCAGAGAACATCTTGTCTCAGAGCAACCCCAACTATGATGCCAACATCGAGTGCGCCGACAGCCAGAGGACAGTGCGCATTGTGGCCTCCAAGCAAGGCAGTGCTGTGACCCTCGGCACGGACTACCAGGGTCGCAAGATCAGTATCCTAAACAGTGAGTGGATCAAAACTTACACTTACTATACATCTGACTGGGATTTCAAAGACTGGATATGGTTGTTTTTTTGACTTAACAGGTAAAATCAGACTTAAAGGTTCACTGTGTAAGATTTAGGCAGAGGTGGAAAGAGTAATAGAATATTATACTCAAGTAAAATTAACTTTAAATACATTTTACTCAAGTAAAATGTTCTAAAAATGTATTTAGATTAAAGTAAAAAGTAAGTTAGTTGAAATGTATTTGTGTTGGCTGCATCTGGGGGGAGCAACAATGTTAGGCTACAGAAATAAAATGGTTGTCACTTTAACAGCAGAATAAAACATCACCAAAGCAATGCAACTTGATACAACACAGAGATGTATAAACAATATAAACTCCACAGGGGCTGCACCCACTTAAAGCGAAAAGATGCACTATTTTTAAACACAGCATAGCGGATACCGACAACACTACGTTGCTAGGTAACACGTTGGTTGTTGACATCCCTCTCTTTAGTTGTTGTACTCAGGTGTCTGAACATGATTTTGTTAGTCTTGTGCAATGGGAAGTTGTCAACAATGTTTCAACTTTGTTACCATTCTCAGTTCATATTATAACCTGTCCATTCAGCCTGTCTGTCACTCTTCATGCTCGCCAGGTGGTGCATTAAATCAGTGATTGATTAAGTTAGATGTGATCTTTTTTGTAACTACAGGCGCAGTAATTCCCAAATTTAACCCATAACGATGTCATCCTTCATTTTAGAGCATTAATGTGCATTGTGGTTCAGAAAACTGTTAGACCGTGCCCGGGTAAGACTATTCCCCTGGTACACCCTGACATTTAGCATGTCTGTCTGGAGCTCTGCTCTTCTGCAGCCACAAACACACCAGCAGCTTCTTGTCTGCGGCAGCTGCTTAGTTCTCTCTTTCTTATTATATAGCCATTCTCACACATATTCAGGACTTTTTTAATGTGAACTTTTTGTTTTTACTGTAACCGATGCAACTTGAAATGTACAACCTGTTATAAAAAGTACTTCAGTAAAAGTACACTAACTGATTTTAAAAAATACTCAAAAAAGTACAAGTACACAAAAGAATACTTTGTTACAGTAGCAAGACTAAATGTAATTAGTTACTTCCACCCTGGATTTTGCAGGCTCCAAAATGACAAATCAAATATAATGTGCATAAACATGTTTTTATTAATGTGCAAACAGTCTCTTAGAATGAGCTGTATCTACAGACGCTGTAAGCCCTCTTCTGTCCTGGTCTGCCATGTTGAACCACCGTGTTTCGACAGTAGCTCAGAATGGGCAAACCAAACGCTGGCTCTATATAGGGCCTTTCATGTTTTTTTAGTTTCTGCTATACATGCTTGGGATGGGAGATTGAAGCGAGGGGGTTGCAATCTGCATCCACACTACCTTATAACCCAGCTAGATGCCCCTAAATCCTCCACGCGTCCTTTAACAGTAAAGTTATTGGTTTGATCACCTCTGACAGATCATAGCAAATAACCGGGGTTTTAATGACAAAGGCACGATCATCATGAATTCTTAGATATGATAAACCTTGACGATGACCGGGTGCACACGGCGTTCACAGCTCAGTGATGTAGCTGGAGGACAGACTAGCCAAGGCCTTGAAAATGAGCAACAGAATAACATCATGAGGATAACGCAGCTGCAGTCTCCAACTACATTGTTAGACGCCACTAAATCCTACACACAGGTCCTTTAAAAAATAAAGGCATGTCATTGTGATTGAAACATTATTAGTAAATAATTTAACATAAGAACTGCAATGATTAATCGATCGACAGAAAATTCTTTGCTTTCTATATTTTCCCATTTTAGTTCCCGAGTTGTGCACGTTTTAACTTTTTACGTGTTTCTCACTTTTTGGATGTTTTATTGACCAAGTGATTCATTAAAATTGGCTGAATTTCATGGGTTTTTTTACTATTTAAATTTAGGAAAATGTTTCACAACTTATATTTTACAGACATTTGACCAAATTTGTTTGTTATCTACTCTGCCAGTAATTGTTTCCTCCTCCATATTTTAGTCTGTCAATTGTGTATACACTAGTTTCTTATTCTTGTTCTCACTTAAATTTCTGTGTAGATCAACTTCTCAAACTGAATTAGCATGAATATGACCATGAAAGAAAGGACTGGTGTTAGGATGGACATGATGAGCTATACGGGAATGAGATTCCAGAAATGAAGATTCAAAGATTACTACTTGCAGTTAAATGCGGATGTGGGACACTGAAGAGGAACATAAAGAGACAACAACCTGAAATAAGAGAATTCACCCTCAAGTTCCCATAATGGAAAAAATAATTAACTTTGTGGACAGTAATGTGCTGATATCAGCTTTTAAAACAATAGTTATCCACCCCAGCTGTCCAGTATTGTCTATTCTGCCACCATGCATCTGAAACACTGTGCAGTTGGCATTTTTTAAATCTTTCTCTAAAACTGTTAACATCTGGTGCTCATTATAGTGATGTATTTTTTTCCACGTATCATTCCTTTCTCACAGTGGAGCTTCAAACAGCCACTTCATCTGGTATTTCACGTAGTCTGCCTCTAGAAGAGGTTTCCTCGCAAACACACAAGCATACAAATACACCAATGTGTGCAATGCTTTACAGTTATCATAACAGTCTTTCTCCAATCCATCTATTCTGTCTGTTAATGAATGACCAGATCAGCATTGCTTTTGACAGAGACATTACTGTATCAATTTTCACTCATAAAAGTGTTTGAAACTTTCATAACCAAGCGAAGTACATGGTTTAATAGAAGATGAATTAGTGTAATAACAGTACTAGGATCTGTTCTTTGTGCATTATTGTTACATTTATCAAAATAAAGACAAGCTGAGAAAAGACCCATTGACACACACTTATTTCATAGTTGTAACAACATAGTGAGGAGAATGAGTAATATTTTTCCTGTTTGAGGATCATCATCAGATCCAGTTATTATAAGGTTATATGGCTACTTTAAAAACAACAATTAAACTTGTGGATGTATTGTTTCTCGCAGATGCAGACCTGAATATAGCGCAGACGGCATGGGGCGACAGCGGTGTCTACGTCTGTTCTGTGATCTCTTCCCAGGACCTTTCAGGAAACGGCGAAGACTACACAGAGCTCATTGTACTTGGTAAGTTACCTTCTGTTTGTGGTTCTGATATGTGTATAAACACACATATGGTGTATATGCTTCTTCGTTTTCTCTCTATGCTTCTTCTTTCTTCACTCTCCTTCTCCCATTCACAAACATGGAATTGCACATACGGTTTTCTTCAAATAAGAACAAACGTTCCAAATAAACTTGGCCCAGATAGGCTTTTGGAAGTGGCTGATGAACTAGTGTGTGGGCAGATATGCAGTCAACAGAGAGGATACCAGCCACCAGCCTGGTTTTGAATAAGTCTTTAGTAACTAGTTGTTGGCAGTAAAATTAGACCGATACCACTTTAAAGTAATTGTGGCTTTATCTTTCTTTCACAGAGAGAAAGTCAAATACTACTGACCTCCTGCCTGGCATTGACTTACTGGTTATGGAAGGTAGTACAAGCCTCTTGATATAGCTCATGTTTTAGTCCCATAATACAGAGTGTGAGGGAGGATGAGGTTTAGGAGATGGCAATTGGCAAAAATTACACCCCAGCTGTATTGCTTAACCTGGGTGTGTTTTTAAAAGATTTAGTAATTTATTTTTCCTTTGTTAAACAATTTGAATAATTTAGGTCTTCAGAAATACAATCGATGTTCCAGCCAAGGTCAGACTCAAAGTGCAAAGTGACAGACAAAGTAGCAAATATGACTCATCTTGAGAATTGTTCCCTGCAAACATCCTGCTGTGCATTTAACGATGTAATGGTGAGAGACTACAAACCCAACTGTTCCGCTTGTGTTGTACTTCATTTACATCCATTCTCTACCTGACACTCCCTCTTTATCTACCACTGTATCTCTGAAATGGCTATGCTCCCATGTGTGACTTTATGTAGCTGCCTGGTTGCAACAAAAGGACACTCAGCACACATTTCCTTATCAGTGTACACAGCCAAATAATGCTCTGCTAATCCAGTTTCCATTTCAGTTGATTCATTTGAAAGAACAGTGTCTCCCCTCTCTTTGCTGTTTTTGTTTGTTGGCTGCCTGAACTGACATGCAGAGTGGAGTCATACCCTGGGTGCATGGACAAACTGGTTTCACCGGTTTGACAGAACCTTAAAAAATAACCAAATTACCAACATTAGCCAACATGTTTTGATCTGAACACACAATAACAAAAATGAAATCTGGGGGTTGTCCGTGGATTTAACCAGATTAATTGATTTTTAAACAAGAATCAGAACAACCTGTAATTAGACCGTAGTGCCCTGGAAACGTAATGAAAAACAGTGGCTGCTGTAGTAGCTTTGGTATTTCCTGTTTTCCAATAACCCATTTACTTTCTCTTATTACAAAAAAGCCAATACCCGCATCATCTGTAGACAACTGTATCTGTAGTTCACATTAACTTAAGTTTGTTGTGTAAATCTTCCAATTGTATGTATGTAATGTGAAATTGAAAGTGAAACTGTATGAAAAATGCCTTCTAATTCGCTGTTTAAAGAAGGAAAATTAATGGATTAATAACGTAAAGCGTTTATATAAATATATCTAATGCACTCCCTTCTGGTCCACACAGACTGGCTCCTGGTTGTTTTGGTGGTTCTGGGCTTCCTGTTGCTTCTGCTCCTGATCGGGATCTGTTGGTGCCAGTGCTGTCCACACACGTGCTGCTGCTACATCAGCTGCCCCTGCTGCCCCGACCGCTGCTGCTGCCCACGGGCCTGTAAGTATCAAATGGAAAAGAGATTCATTTGAACATGTTCTCTTTATTTTACTGCATGTAACCAATGGCTGGGTGTTACTTTTTTGGATTAAAACACATGTTTAGCACTGAGTATCAAAAACTGTCAAGTACTAACAGTTTGCGCTGAAAGTCTGTTCAGATTATTTGAGTATCTTGGGTCAGTTTCCAATTCAAATGATAATTATGCCAATATTAGATTTTTTTTATGTTGGCAAAGTTCTTAGTTTGAGCTGGTAACTGAATTATATGACTATACTGTGATGAAACACACCAATGCTGTAGTGTTAAAATTAAAACATTATTACCAAATTTATGAAAAACAGTGAAGTTAAACTTTTACAAACTGCCGTCATTGTGACACTGTTTCCAGTGCGTACACGGAGAATTATTTGCCGATAGGGCGATGTTCTGAGGTTCTGGTGGTCTGTCATCTAACAGAAATTGAAACATATGGCATTTTAAAAAAGCATTGCATTACTATCGGTACTAAAACTCAGGCATCAAACTACTAAGTATTAAAAAAGATCAAACTACCCAGCTTTAATGTAACATTAACAAAAGGGAGAGTTCCTAAATCTTACTACACTGTATTTATATTATGTACTGTTGTACTGTACTTTTGTTATATACAAAGTAAACATAAATGCACACACACGGTCTATCTGAATTTACCTACATTTGACAGCTTACTTCAGCCCTGGATTGTTTAAGCAAAGCTGCCTCACAAAATGGGTTCCAATTATATATTAATTGTGGAGAGGATGTACAGTACACCTAACCACAAGGTTGACAAGAGGAACCGAGGGGGCGTATGTGAGAGACAGTGTACAGTGATAAGCCCTGACATAGAACAGCTCTGTGTATCACCGACTACAAACAGTGGCAGCACACACCAGTGGCACCTACTGTATTTCCTTTTTGGGCGATTTTAACTACTGTAAGCCGGAGACTGTGTTGCCAGGCTTTGAACCAAAATGTACGATGCGACACCCCAAATAACAAGATCCAAGATAAATGCTATGGCAACATTAAGAATGCGTATTCTGCAAAGTCAAAGTTCCCTCTTTCTAACTCAGACCACAATACCATACACCTATTTTCCTCGTATAAATAGTTTTTCAAGTCATCCATTCTCTACCCGACACTCCCTCTTTATCTACCACGGTTTCTCTAAAATGGCTATGCTCCCATGTGTGACTTTCTAACTCAGAACACAATACCATACACTTATTTTCCTTGTATAAATAGTTTTTCAAGTCAAGACACTAAGAGGTGTTTTAAATGCATAGATTGGTCCATACTCCACACATTCGAGCTCGATGAAGCTACTGTTATCATTACTGATTACTAGTGCTGTCAGTTTAACGCGTTATTAACTGCGTTAACGCAAACCCATTTTAACGGCGTCAATTTCTTTATCGCGAGATTAACGCCTAGCACACTTTGGAGTTTTTTTCACATGCTGTTGCAACAACTAGTAACGTTAGAAAAACATCTACTAGACCGGAAACAAAACAACAGGCACGCCGCACGCACTTGTTTAAGAGTAGTAGACGTTACGTTTTGAGTGGATGGCGAGCATGAGACGCCGAAATGGATGGATTCCTTGTTGTCTGAAAATGTCAACAGGCTTGTCTATTTGAGAACTGGCTCAAAGCAAAGAAGTAGTAGGCTTACCTTTTATTGGTAACCCTTACTGTTCATTCTTTCTGAAATAAGAGGCTGGGTTGAGCCTCTGGTGGTTAAAGAGCAGTAGCCTGACTGCTATGTTCAAAGCAAACTTGAAAAGTATTAAGCCATGGTTTAACTGCACTATAGGCTGAATCCTAGTTTACCTTACATGTGCACTTTGTAATTTTATTTTGTATCGCCCTGTGTTGATCCCTTAGAAAGGGCTGTTGAAGGGGCTATTTGTGTGACAAAGTATTTTTTTCACCCTTTTATTGATGGACAGTGTTACATTGTGTTAGAGATTATTTGCTCCAAGTGAGAATGTTAGTGTGAAATTGAACACTACAGTATATGCCAATGTTGTTTTCAATGAAAACAGCATTTGCACAAAGCAAGCCGATCCACTTTTCCATGTTGATAAGAGCATTAAAATGAGAAAAAATAATGGGACAAAAAGAAATCAAGGGACATTGAGAATAGATAAAAATGTGAGATTAATTGTGAGTTAACTATGACATTATTGCGATTAATCGTGATTAAATATTTCAATCGTTTGACAGCACTGCTGATTACATGAAATTCTGTGGCGACAGTGTGGTAGACCGATGTCGTTGTTTATCCTAACGATAAACCTTACATTATAAAAGAAATTAAAGACTGCATACAGGAAAAAGCAAGCCTTTAGAAATAGAAAGGCAGGACTGTCAGTAGTTCAAGAATAACTCAAACAGCTTCTAACAAATGCAAGAGAAGCTTTCAAACACCCAAAAACTTTGGCCCTATAACATCTGTTACTCACATGAACCCTGCAAAAAAACTAATTATCATTGTGGACAGACAGAAAAAATGAGCTGAATGACTTGTACTTGAGGTCTGAGTCACAAAACCTCACTCAGAAGTTTGACATTGTTTCAGCCTTTGCCAGATACTGATGCCCCCTGCTGGCTGGAATGTGACTGCCAGCCTTTTTTGCCAAAAAGCTATGCAGAAGAACTACCACCAGCATGCTGTCCCATATTCCAACGGTCTTTGGACACTAACACTGTTCCAGCTTTGTGGAAGAAGTCAACCCTAACACCAGTGACTAAAAAACCCTCTGCCACAGGGAATAATGATTGTCGTCTTGTAGCTTTGACCTCCTGTGGTCATTTAATGTTAAGAGTTTTATTCTTTTTTTAACTAACAGGACACAACTAGTGAAAGTCAATGGGACATTGTCAGAGACCAAACGCAGCAATACAGGGGTCGCACAAGGTTGTTGGTATCACCTATACTTTTTACACTGTACACTAATGATTGCGGAAAAGAACACCCCAATAATTATGTATAATTAGGATTTTGAGCCTTCTTCACAAAGACATGGACCTTTCTTTGTACCACAATGGGATAGGCACCTTTATCAAGTAGTGTGACACTAACAAACTTACTTTAAATGTCACTAAAACACAGGAGACCTGAGACAAGTGACTGACCGTGACCCAGTGGTGATCAAAAACCATAAAAAAATCACTAATTTGTCCTCGTCCAAATACTTCCACCTGGACAACCTTCTTGGCTGGAAAACACACATTTATAACCTGTGCAATAGACTGCAACAGAGACTTTCTAAGGTGACTGTATGGAGTGAGCAGCCAGTGCTGATGTCTTACCAGGTGATCCTTGAGAGCATCATTAGATATGGAATCACAGCATGGTTTGACAAGTTAACAGTGCAGCTGAACAGCCGGCTTGCCAGTGAGCACAAAATAGCTGAGGATAATAGAGAGGAAAGAATACGAGCACATAAAAATCCCCCCATGCCAAAGTGCAAATCAAACCGATTGACGTTATCATTCGTCCCAACCTCCCTCAAACTGCTGAACTCGAATACTTAATCTATAGAGCAATGTGCAATAAATACACCAACACCATAGCACATAGCAATTGAATTATTATATTTTTTTCATGTATTCTCATAGTCTAGCTGCTGTATTGTCAGTGTTTGTTTGTTTGTTTTTGTGAAGCAACAGATTGTAGCAATGTGCCCAAGACACAAAAGACAAAAAGATTATTCTATTCTATCCTATTCTATTCACCAGTAGTCGATTAGCAAAAGAAAAGCAAGGGGAAAACAGCAAGCCTGGCTCTGCCCAAATTATAATTATTAACTATCAATGGTCCAAAAAATCTACCTGCACTTTTCAAGATCACTAATTACACACTTTTTGTTGTTGTTTGTCTGTTAGTGGTAAACATTGACAGTAGGTGTTAAGACAAATTGTGGTTTTACAGGGACTATTTTTTTTTTACTATTAGAGAGGTTTCAATCTTCTCCTGAAACTCTCAGCAGGAAATGAACAATTGTTGGGTGTTAGTTTCTGTCCTTGCCAGAAACACATGAAGCGTTTCTACTGTTCCACACTATCATGTTATTCTCTTCACTTTAACCGACTGTCTCCCATTATTTTTTGCAGTGTACGAGGCAGGAAAAGCAGTGAAGAAAGGTGTGCCCAGTCATTATGCTCCCACCATGTATGCTCCCAGTATGTATGCTCAGCCAGCATACAGTGGCCCGCTAATGAACCAGCCCGGTATGCCCCTGCTTCCTCTACCCAACGGAGCTGGACCCCTACCGCCCCAGAATGGGTACAGTCGAGAATATGATGGCGCTAGCTCAGGTGGGCGATACTTGCATTATGAGTCCTTTTTGTAGCAGTTCTCATTATCAGTAAAAGTAACTTAACTAAAAATGAGTTTCATAATGACATAAAATTGCCTACCTAATTTGTTTAATGCTGGGCTTTCTTTAAATGTGTCTGTGCAGTGGGACAGGGCTCTCAGGTGCCTCTGCTGCATGACGGAGACCAGGACCACAGTGAGTACATGGCAGTTTGTATTTACCTCAGCCTTGCCACCTGTACTGTAAAACCTTCCCATTAGAGAGATTGTCACATGTCTTTGTACATCTTTCCAGTGCTGTCATTAGCCTTGAGATGAGTTGCACCCAATTGTTAGACTTTTATTAAGAAAATTACAATATGTGGATCAAGTTACCGTAATTTCCGGACTATTGAGGGCACCTGAATATAAGACGCACCAACTAAATTTAAAAAGAAAAAAAAAATTGTACATATATAGGCCGCACTTGTCTATAAGCCGCAGATGTCCACGTTGTAACATGAGATATTTACACAGAAAGATTTTTTTAAATTTTTAATAAAATAAATGCTGCCGTCTCCAACGTCTCACCATCGATTCATTGATGCCAAGCTTACGTGCAGCAGCTGTTCTTCGACAGCCAGATCGATTGCCTTTAACTTAAAAGCTGCATCATGTGCATTTCTTCTTGTGTTTTCCATGATGAGGCTGTGAGCATGGTGCGCAAAATGACTGAATGAATTGAGTGAATTCTAACTGAATGAATTCAAAACACAATCAAACTAGCGTCTTCCTCGGCGCATTATCTCTTCCACCTGTCTGTCTCGCTCCTGCGCTTCCTGCTAGAGCGCCCCCTGGCCCGTAAAAATCTATAGATTAGCCGCATCATTGTGGAAAAAGTAGCGGCTTATAGTCCAGAAATTACGGTACTTTTTAAAACTGATATTTCTGCTGTGTGATTATTCAGATATAATCCTCAGTAAAAGGTGGGTGTCAAAAAGACACTAGGGGAAAACATTAAACAGTACATAACATGACTTCAGATGTCATTACTACATTAAACAGTACATAACATGACTTCAGATGTCAACGTGCCGGGTGTGCATTGCGATTCTGAAATTAGTCACGTCTGTGCCACCTCTCATCTTTCTTCAGAAAGTGGCTGATCTCTGGTGGAATTTCCCTAACCTAGTACAAGTGTGTATATTCTTAATTTGTCCCCCAATTTATTTTAAATGGTCTGTTGTGCAAAGGATAAACACCCTGTGTTATAAAAAGTCACATGTAAGACTACTTTTGCATATAGGTCACCCAAAAACGGGGCAATTTGCATATTGTCATTTAACTTCTGCTGCTTGGCATTAGGGGTAAGTATCATTATGATATTAGCGTTTGCCTCAGAATAGGTACAGATTTTGAATCAGTACAGCCCCACAGACAAAACACAGCTACATAATTATGCTTTTTGTGCAAATTATTCCTTATTCTTTATTCCATGCACTCTGAAAATAGGACTACTATGTCATGTCTTTGCCATCTGAGGAAAATAAAATTTTCGTTATGATGACTGATAAATAAGTGGGTATACTTTACTACACTACACTACACTACTGCTCTAACCCTAGGATCTAAACGTAGACAACATTATTAACGTTATGAATATTTTGACATGATATATGTGCGTAGTGATTGATTCTAACTTTATTGTATGTGTGACTTCTTGATTAACAATTTAGTTAGAATTATACTTTTGGCGTATTCATATTTTTTTTTTCATTTTCCCTGTGATAAGCATTTGTTCTGCAACTTTTTTCATTCTCAATTAATTTGTAGATTGAATTAACTGATTAGTTGTTTGGTACATAAAATGGTGAAATATGTTGATCACTGATTCCCAAAGCCAAATGTGACATCTGTGTTTAGTCCAAATCTCAAAGATGTCCAATTTACTGGCTTAAGGGACTAGAAAGTTGTATGACTTTTCTCTAGTGGATTGCACCATGTCAGTTTCAGGAGTCACATTAAGTTAAACTTCAAAAATCAATAATTTAACCTAATAAACATAATGCATTTTCAGGAACTGTTTGGATCAAGTATCTCATGAAAAATAAATGTCAGATTCCAGTGTGTTAGATACATATTAACTCAACATTTAAGTAAAAAATTAAATTCAAATGGGTTTTATTGGCATGGGAATACATTGCCAAAGTAAGTGCAAAATATATGTATATACAGATTAGTAAAAAAAGTACTTAAAACAAAAGAAACAGTAGACTTGTATTATTAATATAGATATCAGATCCAACTCCCAGTCTGAATTGGTAGATACCTAATGGTAAGGGACTCGCCAGTACTAATAAAATTAAAGGACTCCAGTGTGTGAGTACTCCTTTTACTGCAGTTATGTTTTTCATTCAGCGTATTTGAATGAAGCTGAAATCTGACTTCCTTTTTTCTTCTCACCAGCTCGCAGTGGGTATCGTATCCAGGTGGATCCTGATGGGAACGCCACACGTGCCATTTACTATATGGAGAAGGAGCTTTCCAAATTGGACCCGGCCAGACCTGCCAACTACAACCGCTGTGAGTGACTGATCACTTCCTGTTACTGTGGGCACAGTTGCACGCCAACAGACTGTTCAACTACTTCCTGTGTGGTTAATATTTCGCATCCATGCGACTATTAATCCTGGCTGCAGTGACCTACTTTCAGTAAACTTGCTGCTGGTCCTCCTGTAATTTCAATCCTGTCAGAACGACTTTCTCGGACACTTCATTTAGACCAGTGCTAGGCAAACTGTGGCTGTGTGGCTTTTCCATGACACACTGAACAAAAAACATCTTCAACATTTCATCTACTAAACACTGAGTAAAAAACTTTACTTCTTCTGTACTTCTCACAAGAGGTACAGTTTTTGACTCAATTTTACCGTAAGCAGTAAATCTGCCTCATCCTCAACTCTCCTGCGCCTTCTAGGGAGGCTTTTGGATCTCTCTTTAAGCGTTGTCCTGCTGAATGTCCAAGTCTATGACAAACTGTATTGTGTAATTTCCCAATGGTAATAAAACTGTTTGAAGTTTCGGAGTTGAATTAACGAGGAGCGGAGTTAATATTAAATTTTTCTTTCATTCTTAATCTGAATCCCGTCCAAATGGCTTTAGTTTACTTATTCTTCACCAAGAAACCATTTAATTTTATCTGGTCTACTTATCATCTCTTCTGCTCTGTTTTTTCTACCTCAGTGGATAATATGAGTGAAGTCACTTCCTTGCATGATAGCTTGGAGCCTCGAGGTCGTGGGGGGCGTTCCCAGCCGCCACCTCTAGCCACCGTCTATGACCGGGATGAAGCCATGAGCACCATCAGCAGTGTTTCCCAGCAAGGCCACCGCCGTGATGACTACCCGCGCCATGGTGGAGGGTACATGGAGAATCGCGTACGTGCCCGCTCCATGGACAACCTTGACGACATTGGACGGCGGTACGGCCGAGATGACTACTCACCACACCGGCGCCCAGATGAGCCCAGAGGCAGGAGAGGGTGAGTCTCATTCCTTCTGAACCATTATCACCCCGTTTAGCAGTGGTGATCATTTACTTGTTGTCTGGCTCGATGCATTATGAGCTTTGTCTTTGTGTGTAGAAAACCGTTCAGATTTACTCAAGAATTGATTAAGAAAAACAAACCCACTCCATTCAACAGCTCAGCTGGCTACTGAATTTATCTCTTTTCACACTAAGCAGAAGGATCCTTTAGAAAACAAAAGTATTTATCCAAACATTAATGCTGAAAGTCAGAATATTATCTTGACTTAATTGTCATATTCTACTTTTCTGCTTAATGCCTTAAGATCTATAAAATAGATTCATTTTTTGTGGTTATTTTCATGCTGTTTTTTATACTTTACTTGAAGTAACATCAAACTGATTTATTTGCTATATTCAAATGTTTAAACCTGACGTATTAAGCTTGCTGACTCTGAATTAAGCTTTGTAGATGGTGGCATGTATTGGCCAGCTGCTTCTGCCATTTAGCACATGATGAATGAGGAAGTGTACAGCAGGCAAGTCAAGTTTCAGTCAAGAATTTGAGTGATTAATGTTGATACAAAAAGGGTTTCACAAGCGAATAAATTATACTTATTCCTCTCTGCGCAGAAACTGTGAACTAAATTAAAAGAGAAATGGGACAGACTTCGATGTGCAAACCCCTTTTTGGATTCTGTTTGGTTACCTGCATCACAGATTGTTTTTAAAAATTGCATTTGTTTGAATGTTATGTTTTTTTCCCTTCTGCCTACAGTAGAAACCTCCTGGGTTGTTTTTGTTGTTCCTTTCAGTACATATCTTGGTCCAAATTATTTAAAACAAATTAAAATAATATATATATATATATATATTCTTTCTTTTCTTTCTTTCTTTTCTTCTCAAATTGATACTGGTATCCACCTGTAAAATCTATCCTTCATACCAATATAAATGCACTTGATAAATCATTGGAAAGTACCTTGCAGTTCATATACTTATCTCAATCTTACTGTAGTATGCATGCATGTATATGCTATTTTACTATCTATGCACAGTTAATATAGTGTATATTGACTATGTATGTATAAATAGCATAATTATATTCTTTGTGTGTATGTATAGTATATTTATGTACTAAGGACCTAATGTTTCTGTGTATAAATATAGTATATATATTTTATTTCAAGCATCTTGGCAACCACAAGAATTTTTATCATTCTTTCAAATCTCATCTTTCTTTGTAGCTGAGGGTGTACCGTGGGAGTACCACACGCTTTCCAGAGACCTTTACCATGAAAGTAAAGCACAGGTGCTTCCCCTGATAGATGCATCTTTGTAATAATGATACTTAAAAAAAACCTGTGATTTGTTTTTTCCTGTCACTCCTCCCATAGAGGAAGAAATCCATATTATTATCATCACCATCTTCAGTGTATTTTTATTCAAACATAATAAAATAAGATAAGATATACCTTTATTAATCCCCCATAGAAGAAATTCAAGTTACACACAGCAACATTGGGGAATATAGTGCAGTAAAAAGAGAACAGTGCACATCGATCTTATCACAATAAGAATATTACAAAGTATTCTAGAAAATATAAATCTATAAATGAAAAATATATACATTATATGCAATGTGCAAGTACAATGGCAAGCAAATTATTTTAAGCAGCTTGACAAAAAAAAATAAACCGTACATGTGCAATTTAAGATAAAGTTTGGTTGAATTAAAACCAGTCTTAGTCAGCGGGGGCGGGAGGTGCTGGGTGCTGTGGCGTTGTGGAGTCTTTTCTTTTTCCTTGAGCTGTTTATATTGTCAGTCATGTCAGATTTGACTTTGATTATTAAGACGGCAACATATTGTTTTTCCAAGTTGAATTTAGAGGGAAATAACAAGCACTTTCAGTTGGAGGTGTATACTGGGTGTGCTCCACAAACTAAAATGTGGCTTCATACTGGTAGTTTCAGTGGTTTTACCCACTACCAACAAGAAAGCTTATGTAACATCTTTCACACTGGGACACTGCATTTAGTGGCTTTATATAATGTAATAATATAATTGCATGTAGCTCAAACCTCAGGTGCTGGTTTAAAGTTTTAAGTGATTTATTTCTACAAGATATAGAAACCGGGTTTAAGTCAACTGTGGTTTAAAGAAAGGACACAGCAATGAGGTTTAAACTTAGTTTAAACGGGTCTTAAACATTTATCCAGCAGCTAATCTAAAGTCCGAGCAACAGCCCCGGTATGTTTCTGTTTCCCCTCAACTGGCTGCTTTCTGTTTCTTCAGCTCGGATGATGGGTGGAGCAGTAGTGCCCGCAGCGGCCACGACCGCGACTTTGATGACCGCAGGCGGCGTGACTACTCCCCTGATGATCGTCGGAGAGGAGACAGGGGGGACTACGGTGGCCTCCCAGGGAGACGCAGCCGCAGCCGTGACGATCTGATGGACCTGGAGAGGAATCGCCCAGCTGCCGGCGCTGCCAGGGGTGGGCGTGTTGATTATGATGACAGCTTCCTGCGAGAAGCCATGGAGAGGAAGAAGATGGGCGAGCAGCAGAGGGCACGCAGCCGGGAGCGACTGGACAGCGAGAGCGACCGCTCTGATCGGGGGAGGGCGCCACGTGGGCCTCCGCCACTTCCCCAGAACCCGCCCTCTGGATATCCTGGTCGCCGTGATGACTACCCACCCCCACCACCTCCACCGTACAGTGAAGATGAAAGTGTGTCATCTTCCAAAAAAAGCAACCTCCGCAAGGTGAGCCCCAGCAAAACTCGTTCACAGACCAAGGTTCAGTTATGTGCTCGTAACCACATGAACATGTGAGTGTTCCCGAAATTTCCAGTATGAGTTTTGCTCTTACATATGCAGTTCCTTCGCTGGAAACATAGCAACATGAGTAGAGAGAACTGGACCAGCTGCTGCCCAGCTGTGTGGAGTCTCACTGCTGTCTGTTAACTATCAGTTAATTTTGTGGGTTTGTGGGTTTTGAGCATCAGCTTGTAAAGTGTACAGCCTGTTGTGCTGTCTCTCCTGCGTTGCTCTGTGTACAGTGATGCAGCTAAAAAACAAAAGTGCAGAGTTTTCACTGAAAAAACACAAGAAATAAGAAAAAGAAAACTGTAGAATGTCACCACCCTTGTTCTTTACCTCTGATTGAGGCATCTAAAATGTGATTAAATCAGAATTTACCTTTGTACATTTGTCAAGTTGACGCAACGTTTCTTGTCTTACAGAATGGAGCTGTGAGTCGGGAGAGCCTGGTGGTGTAAAACCAACCGTGACGTGAGCAACCTGCCCCAATAATGCAGCTTTGATCCATCCAAACAGGCACAGTTGATTTATAAGACTGTAAATATTAGTCACACTGCTAATTTGCTGTACTGAATTTCATATTGCATAATATACAGTAAACTTATCACGAATTGATTCTGAATGTGTATGAATACTTTTCTAATAGGGAATAGGTGCACAGATGAAACATTATGTGCCTTTCCATGTATAAAACATTGTGGCTGCCACAAGTGCCTTAGAGTGTACAGAATTTTACTTGTAGATGTGAAAGTCAGGCTGATAAATAATTCCTCTACAACAGTGTTTATATCTTGACGAGTAAACATGTTCCAATTGGTTTCAACTTTCTTAACATTTTTAACATTTGTGTAGTTTCAGTTAGCTGATACAGGTACTAATGTAGTTTTGTAGGGGTTTACAGATTTTCCTGGCTTTTTACTTGTGAAAATGTTTTGTAAGAAAAGCTATGTACATTCAAAGGAATTGATTTTATCTTTGCTTTTAGTTGTGTTAGATTGCTCTGTGTCTTTAGTAACCTGGTGAACAAAATATATTCTTGGTTAGAATTTGTGTTTGAGTACTTGCATTTTATTTTCTAACATTTTATTTTTTTTATACAAAATTCACATTTTAACCTTCAGTATATTGTACAGACAACCAGTCATACACTCTGAAAATGAAAATTATTATTGTGATGTGATGAAATTTTACAATAAAGGTCTCTATTGTCAGGGCATTTGTCTTGGCTTCACTTGACTTGTTTTACCACTAGATGACACCAACATGTTAGTCTGTAATTTAATGGCACAGTAGGTTGTAGGAGGGTTGTTTGTTGTGGACCATATTCTGTTTTTCTCTTAAACTTACGGGACGTATTAATTACAACAGTTGTTCATTGCTGTTGGATTCGGAACAGTACAATGTTTAAGACTGAAAAAACCCCCAATTCAATTCAATCTAGTTTCCCTTCAATTTGCCCTGTGTGTTGGCACTCAGTGGGTGAACAAACCTATAATCAAACACGATCCATTTAAAGAAATCTGCAATAAATATGAAATACTTGTAATACTTAAAATAGAAAAGTGCAAGGTATTGCATTACATTCTATTTTACAAATGTGCCCACTCCTCCCTACACTTGTATATATGTTTATTTGTCCACTCAGATTGAAGTTGCATATATAAGACTATCAAATGTGATTTTACACAAAATGTTGCTCATTTTAAATATTTTAGATACTACAATGGGTGTATTGCATAAGAAGCCGCAGGTCAGGTTTCAATGTTTTCCTTTGAAATGACCCAGGCTAGAAAACTGCTGTCCTGTATCACTTGGTCATTATAGTTAAAGGTATGAATACATGAGCAAATAATTGGTTAACTAACATTCAGAATGTAATTATATAAAATGTATTGTTGTCAGAACTCTCTCTATCCTCTGCTACAGGTGTCCTGAGCTCTGGCAGTTGGTATGTCTTTCTCCACGGCAACCGTCTCCTCACACTGTATATCATTCCTGCTGTTGTTACTCAACACCCTGAGGTCTCTGGTACTTAAGGGTGGTTTCAGTGACCGAGGTTGGTGTTAATCATCTGCACGTTACCACACCATGTCAGTTGTGACGGTGGTTACATGCATGTGGCACAAGTGAAGTTATGTTGAAATCTGTTATGTTAGAATGGCAACTTCAGGCTCAAAGTCTTTTACCCTAAAGGATGCTTTCATATTAATGCAAGCGTTGGAGAACATCACAGATGCCCACATGACAGAGGAAAGGGCATGCTGCCTCTGCTTTTTCCTTGTCCGATTTCTGCGTTTTTCTCTCCAAAGGAAGCTGTTTGCTGTTCAGCTAACTTTAGTTACTCAGGCCTACAACTGAAAACAAGTGCAAGCTTTATAAATGGTGCCTGATTTGAGATAATTATAGCTTAATTTGGGAATCCTACACAACTATTATTTTAAAGTAAATGATTTTAGCAATTTAGGGAGAAAAAGTGCACATTTCACATAATAATCCATGCTGTTGAGAGACTGCAAAAACTGAGCAAGTCACATATGACAGTGTAACTAGTGTTTAACACACACAACTTAGGCTAGTACTACATTTAATCGTTCAATATCACTTGCAAAGAAAAGATTATTATTTTAAAAAAAGAGCACTAGCTACTAGTGATGTGCGGGTCAAGCGTGCTAGGCAAACTATCAACTTTATGGGAATACACAGGAAGTGGACACGCTGAGAAGCGGTGCTAAATTCATTGACACAAAGTGCTAATATGCTTCCCTGTGAGGTGCTACAGTTGTTTTGTTAGCCATGACAAAATGGGAGAGACTGGTCTAGATTCCCCTGGATGTCTCTGAGTTGAAACTGAATTCCGAACTGAATTTGGAACACCCCAAAATTAAAATAATACAATTGTAAAGCAATACATGTTAAATTAAATTTCAAACCATAAGATTTAATTTAAATCTCTGAAATACAATTTATAATTTCTGAACATTTCAAATTCAAAACAAATTGAATTTGTGCTGGCACTAAAATAACTCCATACAAACAATGTGGAAACAGAATTCCCATCACTACAGTGTATCCCATCAGAGATCCTCCAGAGAAAGAGGAGATTTGTTCCGCAGTTGGCCAGTATTGCATTAGTCAAAACTGAACGCTTGTCAGCAGAATATTCATATCACACCCACATCAAGCACACCTGACGTGGAAATAACGAATGGGGCTACAGTTTCCTTGACTGCTGGAGTGAAAACAGCTCTGGTTGTTAATGGCCAATTGCAACAATGAACCACCAAGTGGATGATGTTTGTTGCACCCTTGTCTCCAGACAAGAATATCAATGTTGGATTATTCTATAAAAACCCTTGATTATGGTTATGTTTTTCTAATTACATGCGTGCTATCATCGCATAGTTTAGGGTAAGAGAATGGTTACAGTTAATAAAAACACAAATATTAATTGGAGGTCTATGATGGGAGTCCTGGCTGCATGAAAGTTTGAAGCGCTACATGCCCCGTCTACCAGCCCAAGCTCCACACCTCTACAAAGTCCTGTGCTACGTATGAGGCACAGTATTTCCTGCATTAGCGCTGAAACTTGAGATTGCATGGGTATTTTGAGGTGCAGAATCCTCCCAGGGGCACTGGGCTGGTTTGTCGATATGGATGGTATTATTTTCAAGGACAATTAGATTTAGCCATTGTTCCTACTGGTAATTATAACATTTGACTCAATCATTGTTAGGCTCTTGATAAAACAAAGTCAGATGGTTGCAGGAGTGGCCACATGATCAGATTGGTTTTTAATTTGCTTGGAGGAGAAAACGAAGATGAAGGGAAAAATTATTTTGAATATGAAAACATCTTTCCATTACAGTTTATAGACCAACTTTCTGGTCTATAGGTAAAAAAACTTTGTTAACAATCTGTTAGATTGTCTGACTAATCATGTTTCTTGCCCTGTTGGACTTCATTGTAATGATGTTGCCACGTTCCCAAATATGAGCTATTACGAGCAATATTACTTCAGTAGGTATGATATCATAACAATAGAAATGATGGCCAAAACTATATAAAAAAGACTCTAAGATGTTGAAAACAGAGTTACTCTTTAATAAATAAAAATAATGTGTGAATCTAACCCCCCTCCCCCATCATTACAGGTTCTGTATGCCAAAGATCCAATCTGCTGACAGAGAGGAAGGAGGGAGGAGGGAGAGGAGCAGTAGAGAAAGCAAATGCCGAAGGAGAGAAGAGGACTCTCTGAGCTCCTCACTGGCTTCAGATCAGCTGATAAGGTAAGAGCTCTGCTACTCTCTGATCTACAATTATTTTTCATTACTTTTAGATTCTCCTCATATGTAAATCCCGAACATGCTGCTTTGTTTTGCCTCACTCTGAATCGTAACTCTTTATCTGTTCTGTGCTCCTGTGTTTAAATTTCCTAATTTTTAAATCTTTTCTTTGCAATAGAATGGCAGTGAGTTTAATATTGTGATCATAGGTGGCAACACCAAAGAGGCAGATATCTCACAGCAGTGAGACACAGTTCCATTACACATTGTTTGAGTAATATATCCAGATTTGATGCTATAACACAATCTATGGGGCAGCAGAAAAAAGTGCTATTTCTTATGTTTGATAACCATGCATTATGTATTTGCTGGTAGACTGGTGACTCAACAAGCTCATAATTTAGATAGATTAACATTTTTACCAAATTGTTTACCAAAAACAAACATTAGGTTTGATATCGTTCTTGCCATGACGATTATCACCTAATTATTATGTTGAACTTTTTTTGTCCTCACAGCCATGTTAACTGTATTTTTGTGCAAATACAGTCATAACTCTCATTAAAACAGAAGCAACTTTTTAAAACAAATAGCTTAAAGTGAATGTTGCATTTCTACAAAATGGCTGTTAATAATCTCAATGTCTGAAAAAAGGATTAAAAAAAGCCTGCATATGAAACACACTGCAAATTCAAGCCACACAGTGACAGTTGGAGCGCAATATGGGAACTTGAGCCAAGTAGGACAAATTTGAGATTAGTTGCACCTTTGGGAATATAAATCCCATGTAACCCAGGGACCGCAGCATGTCAGCAGTGCTGCGAAAATGTAGTCCTGGACTGGGTCAATAACCCTTCACTGAGATATACAGTGGTATCCAATGTGGTGAACATAATAAGTACAATATAATTTTCATTCAAGTGACAGGTTCAGTGTCTTATTTAGTCTTAAATTTAATCTGGGACCCTTTCAAAGTCCATCTAATTTGGACTTTTAATGTCTGAGTCTGGACTTTGACTGGAATTTAACTTGACTTTCAATATTCTCCTTTTTGTCAGACCAATTAGCAAATCTTGATAACCTGAGTAGCACGCACAGCGTATTTTAAACTAAAGTAGGTTTTAAGCCTGCTGTTGGTGATGTGTTTCCATCTATTTCTGGATGTGTAATAAATGGCCACAATGTAACATGATTTAGGCAAAAACCTTTTAGGTGGAGAGATAAAAACATAAAATGCAATTATTTCAAGCGGTTTTGCAAATGGCAGTCATCCATTGCTTCTGTCCAGTAAAGTGGACAGAGCGACAATGGATCCATTCTCAGTGCGTTGTTCTGTCGCCCATCTCTGTCCAGCACAACCCAACAACCCCCTCATCCACCCACATACCATCTCTCCCCCACACCACCCTCCATGTCTACGCCATGATACTGTAAAAGTTTGTTGTTTGTTTAAATGTTTGTTTACGTGTGTTTTTACACGATGTGGATTCTGGTGTGTTTTACTTAATACAGCCAACTGTTGCAAACGTAAAGGGTCATTGTATGTTTGTAGAATTGAAAGTTGGATATTAACACTGTCCCCAAAAAGTGACTAAATTATCATTTCCTGCTTTTAATCCAGCTGCTTTATGTTTGAAACAGGATTTGGTTCAGATGAGAGCATCAAGTATCTCAAACTAATCAGATTTGTGTTAAGCTGCTTGACAATGTACATAAATACATTTAAATTATTCTTGCTGATTGCACTTTTGCTCAGGTTGAAGGTAGGCGGAGCGATGCTGGTATAATGTGATGTCACAGGACTACTTATACAAATGACAAAGGTCTGATTTGCTCAGGCCTAACAGGAGAGTGAGGGAGCAGCCAATGAAGCACAATCTGTACGTGCCCACTGGATTTACCATGTAGGTTTTCTTAGCTTTAATAGTAGGAC